GTGCTGGCATTGACTATGTCATCCTTCATGATTCTTCGGTGAAGCGTGATACACGCTACACACTTGTAGAGAATTTTGTGCAATTTTTCTATGCTGTGGCTCACGGTGAAGAGTTATGTTTAGCACTATTATAATGGGTTGTACCATTTGACGACCCGCTCGTTATGCAATTCGCATTGTCCCGCTTGGCTGTTTCTTTGCTGTTCTAAGCACTTTATTAAATGCATTAATGCAATTTCTTTCCCGAGATGAAGCCTGCCCAAGGTCAGTTTGCCACGGAGTTCCAAGCACTGGCATAGTGCAGTAGTACAATACTGCGCTGGCACGCACGGGATCCAGGTTCAAGTTTCATTGTGTCCTTGGTGTGTTTTATTTACATTGTTTTTTTTTCTCGCTTTGCGCAATAGTGATTGCAAACACCAGCGGCGGCAGACCACTACGGCACACGCGACCTGTGTTGTGATGTCATTACAGCTTTCGCTGAAAAAACTTGCAGGAACGAGAATTGTTTCAAACAGTGTCGTAATAGAGCAATTAGATGCGCTTGCTAATACAAAAGCGGTGCCTACTGGCATCACTTTTTCCTTCGCTATTCTCCCTTTATCGCAGGTGCCTCAAACTTGCCTCAGCTAGCGGGCCGCAGTCACCAAAATTTAGTCCCGTATGTGCCAGGGCAGTGCTGGTTGAACCCAAAGGGGGGGGGGAAGGAAACAAAATTCTACCTAACACTGCCATTTGAAAGGACACATTTACCATGTCTCATATATGGTTCATTTCTGAAGGAAATATTGCATTGGGGCTCGAGAAACATTGATACTAGTCTAAAATGACAGAAATCTGGATGTCAGCTTTGAAATGTATATATTTAGTTCTACGATTACGTTTGAACACATGGTGACGCCCTAGCGACACCAGTTGAGTCTCTTTAGCCCACACGAGTACAGAATTATTGATCGCAACTGCCTAGTAAACAATGTGAGTAGTATACATCGAAGTCGCAAACATTTTATTCTTTTTGAAGCAGCAAATTTGAGGGCCCAGCTTTATCGACTTGTCCAGCTTCACGGCTGAGTACTCGTTCTCGCTGTGGATTTTTGTGAATGACACATGAACGTCAATGTTGACATCACGGCCATTCCTTAGGATTACCGAAAGGCCCGGTGAAGAGACAAGATTGTTTACTGGATGTTGTGGTACGCCTGCATGTTGTAGTGCTGCTGTGTTTGGCATTGTTAATTGTGATGGCATTATGAACTCATTGCGAACGTTTGCATGTAATGTTCAAAATAATTATCGGAGGTGGTTTGAGGGCCCTTCAGCCATAAAAGGAGCATTGTTGTATATTCTCAATGCACTTTAATTTAACAAGTTTATTCCTTATGAAAGAATGATTCCTTTTTGACGATGGTTAATGCACCTTTTCCACAGCTTCCAGATATCAATGAATCAATATTAGCATTCTTGCGAGCCTGGGAACAAAGAAACAAGAAAAAGGGGTTAAGCCATGATATGTACTACACTCATTAAACAGGCACATAAAAGCTTCATTTTATATACAATCAACCATAACCATCTTTAGTATGAAAGATATTATTTTATTATTACTATACTCAAACCTCAATATAACAAACCTGAATATAACGAAATATGGGTTATAACGAAGTACATAAAGAATAGTCTTGTAATACATATATACTGTTAGGAATATATATTTGAAAAGAATTTTTGGATATAACAAACTTATTTTTGTGTAAGATGCAACTTTTTTATAATGAGGTTTATGTGTAGTTCATTTATTATACAAGAAGCTGACAGCCCTTTCAGTGGGCTTTCTATTCTTCTGCCTAATGCATGCACTGCACAATCAGCCAGTCAAATTGGCATTTGCCTATACAATGCAGTGTGTGGTACAAAAGAATCCCACAGACAAATAAATTAAGCCAAGGAAAGCATAAGGGATATTACTTGTTGCTTATAAAGTGTAGTGTAGTAATTATGAGACTAAATGACTCTTCTCAAAATTGAGCACCACTTAATGAACGAAATTGAAAACATATTTTTCCACCATGTCTTGTTCACCCACAATGATGCGCGCTGCTGATAACAGTACGTGATTATCGCTGCGTCTGTGGGTTGTGGTTGGCAGTCGGTGAGACCCCCGAGGGGACACACAGCGGCCACTTAAGGGAGTGGCGCTACTGCAGCCGTCGCGTGACCTCTTTTTGCGGCGGATGGGCTGTTATGACCGGTAGAGCAAGGTCATGGCCTCCAAGAAAATCTCATCAGTGTACCGTCCAAACGCGGTGCACGTCCTGCAGAAACGCAAGCGGTGTCCATGTACGCTGCAAGGAACGCTCATTGGCATCGCTGGGACACACAACCCGCGCTTAAGGAGATGCGCGTGCACGAGTGAACAAGATATGACGGAAGAGTTTCCGAGCCATGTTGCCAGACTAAATTTTCTAAAGGGTCTGTTGAAATGAATTAAATTAGAAAAAAGGGCACCCAGTTCATCAAAGGGATAAGAAACCGCTTTTTACTTGTCAGCTGCCACCTCGTACAAAGATTATATTGTCACATTCCCTCAAAATTTGTTATCCCCCCATTTCACTGTCAGTAATTCCCAGTGCAAACTGCGCGTACACGAGAAACTTCAGGACTGCGGTACATAATTTTGTTAAGATTACGCACATTTTGTTAACATTACAGATTATTCTGGAACCTCTCTCGCCGCTAGCGATAATGCTAGAATATTCGACGCCACGCGTATAAATGCCGACGCGCTTCACCGCTTGTCAGTTTATCGACGGCCGATGCTCTGGTTGCTGCTATCAGTGCCAGTGTCTTGCGGTAATCTGACTCTACTTTTACGTGGCCACAATTTCGACCCACATAAACAGTTTAATATTTGACCTGCAGTCGGCTACCTTCGTCCATGTCACGACCCCGTGACAATATCATATGCCATGTGACACCAGAGGGTGTCAACTAAGATGAACTTAGTTGGACACTTGCTGCACAGGGCGTGTTTGGCTGGTACGCTATCTAGACGGCTGGTTTTAAACTTAAAGTTGGTCGAGCATGCGCTGAAGCACGAGAACAAATCGACTAGATGACACTTCGGCGTTTATGCGTGCACATTCGTTACAGGAGAAAACAGAAGAGCTTCTGGTTTTTTATCCTTTTTAAAAAATTTTTTCCATTGACATTAACGATCTTTTTTACTCAATTCCTCACAAAGACCTGCTAAATGTAGTGGAACATTCCATTGATGCACATGATGCCGTAAAGTTCCAGAATGACGCCTTGATATCTAGTACAAATTTTTTAGAGCTTTCACATATTTGTCTCGTGTTAACATTTATTAAATAGGATGATGCCGTTTACCTACAGAAAATGGGAGTATATATAGGATCGTTCATTGCACCCATACTGAGCGATCTTTTTCTCACCCGTCTTGATGTTTTTCTGTCTGATAAGCTCGCTCAGACAAAAATGCACAAGGCTTTTCGTTATGTTGACTATTTCTAGTTTTTCTTCGAGCTTCAGTTGACGTTGAACGCCAGGTTGCAGAAATTCTACCAATAATTAGGGAGTGTTTGCATCACTTGAAGTGACACATGAAATACTGCAAGAAAGTACAAACAGCTTTCTAGGCCTTTGTCTGCCTTGTTTATTCGAACATACTTGCTGGTGCTATGTACTGTAGTCAGAAAAGTCTCTCTTGCAATACAATTTAGCGCATTCAAAGCTGATAAAACTAGGGATTGCCAGGCTGTGCTTTAGGAATGCCCTGATGAAGTCATGCCATCACACTATGGCCGCTAGTTTTGTAGGACAAAGCAAGTGAGTATCTATGGCATGCTATCTAGTGCTAGTGCAGGTGTTCGTAGCTGAGTGTCTGTTGCATGGTTCGTGTATGCAGACGGCTGCAGAACAATGGCGAGCCCGGCGTTCGGAAAACCAGTGTCATACCGTATGTACATCAAATTTCAGATCATTTAGAAAAGATAGTCCTGAAAGGAAATGTCTGCGTAGTGTTCTCTGCTCCAGAAAAACTAAGTCGACTATGTAAGCTTACGAACCCTAAGAAGGAGGTGCAACCCACCTGTGGAAAGAAGCATGTAGCTAAGTTTGTTGAATGTTCCCTAGCTGTCGTCTACATGTTCTCTTCATCGTGTGACACGGTTCACATAAGACAAACTGGTAGGTGTATTAATGACCGCTTGCCAAGCGCTGTTAAAATGCAAAAAACAAGATTTCTTTTGGCGGTCTTCTGGCTATAGATTGTAAGACGTGTGCATGCACTCCATTCTTTGATCAGTGTGTCATTTTGGGCTGAAGTCGTAACCAGTTGACACGAGAAATTATTGAAGTGAACCCTATCGCAAAATCTGCGAAGCTGTGTGTGAGTACGCTATCCATAGCCTCATCTGAAAAAGAGCTTAATTTTCTGGGGCGTGTGCTGTGAAGTTTTTGATATAGGATTGTTAATTTTATATGAGCTTAAAACTAGATTTCTCGATAACCTGTGCTGCACCACACGTTTACGGATTTGTCATATGTGCGGTATCACGTGTGCAGCAAGGTGAGTTATATAACGTGCTGTAGGGTCATGCAATAAACAAAGGTTGAAAGTTAGTGCTGACACAGCCGTCTGTTCTTTTTTTTTTCCTTCTTGACTGTATAGCATCTTTCCTTCATGTTCAAACTGAGCTGCGCTAAAGCAATACCATTTTATCATGCGCCAACTCGCCCAGTCAGCAGTACTTGTTGACTAAAAGAAAACTATTCGCATCGCATTTCGCGGACCAGGACAAGCAAAATCGTCATGCAAAATTATCACTGTTATAACCCCTGTGAACTTTTTTTTTTTTCGCTTAATGCACCCTCCCCCCAAATTGGCATGTGTAAATACAGTATACAGAAATGTACTATGCAAAATTTTTCCAGATATAGCACATTACAGAGCCAGTATGAACTGAGGACACTTACATTGCTTATTTCTGTCAACCAAAGCATGAAGCTAGGGTGGCAGATCAGCCAGGGCTTCCTGCAGCTTCTTTCTAGCATGATGGACTTGCTCTTCCTGGCGCCGAATGTCTTCATCAGTTACATTCAGGGCCTGCACATCGAGTTGTGCCACACACTAAATGACAACGATGGGTGTTTATTCACCCTGTGCAACTAAACACAAAAGAACATGAACCAAGATGCCCAAATTTCCTCTATATTCTGCTTGAAGAGCCGCCAACGAAGACATGTCGCTAACATGTCTAAAATGACCTGTACAAAACAAAAGAAAAACAGTCTCACTGCATTATGCGATGTGTTTGTAACTACCCTGCAACTGCACATGTCTATTTAGCACATCACGTCGTCATATTCATTATCACAAGCCAATAAGCCGTAATCACCACAACCAGCCTATCTGACTTCCACTGAAGGGCAAAGGTATCTCCTTGAAGTTTTAATTACAGTAGAACTTTTAACCTTCGAGGGTCAAAGACGTGCAGTACACCATCCGCTAACAGGCACAAGATGGTCGACGACACACACGTACGTCACTGCCTGTATGTCTAAGATGCGGACCTTTTTCGATCACTTTTCTTGCTTGGCATGTGCTGCCACAATGCAGGAATACAAAGAATTTTGAGCTAGCGTCGATGTCTCTCCATTTATTTTTAATGATTAACTACAAATTTCAGTTTCGTCTTTCGGCCGGTTTTTGCTCATTGCACCGATAAAACTGATGGCTTCCCACTTTAGAATCTTTCAAAAGTAGACTGTTGTTTACTGCTTCCCAGCATGTGATTATGCCTGCTTCTGTGCACACACCAATTAACATAGATGATGCTATTATGGTCGCGTTTGCTGTTTCAGGGACTCACAAAAACCACTTCCATCTCATCAGCAGTAAGACTAATGATTATTATAGGTTTCAGACTTGTTTTTGCTTTCTGGATGCGCTCATGACTACAGTTTTCTTCAGTGCACCCACCTGCACAGTTTTCGCACTATGCAAGTTTCTCTGCTGCAAGTATGTCTAACAGAGATTCCTCCAAATCGCTGCTCGACGGCCGAATCGGAATGTGATTTAGTAAATGTCGGCCCTTCATACGAGACGTTACTTACGAGTTAAGACTCAAATGTTGAGTGAGCAACATCTCAAAAGCGCACGGGACGAGATGATGCTTACTGCATCAAAAGTGGCTTTTCTCATCTTGTGTTTCCATTTAATGCCACTTCAAGCACTTATTTTGTATGTCTGAACTACACAGACATTTATCTTAATGCACAACTTTTTCATCTTGCTGTTACAAATAAATTATGTGTATGTAACACAAACAATTTTTCACCTTACTAACAATTTTTTATCTTGTGGTCACCCAAAAAATTTTGGACAATTTTTTTTTCCCTAAGTAGATTCATCTGAAGAATTTCATTCAGCAATAAAGAAAATACGCACTAGGGAAGGCATTTGGAAAGAAAAAAAATGACAATCAAACGGTTATAAAATGAATTATTGAACATAACAAAGCAAATTTAAAATGTAACCAGCCAAAATGAGTGCCTAGAGGATACATGTTTATGACTAACCGCAATATAACAATATGACTATGGGAGATGCTGTAGTAGAGGGCTTCTGATAACATCAGCTATCTGAGCCAGATTACACATTGAATTTCAGATTATTTCGATCACGTCAACACGTCAAATGTTTCAACATCTCACAGTACATAGGCCTCAAGCTATTATTCTTAATTAAAATACGACCACTGCTGTTAGAATCAAATCAATAACTTGTGTGTCAGCATACGATCACTATAACTGCACCACCATGGCAGACATAAATAATATCTTATATAAAAAAGTAATTTGATGCCAGATATTTTAAAATAAGTACGTCTGACCAAATGTGTGTATCAGTCATTTTCAACCTATCAACAATTTTGCACAGTGGTGAACTGGCGCAGCCATTTCATATGTGATAAAATCTAGCTTTCGGTGAGCAAATCAACAGTGGCTGTACCACACAAGCTGGTTGCAGCAAAGTGTAAGCATGTCACATGGTGGCGCAGCAAAAACACAGCTCAATATTTAATCACCTGAAACAGGGGTCTCAAACATATTACCCGTTCACCGGCAGCCAGGCCCACACATGACCGTCTTCGCCCCCACCCCCCTCCTTTTTCTTTCTTGATAAGTTTGTTTGTGATCTACACAAACATGATGGTCTCAAGCATTCTTTTCTTGGTGCAATGCACATGGTTGCCACCTGTTGAAACGTAACTGTGGAGCAGTAACTCGATATATTACAGAATCAGTGTCTAGATTTCAGTCGTTCTACAGATCAACGTTGATGTTTCTGGATTTCAGACTCCAAATATGCTTCAGAAATTGCCCATTATTGAGATATAAGAAAAGCTTTTTTTTTTTTTTTCAAATGGCAATGGTGGCTGACTCAAGCAAACCCGTACTTAGGTAAACAATAGCTAAAAAGGAAGTATAAGTAAGACTTCCAACAATAGTTCTGCTCATTTTTGTAATCTCAATTAACATAAGGTTCGGTTTTAACGTAGCACCCCACTTGAGAAAATACCAGCATAAACAAAAGAAAAGTGAGGTATCGTGTGTCACTGGTATGATGTTTTCATAACAATATTATGCATTTGCACAATTTTTACAAGCATTAAAATACACCCACGAGGAAAAACGATGGGAAAGAATTTCCTTTGCCATGCACAAGTCTAACAGAACTAGACAGTCTCAAAATGAATAAAATCAGAATTATGGTCGGCGTAAAGCATGCCATATCCATCTTATAATAGGGCAAGTATGTCCAAAAAGTACTTTGTGTCGGCCTACAGCAGAAAATATGATGATTTGTAGCAGCTGCCTTCAGTTGTGTAGCAGGTTTCAAAAACGAAAAAGACTAGTCAGCGTTTTAATGCTTTTATTACACAATAAAATGATAAGTGTGTGCACGATTTTACTGAACACACAACCGATGTAAGCTTTAATCAAAAGACTACAGACCACAGAGGCGGTGCAATATGGGAATGGGCCGCAACTGCACTTAGCTCAAGCGACATTGCAACTTGGTATCGACACTACCCAGAGACAAACCTCGCAAAACTAAAGCCACACTTAGCCAAGCATAAACCATGCACTTTATTGCACTGGATCGACTCTGCCTATAAATAGCATAAGAGGTGAGGGTGGCAGCCTATCTTCCACCTGGCGTTGCTGACAAATCCCCTTGGCGGTGGCCCCCGAGACTAATTGGCGTCTTGCCATGTAAAATCTCAGAGGCCATGCATAGCAGCTTTTAAGCGATTCTGCTCATTTATGGCATGGATGAAGCAGCTTTAATGAAATGTAGCAAGTTGGAGCAATTGAAGAAGCTTCCCAATCCCTTACAGACATGATATGGTGTGAAATAAAGTATGGATTTCTGATAATAATTCTAATGGATAGTTCAATGATAAATGACCTCATTGGGAGGAGACATAACAAAGGAAAGAAAGACAAAAAAGGTCTACCAAAGCCTAAAGCGCTTTAAAATCTTGCAGGTTTTTAAACAAGGCTTCTATACACAACCCAAAATGTCTCAAAAGTTCTTAAACATTGAGGGTTTTCACCACACAAGTATGGCACTGTAAGTTTGTTTAAAACTCCCACTTTTTACTATCATTTCTCTTGCTTGAGATTTGCTGCCACACTTTGGGAAAACGTTCCTTCTCTGCTCCCCCTTTTTTTTTGCGTTGCAGAGGAAAAAAAGAATGTTGCTTTGCTGTTTAAGGTTGTCGCATTTGCAGCGGTGTATTTATTGTTCACCACAGATGGCATATGCAGCATCTTAATGACGGCTCTCTGTTGCTGTGTTTTTGGCATCCCCACGCGTCCAAGACTTGAACATACCACTGCACATCGCACGGGATTCCGGCTGCTTTTCTGTAGCGTGGTTCCACATGGACAGGGATGGGCAATTCAAATTTTATCCTAATATGACACCCCTTCCCTTTTTTGGAGGGATGTGCAGCAATGACTAAGCAAGCAACCCCCTCTGCCCACCATTTTTTCAACCTGTTCTCCACTATCAAATCCTTCAACCGTGGTTCCTAGGAACACAATTTCTGAGAGTGCTTCCATATTGTGTACATATTGTACTAATTTCTCAGTACTTTTACAGTGTGGTGCCTCGGAGTTGCATTCTGAGCTGACACAAATTATTGGAACACTTGAAGAACATTCTCTCTTTTGTCATAATGCATGGAACATCACACGATGAGTCCCACCAGTTCAGTGAAAACAGCAAATTCATGCACATTTAATGACGCTTTTCATTAAAGCACAGGTGTTTAGTCTTCTCAGAGGCTCTTCCACATTCATCTAGAATTTTGGTACGTGACCGAGCAAGCCCCCTACCACCCTTCAAATCTTGTTCAATCATTTTTCACCATAAAGGGGGCTTGCTCGGGATCTTGTGGTACATTTGAGACACAGATGGCAGATACGTACTACCGCTATCACTGTGTTCAGTATGATACTTTTGAAATTCTCCTATTCATACTTCAATACATTGAAAAATTTATTATTTATAGTTACGTAAAATGCAGCAGAAAAAACAAATCTGCATGCAAAAATATTCTCTTAAAATTTTCTCAAGAGCGACTACATTCAATTTGCATAATTTCAATGAAATGTCTCAAAGGTACTTCAATATTTTTTGTCTTTCTTGCTCGAAGTATGATAGTTTTATTCGAAAACAACTTATTGATGTTGCCTTGACTGGTTAGCATGAGAGCTCATTACAGCTCCACCCTATGCTGTTCTTGCTAGTCACTTTCGCAATTGATGGTAGCTTCTTTTCCATAGGATCTAAAAATGGTCCGACTTCTCATCCAAGATGCGGTGGGAGGAATGCATGCAAAGCCCTCCGAAGCGGGTAACCATGCAGGGGTCGTGCACCTGAACAAGAGGCTGGTCCGGGTTGAGATAGATGCCCGGGTGCTTGTCGAGCGCGCTACGTAAGCCAGTCTGCCCAGTGACAGGTTGTGCACTCATATGCAGAGCTGTGGCTATGCTCCGAAGAAGGGTCTCCTGGCTGACATTGGGGCCCACACCTGCAAAGCAACAATCTATTTGCTCACTATGCTAGCTATATACTGATCAAACAGGATTCGCCAACATAATGTTAAAGATGGACTTTCTCTGCTGCCCCATTCACAGCCTGAAAAAGGTCACATTCTATCATGGATTCGAACCAACCAACCTGCCAACATGTTTTAGCACGTCTACACTGCTCCGCTCTTTCTTGGGGACCGACCGCTTTCAATGAACCGCTGCTATTTAAGGTTATTGCTCAAGGAGGCAAAACAGAGCTCGCATGAGCGTCTCAATAGAGTGACAGTTTGACCACAGCCATGACTAACCCTATGTTGTACAAGCCACCTATTATGCATGGCCGCTACCTTGAACCAAAACTTCCTGCAATAGCATTCATTCAGTTCTTTGATGATTCATGGGATGCTACTAAAAAAACGAAGTGCATGGAATGCACCTTGCCTATTTCTGCGTTCTGTGTGTCAATTTTCAAGTACGATAGCCCTTTTTTCTTTTTGATTAAGATAGCTATCTAATCGCACACTACGAGAACACAGCCAGTTTAATCCGGAGCTCCCAGATTCTTCACTCACCACATTGCTGTAACAAATCTATAATATACCAGCACCACAAAATAGACCCTTGTAATGAATGAACAGCTTCCATTCCGGGGGTGTCGTTCCATGCTATAAATAGTTTAAACCCAAACCTAAATGGTAATGAATAAGTGCACCTAAAAGAGATGCACACACCAAGCTTGCCATATTTACCACCCCATCCCTATGTCACTTTTCGAGGAAGTGCGAAGTGCTTCTCACAAACATAGTCACGAGACATGCGAGCCTATATTTTGAACCTCACTATGTCATCCGGAACTTTGAAAGTATACTACTTTCTCCTGGCAGGATGCTTAGCTACTTTCGCAGTTACGCTCGCCACATTTCGACATGATCCGACTACACCCCACCACAACACAGAAGCACTGATGGAAGCACTGGGAAACGATCTTTGTTGCGGCATGAAAAGCACACGCGGAGAGTGAAAAAACCAGCACTAGCGGAGCAAAATACAAGTGAAGCTTTTGCTCAGGCCTACAACCAAGCACTGCGCTGGCAGCATGGGTGCATAAATTGTCATCGCAACAAACAACTGAAGGTCTTCACACATAGCAAATTTCGATAGACCTGCATTTATCTGTTGTTTTTTTTCCCCTTTTTCAGATGCAGCCACAAGGTACGACAGTGGGAACAGAATGACGAAAATTTACAAGATTTCAAAGCATATGAAGATGGCAGCACTTGGTGGCAGACATCTTCATGAATTCCTGCTTTTGCGTGATTCTGAGTGCCTTTTCCATCATCAGAACTGACTAAATTACGTTCCCAGGCACATTCAGTGCTTTTGCAGCTATAAAAGACACCGTAGATAGAAAAAATGAAGACTGTGAAAAGAGCACTAAGCTGCCCTAACCCGCCTTTTTTCTGAAACTGTTGCAATCTCTCACACGCATGCCATGATTTTATGTGGCACAATTTATGCAAAACAAAGCTAACATGTGCTTTTGATACAAAGATGGGCTTTCTTCAGACTGAATCTTTGGTGATGCTTGCAAAAGCTGTAGTGAAAATTCCAGTCTGGCATTTGATTGTACTATGAAATCCTGAATTTGATTCTTTTAAAAATCTTACCCAGCATATTAAATGCACCCCTGGGGGCCTTCATCAATTATTCTAAAAAAAACAGCGAAACTATTACATGAGTAAATTTGGTAATAAATGGAACAGGAGCATAGTGTCAAGTCTTCAGAAATAACGTGTCTGTAAATTGGAGTGTCTACCTTACTGCTGACAGTCTACCCAATAAAGCTCACTTGCCTTTCATGTTCCTGGGAAGCTCAAAACTTTGAAGGGCTTCTTGATCCCGGTCACATGCTTGCAATCCTTGTAATCTCTTTTCCCAGAAAAGCTGAAATAAAGCAATAAAGCACATTCAGAGGACAATGGGTAGTTTTTTTAACAATGCCCATGACCTTAGAAACAAGAAACAAGCCTGAGGCACACCAAATCAGCAATAAAGCCCACCTAACCTCTCTGCCCACCTAACCTTCTGTCTCCCCCTAACCTGCTTGCCTTCTCTAGGAATCCAGTTAGTTACCCTTAATGACCAGTGGTTATCCTGTCTACGTACTACATGCCCGGCCCATGTCCATTTCCTCTTCTTGATTTCAACTATAATATCCTTAACCCCAGTTTGTTCCCTAATCCACTCTGCTCTCTTCTTGTCTCTTAAGGTTACACTTACCATTTTCCTTTCCATTGCTCGCTGCGTCATCTTCAATTTAAGCTGAACCCACTTTGTAAGTCTCCAGGTTTCTGCTTCGTAGCTAAGTACCAGCAAGTTGCAGCTGTTATATACCTTTTCTTGAGGAAGGCATATAAATGCACCATAGGTGCATTCAATTTGCCAGCACCCTGCTATCCATTTAAGCTATGCAGCAATGGCATCCACTAAGCCAGTCATTCTATCCAAAAAGTGCGGCACTGTTTCTCGATTCTCCAGCATCCTCTTTGCAGATGGTACTTTCTTGGAGTAAGTGTGTGCGTGCAGCAGACAACACAGGCACGTTTGACCGTGCCCTTACTGTATGAGCATCTACAATGTATATGAGTCATTAGTACACACCAAACGTCCCAGCCATATTGGCGACCACCTAAAATGTATTCGAAAAAATTTTGCTCATTTATTGCATTAAAAAACAGTGCAATGCTAGAATATTTTGGAGAGAAAAAATGTTTTGGTCTCGTGGCTACCTTCTGAACTTCCCGGAATGTCGTTTGGGCATTATTTGTGGAAAAATTTATTTTAAAGGTGCCGCTCCTTCTTTTATACCAAATTTGGTGTACATGTTAAGTAAAGGTGCTTGTGTGATATTTTTGAAGCTCTGTGATATTAGCGCAATTTTTCTGGCACATACACATGTGAGTAGTATTCACTACTCAGATATTCATACTAAGTGCAGTATTGCAATAGAAAAAAAAAGTGAACATAACACAATTTGGCTAAATTCTTGGATGTGTATGTGGCAGGAAAATTGCATTACTATCACTGAGCTTCAAATAGCTTACACAAGCACCTTAACTTAACATGTACACCGAATTTGGTATAGAAAGAAGGAGTGGTACTTTTAAAATAAAATTTTTCACAAACAACACTCAAACAACATTCCAAGAAGTTCAGAAAGCACCCATGAGACCAAAACATTTTTTCCTTCGAAACATAGTAGCAGTGCGCTGTTTTCAATGTAATAAATCAGCAAGATTTTTTCCGAATACATTTGAGATGGTCGCCAAAATGCCTGGGACGTTTGGCATGGAATGACCCATATGCGAGGCAGGCTGTCTTTATGCATCCGAGACAGACTCTACCAATGCTTCAAGCTCAAATGGACAATGCAGACAATGACAAAAACATAAAGCCTGCATTGTGCCTGCACAAGTGAACGTGAGCTGCATATTGTTCAACTTCTCTTGCGCTGCTGTGAACTAGTTCAGAGTGGCACAGGCAAATTGAACAGACATGTGATAGCATTCAAGAGATGCTGTTCACCTTGGCTTCAAAAAATTGACATGGTACCCTGACAGCTAGGAAATCCCGGGACAAATTATTCGAACGCTCATCCACACTAGCACCAATCCTGCCGTAACCGTGGTCTGTGTCGGCCCCACGAGAGGTGTACAGTGTGCCCGCCAAGATCTACCAGTGTGAAAATGATGTGACACTTGACACCTTGCCCACTAGCGGCATAAACATGAGACTGCGAGATTCTGTACTCTCAAAGGTGACAAGCATGAGTAGAGAAAACTGCATAAAGAACACAGAACTATGAACAGAACTAAGCAGACGATGTGGCAAGTGGTTTAGCTATGGCAACTACTCCTTCATCGCCGATTGGCTTCATTGCCGTACAGCTGCCAGAGAATGTCACAAAAATGGGGCCCGGACCCACTTTCCCAATGAGAAGAGAAACCTGATGAGCATCGGCAAAGCCACTTGCATATGGCAGCCTGAGCACAGCTAACAGCATGCTCCTACATCAGCAGGCTTTACCTAATCTACAGCAGGCTTTACCTAATCTACAGCAGGTACAGCAGGCTTTATCTAATCTAAACAATTTTCTGGGTGACATCTGACTACAGCAAGCTTCTTACAGCTAAAGGAGTAAGCCTGCTATTAACGACCTTCTTCAACAACGCTATGAAAAACAGCATATTGCATGTGCATGCAGAGATACTTACCTGTTTTGGTTTGTCTGGAGGGCCATGCTTAAAGTCTGAGCGTACTTTGCCTTCCTGTGATCGTACCACAGTGACTGGCTGCTTGAAGATTGAGGCTGTTTGCCTGATGGGAGGCACAAGAGAGGCATCGTTGCGTATCCCTCGGCTGTAGTCAAATTGTGTGCCTCGCTGCCTGCGGCTTTTGCGAAGCAGCAAAGAGTTGACCCTGCCCGTGCGGAAATCGAACGTGCTCAGGTCAATGGCATCACCCAAGAAGCGTGCCAGCTGAGGCTTGCTGCGAAACTTCTTTCCTCCAGGACTGCACGGCAAAAATACAGCTCAGAAAACGCAAATAGCACTCTAGTAATTTATCACTATTGGCTGAGCACTTGTTTAACAATAAAGGAGAAAAAATCGATCTGAGAAAACAGTAGTGGAATAAAATAGGTGCTGCTGTTGCCACTATTCCTGGTATTTGGTACACGAGCAAGTAGAAAATGTACTGTGAACTACAAAACACATGGCAGAACACCAGCACACAACGTTCTTTAACACTTGCCTAGTGCCACTCACTTTATTGCTTAAAAGAATGACAGCTTTCAAGTTTCGAGTAGGCACCATTTAAGCGTCAACAAATGCTGCACGAATGGCATCGCTTTCAAATTGCTTAGGAACAATAAACAATAACCACAGCCTTGTCCTTAAAGCCTCACAAGCCACCAGTATTTTAAAGGGGCTCGGCCACATGCACCTATAGTTGACAATATTTCGTTTCCACCTGCACATGCATGAAGCAAAGTAGAAATTAAGTATTACACTTCAGTGAATTGTAATTTCTCCCAGAAGCTTCACTTGCTCACTGCAACAGCATGTCTGATTATTTTTCATAAATGCAGCATGACACATTTTTTGCAATCTGGTCTTGCTGTTATAAAGCTTCTACAGAAGGTTACTGTTTGTTTCTGTAGAGCCTCTTACAGATCTGGCCTCAGTAAGAGTGCCAATGATCATGAAGAAAAACCACTTTACAAAAGCACACATAAAAATTCGTTGAATGCTGAAGTAATATATATCTCTAACTCGGTGAGTAGTGGTACATAGATCAAAGAGGTTGCTGTATCAACAAATACTAAAATGAGCATGTGTACTCGCTCAAAGGGTCAGCAGTCATCTTGCTGATCACTGCAAATATTGTGAACGCAAACTACAAGTCTCATACTCAGATTGCAAACTACTTGGCAGAACAATATATATGCCAGTGCAATATATATGAGGCTTCTTGCATATTAAAAGAAATTGTGATAAACATGTCAGCATATCTCAACTACCGCTTTACTAAAACTAAATCCTACACCTCCCAAATGTGTGACACAGCGCAACTTACAGTGACCAGATGATTGCTTGAATGCCTTATTTATTGTCATGTAAACACAATAAGAAACTGATTAAGCAGTGCTGTGTCTGTCTCCGCTGATCTTCGTTTCATTCCTAACCTTATTTTTTCATCTAAGTTCAGTAATGTATATTCCAGCCCAATGAACACGTTTGCATTGCTGCATAATTATTTTAGAAATGCACCAATAAGTCACTAAGAGCTAGACACACTTGTGTCTGAGTAGATGTAACATAAGTAACAATAACATTGTTGCGTGAAGGCCCATGGGAAACTAGGCGTTTTAAGATATATTTGCACAGCGCCGAAGCGCAAACCAAGATGGAGAACAAGAGTACGCCCCACACACCAAAATCAGGTCGTCTTTCTCGGCGCCTACCTCCCTGCTTAAGTGTGACATTCTCATAACAATATGTAGAGTTGGGCGGGCATCCCAAAGCTCGGATAAGATTATTAGACGCCATAATGGTGACCTCTGGAAATTTTGACAGCCTGGGGTCTTTTAAAGCGCAGCTAAAGCTAAGCACATTGGCCTCGAGCATTTTCGCCTCTATTGAAAATGCAGCCATTGCGGTTGCCATTCGATCCCGCAACCTGTGGGTCAGCAGTGGAGCAGCGTAACTATGCATTAGACCACCATGGCGGGTGAGTTAACAAATACCTGCTGCAAACGTTGCTCACATCTGTTTTGAATAGTACTGATGAGACATAGTACAACTCAAATTAATTTTGGATGTCTCATTGGATGGAACATCTGAACGGTAAATCAAGATGGAAACGTTGCACTCCTCTTACAGTAACCAATGGCAGTGATCTAGTGGTTACAGTGCTCGACTGCTTGGTCAAAGGCTGTGTAATTGAATCCCAGCCACGGTGGCTGCAATTTGACGGAGGAAATATGCCAGAGGCCCATGTGGTTAAATTTAAGTACATGTTAGTGAACACCATGTGGTCACACTTTCTACAGCCCTCTACTGCGATGTCTCTCATAATCATATACTGTGCTTTTGAAATGCAGCACCCAAACAGTGACTATTACAATAATAACCATAAACAGCAAAATGGGATAGCCAGTTAGGTCCCCCTTTTCTAGTTATGTGAAATACATGTACTCAAAGAAGAATCCCTACCACGAAACCTGTCAATATTTTACACAGCTTGCCAATGATGACAAAACTGTAATATTAGTGCTATCTTCACAACACAGCTTTATGGGTATTGGGTCAGCACAGTTTGATTAAACGTGCACGTGGTGCCGCGGTTGCCCCTTAATTAATTCGGCAAACACAGAGAGCGTGTTACCATAACCAATTGATCGACCCCCTTTATGGTACGTTCCTCGCAATCAAACCAACGTTGCATGACAAGAGCAACAAGATAGTCCTGCCAAACAATTCGACAAACGGAGAAGCACGGTGTCTGCGATCCCGAATGACGCGTTGCCGGATTTGGTCGTGGTAGCCACCGCAAGAAGATTTACTGTGTACGTAACTCTAACCCCCGACCTGCATGGTGGCGTCAACGGGATCGCCACTTGATACCTCATGCAAATCGGCCGAAATCCGTTGGCTAGTTTTGTACTTGAACCGCGAGTAGAACTACACGACACCGACTTATGCCCCTTCAAATACGCCGTAAACCATCGACGCCGTATGCACTCATTGATCAAAACGGACGGCGACCTCTACATGTAATTAACCGGTAATCAAACCGTCAGCAGACTGAAGAGCTAAGGCGTGCGAAGACGACAAGAACGCCAGATTTCTCGTACATACCACACGCAGCTCTGAAAAATCAAGAAACAAAACGATGCACGCGAGTAGACAGCGTCACGGACCCGTTAACGCAATCTCACCTGTAGTAGTAGACGTCAACTTTCCCAGCTGACAGCCCGCCTCTACGAATCACTTCCTCGCGTCGCCAGCCCTTCGGCAAAGCAGGACAATCGAGATTTGCCATGTTCAGGTTTCGCTTACACCGACGTCAAGCTCGGAGTCGTACACCACGCATTCACTGCGCGCACTCGTTCACTAGCAGATACAGTCAGCGGCTGTGCTCTTCCCGTGCTCAGTTTCAACCGGGGCCACAAAAGATAGAAATTATAAGGCACACAAAAACGCGGCCTCTGAGCGTTCCCTAATGCATGTAACCTTTACAACGGTCTGAAACAACCACGGAGACGGAAAGCTTTATCAATAGCGGCGGCGTAGTGAACTAGAAAGAACGCCGCAAGCAGTATCATCATCATTAGACACAGTAAATGCACTATTGCCGTTTTTTTTTGTTCCTTTTTGCCCTCTGCGGCGCTTTATAAAGCTTGAGAGCACAGACTACGCAGTAATAATACAATACCAGTATTAAACTTTAAGCTCTATGCTTGAGAGCTTTCATTCCCCGGCTTTTGTGTTATGTTAGCAGCAGTTGCCATGGAGACAGACGCCGCACGTGTGGACAATTTAGTGTGCGCTTACGGAAACGTTACATGGCACTTTCTGCGCTCGAGAAGATATACTCCAGTCGTATCAAAGCTATCGACGAAAGGTACGTACACCTTTTGACGCAAGCGTTCACAACGCGTAAGTGTGCGCATGACTGACACGCGATCTCCAAGACCATCACCATTCTTTTACTTTGGCAAGTGGGTTTTACTGCAGTGCTTCTGCGCAAGCGGCAAAGCCCTCTTTCTTTGTAATGTGAAATATATCGGCATTCTCACCTCATTGATCCAGTACTGGTGGCAGATGTTTCAGCAAGCTGGAAAAATGCTGACATTATATTTATACGCAAGAAAGAAGTTGTAAAAAATACAATTATTTAAGTTGAGACAGGCTAACTAGATCTAGCCTTCCGAATATCTTATAAACTGCAGGCTCAAACATAGCAGGGTGGTACTTTGGCATCAGCTTTTAAATAAAACTGGTATGAAAGGTAAAGCAACTTTCATGCGCTAGCAACTTAACATCATAAATTTCATGGTGTAGATAGTGGATTGACGGAACGGTTGCTTTGGCAACACTAGATTTTACACAAAAATGCATAAGTACATAGGTTACAACGCACCTGGTAAATTTGATCATGAAAACAAGAAAAACTACCCCTCCCTGTTCCGTCTTGTTTTTTAAAACATTCTTCACGATTGCGTAATTTTGAAAACATAATAGTTTGAAAATGTTACATATTACAAATATGCACTATTTGATTTGAGTACCGAATCAAATAGCATGCTATTCAATTCATTATTCATAATTTATGAATATTCACACACCCTCATAAATACTACATCCAGTAAACACAATTAAGGCAAGACTGGCGGTCATATGTGGTGTTTTTGTTAATGCTATTACAGGGCTATATTCTCATGCTCATATTATTACTGACAATAAGACTTTTTATAGAATTGAAGAAACCTTGGAGGAGATTGACAGATACCTGAAGAGTGGAAATCAAAAAGACTTGAATACGTATCGAAAAAGCTCGCTTCATAGTGTCGAAAACATTTCAGCAAAACACAATGCGATCAGAGAATGCCTGCAAAAAATGGTAAGTGCTCCTATGAGCTTAAAGATGTTCTCTCGCATACTTTCATCATTTTTCATGTCAGTGAACAGGAAATTAAAAACAAATAGTGCATAGACAGCTATTTGAGTACCTTTACGAGAATGTAACTGCCATCTGAGCTGAACTGGCCTTACCATTTTTTCAGCTGCACTTGTGTCATGAGCAGCCAGATTCAACGGAAGCTATTTTCAGCATACTCAAGAAGATGATCCAGCATTTGTTGCCTTTCAAAGCAGCTTGCGATTGCGGTATATGCGCCGACTGCCTGGAAGATACCTGTGATAATTCCTGCAAGAAGCAGCATGCATGCATAGCCAATGCAAACCCATCAGACTTTCAGCCAAGTGAGGATGTCAAGTCTCTGTGGTGCAGCATATGTTACCACACACAAGCCTATATAACTCGTCGCCTTATTGGTGACTCTGAGCTGCTATCCCCAAATCAAGGTCTTGTTTGTAATACCAACTGGGAGAGCTACTTTGAAATGCTGAGGCTTCTGTTTGTTGCCGGCCAGGTGCAGCGCATTCATCAGTGGGTACGTTCGGAACAGCTGCGACGTGCCAGCTGTCTTTGCAAGCCCACAGTTTCAAAATGTTGCGTCACTTGCCTCATGCAGTGGTGTTTGCAGAGTTTGACAAAAGATGTAGCCATGAGGCCGCCCTTGGGTATGACATGGCACGATCTCAGCGACAGCTACATCTCCAGTGTACGTGCCAATGTTATGCTGTGCCTCCGGGAAATACGCAGCCACTGGCAGAGAAGAAATCATATCAACGACGTATCACTTTTCTTACCATGCCTTCTGAATCCATATTCTTGCTGGGCACACAAAGACGGCAAGCACAGTCAGTATGCATATGTGGTATTGCAGAAAAGTGAAAGCTACAGTGACTGGACTGATCATTGGATTGTGGTGGCACTTGTCAATCTCATCAGCGAGCTGCAGTGGTTTGAGCAACAGCTAAATGGAATCAGCCGCAGAACATGGGGTAGGTCACCAAAATACCCACATAATATTTGCCCAGACACAATTAAATGGCTCAGTTTATTGCTTATTGGTAATGGTTGCTTTTCAAATATCTAGTACCTTCAAATAAGAATGGGCAACCCAGTTGATAAGTGGACTAGTTCATGTCAGCTCACTGCTAAGTACCAAAAACAGTTTTCTGGTAACAAATTGACATAGCTGCTAACAATATGACGTATAAAAACTGATCAATATTGTGTTTCCAGCTGTGCTATCTAAAAGCCCACAGCAAGCATCAACTGATGGCACGACAGCGTGGGATGAGCCTTGCATTTGGGAATGGCAGTGAGTACATTGTGGCCACAGTACCAGCACACCAGTTATCTGTGGTGTATCTTTTCAGGCAGCTGTTGGCAGGCTCTGGTGTACTTACAATGCTTCAACAAAGTATACAAGATCTCATCCAAATAAAAAGGACTTTCCACCAAAATGACAATGTGTCGGTTGACTTTGCTGGTGCAAAACTACAAGTGAGCGCTATTGGTAAGCATAGCGTGTTATAGTTCTTACAGTAGCTGGGAAACTGAACCATGCTTGGGCCTTAAGGCATGATTTCATGAGGTATATGTCAGAATATCAGAAATGGCAAATACAAAGAATTTAGCGATCAGAATACGTACTTATTCGATGGCCTTTTGCACCATACATTCACCACACAATATGCATCCTTCTTTCTCAAGATTCAGTCACAAGAACCGTTGTGGTCTCCATGTTTGCAGCCTTCCATGCTATTCACTACTTGGCCACATATGAACCAGCTGTAAGCGCTTGCCAAGGAGCGCTGGAACCCTTTCGTGCTTCATTCATACATGCTGTGCATGTTGCCATGGGCCAAGCTCTACGAGACCTGGAAGCCGGATTTGAGCTCCGGAGCCACATGCCACAGAGCCTGTACATCATGCTCAACACAGGCCGTTTCTTGGACAATTCGCTGACAAACTTCATCTCTGCCCTTTCGGGAAAAAATGAGTATAAATGAATCCTTTTTGTGACATTCTAGTAGAGTTGCTTTGTTGATGACTAGATAAAGAGTGCGACTTGCAAACATTTACAACAGAGGTTTGTAAGATAATGGACATTTTATGTCACAGTAAATGTTTTGACACCCAGGTCCCCCTTCTTGAAATACTTGCTTCAGCCTGAAATGTCCCATGATCAACTACTGCAGCTATAACTTCAAAGGCGAATTATGCTCACTGCTCTCTAGTTGGTAGTAAATTCAACTACATTTGTTAGGAAAGTGTGGTGATAACTGGTGCCACTTGTGATGAACAGGTTCAAAATTGTAAGTGCAATTGTCTTGTGTTTTAAACAACAATTTAAACCAGGCAAAAGTCAGTGAATGCTATTCAATCAATACATTTCATTTAACACTTAGCAGAGTGGAGTGCATGGAAAGGAAAAGTTTTAGTGAGCTTGACTAGGCTTCCCAACCTATTAAAATTTAGCAGCAAGTGCTGGAAGCATACATAGCATGTGTATATGAACATAATAAAAAAACATACATTATGTGTACTTGCAATCCTCAAGAAAACACAAGTCATAGTTTATTTCACCAGAGAAATGGTCTAAACGCTGCTCGAGGCAGCTTGACTTGGTTCCTAGAGACCCGTGCAAACACAAGTGCAAACAATACAGCCAAGAAAAAAAAAACAGAGGGCATTACACCAGAAAAAGCTTTTCAGAATCCAGGTACAAGAGAACAGCATGAAGCTCGGACTTAAAATGTAAATAAAAACCACTTTGTGTTCTAATATTTCATTCTCAACATTTGAGCACCATACAATGCACATGATATTGTCACTTAGAATTTTTTTGCGAGTTGAAAATGATATGCAGAAGTGCATTTGGCTAACTATGCTATATTTAAAGAACTAGGCATGATTTATAAATACTAAGAAGCTTAGGAATACCAGAAGTTTAGAAGAGCTTTGCAGAAATATCTGGCTAAGTTGTGAATGAGGTGTAAAGCTTTTCTTTTGAGGAATTCAGAGATTTTCTAAGGTGATGTACATTGTAGTTTTGTAAGTTGGCAATAATACCTTGTGACATAGGCAAATATTTAAAAAGCATCAATTTGATATTAGCAGGACGAAATTATTACAGCATAAAATATTCATAACACGCGAGGCAGGTAAACACATGACTGACATGCACAACCCAGAGCAAATTTTCTGTATCCCCGACACCGACAACTTTGAAAGCCAATACAAATTTGCGTTTTAAGGCTATCAAACAAAAATTCAGATTATAGTACACTTTTTCCGTAAAAAGAAAACGATTGCTTTTATTTCAATTGATTCAAATTGTGAAGCGCTTAGCTGAGACACATGTTCAAGCGAGAAAAGCATTTCATTAGCTTTTACGATTCACTTGTCAAAATCTTAACCCCGAACAAGTATGCTTGTGTCATCAAAGTATATATAACATCAAATGCATCGGTATAAATGTTGACAACATAATATATACATCAATTAAACAAGGTGCCAGTGTACTTCTTGATGGCAGACACAGTGTTTGTGATCTGTGTGTATTAATGTTAACCTACCCACAACAGGAAAACAAATAAAAGCTCACGAGTTCAAAAATGTTTTCTTAGATCCTGAAGCTTTGAAGATTGGCAAGAAGTATTTGATGGTTTGAGCTGTCAAAGGCCTTCCTAAAGCTAATCAACTGATTTAATACTAGTCGTTTTCCCTCAATATCTCCAAGTAATAATTTCTTTGTGCAAACAGTGCCACTTCAGTTCACCTGTTTCTTTTTTTTAAGACTATGTTAGAGTGATGTTAAATCATTGTGCTGCTCAATGACACAGGAAAAGTGAGTTGAAATTATCTTTACACAGTTGCTTACTGTGTTAGGTTTTAGTAATTAGAGGCACCCATGGTGTTTGCTAAAAATCTTTCATAAACTCTACAAAGCGTACATAACCTAAATGTGGTATTTATTGCAGTGGCACTTCAACAACACCATTTCATGGCCTGCAAGTGAGAGTCACAGCAGCTATCAAACACATTGACGAACTAATTTTCATGCACCACCTCAAGTGGCTTACAAGCTGCATAGCCCCAAGCACCAACACTGCATTAGTATGTACACGTGTTATTGTATATTACAATCGCTTAAAAAAAAAATGTGTCTTCGAGAAGGAATGATAAGTTTCTTTTTCTCTGAGAACTATGCATAAGTTCAAGTAACCTTTAACAATTGCTCGTTAAATGCACAACTAACAAATTACATAAAATACGTTGCAGTTGAACTTAGCAGTGCAGTCGTGCAGTTTCGTGAAAACAATCATAGATTCCTTGGAACATGCAAACACAGAAACTTCAACACAGAAAGCAGCACTTGCAGATGTTGGTGCTGGTTCAGAGTAGATGATTTAGTGCAGCCTTGCTTGTCTGCAAAAGTAACATGGACTGTCACCCAAGGTGAGATCGAATCATAGCCGTCGTGGCCCCAATTCAATGTAGGCTTAAATGGGCCCTGCAACACTTTTTGAGCATGGTCAGAAAATGCTGCCAATCGGTAGTAGAGGCTCTCGAGAACGCGAGCCAAATGTTCTCGCGCAGCACGCGGCCTGGAATTCACAATAAATTATCAAAGTCAGCAAAAATTGCTTTCTCTTCCCTCAAGAAATGATGGAAGATGCTCAAAAACTACTTTTAGATTGCCCATCCTGGCTGATTTGAACATGGCACGCTCGGTCGTTACAAAGATCGCCGTGGGAGGCCACCATTTGTCCACACATGCGCACGCGATCACACTGAGAGAGCCATGTATTCGAAGGAAAAAAAAAAGGAAAAATTGCTCAAGGTCATGAGGCACGCGTGAGGTTTTTTGTTTGCCCCTCCAATCCCTCCCCGCTTTGTTTCCAGCGCTTTAATCAAAACAAGAGAAGAGAGAATGAGATTTCAGCGTGTGACAAATCTTTGTAACTTTGCTCGTACTGAACGGATTCTCAAAATTTTTGCGACATTGAATTTGCGCGGCAGCAAGCTCCTCCAATGGATTGATTCCATGGTTACTCAAAAAAGTGTTTCAGGGCCCCTTTAAATTTAGGTGCATGTTAAGGAACACCATATGGTCAAAATTTTCAGAGCCCTTTGCTATGGTATGTCTTGTAATCATATCTTTGTTCAGGATGTAAAGCTTAACATGTATTATTGTCAGAATAAACTGTAAAAGAAAAAAATAAGAACACAAATAAAATATATACAACGTGCATCAGATATTCGCTAATAGTGCATGCACATCCTGAAAGGGCAAAAAAGGCCTTTTTCAGTACTTAAACTGGCGTAGTGCGTCATAAAAAATGAAGCAATCGCTGAGCCAGCCAAATAAAAGGACAAAGTGCTAACATGTAACCAGTACACGAAGCACAAAGCACATGACCAATTTTGTGAACAGGGTTGCTTATTGCTGACACGTTCTTGGGCATCATGGCATGTAGAAGAGCATATGCTGCCCAGGAAATCCACTGTTAGGGCGATAAAAGCAGACAGTTCTTGCCGCTTCATCTTCACCTTATGAACATTTTCAAAGGTAACTTCCTTTACTGTGATGCACCGTACCAGCTCAAAGATGGCAAACCAACTAGCCCAATCATCAACACTCAACTTTTTCAGATAATTTTATTATGTTAGTACACTATTCGTTATGCATTCTATTATTTTTGTCCATTAAATGAACCTTAAAGCTTTTCATCTTTTGAAAGAAATGAACTGAGAATGACGAGCAGCAGAAAAAGTAATGGCCAGACTCAGTTTGTCATGATCGGGCCCTCAGTAAGGAAAGTTTTTCCAGGGGAAGGGGGGCTCGCTGAAGGCTTTGACTATCTTAGAAAAACACCTCTTCATTATTTTTTTTTCTAAACACCCCTCCATCGGCATTCCGATAGAGGGTAAGTGGGCCCCTGGTCCCTTTGCCCCCCTGGCTATGGGACTGGCCACAAAACAGAAAAATATGTTTCCTGATGTGTTCAAAATACTGTGATGCATGTGCAAAATTGGTGAACACCTGAACATCAGTGAGACATTCATTCAATGAATATAATTTTACAGTGTCCTAGGCATGAAAAACATGCAAAAGGCTATGTACCCATAAGGAGAATACCAGGCATAGCTGGAAACATGGCAAAATATTGCAATCACAGATTGTACATGGCATTCTGTTCTTAAAAGTCACAAACCTCCTCACCAATATTCTTTTTACCCTACAAGGCACCACAAATATTGGTCGATGCCTCACCCATGCACTAATTATGGGTTTTAAGCCATAAGCTACAGATTGCCTTCTCTGCTTAAGTTCAACTTTTATTATACCTCAAAGCGTGCAACTTCTTTCAGCTCCCTTCAAAACTTATTTGATTAGTAGTGTTGGCATTTCTCACCATTTTAAATTCTTTTTATGACCACAACTTTCTTTGAATGCACCTGGAAAGATAGCGTACTTGTATTAGTGCACCGTGTTTTGCTTGCTTGTTTCCCCTACTTTGAGGGTTTTTTTGTCTGTGCTATTTTTGCATTGTGTATACTGCTCTACCGATGTGTGGGGGGAAGAGAGCTTTGTCAAGCTGCAATTGAGTCGCCTTTTTTCCCTTATCCGCAGCCACATTTTTATTTACACATGTTTGAAATAAAGGTTCGATTCAATTCAATTTAATAGTCATTTCCTAAGGTATATTACCATTGCTCTGATTTCTCTGACAAGAAAATTTTTGCAGTAGAGTGAAGTGGCCACAGAGATTATTTCTAAGACGCAAATTAGCTAAGTTTTCTAGAACTTAATCATGATCTGGGGATGCCATCACATTTGGTGGAAAGGCAGTTGTTCTCCTTGCCAAGTGCTGAACAGCAATTTACTAGGAGGGCATCCTTAAAAAGAAGTTTTAACTTTATACCACCTTTTAAGAAACACATTTATATTTTTAACAAGGCCTCTCGCAAAGCCACAAGAATGTAATGCTAGAGAAATGTATTTTACAACTATGTCGCTGCACTGAACTGGCCGTACTACTGACCTCAGTCTAATGTGCTTATGCTATCTTGGGGGAATTTTGAGAGCAAAGGCTGCAGCATACCCTTTTCCCCCACATTGGAGTCTCTGATACGTTCACTCATGGTGAAATGGTGCAAAATTTTCTATGACCGCTTCTGTACTGCGGTGGACACTTTCACCAAGCATGTGTTGTGGCTAGAGCAAATATTGAAACTGTTATTGCTTTCCTTATGTTGAACGCATAGACATTGTTGTCTTATAATTATATTTGCTAGTTTTATGATGAATCAATAATGTTGTCTAAGAACTTTTGACACAAGTGGTAGATTTCATTGAAGTTGCTATATGCAATGTAGTTCTTCGCACATGATCTCGGTGGTAAGTCATAGGCCAGTGTAGACAGAATTCCCTGAACACTTGTAAAAGAAAACGAAACAAGCATAGAAAAGGATTCATAACATAGTATGATTTGGAAGTCTCCATACTTTCACGAGGCATATGGCAAATAGGTTACTAATGACACCATGAACATGGGGTAGATAGTAAGTACCAAGTTGTCACTGAGTGTGGAATGATTTTTGTCACCGAAGCCATTCCATCTTGTGGACGATGTGCACTTGTATATGTTTCATTTCTTCTGTCATTCTCTTGTAATTTTTTTCTTGATAGGATCTTAAGAGAGCATGTGCCTGGAATGTGTATGTCAAAGCCTTGGGCAGCGACCTTAAATGTCAAGTAGGTCTCAGTCAATGTGGCTTTGTCCTGAGGCAGCTACTCACCGAAATGCTCAGGTAAGAAAGCATCTCTATGCCCAAATTAGAGGCCTTATGCATACAGTTTATTATCACATAACCAGTAGACAAGTCACTGTTAGCAGAATAATCTTTTATTTGATTAAAAAAAAAGACATAATTCATAAGTAAGTTACAAATATTGCTGACCTTGAATTTCTTGTTTTAAATTATATCACTGTGGGCTCGAATATACTTCATTATGAAAACAAAGACATGGCCAATGTGAAAATGAAACTGTCATTAACAGACTGAAAGTTGCATTATTGTGTAGCTATAAATGATTTGCATAATACCGTGATTATTTCAACAATTTAAGGTGTTATTTTAGTAATAAATGTGTTTAGCCATGGCCCACTAAGCAACAGTGCATAATAAATTTGTCTTATATTGGAGGAATTGTATGATATTACTCGTTTGCAAAATAGAGAGGCAGCCCCTTTTGCATTCGATGCCATTTTCTTGCTCTGCGATTCTTGCTGTTGGAGAGGTGAGCTAAAATAACTATTTCACAAACTGTAGGTTGATTACTGAACTAAAGCAGTCCAGTAGTCTGATTTTACTGGGCTACGCTTGCATGGCAGCGCCCTAGAGCACGTCTCATTTGAGTAAACTTCAGTTCTACGTCCAGCCTTTATTGTATATCCTTCTCCTCTTTCGATCGTGTCCTGATGTTCAGGAATCATCACAAGGAATTAAAAGCAATTAGGTTATCTTTAGGCTTGTGCGAGTAGTGAATTTTAGGTTCAAAGCGAATAGTGATTTTGATCGAATAATTTCGAATCGAATTCGAATGGTATGTACGACATATAAAAAAAAGGAACATTTATCATGACCCTACTAACTTGCACAATATTTCTTCTGAATTGAAATAGGGGCTCAATGCAAATGCCATTTATTTTTTCATTCAAAGGAAGTCGAAACAACCTTGAGTAGTAGTTTCCGTATGATGCGAGTGATAACCTGTAAGATACATAATGTTTTAAAATATATTACACTTGGATCATATAAGCCATCATAATAAGCTTAATAAAATCAAGAATTGATTTGAGGATAACATGTTCCTTTAAAGGGGCCCTGCAACACTTTTCAAGTAGCCATGGAGCCAGTAAACATGTTTGTTGCCTCGCAAATTCACTGTCAAAATGTTTATAGAATCAATCCAGTATGAGCAGAGTTCCAAAACTTGTTGCACGCTGAAATTGCATTCTTTCTTCTCATCTTCACGAAATAGCTGGACGCTAAGCAGGGAGGAACGGCAAGATGAAAGAAAATACTACACACGCAACTCGTGAACCTGAGCACCTCTTTTTTTTTTTTCTTCGAATACGCAACTTTTCATTGCGATCACACACATACTCGTGGATAAGTGGTGGCTCTGGTAACGATGAGCGCACCATGCTCAAATCAGCCAATGCCTATGACCAGAGCCGTATATTTCTTCTTGGCTGTGATAAGTGATTTTTGAGCTTGTAGTGTCATTTTCCGAGGAAAGAAAGCAGTTTTCAGCTTTGAAATTTTATTGTGAGTTACAGGCCATGTACTGCGCAACAATATTTGCCTAACGGGTTTTCTGTAGCCTCGACTACTGAACAGTAGTGTTTTCTGACCATGTTCAGTTAGTATTGCAAAGCACGTTTAAATATGATGAGAAACTTTACAATAAAACAATTTTTTTTGAGTAGGTGCTTTCACTGCTTAGCACCACTACATTGCTGTGAAACCACCTTTACAAACAGTGACCTATTTATTTATTGCAAATACTTCAAAAATATTCGATAATTTAAATTCGAATACTCAACTATTCATTCAAATACTCGAAGCACTTGAATATTTGCACAAGCCTAGTTATTTTCATACTTTTCCAACTGCCACTCACTAAGAGGCCTATTTATACCTATTTCATAACAGCACCCTTGAATTTAAGCCAAATACTACTAGTATGAAATGTAGAAAACTATGCTTACTACACAAGTAATTATGATAGGATGTGCGTCATTTGTACACATATAAAATACAACGTGCCAAGAAGAAGTGTGAATAATCCAAGTCCTACTTCATCTAAAACTTTTACTCGAAACATCCCGTCAGCATTTACAAGCCCAACTTTAGCTCTTTTCATGAGGCCACATTGTTGTCAGTTAATGATTAGAGGATTAACCTAATTATTAAATATCAGCACTCAATGCCTTGCTTATTTTGTCGAAACCTAAGCATACTGTCATCTTCGTATGAGGCATAAGAACGCAAGTTTCCTCACGTTGCGTGCTTTAAAGAAGGAGCATGAAGAATAACAATTTAGCTGTACTTTGAAAATGACTAAGCTGTGCATTTACAAGCAAATGTGTTATGCACTTCTTTCATCACAGGCAGGCAAGATCTTTGAAAATGTTGTCCCAAGTGCCTGAGCTGAAACTAGTTCTGCAGAGTGTCTACGATGCACTCTTCCTAATTTGCAGCAACACCCAAGAACTTGTTGGGCTGCCTGTGAGTCTCGATTACTTTACCTATAATCACGACAAAGATTTCATGTACGTAGTAATTCATGGCCAATTTTCTAGCTTCCTACTGATGCTAGATGTGCTCTGCAGTATACTTAAAACAGGGCAACTGTTCTTGCTCTTGCACAAAATAATAAAACCAAAAGCCTACTTTACTGCAAGGAACTCTTTGAGTAGCTATTGAGGTTTAACCAGACCACTGCAGATGTGACATAATACACACTTTCACAGTACCAGCAACTGAAGAATAACTGCTGCTGGTATGCATGGAGCACAGTAAGTCTGAGCAATATGTCCCATACCACTTTAGAAGCACACCAGGATTGTGAAATTGTCAAATTTTACCAGGTACATGGATTCTGCAATGTATTACTACTCGCTTGATATGACAGTAAGTTCGACTACTCGATACAAATCCAGCCATAAAGGACCAAGTTAACCCACATACTAAGAGGGAGGAAAGCAGGACGACATCACTTGTCTTGTCTTAGTCTGTGTGTTAATTTGGCATTTTACGTGATCTCTACTGTGTCACTCAATTTAATGCAAGCTACAAAGGAGCCCTTAGAACTTGCAAAACTCTCTGAGTATATTTTTTTCTCAATGCAACATGTTTCCAGTCCCTGACCAAAGAACAAAACAGCACCAGCATACACAAAAATAGGTCATGCTATATAAGTTTAGTAAGTATCACAGGTATAGCACAACTATAGGAAGGAAGAGATTAAAAGTTTACTTTTAACTGAATTTATCGAAAAAATGCCGGCCACTTTCATACTGGTGAAGGAACTGTGTACACGTGCAGCAACAGGTGTATAATTAGAAATCTGCTAATGGTGACGAGCTGGAAACACTGTCTTTACTTGTGCCCAATCTAAGAATGCCACATGATTTGCTCAGTTTTGAAAGCGTGACACAATGAAACGCTGCAGAAAGTAGCGGCATTCACTTCAAACAAGCATGTATACTCCCCACTACCGAAGCTTCGTATGACTGAGCTGTAATGGCAAGTGCCTAGAGTTAACACTGTCTTTGGGGCACATATTTTCACTGCAGATAAGTTCTGTTGAACATTGCAAGGTGAAGAAGCAAGGCTCGTGAACCTTTTTTTTAAGCATTAATCTACATTGGCTAGGAAGCTCTCTTCCCGAAATGTGAATTTCCCTTGCAGCTTTGTGCTATAAACGGGTGAACAAGAGTTCTCTCTTTTATAACCTCAGCACTCATGCAGTCCAAGTGTTTCTTTCTCTGTCAGAGTATTAAGTACGTGCTGCAACCATGTTTGCAAGTTGAGCCACCATATCAATATGCCTTGTTTCGTGTAATTTTTCAAAATTTTGTAGAGCTGTGCAATATATTTGAGTTTCGAATTTGAATTGAATAATACCTAAACAAATGATTCGATCCGACCTTCAGATAGCCAGTATTCATAGTTTTGAATAATTCGACAGAATGAATATTCAAAATGCGACAAAGGCCAAAGGTGTAACTTGGTTAGGGTGAGGTGGCTGAAAATGCTAATGTCATTACAGTAAGCCTTTTGTTAAATTTCACCGTTAAATTTTCAACCCTAGTTCAAAAGAAAGTGCATAATTATTTTAAATAAGACTGTGTCATTCCCTCACATAAAAACAATACATGAGAAAACTGTCAAGCCTTTACAGCTTTGCTTCCAAAAACAGGCATGGAATTCCAGCATAGTTAGGTTGTGTGTGCTGCAACTGTTGTAAATTGCCCCGAGTTTGGCCCGCGAAACTTCTGATGATTGGCTTAATGCTTGACAATTTTGTCGCACTGGAAAGTTGCCACTGCCACAAAGCGAAAAAGTTCAGACACTCCCATCATTCTGGCGCACAGTTAAAATCCTACTGAAAATGGGCATCCCAAGATTTTTGGGCCTGGAAACACCCATGGCAGTAAAACACAACGCTGTTGTCAGATAAGCTGTATTGCGCGACCATAGCGGGGGGAAAAAAAAAAGAAAGAAGGCTACTGCGCCCCATTCTGTTAACCATTAAGAGTGGCCCAGCTGACTGAGAGGGTGGCTCTTCTGTCAACATGCTTGTGCGCTCATAAAAGCTGAAAGCTGAAAAAAAAAAGTCTTTTGAATAAGCCCGCAGTAAAGCTGTCAGTATGCTATAGCATCCATGGTTTTTTCTTTGCCTTGCCATAAATAGAGCGCATGTTTCATTGAACTATCCACTTCAGCCTACTGAGAAAAGTGGGTTTTCTGACAAGCTACATTTGGAAGCTTATTCAACAAATTCAGCTTCTTGTTTGTTCCTTTTAGGCAAGCCCAGTTGTGGCAGGGCCGATTGTTGAACTTCACAGGCACTGCAATGCTCTGTTCAACTCAATATCTACAAATGATACAGAGCTGAAGCACAATGAACAGCAGCCTGACAACAAACATGACCAACAAGCCCCGTGGCTGTGCTTCATGCAGCCTTCTCTGTTTCCTGGTCCACCCTGGGCACAACTACCCACCAACACACAGATCTGGCTTCCATTGGCCTTATGCCTAGCCAGTGAGAGACCACAACCACTGCTTCTACTACAGGCAAGTGATGCACAAAGCTCTTGCATCTCATCTCCGACTTACTGTCTGGGTATGCCCGACAATCGGGAGACCTTTCTTTTTTTTTTTGTATCGTGCTGCTATGCATTTAAAAGCATGGGGTAGAAAAAAAGCTTTTTTATAGCGGTACTGTTTAAGGGGGCAGACTGGTCTTGGTCATTTTTTGTTTATTTCTTCAGTGATATTGATCAAGCTTCACTGGATTATGCAGTTTATTCCGCTGATTTGAAATATTTAATTAGTTTTCCTGTAACTCATTTTGTTCCTGAGATAACTTAAGTTTACACCCCATTGTTTAAGGCCGCCAAAGAACAAAAAGTGCTAAATTAAAAGTAATATTTAAGATATGCCAAGATACGTGTGTGCCACATTGCATTTGAGGTTCAGGGTATCAAATTTCTTGGTCAAAGAAGGCTAGTGACGGCATGTTAGCACAAGCTGCTCCCCTTTTGTGAACTATGTGTGCTTCACAAATTTTGCTTGCACAATAATATTGACATTTCTTCAGAACTTGCACATTGTTAATTGCAGGGGAGCAGCAACATGATGTACAATAGATAGCCAGATTACTGCCTGTTATTGCTTTTAAAGAATTCACATGCTAACACATTCTGTCATTTAAGCATCATGCAGTTTGTACTTCATAAGTGATGGTGTGTTAGCATGACATTATTAGCTCTTTTTAACGAAGCATACCTTGAACCTCAAATGTGATCGCTAAGCTTTTTGTTACATGCTTTTGTTTTTTTGTTATGCTTTGTTTTCTGTTTCATTGTTCCTGGTTAGCAGTTTTCTAGCCTTGTTGTCACTTGCTTACAGACATTTTTTGTTAGATCCTGGTTCATGGTTTTCGTTGATATATAATGTTCAGCTTTAGTAGTTTTATAATCGATTTCGTGCTGACCACCCTGTCATTGTTGTTTTTGATTTTTTTTTCCCCTGTTTATGTTCTCAGAAAATCTGCTTTTGCTGGATCGTGTAAAAACCCTTATCCACATTGACAGTAATGCCGAGTGGCTGAGTTACTCCATGGCGTTTCTGCTCTTTTTTGTTATTTGTTTGCCTGCCAATACATTCTCTGCCTTTCGAACAAACACATCAGTTGATAGTCAGCGCTGTGTCATGTATGTTGTTCGTTCTGTTGTCTGCGCTAATCTGCCACAATGTTGATGAACCAACTGGTCCACCTAAGAACCCCAGAGCATTACTATTCCACACATAATGTGGATTCATTATATTTTTAAAAAAGAAAGTACGCTAGTTAAGCCCACAATAAATAATGTATAAAACTACACATTAAGAATATATTTCTCATTTGATTGTATCAATTGCTTTTTTTTTTCTAGAAATAGGTTACAGCAAAAAATTTAAATTTTTGCTTAAATGTGACACTGCAGGCATTCATTTCCCGAAAAAGTGCGAAGCTCAAAGTATTAACTTTTTGATAAAAAGTTACAGTTAAGATTTTTTTTCATAGTTGTGACTTACTGCTCCAGGCTGCCCAATCCCTTTTGGATATTACGAGCGCAGCGCTAGTGCTAAAGATATGAAACTTGGTAATTTAACGCCTGCCCCTCAGTATTCACAGCTCAGTTCTCTTATGTCTGCTTCATGGTAACATTGTACTACATCATTCACACAAGGCCAACATGCACCACTATGCATGTCTGCCCAACGTCATAATTCTCATTGGCTTTGCAATTCCAAACTGTAGTACTTTCAACAGAACATATCTGCATGTTGTTATAATACGAGGAACACTATCAAAACACACATGAAAAAGAAAAAGCACTACCCAGTTTCAGAGCAGTCACCACTGCACCAGCTGTAAAGCTGGTGGAAATTCATTGTTGAAGCTTGTTAATACACAACAGCGTGAACTACAAATTTGTCCCACTCTACTTTTTGTAGAGTGGGACAATTTTCAGGAACAGTAACTTGAAAGTTATCTTTGCAGTATTTTTAATCATAAATATAATTAAACCTTATTTATATGTTAGAATTTCGAGATGCGTTAGCCAGAAAAACAGCTAACTCAAGCAAGGTCACTCCAGTGTTTCCCACAATGAACTTGCAGAACAATGCATATTCTGACAGTATAAAGTAAGAAAAGCCTGAACAAAGATTAGGTTACATGGTAAAGGCTGCAACTTTACGACAAACTTTTTACTGTGATAGACAAAACATAAATAAATTGAACTAAAAATCTCTGTAATCGAAATACCTTTCAGTGCCTCACGGCAGCGGAAGGGCACCCTTTCCACACTGTTGGCTTCTCAGGCAGCCATCCAAGCTAAATCTCACGACACTGCAGATAATGAGAAGCACTTTTTGGCCGCCCTGCTTAGCGTACTCATGCTGTGCGACTACCACACAAGCGAATTCACCAGTGTACTGGTGAGTGTAGTTGAAAAGTAAGTAATGTCTTTACTTCTTGCAGAAGGTAATAAGACCACATAATACTCAATTTCAGAGAGAAATGGTGGAGAGAAACAGGTGCTCGCTTTGTGCAGTTCATGCACAGTAGGTTTATACAGTGCCACCCAGGTGCTGTGCGACTCTGAGAGAGTTTCATAATTCTTTGTGTTATTCTACATGTTAATTGAACTGTAAACCAAGGAAACTTGCCTTCACAAATGACTAGAGCACTAGATGAGCTGTATTTTTGGGTTCAGCACCTGCTTTCTTAAGCCTGAGCTCGAATATACATGACCAAGCTAGACCCAGGCCTACTTCGATCTCATGTTATTTTTTTCTTTTTGTCTAGTAATATGATCTCATCAAAGAATTTTAGAGGAGTGGCTTCAAAGAAACTACAGACATCACGGCACATGCATTCACACTGTTATATAATAATGAGATAGGGTTACAATAAATAACGATAACAAATAATCATATTCATAATGGACCATTGTTATGAATAGAGAATGGATTTTAGGCAAATGCTAATTTGGTCCCTGCACTTCTATCGTATCACTTTTACATATCAGCACGATTTACAGGCTAAGAAGGAGATTTGATAGTGTTTTATAGTGCCTGTGAATACCTATTCCCAGCAGTTAATGCCTAAATATCTCCAAGTGCCTATAAATGTCCATATTTAAATTCAAGGTCTATATAAACATTATACAGCCTCCAGTTTCTCTTCTGGAAGCTGTTTGAGTGCAGTTATTCATGTGACCACGCAAAATTGACTGTCTGGAACTATATGGAATTCAACCTAGTCCTCTAGCTCAACCAACTCCCGAAAACAACTGCTAGCAGCAGTGAAATGAGACACACTAGTGAACATGCGCCATCGCAATGACGTGATGAGAGCAGTTGACGAGTGTGAAACTCCAGAAAGCTTCCAGCAGAGAGGTAATAATAAAAAAGGATAAATGTGATTCGCTAGGGTTTTTATTCTTTGTTTGCAATTTTCTTTTTACGGGATTCGCAACCAGGGGAGAAATTGGCCTTACGTGATCTGAACTGGCCAGTGAAAGGCACGCCTCTCTCCTGGTCTTTTAGCTGTCTGGCTATCTGCTCCTGCTCTGCCCTTGTCAGTCATGGCGAAAAGAAACACATAGGAGAATGTTGATTTGACAGTGAACACTTGACTCACAATGCCATAGAACAAATGGACAGACCGTGCTATGCAAACCATGTGGGACAAAGGGCAATTGCCTGGCTATATTCAACTGTTTCTGCCTGTGTACCACCTTAAACAATAGCATTTTTTGTTTTCCTGTTGCAGATATAAATGCACATATCTTCCTTTGAAACTATTAGCATTTATCCTAAAATTTATTGCGACATTATTTAAGATATTGGAGGCATACAACGTTCTACTACCTTCCTATTTCCGATGCCTTAAATAACATACTTTCTTGGTGTCTAAAAGTCCAGCCTGAGGTTATTAAGGAGAGTAAAAAGGAAATGCAAAATTGGGTTATCACAGTTATATGTGAAGCATTGTAAACAAAAGTAATAAAAGAAAGAGGAAGGCAAGCACATGAGATACAAAACTGATAACAACTCCTACCACTGTACGACACAAATTTCCAATATGTATCAGGTAAGATGGGAAGTGATGAAAACAATGATGACAGTGTCACTAACATGTTGCAAACAGCACAGTTTGACCAGCAAGCTCAATAAATAAGTTAACAGTGGTCTGTGAGATCATCGTCTTGGCTAAGGTATTCCTGACCTGAACAGCCCAAGGAAAGAATGAAAATTAAATGCATTGTCAGTGCAGAAGTATTCTTAGAGTGTAAGGTGGCGTCTATGACGGCACCTAGACACAGCCAGGTCTGAGTGTCCCCTACTATGACAGCCAACTTTTCCAAGCATCCCTGAAGGCATTTTGTCAGTGTCGTCACGTTAATTGCTTTTAAACACTGCCAAAGATCATGTGAGCACAGGCTAGAGCCAGGCATGCTCAAGAATTTTTTATGATGATGATTTGTGTCTAGTACTTTGTAGCGGGTGATTAGGTGGAAAATCTGGTGTGTACAACTGTTGAAAGATTATTTTACCCACAGTAGTATCAAAGAGATTGAGCTGTTGTGCTGCCAACTTAGTAGCACAACATTCTGATGAATCCTCTGCCTATATACAGTAAAAAACACTGTCTCTGAATTGGTCTTTTTCAAATAGTTGATTACACATCATGGTTTTGACATGCTTTTCTCTCCTTCTATGCACAAGTGCACTTCATGTGGTCTATGATTTGTAACAGCGGAGCTACTCTGGACTGACTCTTCCCTGTTCAGTGTCACACGAGCAGATCACTCAACCTGGAGAGGAGGGTACTTATCATGCATGAGCAGAGCCAGGCCATGTGACCAAGAGAGAAAGGGAGTGGACAGTACTATAAAGAACCGGAGCCAAGTCATGGGACCAGGAGAGGGGGGTATCATGTAGAAGTAGAGCTATGTCACGAGACCAGGGGAGGAGAATATCATGCAGGAGCATAGCCAGGTCACATGACCAGGAGAGCAGGGTAATGATGATATCCTGTAGGAGTCGATACAGGTAATGGGACTCGGAGAGGGGAGCACAGCCATGCCATAACGCCTGGGGTATCACACAGGAGCATAGCTCTATAACGTGATCAGGAGAGCAGGGGGAATGATGGTATGTTGCAGGAGCAGAGACAGGTCACGTGACTAGGAAAGGAGTGTATCACGCAGGAGCGCTGCCAGATCACGTGACCAGGAAAGGAGGGGACATTATCATGTACGTAGGAGCAGAGCCAATTCATGGAACTAGGAGAGGAGGGTGTCACACAAAAACAGAGCCAGATCCCGCAACCAGGAGAGGAGAATGATATCACACAAGAGTAGGGCTAAGTCATGGAACCAGCAGAGGAGAGCATCATGCAGAAGCAGAGCCAAGTGATGGAACCAGCAGAGAAGGGTGTCATGCAGGAGCAGAGCCAGGTCATGAGACCAAAAGAGGAGGGTATCCTGCAAGAGCAGAACCAGGTCGTGAGACCAGGAGATGGACGTATCACACATGAGCAGAGCCAGGTCACGTAGGTATCGCACAAGAGCCGAGCAATGATGGCATGGAACAAGGAGAGAAGAGTGTCACGCAGAAACAGATACAGGCCATGTGACCAGGAGAGGAAGGGAGAGGGTAGTAACAGAGCAGCTGCCCCTTGGCGGTTACACAACCTGTGGGTCAGGTAAGAGACAAGCAATTGAAGAACATGCCGGGGGAGAGCAATGAGGAGAGCAATGAGAAGCAGGCCCCAAGCTTCAGAGCACAAAGCAAAAGCCAAATGGAAGTGAAGGGAAGCGGTCAACCCTGAGGTTCAAGAGAAGTATGAGGGAACTGCAAAGCAAAAAGGCAAAGTACACCACAGCAAAAGATACAAGAACCACAGTTAAACAGGAACAACAACACCACAAATCAGAGCAAAAACAGGCACATCATATGCAGATACAAAACACAGGTTATCACAGCACAACATAGAAAAACACAGCAGGAATGACCACAGCTTCCTTGTCTCTTCAGATTTCACTACATGTGACTGGGTAGAGTTTTTTTTTTTTAGAATCTTTTTGTCCGTAACTTGTTAATATAAATTTATCGACTAAGTATAAAAGAATAGCAATGAGAGTTGAGTTTGGAGAGTTACAATTACTTCAAAAGTCTCACTAAGATGTCTTTTTTTTTCAACTTTTCATAAAACTTGAATACTTTAGTGATAGAACTCCCTGACTAAATGTTACAATCGTGTCCTGCTACTAAATTCAAATCAAGGAAATTACCATAAAAAAACATAACCAAAGCATCAAAATATGCACAGGTTGGATGGGTGGCGGGAGTTTGAATCCAGCTCGCTCGGCAAGGCTACATCAGAGGTAAGGTGCCAGAGTTTATACAACCACTGTATTTTGATGCACATAGTTCGTTCCAGAGGGCCTGGTGGTTTCAGTCTCTGCAAAGTTTGCTGATGCCTTATTTGCACAGGTATGAGGATTCCACTCATAGATCGACCGGCAAATTTTACAAACATTCCAAATTCTGTTCCAGTGTTGTAGCAAGCCTCGCAACGCCTATCCTCACAAGTGCACGAGAGAAGCAGTGCTTGTGGCTGCACCAAATGTGGAAGGAGATTGAGCAGCACTTCAGGACTTCGCGTCATGACCTACAGGGTAAGATAGCGCTTTGAAACACACAGTTAGAAATAGAATGCAGTGCAAAGCAAGTTTTGTGGCATGACAGCAAAGCGTACTAATGCAACACATTGCATAGAGACTAAAAGCAAAATGAGGTGAGAAAATACGTAACCGTGGATGGAATTCAAGCCTGTAAGACACTCGTTGTTTAGGGCTTCGGGTTTCAAATATACTATCTGAATAAAAATCCGATAAACACTCGCTGGTAAAGTTTTTGAGAATTTGGATTTATCCGAGAAACTCTCATTCTAAAGGAGAATTCTCGTTCAGAGGGCATTCCCAAAGCTGAGAATAATCAAAAGGAGCACAACTCCATCATATACAGCAACCTCGTAAAGTATCCTTGCGTCTATCACAATGTCTATTACAATTTTTAATCTCATCACATGTTCTTCTGCACAGCGCAGTTTTTCACTACATATACGTGTTTTTTCCAAAATAATAATAAGTTGAAAGTCAGCGCTTGTCTTGGTCAGCTCTCTTTTATTCTTTAGTGTGTGTTTTCCCGTACTGTCAAAATTTTCTCAACAGTGATATGTCCTTTATTTTTTATAAAAATGATGGAGGGGGCAGAAAAATCTGAGAGTAGCTTGCCTAGCTCCTGCCCTCTAAAAGCACTTTTTGGCAAGTTTACAGCAGTGCACATCAACAGAATTTCAACACAGCAACTCAACAGTAAGTGAAGAAAAAATAAAGAGGATGTAAAAATAGGATTATCAACAACAATGCAACACATATTCATTAAAAATAAGTTTGATAAGAACACACTGCCACTCCTCAAAATAGCAAAATCAAACACATAATTCTGAAAAATTGGGAATTTATGAGAAATAAACTGCAATAAAACCCAAATTTCCTCCAGAAAAATAAACCACAATAACCACACTTTGAATAACTCCAAAAACACGGAACCCTAATCATGAGCAATGAAAAATGACCGATTTATTTTGCTCAACTTGGTGACATACACTTGATAAGTGCTCGAGCATAATATCATCAGCCATTTTTCTTCTTTGCCTGGCTTGCAAATACTTTAAAAGTACACGTTTACCTGCCTTTTTTTTTTCTTGAATGTGACAATGTAGCAGCATAAATTACTATCTTGCAGGGGAGAGCCTGTTGGTGGAATTGCTCTCATGTACCATGGCTGTGGTGCCAACTCTTCCAGCACCCCTGCTGGCCTGTTTGACCAGACTGAGTGAACTGGCTGCCAAAGTGGGCGTGGTCTCCGCTAACAACTCAGCTGGCATGCAGGTACAGTAGATTAAATGCAGCAAGATACAGCATATGGTTTGGCAGAGATTGATTTCTCTTGAATGCACACCAACAAGCGCGTTGAAGAGTTTTAAAAGAACACAAAAAGAAAAATGATTTTTCTCTTTTCAGTAAATTAGAATTACACGATACTGAAAGTACCACTCTGACTGAACGAAGATGCCTAGAAAGCAAGAACACACATAACTAGAAAATATAGGTTAGGTAGTGCCTGTTGCCTTGCGAATTTCCAGCACCAGCTTCATGCCATGAACCTTGCCGCGATGGTATAGTGGCTAAGAGACTCGGCTGCTGACCCGCAGGTCGTGGAATCGAATCCCGGCTGCGGCGGCTGCATTTTTGATAGGAGGCGAAAATGCTGTAGGTCCGTGTGCTTAGATTTGGGCGCACATTAAAGAACCCCAGGTGGTAAAATTTCCGGAGCTCTCCACTACGGTGTCTCTCATAATCATATGGTGGTTTTGGGATGTTAGACGCTACATATCAATCAGCTTACCATGATATTGAAAACATAGATTCTGGCAGCGTCTGTCAGAGACTACAAGACTGTTTGTCGCTAGAAACGATTTACATTGTGTTACTAAGGTCCCAAAGTCTTGACATAACAAGCTTCAGAAAACTTCATTGTGCCAATGTTGCCGAAATACAGAAGAAATACTGAAATTTGTGACGTCACAGTGATGCTCATGTGCTGAAGTTTCCATAAAGAATCAGGAAAAAGAAGCTTTAGGCTTCGTTAAATCTTCTTCAAATCATCATCATCATTTTCAGCCTGTTTTGATTCACTGCAGGACGAAGGCCTCTTCCAATGATATCCAGTTTACCCTACCCCGTGCGAGCTGATTTCATTTTATCCCTGTGAACTTCCTAATTTCGTTACTCCATCTAACTCGCTGCCTTCTCCAAATACGTTTTCCATACCTTTATAACCAATCTGTAGCTTTGTTTTGATCAAATTTATTTTGAAGCCTACTTCAATACTTTTTCATTGTAATTCTTCAATGATTTTTTTCAATTTGTTGTTATTGCTACTGAAGAGTGTTATGTCATATGCAAATTGTAGGTTGTTGATCCATTCTTCTCTGTTGTTTCTAAAGTTCTAGAGTCAATACCATAATTACAAACTGCTCTTTCTCCATATTGTTTTTTTTTCCCCTACTTTCGCACTGAAGACTGCCATGATTATGATGCACTGGGAGTGTCCTTTTCTCATTGCTCGTTCGATGTCGTCGTATAGCTGTCCTTCTCTGTCACCGTGACTGGGTGTGGAGGCGTATGCCTCCACTAACTTCAGTTTGTGTCGCCTCTTCTGTTTGATCATGAGGCTTGCTACCCATTCATTGATACTGGCAAGTGAAGGCCTCTTCAGTGCTGCTTATGAGGTCTTTGAGAATTAGAAAAAATAGAGCAGAACTATTAGAAAATTAAATGAAATAATTAGAAAAATATAAATAAAGATACTGGCAAAAGCAATGAAATTTGAGTTTTGAAACAGTAAGTTATCTGTCAAAACTGATTCAATGTTTCACTTTACTGCTCCTTTGATGAGTATTCTGTAGCAAATTAAGTTTTTCAGTTTAAGACACCAGAAACGTGTATCTTTTGTCTACTATGCACGTATGTAGAAGGCATGGCTTTCCTATATGCGCAGGTGCTGCTGTCCACACTGTACGATATTCTTCATAGCTCCACACAACTGAATGAGCTCTTTGGATCTCTGCTTGATTCGGAGATAAGTGTAGAGTGTGCTCACATTGCAAATGAGATGGCAGCACATGCACTGCAGCTTACCCAACGCCACGAAGACAGACTGCTCGGAAGTCCCGACTGTGATCAGAGAGTCCTCAACTGTATGGATCTGCTGGCTGGATTACTTGCTGCAGAAAGGTAAAAGCTCATGGCCAAAAAACATTCACTGATTATTAGGGCGATGACAGACACTGCAGGAGATTAACTGTGATCACCTGCAATCCTGCAATGTGCATGAAAGCCTTAGTTGATGGGTGTTCTTGCATTCTGCCAGTACTGATATTGCAATGTAGGGGCCCTATAGAATGCAATAACATATTATAACTACTAGGCTTTCATTGAGGATACCTTGTAGGAGCTAAATTCTGTGTCCCCATTCATGTGCCTCTGCAAACACTGACTTTCGACAACTAGCCGTGTGAAAAATAAAGACAAATTTGAAGAAAATGCATGCAAATATTAATTTGTAGTGAGCAACATTTTAAAGAGACCCAGCACCTATGGCTGACAAATTACCACCGTTTGCAAGACATGAGAAACATCTTGTTAAAGACAAGCAGCAAGCTGGTCTAACAGAAATAGCTTCACTGTGTCATTGTACAAAGACACAACTGGCTGTGCAATAAAACAATGACTGGCAAGCTGAATGCAGCTGCAGTGCTTATCATGCATGGATATGTCATGCAAGAATTTAATATAATAAGAGCTGACAACCTTTACACATTTCGCTCATAGCACACCCTTTACTTCTAGAATAGGAAGCTCTCTAACTTCGTTAGATCACTGTCATGCCTAGAGCGTCGTGTCATCCTAGTTCCCACAAAAAAAAAATAGACATTTGGTCCGTACTGCGTTTTTGCACTACATATAGATACCAAGCCTTGGCCTACAACGTTCCCACAACTCTTCGTTGTGGGAAAGATCCGCAACATTGCAAGAAATCACAATCACCTGCAACATGAAACAACTTCACTCACATTTCTGCTCTCTGGCTTCATAGGAACCTGTGCAACAAGCTATTCTCACTGTCAACATAACACTCTTTAGAGTTTAGTCTAGTGTAAATAAATTGTATCATGTTACATCTTGTTATCTTCGCACTGTATTAGCGATATGAATGTATGTCTGTTCACGTAAAAAGTATATTTGGATACTTTTAAAGTTTTTAAGTGCCAATGTATTCGATGGTCTATGCACGGTGAATATTTATTTTTAGATACCCCCTTTTTTCTTTTACACATTATAATAGGTGTCTTAAAACAATCAGTTGAGAAATCATTCTTAAATTATTATAGCATTCGTGTTTTATATTGTAGTTCTATGTTATGTACTTGTATTCATTTCCGCACTACTGCCATGTGTATGTACGAAGTCACAAGGGCCTTTGTCAAGCCGTTCTGATGGCTTTTAGCCTTAGCAACATTCCTGTTTTGTCTGGCAAACAAAAATTTGAATTTTAATTTGAATATGCCAAAAGGTTACTGCTAGTATTTGAACAGTCAGTAGAGAGAGGCAGCTAGGTTAAGGCTGTCACGTAAGTTCAAGTTGGTTTTTCTCCAACTGAATCTCAGGCACCCACAACAATATCACAGTGAAGCTGTATGACTTGGATACTGGAATTCGTTCATTTCCCCCGACATTTTATGAATAAAAGCAAAATATGCTTGTCTTTGCATTTGTGTTTTTCGCTAGATGGCTTAACGTTTGGTTGGTAACAAAATAAAAGCTTCACATTCTTCATGAAAATGTTCACTCTGGCTAAGTATCATTTTTTATTGCTGCTAAATTCAGCTTTGACATTGACATGTTTCAACTTATAGAACCAGGGACACAGAGATGCCAGTATACCAATATCTCTGCACTCAACGACCTTAACTGCAGGTGAAAATTATGCACACAAGATGCACTTCAATACAAATTTCATTTAAGGGAAGCACAAAACAATTGTCAAGACCACATTACAATTGATAAGGAGTCTTCGTACAATGACAAGCACATTGCATTCACTGCATATGTTTCCCATGAGGCGAATTCTACACAAGGGTGACGCATGTAGAGGACCCGCATAGCAACTGATTTGTGTTGTGATAACACTAAGAGAAGGCCATGCATCGTTGAGGTTGTGTGGACATGGTGATACAAGTCATTTACCTGCACAATAATTGTCTTGCTGTCAATTATCGTGCATAGTCCATTGCGCAGTAGTTCAAGGCTATGCATTGGTCTATAATATCGATTGACAGCTTCACAAGGCAGACTTCTTTGAAGCAAAGATATATGCCCCCCCCCCCCCCTACCTTTTTTTTCCTTCCAGTTCCTACTGCAAGAACAACTCATAAGTTCAGTGTTGCCACAGATATGATGTATGCTAAAGAATGTGCCTGTAGAAATGCTTGTTTGATCTGAACTAACTGTGATCCCCCTTATTGTGAAAAGCTACACATTTTGCTCTCTCTCTCTCTCTCTTTTTTTTTTACTGCTTTGTAGCTAGTGAGTGCATGCATTATATTTACATTCTAAACAGGGATGCATCTAGGGAAGAAAGCCTCTCACAGACAGCCGAAGATATTACTCTGGATCTAGTCGCAGAACAGCTGATGAGGACTCCACAAGGTATTGGACAAGCATATAACACATTAAATTCCTTGAGAAAAAAAAAAATGTTGACCAGCACTTGGCTGAACTAACGTGAAGATGTTCTAATAAAAAGAACATATCACTTTTATCTATATCACAGCTATAGTGATGATAGTTAAACAAAACAATTAAAAAGTAAAATTTATTATTTATAGAGCATTTCTACTGTAAACCCTTAATTCTTTTATGTCTGTACACCATAAACAAACGAGGACTGTGACTCTAATGTGATAATTGATGAGCACGCACTCAAGAATAACATTTGCAAAAGCATGATCAGCAGTCAAACTGAGCTGTAACCACTGTTTAACATATATTATTACAGTTTTATCACAAAATACATATAAAGTCGTGTCAGCTGAAGAAACAATGCTTTGTTACTCATCCCACCAATACTTATATAAACGGCACCATTTCACAGGACCACAGAACATCGAATACCTGCACACTGTGCTTCACCAAAATGAGGCCTGGATACGACACACCCTAGCCATCCCAGCATTGGACCACCATTCAGTTACACTGCCCTTGCACAACGCACTTCTTCTCGGGAGCAGTCGTCAGGCAACAAGAGAACCAAGGTTCGACCCTCTACAAGCTTACAATGCCTGCATGCGCATTGTACAAGAATGCAACAAAGTACAGACTCCTCAATAAAACTGTGCATTAAAAATACTGCGAGTTGGTGCTATGAAAACTAAATTTTAGCGCACAAAGATTCATAGAGAAAAAATTACCTTGGTTGTACACAAAGTGGACTTTCTCTGCAATGAAGACAATCTTCAAACACTAATTACTTGACAAATTAAATATTAGCTTTCAAACAAGTTCTTCATTCGTGAATTGGGGCCTAAAGTTTGATTACAATCACATTGTTATAATATTGTTAAAACATTGTTGTCAGGTCCTGAAACATACCATTTGGTCGTTTTCATTGTGCTGTGCCCAGCATAATTACTATATGTTCACTTTCCTTTACTCGCAGTGCAGTGTACAATATATATATATATATATATATATATATATATATATATATATATATATATATATATATATATATATAACTTGAGAAGCTTGCCTTCTGTGAAATCTACACGAGTTCCCTTTGCTGGTTCTTGCTGGAAAAATTGCACATCACAATTTTTCCTTTTCAAGAAGATGCTTTCACTGTGTTTTCATAGTCTCTATTTGCCATATACAGAGCTAAGGCAAATTCAAAGGCCAAACAGCTCCAGGGAGAACATCAAAAAAGCTATAAATTTTAGTTACACTATATTGTATGTCAACAATGACTTGATATGATTTTAAAGAAAACACACACACCTCTTGCAAATCGTGCCCTCCCGAGGCTGCTGTTTTTCCTCAGTTGTAAACTGCAGAGAACAAGCGATGAATTACCAAGCACATACATTTATGCCTCTAGTCTATAAGGGTTATCTAAAAAGTGTGAATAGTGCCTGCCAATGAGGTTTAGTATAGACAAGTTTGTCACATGCATCTCTTGTCCTCATATGCTGCTGCAAGTGGTTCCACTCAATGATCCGATGTTTGTGTCTAATAAGAGACCATTGCCAATGTCAAACTTCAGCCTCTTGAACAGCAGATACCACCTTTAAAGCAGCACTTTTTCAGAGCAGACAAATCCCTATAATGAAGGGCCTTATTCACAGGATGCAGTCTGGAGTAAAGGCCGAATGGCCTCTGTGTAAATACTTCAAAGGCTTTTTATTCACTGAATCTATGCAGTTGAAAAGCTTAATGGGGTGATTTATTTTGATGCCATGACCAATCTTGGATCTCGACAGAACCTTTGCCATTGATTGGAGGGCAGTGCCAGCAAAGCCAACAATACAGCACACAATGGTGGTTAATGAAAAAAGTTGATTACAATAGTAGAATCACATAACAAGGTTCATAAACAAGCCTGGGGGAGCAGTTGCGTGTGTCATTAATGTTGTGCAGTGAGCACTGAATACCACTCATACAAGTAAAGTGATATGTACAGACGTGCCTTTACCAACAGACGTGCTCCATATCCAGCGACAGCAAGATAAACAGAGATAAATGACTAGAGAATGGCTTGTTCTAAGACATGGATAGTTGAAACATGCTCACGGTAGATGGTCGGGTGCTGTGTATGTTGACCAGCACCAAAACAGTAACTCCATTGCTACACATGCAAATAGAAATCTCTCCACTCTGTCCGAAGTAATGGTTCTTACATTTTATTCCCTAAGACTGCTCATGTGCTTCTCGTGACCTGTTTTATTTGTTTGTTTATTTAACACAATCGTACAACAATGCCTTATGGCAAGAGTAGGTGGTAACCGTACATAGCAAGCAGGGTTCCACTTTTACAGAAAATTTCCTCACTGATTTAGTAATATTGACTGATATAGTAAGATACTGAAAGGGCAAAAGTGAAAATAGGTGACTAAATAAGTGAATGACTACCACAGAATGAGAGGAACATTTGATGCTTTATTTGTTTCAAGTAAAAAGGGAGAGGCCAATAGCAGAAAGCTTAACAATGTGAATATATGAAACCAAATACCTAGTTGCAGTTAACAAGAGAACACATAAAATACAATATTCAGATAATTGACCTATTAGAAATTAACAGCAATAAAATAAGGCCACCTATAGCCCATCTCACAAGCTAGTTGCAGCACCGTGGAGGATTCAAGGCTGCTTGGCCAAAAAAAAAAAAAAAAACAGCAAAAATCCTGAGTCATGTGTCTGCAATCATATGCTAATAGTTGAGTAAAGCGAGCACATAGAATCAACCGACACTCTCAGTGTACAGTAAAATAGTAGCACTCGGAACTTGTCCAAGCTGGTTCTTCCACCTCAAGTTCATGAAATGGGCCTTTTCCTAGTCCGAACAGCACACAAAGTGGAGATCGCCGTAATCAAAACTGGTGGCCCTTCGATTCCGAAAATTTTCATGGCATGCCGGTAGGCGATCTCCTGTAAGCCTGCGTACATGCCTATCTTTCGGGCAAACATTTGCCTGTTTGTGGCACCAGATATCGCTTAATCCCTGCACGTCGTCATGCTTTGGCCACCAAAAATATGGTACGTGCCTCCTCAAGGCCAGCGCGCATGCGCAGACTACCAACTTGGAAAAGGCCTATTGTTTTTATACACTGTATGATTCCTAAGTTATAAACCAACGCTTGTGTATGCGTTACATTCGTGTTTCAGGTGCATAGACAGCAATGCATTATTGATTATATAGCAGTTTCCAAGGTTTGTTCTCAAATTCCTAAGGACAAGGCTCAGCACGTGTTGCTGAACAAACAGATTATCTCAATCACGAGGACAAAACGAACGTGACACTTAACCTCGGTGTGAGATGACACAAAGTGATAGTTAATTTTACCATTTATTTACTGCTGTCTGCACAGTGGATAAGTAGCAAATGCGAAATTGAACTGAAGCACACGGTTGCGTAAAGAGGTGACTTGTTTGTGCATCACATTTACTGGCAGTTGCTGATACACAGTTATTAAAGGCATATGACGCACATTCGAATCGTGATTATTTTATCAGATATTGCTGTTACACAGCAAGCGCCAAACACATTGTTGCCCCAATCTTGCCAATTATAAGGCAATTAAATATAGAACTAGCCAATTATAAGAAAGTTAAATATGTTTTACTGCAAACGCATGTAGCTCACTAACACCTCACCACTTCTACCATGTTGAAACCAGCTTGAGAAATTGAGTAAACATAATCCAGAGTGAACAGATTCAAAAAATTTTTGTCGCTCTCAAACAATCCGGCAAAAGGCAAGTTGCAGTCACACTGCAAAAGATAGTGTATTTAAGGATACTGTCACCCATAGACTTCACTGAGCAGACAGGACAGCATTGTCCGGAAGAAATCCCAAGCAGTGAACACATAAATGAGTAGTACATCGTAGAACACAAGCTTTGAAGTTACTACTTAAGAAAGTCGGCACCAGCTTGTACAGCAATTCGGTGCTGGATTAGCATAATAATTCTATTCCAACTAAACAATCCTGTATGCTTTGTTATGAACCTGAGCAGCATTTTGCCTGAGTTACTGTCAACATGAATAGCTGCAGCCTAGAGCAATAAATACTAATGGAGACACTTTGTGCAAAACAATCGTTATATTATTTTAACAACCCGTATCCTATTTGAGAAATAACATAGTAAGTTCAGTGAAGTGGGAGTGAGTAATAAAAAACTTAGCTGAAACAGAGCACAACAAAAACGATGTAGCATGTGACTGTGCTGTAAGTGTGTAACAAATGTGATGTGGTTAACCAGGTCAGCGAAGTGAAGTAAGCAATATCGAAAGTGAGAATCTGCTAAGACACTCAAGTGCGGATGTGGCACACAAGCGAGGCTGACTGTGCTTTTTGTATGATTTAAGACTGAAAGCGACACGGCAGAAGACAAATGTGTTTTGAATAAGGAATGCATGTAGTGCAAGAAGTCAAACAGTTTATTGAATTAAAAGCAAGGTCTAGGCAGAATTGTGAATGTGACAGTTACTTCTCAACCATGTATCTGACTGCTCTATGAATTTCCAGTAATGCCTTGCATTGTGACAGGCTTGAGCAAAAAAAAAAAAAAAAACTGAATGACCATTCAACGATCAAGTTGATATGTTATACACATAGCCATAAATGATTCAATAGTGTAAGTTGTAATTTTCCTAGTACACTACACACTGTTCATTACAGGCTTTAAATCAGGTATGACTGTATAAGCAAGCATATTATGCAACTATCAAGACTTTTTGGCAAAAGTTGCAAAAGTAGCAAGAGCATCAAGACTGTCTTCAAAAATCAGCACAGAGCAAACAAAGGACAGAACAGGGAACAAAGACAAGCGCTTGTCTTTCTTGTCTTTTATCCACATTGCACAGGTTACTGAAGATGGATTACCAACTAGCCCAATCTCGAACATTGAATTAAGACGGTACTCGTGCTTTTCGCTCTTCATACCTTGTAAACAGAACCAAGTACAAAATATTGCATACACTTAAGTGCATGACAATCAACTCAGTGGAACTAGGTGTTTCAGGAATCGGGGCGCATCTGCCTTCTTATGCTGTACTGTTTCAACTACCAAAGCACGATCTCAAATTTTTAGTATATTACAGATAGCCACATCATGCCTGTTTGCTTAACTTTAGTTCTACGAAAATATTCTATAAATTTACACTACACAAATAAGCTAGTGCAGGAAAGTTCCAAGAATTGTTTTCCTATCTTTCACAGTACTTTTTTGTTAGACCATATAAAAACCTTCAAAAGTAATATTTCAATTAACACTAGGGCTATAATACATTGGCCACGATAAAATCCCTCAACGCATAAAACATGCAGGCAATAGAGAGGCAAGAACACATTCAGACTTCCAAAGGCTCTGCAACACCTTTTCAAAAAAATCATCGAATGAGTTCATCAAGAAAGTTTACTGCCACACTAATTGACTGCTGCAAACTTTTCAGCATCCATAAAATACGAATGAAGTTTGAGAGATTTGCTGCACGCTTTTATCGCTTTCTCTCTTTTTTTCACACCTGCCAGCATGGTGAAAGCTAGGCTAAAGGGATATGAGGAAGACAAGAAGCTCCGTTCATTACACTGCACGTGTCAAGAGCTTGAGCGCTTTCTTTTTTTTTTTGATAGAATTCACGGCTTACTATTAATATGGTAGTGAGCGCAGGTGGCCATGATAACTCGACAACTCACCATGCTTAAAATCAGCCAATGGCCGTGGGTTTATCGCATACTCATTTGGGTTCATGGCATCATTTGTTGAGAGAAGAGCGAGCGATATTTAGTTGACTTTGAGAAATAACAGTGAAGTCCGGGCTGTGTGCTATGCCTTTGGCTCACGTGTTCTCACAAGCCTTGACTATTTATCAGCAGCGTTTACCGACCATGCTGTGTTGCAGGACCTCTTAAGTTCAGAGCACTTTCAAACAAGCAGAACCTGTGATGTCACAGCAGGTTGTGTGTTGTACTTAGAACAGCTTATATCAACAACATCCTGAGTAAAAAAAAAACACCCTGAATAAAGACCACGACCCTGTTTTTTAAGCGGCTATATTACCACAAACATCAGCAAGCACAAGAGTGAAAGCTCAGCAGCAAGAGGAAGACAGTAAAGGGAACAAGCACAAGTGTTATGGTAGTGCAGTTGGGAGAGAAAATATAACATTTATGCAATGCTACAGTGACATTATGGACTTTCAGCACAAATGAGCTTCAGTTGTATATCCTGGAGAATTCATGGTCATGTTCATGACTGATTGTAGTAAGATTGAAAGACTTACAATAAAAATGGCAACGCTTTGCTTCCCTTACTGTAGCTGCAACGTGCACAGAGCTACTGGACTAACCACACATTTGATGAGTGGTACGCTGCATGCCATCGGGAAATAGTATGCAACATTATTATTTATTTCGAGGATGCCCCAATATGTCATGACCACACCATGTGCACGCATACACGAGCACATCCACACCTTTAACCTTTTAGCCCTGTGTTGGACAATGAAACATAAGCATCCTACTTTCTATTTCACTGGAGCACTATAACTCCATGGCAGAGCTACGACTATTTCTAACTGTTAAATATACTAGAATGTCCTGCATTAATTTTCATGGAGGCCTGGGACGATAAAATCGTGCTACAAGTCACATTTGTTTATTTTTTTAACTTCCACCGGTTTGAATTTCTCGTGTATCTATGCGAGGTACATCAAAGAAGAAGAGGCGCCTGGCAGTAAGCTTTGCATTTTTCGCTACAATAGTACTTACAAACAATGAACAGCCACATCTTGTGGTATACAACATGTTTTACAAAAAGCTATTCAATTCAACTGTTGCACTTTAGGCCTAGCTTGACGAAAGCATGGGACCTGTTCAGTCAATACTGCTTTTGTTTTTTCTACACATAAGGAGCAATGACGCAGGTGGTGTACATCGCAAGCATGAAGAAAGGAAGCAGAAAATGAAACGCCAAAGAGTGCCCATCTCTTTTCCTGCTTCCTTCCTTCATGCTCGTGCAGTACACTACCAGTTCGATATGAATTGACTAGCCTGCACGAAGGTCTTAATATGACAAATGGTACACAGCTTAAGAAGCACTTCAATTATTGTCGATGTTGTCAGAGAGCACTAGCAACAGCAATAATGAGGAGTAGCAAAGAAGTATGGAAACTGCCTAGCATGTGATGAATAATTCAAGAACGACAAAGATTTTGAGGAATGATTTCCCACTGGCTGCTTGAGGATGAATAAAAATAACAATATCCATCATACATGTGCAAGCAAGCAAAAAACCACCATTTCAATATCAGATGCTGAAAATGGTACAGAAGAGCTTACTAGAATGAGTCTACAGTAAGAAAACCTGCACCCAGGTATCACAGTCTTAAATCCTCACATAGGCTTAGTCACAAGAGCATTACCCTCGCTGTGTTCATACTGTTTTTCTACCATGAGCTGCTGGATCACCGCGTTGAGCAGATGAATCGTTATGCTGAGCAGACGCACTGAAAAGGATGGGTGCAACTGACACATGGAGAGCTTGTATTGGTATACTGATTCCAATAATTGTCAACCGAATGCATCAGCTTCAGGTGTGCTGGTGTTCCGACATCAAACTGATTGCACCTAGAGGTGACTGCCTCCGGCAAGACACATGTGTCCCACTTGATCAATGTGACCAGAGTGGAAAGTGGCACATACAGGTCACACGTTTGTACAAGTATCACTTTCAGCTTTTGAGTTTCTTTTTCTGTCATGAAGAAGCGAAGAGCAGCTCATTTAGAATGTTTAAAACATTGACACATTCGTTCCCTTGTGTCCAACAAAGTTAAGCAGCACTAATTACATGTATTGGCCGAATTTCTAATGCCTCGCAAGATGTAAGCAAAGAAAATGAGCATACAACAGAGTGCAGTTACAGTATAACTTAACAGTTCTTTTAATAAGTGTTCATACAATCATAGTTAAAAAAAGAAACTGCAGGCTAAGCATATGACGGGAATGAAAACGAATGCAATATACAGCTCTTGGCTATATTCATGCATGTTCCATCACAGTCCAACTGTATGAAACTGAAACATGTTGCAAGTGTGAAAGGGAAAGGAACTGCTCCTTGAAGAAAGACTACTGATGGATTTTAAAATAACTGACAACTGATACTACTATTAAAACTTTGAGCCCTATTTCAAGGCAAGCATCCTGCATCTCAATGCTATTACTAATTTATACGAGAAGCTCTACACGTAAGAACTTCTCAACCATCAGCATATTGTCAAGCTACCCTTGCTACACAGTAAAGTGGACAAGGACGTTTCAGAAATCGAGTTTAACTAGCTGTCCATGTCAGCTGCACTTTCCTAGTACATGTAGTCTTTGAAATTGCAAAAGAAAGAAAGTGGGCACGCATCAGCACTTTGTGCCAGTAGCCTGCTTCGTTGTCAGTATCAGTAAAAATTAAAAAAAAGTAACTGTCATGGCTCAAATACTGCATTATATCACTTCACTGGCAGCAGTGCAGTAAAATTATTGCAAAGATACTTTGACTTTATGCCAAAGAAAAAAAAACTTATGGTCACACTTGACAAATCACTGAGTTGGAGCCATTAGTATAGCTATAACTATTTAGAATCCCTGACACAATGCTTGGTCATGCTTTCATGACTTCGTACATTTAAATATCACACAAAAGCATACCAAAGTATGCAAGCTGAAAAAAAGAGAAAAAGGTCTGAAGCAGTGGGTAGTTGATGTTGCCTACTTGCAAGGGTACAGTGTGCTGAGAAAGAACCAGCAATAGTAAAAGAATCCACTCATATAACACAACTAATACTACATAAAATGTCAATGTCTCCACAGACAACTTTTATGCAACAAATACTTCTGTTACACCTTCATAGAGTTATGTGTTACATAATTGTAAGAACTGGCATGCAAAATGACACCACAGCAAAGCATAGAGCCCTAATATAGACATGGATCATAGACCTTGTATTTAGTGTTCATTAAGGACCCTGCTAAATTCTTAAAACTCCACATAAATATCTATACGAGTTTAAACAATGGATCTAGCAATAACAAAATAGCCCCACCATCATCACTTCATTTATATTGTAATTTGATGGCAATAGTAATATCTGTGGTTTTCTATGCTAAAACCGTGATATAGAGGCACGATGTAGTGGAGTGCTTTTTCGTCCACCTGGGGCTCTTCAAGGGGCACCTAAACCAAAGCAACCACGCCTCAAGCATTTCGCCTCCACCAAATGCTACTAAACCGCCGCTTTCAGTTCAGCAGCCAAGCACTGTGACCACCGTACCACCATGGCTGCCTGAAATTTGATGTTGGTGCAATCTGGATACACATGCCTGCAATCATTAATCAGCTGTTGTCACTCTGAAGCGAAATTGCAAGCCACCAGTGCCACTGCCCAGTACAATGATTTATTGATTGATATGTGGGCTTTAACGTCCCAAAACCACCACATGATTATGAGAGATGCCATAGATGAGGACGCCAAAAATTTTGACCTCCTGGGGTTCTTTAACGTGCACCCAAATCTGCGCACATGGGCCTACAGCATTTTCGTCCCCATCGAGAATGCAGCCACCACAGCCGGGATTCGATCCCGCGACCTACGAGTCAGCAGCCGATTACCTTAGCCACTAGACCATCGCGGTGGGGCTGTGCCTCGTACAAGTGAGCTTTTACAGCTGAGTGTGTTAAGCCCCAAATGTTGCCCCATTGTGCCAAACTGTGCACACTTTGAACCAACATCAATTCCCTGGCTTCCACTGCAGTCTGCAGCAAGCTTGCATTGCAACAGCCAACTTGTTTTTCTTTGAAGCGACCTAATGCAAGCTAATTTACACACACATAACACAACCTTGAGAAAATGTATACTTGAGCAAAAACTTCTGGCATCCACCACACATGTATTACCACACTTGAGTGATGGTATGTTTTTGTCCCATCACAAGCCACGTTTGCAGTGAGAGGTTGTTGTTCTTTACTCATGATATTCACTTACCCCTTACTGAACTATTGTGCGAACTGCCAGAACAGAAGACCCTGATGGCGCTATCCACATAGGAAGTGAGCAGGGGCTGAATTCACCCAATGGCTTTCAATTACAAATCTGCTCTGAATGCTCATTACCACCTGTGCTACTGAACTCTGTTTACAGGCCTGCCCAAAAAGCAGTTTGTCCCATGCTTGGTGCCTAGGTGCTTGGCAACATCGGCCACAGTGGTTCAGCTGTTACTGCTGGGATGTGGGCATGGTACGTCGCCTTTGTCTCGGTTTGGTGACAGGCATCCGCAGAAGCCGTCCAACCCAGCTGGGCAGGGGACCTGGTTGACTGGCTGAATCCGGATCGCTAGTGCTCAACGGATCCCAGAGGCATCGATGTTCAGGGCTGAGGAAATCCTCAGAAGTGCACGTTGCTCTGGTAGCTGTGGTCAGCTTAGCATCCTGCCAAAGTTTGCGTGCAACAAATGCCGCATCAATACAGAACGCAAGTCATTAATGCTGCTTAGTAAGAACTTGTTCAGTTGGTGGATATTGTAAAATTCTGAGCAAGTGCCCTCACCCAAGCAAGCACCCCTTTTTTTTGGGAGATCTGAAATAAGTGCCAATGACCACGCAAGCCCCACGCCTTTCCCCTCCTGCCTGTGGCCCCCTTTTTTTTTTTTCAAGATGAGCATCGTTTGTGTAAAAAGAACCATAAAAATGAGTGCACCAAACACATATTTATTGTTGTTTATGAAATGCTTTATAAATAAAGCATTTCATTAAAAACATGAATTGGCATTTTTTGTTTTTAGCGATTCTCCCGCAACAATATTGAATTACAGTCCGGCAACTGAGCAAACACCACCTTCACAAATCTGGTTGAATTATCCTTCACCGTGGCAAGGGGCGCTTGCTTGGCATTTTATGGTACTCAACAACATCTTCATTTTTGTGCTAAAAAAAGACAAACACAGCACAGGTTTTGTCGTCTCTCAAGTGTTTGTCAATACTGAGCTGAACTGACAATGACCTCGACTAATGGTACATTGAGCTGCTTGTCATTTGTCATTTTACTGCTACGGTTTCAACTACTGCAAAGATCCAACTAGGCGAACAACCTGTATGTACTGCAACAAATCGCACACAATGTCATCAATAGTTGGCGAAAGAGGGCAGCAAAAGGTAAATCAATTAAATTCTTTAGTTGAAGATCTTTGCATCTTACAATCCTGTTGTTAAGCATAGCTGAAATGTACCCAGTAAACTAAATTTCATTGAGTCTACTGACCTCATAAAATTGCTTCAGTTGGCCTTCAATAATTCCCGCTTTTAAATCAAAGCTGATTGCACAATAAAAGCCACTGATATCACGTCACTCACTGTTATGCAGTAAATATGTAACCAAAAATTTTACAGCACAGTGTTTACATCGATGCTGCTACAGGTGTTCGTGCAACGAGGGCAATGTGCACTGGCGTGGGTCGTGACAGAAAACGACTAAAGAGAGAACCTGTGTCATGACCTCTTTTGTCCTTAATGAGGTTACGTAATTGCTGATGGACCATCACTAAAAATAGCCTGCCATTGAGCCCCAAAACAGCAATATGATTAAGCCACTTAAGCATGCAGCCACAAGGCAGCATTGCCTTGCTGTTGAATACAGAAAAGTTCAGGTCATCATTCATTGTTATCATCACCACCACCAGCCTATATTATGTCTACAGCAGGTTCGAGGCCTCTCCCAGTGATCTCCAGTTTACCCTATCTTATGTGAGCAGATTTCATTTTATCTTTGCTAAGTTCTTAATTTTGTCACTCCATCTAGCTCACTATTGGATTTCTCATCCCAAGATAACCATTTCATTGCTCTAACCGACCACTGATTGTCTGAACTATGCACTATGTGGCCGACCCAAGTCCATTTTCTTTGCTTAATGTCAACCAGAACCACTGCTACTCTGTTTGTTATCTGAACTATTCGGCACCCTTCCAATCTCTTGATGTTACGCCTGTCACTTTCCATTATATTTTACACAGTGTAGTCATCAACTCTTTTTCTTTTTGTTTCTTAGTTATCCTTGAAATTTCAGCTCCATATAATAAAACAAGTAATATGCAATTACTGTACACTTTTTACTTCAGGTAAAGCAAACAGGTTGCATAAATTGCAAGGATGCCCTGGTTTGACTTTACTAAGTTCGCATGACGCCTAGAGGATGCCCTTGGCAACTGTACTAGTATCCAGGTATTTCATTATGGAGTCAATTATTTCTATTTATCATACAGGTGACAAAAACTTGAACCCGTCATTACTTCAGTGGGCAAACAAATTGATTTAAGAGGAGGAAGGCTGAAGTTCACTAAAGAATTGCCCATAACGATGTACTAATCCAACTTATAGACATTTTGTTAACAGTATAGAAAATGTTAATCCATCACAGTCACAGATAATGTGTATCTAAATGAAAGTACATGAGAATTTTTTTCATTTTTATGCCACTGAAATGCAACAGCCGCTCTTGGGATTGAACTTACAACCTGAGATGAACAGTGCACGTGAAACACAAGTATACTTCAGATACGGTGCAGATATAAAGATAGTACTTGGGGGAGATATAGTAAAGCATTTGTTCACATGTGATAATTTACATGTAACCATTTACTTTACAGAATAGGCATTAGCATTGGAAAAGGCAATGCTGAGAAACAGGCGCTAAGCTGTAACAGGCATTGCATATTTCCTGCCACTCAGTGCTCTCATCGAACTGAGGCTGGCAAATCTGATTTGTACATTTGTCTGACACTTCAAGTCATGCTGCCGGGACTGTATTGTTGGTACTGTAGCATTCACCCTGCAATCGCTGTGCTCTTTTGTCCGCCATGAGTGTTCACACCAGAAATTTAATATTCACCTTGCTTTTTTCATTGTCAACAGATGATTTTGAAGCACCCTTTGCTAATGTCTAAATCTTATGTTAGTGTGTTACCTGGCTTTTCCACCCAGTGTGCATAGCAAGTGTCATCAGGGAAACTGACGGAAGATTACTAGGCTTGTGCGAATATTCAAATGCTTCGAATATATGAACGAATACTACAGTATTCGAATTCACATCGATTCGAATTTCAATTATTGAAAATTTAAGTATTTGAGAAGAATGAATAGATGTATATTATCCGGCATATAACCCCTGTAGAGGTGGTTTCATTGCAGTGGAGGATGCTAAGCCGCGAAAGCACCTGTCTAAATGTACTAATTTGCATTTAACATCCTGGGAGGGTGGTTTCACAGCAGTAAAGGAGTGCTAAGCCGTGAAAATGCCAACCCAAAAGAAATTCAACTGCCGTGGAGCCCCACTTCAAGGTTAAATGAACATACTACCCTCACATCGATTCATCATTTCTTAACATGAAAGGTTGTTGTACAGGCTTACATTCCTGAACTATAGTAGATTTTAAAATGTAACATATTTTACAGGTTATCAATTCAATTGTCTCGAAAGTCAAATCCTGCTACCATTCAAAGTTATTCCCACTTTCTTTGGAAAAAAAAAAAGAAAGACATTTGCACAGACCTTCTTTCAATTAAAAAAATATTGTGCAGATTGGTTAGGTCATGATGAATATGCCCATTTTTCTTCATATGTGATATATAGCATTCAAATTTGATTAGAAATATTTGATCGAAATCACCATTCACTTTGAATTAGCTTCGAACCTAAAATTCACTATTGGCACAAGCCTAAATATTACCAAGGACAATATCAAAGAGAAATTATTCCTGAAAAGCTGCTGAGGGGTCATTAAAAATATAGGCAAGATTATAATATTTATAACTGCATCCCCACCATATTAACAAAAACTAAAATAAAAGCAATGAGTAAGGGAATGTTTTTCAGTAATTGTTCAGTAATTATTTTAGGGCAGCAATGGCTGACTATAATCAAAAGCATTTCTGAATAAGTGGTTAGCAAATACATTTTTTCTGTAACGTGTACTAGTCTAGCCAGTACCTTAGCAGCTTCTCTTCGGTGGAATTCTGTCTTGGCCATCTCAGTAGCAACCCAATCAGGAACATCGGGAATGGCATAAGCGATGGCAAACTTGATGCACAAAACCACATGCTAAAAGAAAACAAGAAAGAAGAAAGAAAGCGAGAGTCAACTGCAGTTGTGAAAAGAAAGCATTGCAAAGGGCAGGAGTAACAGAAAAAAGGACGACACAAACAGCAGCACTGGTGCGGCATCCTTTGCACTGTTTTCTTTTTACTAGTATGTCATATCAACATGCTAAAGCATCTGCTTCAACTGCAATTTTTCATGAGAACTAACAGGCAGTGATGTCAAAGAAAGTGTAAGGAATATTATAAGTAGTAATTGTAATGTAAATGTGAAGAAAGTGGATGGAAAAATACACAGCTTTCCCGTGGCAGAGACCTAAGATGCCACCTTCAAATAACATGTCTGATGTGCTATTAACTTAGCTACAGCGGCTGCCATCCCTCTGTTCACTTTATAAGGTATATACAATATAACTTCATTACAACAGACCTCCACGGTGGAAAGAACCTTGGTCTGTTGTAATTGTAAAAGGAGTATGTAAAATCCAAGTACTGTTACAACAGACATTTATGAAAACACTGAATGGGTCTGTTATAACCGGAGAGCATTACAAGTCATACACGAATTATTCTAAATGAGGCGTAAAAAATTGATTTTTTGAAAATCATATCTTCAGTTTCTGTAAGCCCTTTTTCTGTGATTCCGAAGCATCTTCACTGAAAACTATGTAGAAGTGCTGCAAAAAGTTTTTTATGCCTGCCGAGATGGTGAAAATCTCACCACCGATTTGGGCTTGTCGTAAAAGTATTTCTTAGAGCATTCAGTGTTCTAAAACCAAATGTTTGAAATTCATTTTGAGGCCTCCTATTGGCTGCTTCTGCTGTGTTGCTCAAGTACGCCTAACTGGTCTAATGCTCATTCTGGAATACGCCTCCGGGATAGCATCGTCTGCTTCTTGAACATTGCGAAGTCGTGGCTGTCTAAAATCACACTACTTAGTGCTAGTTTTTCGCCCTCGTTTCGTGTTCACGGGTCAATGATAATTCAGGATACAATTATGCTTTAGTTGAGGCATGCTGCAAGTGGTAGTTCAGTTCCCCAGATTACGATCGTGCGCCGAACTTGTTGTGAACATCGTAAACGCGCGTCTCGAACCGACTGTTACAATGTTCACTCGTTGCCAGGAAGGTTCTGCTTATCAGTGCTTTGGACTTTGTGATGAAGACCACCGCAGAACAAATCTGTGTACTCGTGATCGAGCCTACCATATTTTGAAACATTGGGCACCGTGGCCATGCACATTGCAGCCATGCTTTCTGCTTGAAGTTGTGTCTAGGCCTAACTCCACCCCGAACTTGGTGTAAAAGACCATCGCGCTAGCGAATGTGCGAAAGCGAAGAAGTCGTAATGTGCTTTGTGGCAAGCATACCTGCCAAGTTCAAGGATTCTAAATTCGGGATATTTCTGCAACAGGGGTGGGGGGGGGGGGGGGGGGGGCACACACGCTGGATTATTTTTTGCCCTTTTTTTTTGCACCAAAAGAAAGAAAAAAAAATACATCCCGCAAAAAAACAAGAGAGAGCGGGGAGTTCCTAATTACAAGCGCCAACAGCAGCATTGCGGTCTTATAATGAATGACTTGGAGTGGCCGAACACACGAGGTAGGTTTACCACTAAGGTGAGAGTCTCAACGGGCAGCGCAAATACTCCAAAAATTTTTGCGTCATCAAATCAACAAGTAAAATTTTTATTTCCATCAAAACACTCGTGCATGTCTTCCTGGGACACACATGAACAGATGGGACGGCGCAGCTGGCTGCTACAAAAGCGCGTGTCAAAGCTTTGGCTTTGCTCGCTACTATATTCTTTGGGCAGGAACACCAAAAGGCTTCTAGCCTTTTTTTTTCATGTTTTTACAGCCTTTAATCTACCGCTGCATTAGCCACGTGTCCTCGAAGCTCGTAGATCACTATCACATCGCTGCAACCATGTTCTTTGTGCGGCGGTTCCAGCAAACTGTATCCATTTTCAATTAACGAGGTTTTAGTGTATATCCGAATGTGCGTTGTACCAGAATATGCAGTAAACGAAGCTCAATCAATGGAAAAAATAGAGAGGCCACCATAACACTGCCAATGAGTGTGTGGCATTCGAATGTTTGTTGTAAGCAGGTTGCTTGTAACGAGGTTATATTGTATGTGCATTTTAAGTGGCGGTGTCACTTAGTGCCATGAGTAGCCATGACAGCGAGTGTGGAACACTCATTCGCTTCCTGTTGGTATCACTTAGCATACCGCCCAAAGCACCAGGTCTGTCAGAATGAGAGCCTTACCAGGTCTCGTCCAACACTCAAATGCTAGGGCAACATGCCCTGGCCAAATGCACCAAACAATCGGTTAGTGATATTACATGAGACAACACTGGTAAGATAACAATCTAGGCAAAACATAGCAAAAGGAAAAGAAAGATGGCAGAAGAGGCAGAAAAGCGCACGCACCTCTAGTACCACTAGACTGAGCAACACCTCCAGAGGTGCAAGTGAAGGCCAGAGTCGCTGCACCTGACCGAGGGTGCCCATCAGTGCACAGTTCACTACGACTGCCAGCATGCCCATGACCTCCATGGCCACCTATCATGGCAATATAAAGCAACATAATAGTTAATAACCGAACTAGTTGGTATAAATTCATTACGACAACTTGGCAGCACACGCATGTTCTATACGCCCATCATTACACGAACACTCAAGAGATTGCTGAAGCCTTTTTTTTTATAGAGAACACTGTTAGTCATGTCAGTTCACCCTCTATATCGCTTTTAGACTGAGAGATTTCATTTTCAGACGACACTTGATTTCAGTTGACCTTTCCTCTAGCAATTCCCTTAGCCATCGTGTATTTTATTGTACATTATATCTTCTGCAATTAAATCCAAGTTTCAGTCTACACTTGTTCACGTCCTACTCTTTTTGTATCTAATTTGTGTGTGCAGCTGAAGTTGTCATAATAAAAAGAAAGCACCCCTTACGACAACACTGTATTCACCGTGATTTTTTTTTTTTTTTGTACCGTACAAGTGAAGGTAGCTTCATGGCAATGCTTAAAAACTGTGCAGGAAGAGCTAGCTTCACAAGAATGCTAGGGATCACTTTCAGAGACTTTACTAAGGTCAGCCCCCAACTTATGCCTACCAATGATTTAGCCTTAAAGCATGACTGTGCGACTGCAACCACCAAAAAACTCACGAATATGAATTATCACCTACTATGACATCACAAGTGTTGTTAACTATCTGCTTGGCTGCACATATGGCATAGTGCTGTTGTAAACAAACTGCATGTTTTTAATAGGGTGACTACCCAAATGCATCAGGCTGCTATGCACTGCTGTATTTTGCAGGACTAATAATGCACAGCGAAGGTGTGGAGCATTCATTGCATGCAGTGGCAAGAGCAGTTAGCAATGGCCACATTGATCCAACAAAACACTTGAACTAGCATGCACAGAATCGAGCACAGGGCGTGAACACAATAACACTAAACATGCAGGTTTTGTACGACACGTGCCCTAGCAGTGACCATGTCAGATTAGTGGGCAGTGTACTGCGCGCAATCAACAAGCATGGGAGGAGCACACAGCAGCCACAGATCGCGGTACATATGCGCACAGGCCACGCATCAGGGAAAGTCGGCTGAGTCATCCACAAGCTCTACCACTGAGTCATGCTTAAGCTCTATTGCCATATTAGTCTCAATACGTGTTTCCTGTAATAGTTTCAAAATGCTCCTTTCTGCAGCCACTTCGCACAATCCCATAGTTGTGCGAGATGTGCCAAATTTTCACAAAAAGAAAAAAGAAAAACGTAGCAACGCCAGACATTTTCTGTGGTGTGACAATTATTCTTGGTGGGGGTGGCACTTATCAAGAGATGCAAGTTTGGCCAGTTAGGTTACTGTACGCTACCTTCTAGTGCGTAGTTATTTCCTGGAAAGTGTGCATAGATGAGGATTGACTGTACAAGATGCTTGCAAGTGCAAGTCAAGGCACAAGGAGAGGATGTATCTGTCAGCAGTGCCGCTTACATTCCTTAGGTACGACAATGGACAGCTGAATTTCTTATAAGATGTCTCATACTAAACTGACCTGAATAACTTACTTTTTTAAAGTAAAACGCCCCCCTCAAAGCTGCCCACAACTGTATGTGAATAGTCGGCCGTATTTGCAGTGAGCATGGAGAGACTTTATAATTGGCATCAATACGCTTGGACAAAACCGCAATGACACAGCTTTATGTTATAGCACACCAATTTGCAGCATTCATACTTTTCTGCAGAGCATGTGTCAGCACACTTAATTTTAGATGTTCTGGTGGTTTTTGATAGAAAAATGTGAAGGGTGGATATGAAAACTGTCATAATAGTAAAGCATTGAATAGGCTTGTAGTAAACACAGCTTTCGGGTTCTAAGGTTCATCAGAATGTGACTCGGTGTTACAGTTGCATTCATCTACTACTATGTACTATAATGCGAACTTTTTATAGTTGAGTACATTTCCAGCTTGCTCTGGGAGCTAGGACCTCTGCTTAGCAATCAAAATAATAAACAAAACCAAGACATGCTCTAATTAACAACATAAAACAAGAACATTATTTCAAATGGTTGGTTTTATACCTAAATCAATCTTACATTTGCTTACTAGAATGGACCTGCTAGCATATGATGAGAAGCTCTTTTCCTTCTCTCAATAGCCTCACAGGTAGTCGTGTCATTTTGAGAGAATTGAGTCCTGTATTCTACGTTTACTTTATAATATTGCTACATGTTAATAGTTTATTTTATGCCAATGTGTTTCACTACATTGTCATTTATATCAAGTTATCACTCAGTGCACTGATATTAAACTCTATAAGGCCATTTGTGCCTCGTGGCAAATGCGTGTCTCATTAGCCGGGGTTAGACTTAACAACCGCTGAGTGGGTGGTGGCACTGTGCTCGCGTGGGTTAAAGTTGGTGCAGAGGTGCCAGCAGTGCAGCGGCACTGCTGACGGCAGAGAAGCCAGGTGGTGCACTGGAAACAGTAGCGAATCTCTTTGGGGGTAAGCATTTTATGGCGATAGACGTTTCCGGCGAATGGAATCGTGAACGACAACACCACAGGTCGTTTCCTGTGAATCCCTCATGGGGAGTCGAACATCGGCGATGCCATATTCGCGGTACCTTGTGTTTGTTATGTTATTTATGTGTTTTATTGGCATAGTGGATAAGGTAACTTACTCAGAACTTGATTCAGCTAGCGAACTCATTGATGTAAAAGCAAGTGAATAAATGTACACAGGTTGGTTACCTGATAGCGTGACTGTTTGAGCATTCTAATTATTACACATTACAAATCAGTACACATGCTCGGTTCAAATAAAACAAGCTGCTTCATCAAACTGAAGACAAACACTGCAACAGCCAAAGAAGCCCACATACACTAATAACATCCTTTTGATAGTCAAAATATTTCATCAAAACAGAGAGTGTGTTCATGTGCCTGTCAACAGTGAAAGCAAGCTCTCAAACTTACAATAAAGCAAACTTAAGCTTGCTAATCAGCTTGAGAGAAGCCAATGTAACGAAAAAAGATTTCCAACTGAAATACATCTCAGTGTTGATATTGAAGTCCATGCGTTAAAGCGCCAAGTAGAAGTCGAATGTCAGGCCTGCTTGGATGAATGGTGGGGCAAGCTTGCTACTCCATTTGCAGCCAACAGAGAAGAAAGGAAGCACACCTGCCAGGTACCAATGCTGTTGGCCTGCTGAGCAAAGGGGCGCTGGAAGACAAAGCACAGCTTGAAGGCATCGCTGCGCACTTCAACCAGGTTGTTCAGCAAGGCGCATAGGGCAGCCCAGGGAAATGCTGAAGAGAAGAGGGTCACGTGGCCGAACTGGATGAACATTTCAAGGTAGTCCTCGAAAGTACCTTCGTACTGCACAACAGAAAAGAATGAGCACAAAGCTCAGTCATCTTGGATACGTAAGATTTTGATAAATCACAAGACTGCTTAATGAATAGATAGTTCTGAAGATAAAATATTGCTCTCTGAAACCTCTTCATGACCCGGACAGATTTACCAATCAGGTGAACACTTCAGTGTAAACCAGGACAGACTGAAAAGAAAGGAGCTCTTCCTTGCAGCCCGCTCAGATTGGCTCTGAAGCCTTCTCATTACTAAAAGTTTTATCAAGACTGCAAAAATTGGCATTTTTGCCAAAAAGCTCCATAGTTTTCCTAGAAACATGTTGCACATCCCTTATTCTCTGGGGGTTGGTAAGCTGACAAAATTTCAAAGCGTGTGGGGTCTCGCTACGGCACGCGATCGCCACGCCACGCTCCTGGAGTGTAAGGACACAGTAGACACGGTCAGTACAAACCAAATACATACATACATTTATTTAGCTAATTTACAACGACGATATCATCCGCCGAATGATACACTAATCGTGGTTAACCCACTAATACATCCTTACACACAATTTCCATACACTCCAAAACATGACAAACACACAATAACACGACAAACACACAATAACATACCCAAGGCGGCGTCACCAACTCTTGACTTACCACGTGGGACCCCGGCGCGAAGCCTGCAGTGCCGAGCACCGGGGACCCACATTACAGACAACTGTTCACAGCAGCTGCCACGCGCAAAAGAGGCTCGCTCAACTCTCGCCCACGCCCCGCCGCGGTGGTCTAGTGGCTAAGGTACTCGGCTGCTGACCCGCAGGTTGCGGGTTCAAATCCTGGCTGCGGCAGCTGCATTTCCGATAGAGGCGGAAATGTCATAGGCCCGTGTGCTCAGATTTGGGTGCACGTTAAAGAACCCCAGGTGGTCAAAATTTCCGGAGCCCTCCACTACGGCGTCTCTCATAATCATATGGTGGTTTGGGGACGTTAAACCCCACAAATCAATCAACTCTGCGCCCACTACCAAGGCCTGCCTTCCGCCAGGGGTCGCCGCCGGCGCTACCACTCTAACAACAGTGGTACTCAACGCGAACACAACGCCATCTATCACCCGGCGGTCGTCACCCGAAATGCGGCCTTGGGGCGAGACACGCGCGCCACACGGTGCAGACAACCTTACAGGGGGTGTCAGCACCCCCACAAGCGTTAAAAACAAAGGATAGGAAAGAGAACTTTACAAAACAAAAAAGTTTAAAGTTTTTATGCACTCTTTGCACTAATAAACCTAAAGCCTGTCTTCCTTAGACGTGCTTCAGCTGTGTGCTATCCATTGTCAAAGTGCGCATTTTCACCCTGTATAAGGCAAGTGTGACGGTATGTCAAAAGCGCATGAGAATGATTGGATTGAGAAAGATAAGGAAGTCAAAGGTGGCAGAGCAAATACACTTTATCTCAAACAAGTCACACAAGTAATGTGTGACCAACCTGTTTTCTGAGATGGCAGTTTGCACCTTCTACAGCAGTAAATAGAAAATTAGTGTGACGAAGAGAGCAGAGTTCCCAGGAATTCTCATTTTGTTCAATTATCGACCACCTTGCATTACAGGAGTCCACGTAGTCCTAACCTTCATGGTAGGGTTACTTGTTAGGGGAAAGTGGCACTTCAGAGACTTCCCATTTCAATGGCACTTACACTGGCAGTGACAGCCCTCTGGCAGCAGCATATCAATTCATGATATTTTTGCTACCTCGAAACAACTGGTCATCATCTGGCTCACGTCTTGACTTACAAAGATGATGTGTGGACCATTCCACCAACCGTTCTTGGACTTTATTGATTAAATAGTTTACAGTTTTTTTTACTATGATGAGCAATCATAGCATTTGTACAGGCTGCCCACCTGCTATGGTCTCAATCGAGACTAGCAGTATTGCAAATAAATAAATAAATAATAAATAAATAAATAAATAAATAAATAAGTGTGATGAATTTCTTTTGTTGCTTCATAACAGTGTTATGCTTAAAGGCAACATTCTGAACAAAAAGAAAAGTGCAGAAAACATGCAATATCACTTTTAAGCAAGAACTAATGAGTAAAGCGCATGAAATCAATAAGTTATTCTCCGAGGCCACACTTGGTGAATTCATATCTTGCTGTGGGCATATTTTTTCTTGAGACCAAGCTCCATTCACCTTGAACATGGCACACTCCGTTTCACCCTGGCTCAACTTGGGTGTTGACGCGCTGCTACAACCTGGACTCTCTTCAGGTGTTGCACTAAAATGTAAACAAACCAAGCACCTAAATGACTTGTATTACAAAACCTATTGTGAAAAATGTACAGCACACAAAGCATGAACAAATCAGCAGGTAAAGCAATTCTTGCATTTTCTGGATGTTATACACGTACTGTACATATAATGCATTTATGGCATCTAAATACTTCCACGAGTAATGTTACGTTATATTGTAGAGCCCACAGAAACCTGTAACTAGCAGTACAGCAGAACGTCAGGCGGGTTCGATCACTGGCAGTACAACCTCATCGTCATGTTTGCATTCTTGTGCTCGTCTGCTTTGCCACAGCAGCCTACCATCAACGATATTCTATAATACTAACAAATCTTATGCTTGTGGCATTATAAAAAACAAACACTGAATTGATTATAATGGAATTCCTCGATTTGAAAGAGAAAGATAAATTTACTGATTATCAGAATAAAAGTCAAAGTAAGAATACTTTACTGCAGTATTAGAAATAGTCTTGCTTTAGGACACAAGCTTTTCATTTGAAAAGGTGAAACTGCTTGCACAAATGTATAATTAAAATTAAAGCAGCTTGAGAATACCCAAGTGAAATTAACTAAGAAAACAAGATAGTACAGTGGCAAGATATGACAGCAAACTCTACTATATATACACTTTGCTAACATGCATGGACAGGCACTAAACAATGTCATCATCATCATCAGCCTGACTACGTCCACTTCAGGTCAAAGGCATCTCCCGTGATCCGCCAATCAACCCAGGTCTTGTGCTTTCTGCTGCCCCATTATTCCTGAGAACATTTTAATCTCATCAGCCCACCTAATTTCCTGTCTCTCCCTAAGGCGTTTACCTTCTCTGGGAATCCCATCGGTTATACTTAATGATCAGCGATTATTCCGCCTACGCACTACGTGCCTGGTCCATATTCAATTCTTTTACATTTCAACTATGATATCATTAACCCCGGTTTGTTCCCGACCCACAGCTATACCAAAATACATTGCCGGGCTAGCTGCTTCATAGTCTTCACAATCTTTTGTAGCAATATCACTTGCTCCTCATTGTGGCCTCACTTCTCTGTGCTCCGCCTGTGTGCTGTTCTCTTCCCCTACATTCTGTGTGCAGTCAGGTTGTTCCTTTGAACCATGCTTGTCCACTTATGGTGCCATTGCCAGATTAAATATTGTGAAAAAGAAAAAAAAAATTTAAATGCTTAGACATGTAACAAACTCCTACTTTTCAAAAAGTTTTTGTGATTAGGAAGTGCTTCAGTGTCCCTCACAAATGGAAACAAGCTATGAAGGTGCACTAAGGGATACTGAATTTTTCTTCTTTCTCAGCACTTTTGTTACAAAAAAAAAAAGACAGGTACGAATCGTGCTGCTATGTTCTGGCCTACTACAATGCCTTGTGCTGCATGGCAAAGAGTGGGTAGCAAGGGCTCGATTATACTTTGATAGATTAGACCAAATTAATGTTGGCTGTATGGTTGATGGAAAGCATCAGTAGCTTCGGAGCCCAATCTACTAAACTAAGAAATACCAGAAGTCATGCACTGCTGTAAATTTTTTTAAAACAATGTGCAGTGTGCCGTTGCCAAGATTTAGCAAGTGAAAGCAAGTACAGCCTGGCGTAAGAGGTGTCTTGCTAAGGCTTCATGTCATGCTCCATAATCATGGACAACACTTCAGGTCAAGTACATTCTTTTCAAATGAAGAGTAAGAGGCCTGAGGCCAACTGCATTTTTTTCACTGGAGGAATGTGAAGAAATTACAGGAAAGAAAAGCTGAGTGTCTTGCCCACCAGAGTAAACATCCACCGTTGCAAAAGACGCACGAAACATCACACACAAAGAATACCTTGTCCCATTCGGTATTTGGGACTTGCAGCTTTTCTTGACCGGATACTGCTGTGGCACGCTGTTCTTTTTTTTTTCTTTCTTTTTTTTCACTATTTGTCATGGTAGATTCCAGCTACACATAACACAGTTGCAGCATTTCTTGTGTGCGCGGTGCCCTCAGTTTCGATATCACCTGGATGGGGCCTTCAATTTGACAATTTACATTTAATATTAGCTGTGTTTTTAGAGATTTTAAAAATGCAATGCCATATTTTCATGTTCTACAACTTTTTCATAGAAACAACTGCCTTGAAATAAATAACTAAAAAGTTAACTAAGAAGCTTTGGTTCATTACTCACTTTAGTGTGACTTTTAAGTGCGGCAGTTTTTCTACCTTGGGGTAGAGTTTGTGAAGACTAGAAGAGTCCAAGTCTCATAATTTTTTATAAAACATCCGTGTTATCTAAAAAAAAACCTTGTGTATATATTTATGATGTTTCAGTAAATCTCTCAGAAATTCTAAAAATAAGGAAAATGTGATATTTGCTTGTTGACTTCATAATTACCGTTTTCAGTGATGGCAGGAATCTTAATAAGAGATGTCAATTGCGGCAGTAATTAAATCAATTACATTAATTACTTTTTCATTAGCAGAGACAGGCAGTAGGGTGAAATTGGCAAATTGGAGCCCTTACTGCAGAGCGCTCATTGCTGTCTTGAGATTTCTAAAAAATTTAATGCTGATAAGTTTCACATGACATTTGGTCAATTTTGTTAAGTGAAACTGAAATCAATAACCAAAGAACGCAACTGCCAGAGTTTTCTAGGGTGTTCAGAATAAGCGAGTCATTTCACCAACCATTGATCAACATCACTTCATAGGTATGCAGGCTGTGCTTACAACTATAACAAGCATGGGACACATTGGTTAACAAACACAAAACTAAAACCACTGCAATCATTGCCATGTATAGTGATATCATTACGGTCATCCACAAGTTTCACTGATCGGCACTTCGGTTTCGGTTGTGGCAGCGATCTTGGCCAAATTTCATTACACAATAGTAATTACAGCAAGCAATCACAAAGTGGCAATGAGCTTCTCACAGGAAGGACTTCCAAATACCTCATTTATTCTAACCGCCTGTCTCCCCTAGCAAGAAAGTTATTTTAATTTGTTCATTTACTGCAGTAACTGGTGCCTTTAATCATAAGATGTCTAATTCAACAAAAAAAGATAATTATGAAGGAAGCAAGCAAATACTACTCCATTTATTGTACTTCTAGGGATTTTTAGACGCACTTCTTGAAATGCCCTGCATCTATTTACATGTATGCATTTGACATGCACGATGCATAAATATCACAAACAAACGATCTTAGCATTGCAAGGCGAAGCATACCACGGCGGAGAATCTTCGGTGCTGCTCAACTCCAGGCAAGCCAAGTGCAGCCTCTCCACCAAGAACGGTATGACGCTCTCCTTGATGTTTCCGAGGACTTGACGAGTGATCAACAGCGTTGCAAGTTGCTGCAGCGCAAGAAACACGAATGACAGTAAACGATCGGCCTGCTAAATAATGCAAAACTTACAGAGGAAAATACAGCGGTGAGGGCACTCGCTTCAGCCAGAACCGTGACTGAGTGCACTGTGGTCGTTATCTTCAAAGAATGTGGAGGCAGCAAAGACGCAGAACAAAACAAGAAAGCACACGGCGCAAGCACTTTTGTTCTGTGCTTTTTGCCTTGTCTCAACTTCTGCTGTTTTCATCAGTGTAACATGCATGAAATGGCCCTTCAAGAAAGTCCTCAGGGAACCTTTTTTTCTATCAAGTGCCAGAAAGCCGCCGAGCCGAAGTCAACAAAGCAATTACACACTTTCAAAGCTTATGTATTTCAGGGGAAATGCTACTTGAAAAACGTAAGTTTTTTTATAAAATCATATGTTTTTGTTTTTACTTGCTTTTACAAGTTTATTTTCTCAGAATACTTTCATGAAAAAAAAGTCCAAGGTTGTAATTGAAGTCAAAGTAGGTTATAATTGCTTTTAATGAGCACAATGTGGTTACTAATAACTATAAAGAGCTCATTGTCTAGAGTCCCTCGGATATTGTCTCCTGGCCGCTTGCCATTACATTTCCCACCAGGAGCTCAAAATAACCATGATTCCCAAGCTCTTCATATGGAAGAAATCATTTTGAAATACGTATGTTTGCGAAATAGATAAGCTTTAATTTTTATATTTGAGATGTGTTTTTTTAAGATGCCATTTGGGCAAATACTTGAATTCGGACATAACATTTTTGGTCCTTCTGATGGCCAGACTGGTATGAAAGTTTTCCTGCATGTTCCTTAATAGGTCATAAATGCAATTATGTTCTTTAAAACCTTATACCACTTATATAATTATTATGAACTTATAATAAACTTAAATTTAGGCTGAGCATTTTCAGACTGGTCACGTCACATTTTTTCATGCTCAGTGAAATGTTTTATACACACTCTCCTGTTAGTTATTTGCATTTTACAGCTAATGTGGAGTAATATAAGCAATTAATTACTCATAACCATAAATGTTTAGTGGCAGAAAAAGCGTGTCTAAAAAAAGCCATATTTTACACATCGTCATGGTACAAAATGAAAACTATGCAATACCCTATACAACTGATTACATGTTTGAAATCAGCATAAAAATTAATGCAAACAGCAAAAATTTTATTGCCCTAAACAACACATTAAAAAAAGGTTTTATTTTAATGAACTAGATATTCCCAAGTGGACACAGCTCACAATCCTCAAACTAACAACAGCAAAAAAACATGTGCCTTTCTTTTTGGCTTATGACAGCTTTATTCAAAGAGTCCACCTGGTAATGCAATTCACCAATGCTCATTAACATAAAGCAGTACAAGAGAGACTTGCCTCTCGAAGCTGGTCCATGTCTTGCAGGTAGAAGGCAATGTAGAAGAGTGACAGGAAGGAGTTGACAAACTGGAACTGAATGTTAAGATCAGAATGACAAATCAAACATAATAATCATGTGCATGTATTCCGCAGGTTTGCACTCTGTCCTGCTTAGGCTCAAAGCAAATAAAATATTTCATTACAAAGTATGAGCAAGAAAGCCTCAATCTAACTCAATATTAACTTTTTATGCAAGATAAACACTACAGTCCTAATAAGTGAACTGCAGAGCCCATCAATACATTTCTCACAATGAATTTTCACAAAAAACTGCAAAGGTACAGCTAACACAATTAAAATGATGATCTAAACTTTTACAGTGATGCATGGTACATGTGAAAATCATAAACACACCAGGTATTTAACCAAAATTCACTTAACTAGAACACAATAAAACACTAAACTACCGATTTGAGGTATATAAATGGAGCATAAATGAAACAAACTAGGTTTGAAAGCAAACAGGACTTGAAAGCAAACAAGCAAATCATGCCTATTCACTTCAAATTCTATTGAGAGGTTTATTCCAAGAAAAACTCTTTAAAAATAGGCAGCAAAGTACAGCATTACTTAGGCCAACAATTTTGCAAACTTATTAATTTGTTTTGTTGCAGTGGAAATGCTTATTTAAAAGACCAACTGTTAACAAATTCTTGAATCATTTAATTTTTTAACACTGTATTTTGCATGCTGCATATCTCGGCACAGTAAGTCATACTACAGAATATAAACTGTACTTAAGAATCAATAGAGATGCAGAATAACAACATGATTACAAAGTCTGTAGCAGAAAAAAAATGGAAAAAGATACTAAACAAACACGCGTATATTTCTACGCATCCCGTTTTTCAGCCCTCCTACATTTTACAAAAGGTTTTACTAAATGAAGACAGGCATAGCGTTCTGTTAAATCAAGTTTCATCATAGATTATAAGACACATTCCTGGCACAAAACTAGTGCTAAAAAAATAAGAAGAAACGATCGCCCACAGGCACACAGTGTGCCCTAAAGTAAAGTGCTTGCATTTGCATGCCGTTAATATTTGGATCACTATATCGCTGCAGGAACTACTTTTTGAACATGCATGGGACTCGCGCTATAAAATGTCGAAAATCATGCTAAATACATGCTAAACTTTTTTAAGCTGAAAACATCACTACATTCACTCTCGAATTGATAATGTTGCAGTGTTGTAAAATTATGAGAAGAAATAGAAAAATCGACTGATAAATCCTTGAAATAAGGTGAAAATGCAACAAATTTAACTAGACATTTCATAGATTAACTGCATTTGCAACTCCATTTTCTCGTCACGCTCCTCCTACTTCCCCTTTCTTTTGCTGCAAAGCCACCACATTTCTATAGGTGTCCAAGTGCCTGATTCGTTAACGGCATTATAACTTTGCATTAGTGTATTCTAACATCAGCAAGCATCAAAGCAAATACAAACAAGTGACTGATATTGGACAGATTAAATGCCCAAAGCATCTTGTGCATCTGATATGAGAAGTGCGAGACACTCTGGGACCGAACATTCTACACAGCCTTAGCCCAATAATGACAGGCACTGTCTTTTCACAGGATGACACGCCCTAGGTAAAAATAATCAGGCGTTCACAAATAACTAAGCCTTGTTTTCCATGCAGACACTCACCTAAGGCCAATATCTTCAGTGCCTCCGCAGCAAGAGCGAAACCTGTGCAAACTTCATGCAGTAACACACAAAACTTTTGTGCTCATGCAATCTTCATACATATGCCTACACATGCACAGTGCAGATTTACTCAAATACACAAAATCAACGTGAAATACTTAAATGACAACACAAAGCAGCAGCTGCTTAAACAAAAATTATAACGAAAATAAGGTTAGAGAAACTTGGAATTGTTTCATCCTCTTATCTGAATGTACAGTAGTTATATGAGCCAATAGTTTTGCCAGACAGTAGAGCTCCACAATGACGTCCCGACTAAATACCTAATGCCATCGTAAAACAGCAACTAGTGAACATAGTCACTGTATGCTTACGAGTGTTATACATGCTAGTTATGCACATGTTTTATCATTGTTCGTAAAATAATCACTTGGATTTCATTAACTAAGACATACAAGCTGGTGCATCATAGTATTTGCTGCTTTTGAACAATTGAAACATGACATAAGTATGTAGCCTTCTAGAAGTCAGCCTCGCCGAAAATTGGAGAATGCTTAGGCTTTGCCTTCAAGAGCACAACACGATGGAGTAATCAGGCCCTTTTCGCATTGCCTTCTCAATCGCTATTCTATGTTCAGTTCTTGGTGCACGCCTCAATCGTGCTTGTCAGAAAACAAACGACTGCACACGTAACATTGGCCATTTAAAACTACACTAGAATGCCTACTGCAAGTACAATTGTTAAATGCCCACTACTTCATAATTGTTTCTCTTGTGAATCAGTGAAGGGCCCACTACACACCTGCAAGGCAAAACTTGAACCTATGTTTGAATGCTTTGTATTGGGCGGGTCTGTGAAACACCAACTAGTGCAATTCACAAGTTTTGATACATTGGTGCAATTCTATGCTTTTGCCACACCATATTAGTAGAGATCTTAAGAAATGCCTGCTTTTCCTGGGTTCGATTCTCACTCAGACTCAAGATTTTTGTTATTTATTTCATTGCATCTTTCTCGATTTTTCAGTGATGGACAAGATGATGATTCTTTGCTCACAGCTAATGATGTCGACACTGACGCTGAGACTAGAACTCAGGGAAACGAGCTATTTTACATTCACCGTCTGCCTGATTACGCATGAAGAATGGTGAGGATTGGCGAAATGTCCGTCCCTAATGTGACGAAGTTATTGCCTGCTAATACCAGCCAATAATAAAAGGTTAATCGTTATCATCTATCTGTGCCTTTGACCCACTATCAGATTAAATGATGCACACATCTGCCACGGCACATTCGGGAGGTGCATTGCGCCACTGCTGAATGTCTTGCATGCGTAATCATGTAAACCAATATGAAACTTTGCAGCGCACTATCTCAGGCACTATTTCAGAGCACTGATAAGCTAAAAAAATTTTTCAAAGTGAAACTGTGTATAAATGCGACTGTTTACAAATTTTAAATACAAACATGCCCACTTTCTGTAGTCGCTGGAAAGCCAATTATTAATTCTTAGTTAATTGAACACCCAATAGCAATAATTACTGTCTCATTTTGTGTCCTCCTGTATATATTAGTTATCTGCCAATGTGGTTTTCAGGATCTCCCAGATGCTGAACATTAAGAAAACCATAAATTTTGAACATGCAGATATGTACATGAGGATACATAACATGTGATTACCCAAATACTGTGTATGAGGGCGTTATAGCTTAAGTTTTGTACTAAAGTTTCAAAGCTCATGGTCGAAGCTGACTCATTCCTTCTTCTAGAACAAGTACTCAGTGTTATATGAATGATCGACACTTAGCACTTTTATATACTTTTTTTTTAACATAAAATCTCTAGTGCTACTTCAGATGAATCCTCTGTATGTTTCAATAATCTGATAATGACACACTGCAAGAACAATGGTTTACAATAACAATTTACAATTACTAGAACAGTATATTCCATAAAAGCTTGCTGTTTCAATGCCATAGAAATTGACATGCCTTTGCCGAGTTTCACGTCTATTAATGTCTTTTTCCTGTGAGCTATTTGGATTAAAAAAAGTAAGATACAGGAAATTCGTCCATGTTGACCTGTCTTGTATATACTATTCACAGATGGGCAGACATATGCATCAAGCAAGCATGCAAAGAGTGCAAAATAGGCATGTAAAAATGCAGGCAAGGAAATTAACATCAACCAGTCTGGTTTCAACTGACCACGGCTATTTTTATAATCAGTTGATCCTCGTAGTCCTGATCCAGCCTATAGTTTTCTGCAATGTCAAACCAAAAAGTGGCATTTCATATTTGGAGCATGAGCACTAAGTGACTACAATAAAAAAATAATGACAATTTGCTAAAGACATATTCAGCTACTGAATGATTAAGCTGACAAACCTACATTAACATTTTAAGTGCAGCCATCACAGTTTTTGCAACAATAAATTGACTAAAAGCAAGACAAACAAGGTTTACAAGCAATAGCACAAGCATTTTTATAAGCCCAAGGTAATTTGACACTTTGTGCACATCTGAAAGAGAAATTAAAGGGTGGCCTTTATCTAAAGTTACGCTATTTGTAGCAGCTTAGATCACCACTACATGCATCGAAAAACAAATGAACGAACCCCTTGCTGTGTAATGAACGAACCCCTTGCTGTGAACCCCTTGCGGTGTAATGTGTGAAAGAATTTCACACATTACACCACAAACTTGTTAATTCCCTCCTGTTAATTCCAACTTGTTAATTAATAACAAAAAATTCCAACTTGTTAATTTCATTGGTCCCAGGTTCGAGCTCGGACCAGGACGAATTTTTCGGCAACTAAGAGGCTTTTCTTTCTTAAAAATTCGTACAGATTTTCTTGTGGCTTCGTGCTACAATCGGGTGGTTGGTTTCTTTCCTTTTCTGACCCTTCCGCCAGTTGCTGTGTTTTTGCAAAACCCATTTGTAATATTACGGTATTGGAATGTGCTCCAATACGAATTTAAACTATAGAAAATTTTGAAGTATTAAAAATGAGTAAATTAGTATACGTTAGTTCACTTGTAACCCCCTGTAAAGGTGGTTTCACTACTGTAGAGGGGCGCAGAAAAGAGAAAATTGTGCATTGCTGGGAGGACCCAGATCAAGGTAGGCTAAATCAACACATTACTATCACATCGATAATTCATTTGTTAAGTTTAAATGCTTGTTATACTGGCTTTTACGTAAAACCTGGTTTTGTCCTAACTATATTATTATCAAGTCCTAACTATATATTATATTGTAAAAAGTCTAGCCTTGTTACCATCCAAAGTAGTTCCCAACACACAAGTGTTCAGGAGGACAGGTGCTGAGACTTTTTCTAGAATCGGCAAACCTTGACATCATTGCCGAGTAGTACTAACCTCATGCACTGTTCGCTTGAGCGAAAAAAGCACCATAAATGGAAGAGACAAAAGTGATATCGCGTGAAGATAAGTAGATAGAGGAAGTGAGACAAAATGAACCAATAGATTAGGAGTGAAATAAGTCACAAGATAATGTATGAACAAGAATACAGCAAATTCGCGTGGTGTACATGCAAACTCACAGTTACGAAATGCTAATCTAAAAAGGCTGCACTGGTACCAAAATTCAAGGGTTCTAGAGGACAGAATACAATTGCAGGACATTCAAGGATTTTGAAAATTCAGTTTTCAAATTCAAGAGTATACAAGGTTCTCAAGGACCTGTACGAACCCTGCTGTGGGCAATTCTCCAGGGAGAGATAGAAGATTCCCCCCTCTCCCACGCACTATCCCCAATCATGACAAGGAGAAAGCCTGCTGATAGGCTTTTAAGTCATCGCGTGTGCCGAAACAAACGGAAATCGGGCCGCATCGCGGTCGTTCGGAGTTCCCGAAACGTTCGTGTGGGACTGGCGGAAACAAAAGCAGAAAATCGTCAAAGATTCACGCAAAGGCTTCAGTGGACCACAGCAGGGCCGGTTTCCGCAAATTGAAGAGCTGCTCGCCGAGTATGTGCTTGAGCAGCGAGCGGCACAGCGGCCCGTGACGAACTGCTCTAAGTGCGGGCTATGCAGTTAGCTTTAGAAAAAGGGCTAACGCGTAGCCAGTTCAAAGCGAGCAGGTGCTGGCTAACTATCTTTATGAAGAGGAAAGGCTTTTCCCTCCGAAAGCGAACGGGCATGCGCCAAAACTTGCCGGAGGAGTACGAAGAAAAGCTTCACAGTTTTCAGAGTATCGTCCTAAACTTGCGGCACAACAACGGCTACCTGCTTGGGCAAATAGGGAATGCCGATCAGACGCCTCTTTACTTCGACATGCCTGGCACCACAACTGGGCAATTCTCCAGGGAGAGATAGAAGATTCCCCCCTCTCCCACGCACTATCCCCAATCATGACAAGGAGAAAGCCTGCTGATAGGCTTTTTTTTTTAAGCCAAGAGGTGGCAAAGTATTTTCACAGCATTGACAATAAGCTCCTACAACACACTAGCAAGTGCTTCTGACAACAATTTTTTTTTCATTAAAAGACACATCTATGAGTATATTGGCTCAAATAGGTAGCTTTTTGTGTAAGTCTCAGCAGTGCTATATTTTTTCCATAGCATGCACCCACTAGTTTAGCAAAATGTTTCACTGCACCACCCATAACAAAATAAGAAACTCACCCATGTCGTTAAGCCAGAGAGCGATGCGGTAGTAGACGGTGTCTAGCACGTGTATCACCACTGCCAGCAGTATCCTATGGCAGTAAGAGGCAAATGGGTAGCAGATATACACATCGCTACAAGCTTGAACTAATTTCCATTAAAGGAGCCCTGTCAACACTTTTTGAGCATGGTCAGAAAACATCCGCTGATCAGTAATCGCAGTTCCCGAGCACACGCGAGCCAAATATTATAGCAACACAGCATGTGGCCTGAAAATCTATATTATTACTCAAAGTCCGCCAGAAGGTGCTTTCTCTTTTCTCTAGAAATTATGCCGTATACCCAGTGTCCATGGCATTGGCTGGTTGGAAGCATCACGATCGGCACAGGCCTCTCATGCATGGCCAGTTGGCACTGCGGCACACATGATTTGCCGCCTGTCTTGCAGAAACTAGAGCGTAGGGGGCTTACAGTTACCATTGCCGCCATGAGATATCGCCACGTATCCGTGCATGTGCTCGTGATCACACCGAGAGTAAACCACACGTTAGAGAAAAAAAGAGAAAAAAAAAAGGTGCCCAAGCTCATAACGCTGACGAAGGGACACATCATCTTGCCCGCTTGTCATCACCCTCGCAGCACAGCTTTCAGCACGCTCACTTGTCGCTCACTTGTATGAAAAAAAAAAAAAGCATTTGCGCGTGCGACAAATCCATGCAACACTGCTCGTACTTGATGAATTCTAAAAAATTTTTTGCAGCACGTGATTCGTGAAGTGTCACGTGCTGATAGTGAAACTATTTCATTATAACTAAGAAAAGTGTTGCAGGGCTCCTTACCAAGGCTACTAAATGTGTAAAGTACCTGAGCTAAAGCACTGCATATTATACCCCTGTCAAGTCGGCAAGTAAAGTACACTTACAAGTGCACTTTGAGACCTTCAGTGACTTTTTAGACTATGCGGTTCCAAGCGAAAAAACTGAGCAGAACAAAAAAAGCGACAAGACTAAGAGCATGTTCTTGCAATACGTATATTAAAAAGAAACAAGCTTCTGAAAAGCCGAATGTTTTATCTTGCATTATATCTAAAAACACTTAATCTAATCTGAATGCACAATTTAATAGTATGAACTTCGTTAGCAAAATGAACACAAACACAAACTGAATGAAAAACAGTGACCACACCGTTGTGTGAACAATAAATTCCTTTTCATACTGCACTGTCTTGCTTGTCACTGAATATCCATGAATTATTTCGTAATGAACTGTTAAATGAAAATGGACTTTTGTACCCTCTTTCTATGCATTACAATATAGTATAATAGAAACTCCTGGCAGCGAGGCTATGTGCTTGGCAAGCAAAAAGCGTTCCATTAACACACTTTGCACTCTTCTGCAAGTAACACACAGGTTGCGATCTTTTAATGTAGTCGAGTGCATTTAGGCCGCATGACACTTTGTGTTAGTGCCCTTAATTTGACAGGGGTATAAACTACCGTGATACAGTTTGTGGGGGAGAACGTGTGCCCAGCCACTCTTTCCCTTTTACAGCCACGCGACAGCCTAGTCGCAAGGATATGTCTGTCCCTTTAGGTACGAGTCAATAAGGCCTCTTGCAAAGGGATGCAACACCCCCATGGCCAGGGCTTGCGATTCGCCCTTTCCTGGCGCATGGAATGGGTTTCCTCTCCCTCAGCGATGGAACGCATTCTCGTCAGGGAGAAGGAAACCGGGGCGGTAAAAAACCAGTGTGCTGACAAGCGGACGCTCTTTCTAACACCAGCCTAGAAGAAGGAAGTCGAACCCGCAACCCCCTGCGAGTTGAGGACGACAACGACCAGGAGTAAGCGTCAATACCATTGTTATCTGTCCTCTCTACCCGACATTTACACTGCTATTGTTAACGTATAGCAATAAAGTGTCAGTTTGTTGACCTAGCCCGTTGCCTTATTCGCCCGAACCCGTGTAGCTGCAATGACACGAGCTATAGATAGGGGACGTTAATCGTGCACGGTATGACTGTGTGTGGCTGGAACATTAGCTATAGGCTTTTGGGTCAGCTGTACATAGGACAAACCCCCTTACATCTGGCGCCCAACCTAACAAATTTGGCAACGCGGCTAGTTTTGTGGACGCGAGCAACTACCGACACTCCTGGTAGGAAAACAGGCATGTCAGAATTCTAAGATTTGTCAAAGTTGTCTGAAGTCGCGTCGCAGAGTGTCGTTCTTTGGCTAACGCGGGGGCACTGTTAGGACTTTCCAAAAGCGTAGATTTTGGTCGTTTCATGCGAGATTATCAGGAGGGTGCAGAGACCGCGTTAACTCAGATTAGGCCTACGACGGCGAGCGCCACGCCAACCACTCAGTCACCTCGCGACGCGAGCAGAGAGGCGCCGCCACAAGTTGCTCCAACACACGCCCCAATGTAGATGATTCTGCAAGCAACAGTTTGCCCTCGAGCGAGGTACTCTTACAGAATGCGCTGTCAGTTATGCAAAGCCTGGCGAGCCCCCTGCAGAACACAGCGCAGGCCCCCGTACAGACTGTGCGACCACGTGTCAAGGTAGACATGCCTACCTACACAAGTTACCACGACTCCAAGGGTGCAAACGAGTATCTCGACTGGTTGCTCTATTATCAGCAGGCGACAGGACTTTCTGACGCCAAACTTCTCGAGCACGTGGTCCCGGTGTCACTCACGGAGCAAGCGGCTCGATGGTTCCGACTAATCGGACATCGCACCCACACGGTAGAAGAGTTCCGCGACAGCTTACGCGGCGAATTCCTACCGGCTAATTATGAGTGGCGTTTGCCGAGGGAATTAGAGCTACGCACCCGACATCCGGACAAATCCTTGCTGGAGTATATACAGGCGATGGACAAACTGTATCGTCTCGCTAGCCCTCACGCCACCAACGCAGGAAAAGTCGAGTGCGCTATGAGACAAGCACACCCGAATTTTGCGGCGCACTTCAGGGGATGCAAGTTCGCAGACCTAGAAGAGCTCGCCAGCGAGGCGAAGTGCATACAAGTTGACAACCTCGCTGTGCAATCGTATTGCCCACCTTCGCTCGCAGCGCAGTCAATCGAGCCTCGCTGTGCGTGGAATGGCGGCGCGGTAACCTCAGAAGCGTTTAGGGGTAACGCGTCAGCATCGTTCGCTGATGAGCACGTACCACGCAATTGGGAGCTGTCAGACCGCGCTTTGGACCCCTACGCGCACGCGCTCCGTATGGCTCACGCCGCCCCCGCACGTGACATTTCACGGCAGAATGCGCACGGTCGACACGAGGCCTAACGAGCGGCACAACCCAGAGTGATTGATTGATTGATTGATTTGTGAGGTTTAACGTCCAAAACCACCATATGATTATGAGAACGCCATAGTGGAGGGCTCCGGAAATTTCAATCACGTGGGGTTCTTTAATGTGCACCCAAATCTGAGCACACGGGCCTACAACATTTCCGGCTCCATCGGAAATGCAGCTGCCGCAGCCGGGATTCGAACCCGTGACATGCTGGTCAGCAGCTGAGTACCTTAGCCACTAGACCACCGCGGCAGGGCAACCCAGAGCGAGGACCACCTGATCAAGGCGATTGACGATCTAGCTGCCGAGGTTTCTGCGGTCCTTCTTACCGGTGCGGCGCGCTGAGGCACATCACCCACGAATGCGACCGCACACCAAGCAAGTCAGGAGCAAACACGCGGTTCGGGAAACGGACAGCGCTGCCGGTAATCCACATCGGACCCCGCGCAGCGACCAGTAATCCCACTGATGCGTTCGGATTACTTGCACCCTCAGTCTGTCGCGCAAGTGATGCCATACACTCACCTGCACCGCTAATCGAGTTAACGATAGCACGGAAGAAGTTCGTAGCACTTATTTATACTGGGGCAAGCGCTTCTTTGTTCGGTGACAAAGTGTTGCACCATCTCGCAAGAACAATATCCGCTTGAGACAAAGCAACACCATTTTCCACCTTGCTATGGGCACAGCACAATCGAGCGGCACGGCTAGGCTAGTGATCCGCTAGGATATACGCGTGAGGCGACAACGTTTCGTGCATTTCCTAGGCTGTCAATGTCTCTAATCCTGGGTTGAGACTTTCTCACCAAGTCGGGTATTGTCATTGAAATTGCAAACGGCGGTAACCGAGAGCGCGACGGCAGACGCGCTAAAGCTTTTTTCGAAGGCCCCCGCATTGACAAAAGCATGCCAATCGCAGGGAGAGGTGCTAGTACACAAGGAGGAAAGCGCACCGAGAAAGCATGTAACCACCCCGCCGGAACAATGTGCCGCGCTGCAGGGAAGGTCAGTGCACCCACTTTTGGTAGAGGCACAGAGCCTTCCAGAAGGGGAACGAGCGCAGCTGTCGTCGCTGTTGTACGAGTACGATGTGATGTTTACTGACAAACCCGGCTGCACTATGCTGGTCAAGCATAGAATTGACACTGGTCATGCACGACCTTGGAAATGCAATCCCCTACCGATCAGCTTGGGCTACTTGCAACTCTCCACGGCAGGCCGCGTTTGATATGTACGACGCAAGGTGCAAGGGTTCGCACGCAACACATGTGCAATTGTTAACCTGTCCTTTTTTCTATGTCGACTTTCACCGAGCAGATGGAAAGTCGAAAGGGAAAAGAGGTGCCGCTAGAACAGCTCAGAGAGGAAACCGCTCCTCCCACCGGATCACCCCCAACACCATCCATGTCGGTATCGTGGCCCCAGCCAACCAAGGAAGCCACTTCCAGCCTACCCCTTCGCCCTCATCACCGGGTCTTCACGCAAGAGGACACCTGGGTGACCAACCGCCAGCCCAGCCTGGAGAGCAAGCTGCATCAGAGCCGCTGTCACAAGGTCAAGCTTACCTAGCCAACCCATGGTTGTCCGGGCACCCTTATAGGCCTCTGTTACCTCGAGGCCATGGCGCGGCACACCGAAGACGACTTTCGAGCCTGCTAGACCAGCAGAGCTGTGACCCAATGCGGCAGCCCAGACCATGCTGGAGAGGGCAGCCTGGGGCCAGTGCTGAACAAGACATGTCACCAATTGGCTCCTCTCAGTTGCCACCAACAACCTGAGTGGCGGGCGTCAATGGGGCGCGGTCCAGACCAGAGTGATACCGACACCGGATCTAGGGCGGCAGTAACAGCAGCAAAAGCGACAGCAGTGGCAGTAACGGCAGAGGAGGGGACAGCGGTGGCGATGACTGGCCATGATGCAAGTAGGCACGGCAACAGTGGTGGTGGCTACTTTGAATGCAGCGGCGACAAGTGGGGACACCGGCGGCACTCACGGCAGAGGGCCAACTGCAGGAGGGCACTGATTTGGACCCTCCGTCCTAGCCTTCCTCGATGATGAATTACAAAATATTCTCATGTTGCAGTCTCTGTCATTCGGGGGGCCTTCTTAAGGGGGGAATGATGTGGGGGAGCACGTGCGCACAGCCACCCTTCCCCTTTTACGGTCGCGCGACAGCCTTAGTCACGAAAATATGTCTGCCCCTTTAGGTACGAATCAATAAAGCCAGCCTCTTGCGAAGGGATGGAACAGCCCCGCGGCCAGCGCTTGTGATTCCCCCTTTCCCGGCCGCATGGAACGGGTTTCCCCTCCTTAAGCCCTTAAGGAGGTAACGTATTCTCACCAGGGAGAGAGAAACCGGGGCGGTAAAGAAAATCAGGGTGCCGACAACCAGACACTCTCTCTGACACCGGCCAAGGAAGAAGGAGGTTGAACCTGCAACCCCCTGAGAGCCGAGGATGACAACAGCCAAGGAGTAAGCGTCAACACCTTGGTTATCTGTCTCTCTATGCGACATTTACGCACTATTGCTAACTTATAGCAATAAAGTGTCGTTTTGTTGACCTAGGCTGTTGCCTTATTCACCCAACCCGTGTAGCTGCAATGAGACGAGCTAGGAATAGGAAACGTTAATCGTGCATGGTACGACTGTGTGCGGCTGGAACATTAGCTATAGGCTTCTGCGTGAGCCGTACATAGGACGGACCCCTTACAAGTTTCACACTCTCAGAACACAATGTAATCAAGGGGAAAATTAAGACCGATTTCAGTCACAAATGCAGCAGTAGCAGCCACCTTCCCTTCATGATATTGTGACTATCCCAACTCACCTTGGGCAAAAAGGAGAAGTTTCCCAGGAAGTACCTTTGCACACGCCACTCGTCCCACCAGTGCTGAAATTTACAAATGAATAGTTATTGGTACGTGCACGATGAAACGAAGAAAATGCATGAATTAAAGTAAATGTTATAGCTAGAAGCAAGTAACACCAATCTTCTTGTAACTCTCATTCAATTCCTTTTGGGAGCGTAACATTCAGCACTGACTACCCTCCCATGTGGAAGTGTACATGTGTAGTCGGTACCAGGCTTATGTGCAGAAAGACTAATGGCAAACTGGGTGCTGTTCTACTTCACAAAGATTATTAATTTATGGCGTAGTTGATACCTTGCAGAAAGCCAGAGCATCAAATGCAGTTAGTCCTTGTCCTAACACTAAGCTGCGCTCAGAATTTGTACTAGGCAGTATTGAAATCATCGGTGGATATTTGTTTTAGTCGGCTTACTATGTAGTGTCACAGATTCAAGTACGAATAGGTGCCAAATTGCTCTTCTATCAGTTCTTTTACGCTTCAGGAGAAGCCTGTTAAAGCACCTGGAGTTGAAAGATGAGGAAGACAGCCAGCACTACAATCAGAAGGCAGCAGGCTACCACGGGCAGTGTCACCAGATACCGGAACAGGTGTCTCTTCCAGGCAGGATAGCTGGGCTCTAAGCGTCCTGTCACTGGACTCCGGCTGGGCTCACCCTAAAAAGCATGAAAAAGACTCCAGTTCGTAGTGTTTCACATTCCCTCGAAGTCTTAAAATTCAGTTGCAAAATGCATATGTGTGCTACTAAAGTACACAACATACCGCAATATGCCAACAAATCTGAATATGTTGGGAAATTGTGCTTCTGCAAAATGAACAATAAACAAATTTAGCATACACCAACAAATGGAGAAGAACCTGACAAAATGTAGCTGAGAAGATGCAGGTGCTTTAGGTACATTTCACATTGCAGCAATATAAGTAGACCTTAAAGCTCAAAGCACAAACTCTTAAATGTGAGACTGGGCATTATCAGCTTAATGATAAACCAAATGTGCATTTAGAATATTTATATGAGTGCAAGTCAACCCCTCTATATTGCTAGTGCACTCCATAATAGGAACTTCTGACTTAGCAGAAGAGCACCAAGTTAGGCTGGTTGGTTGACGTTCATTCTGGAATGGTTTAACCATGCTGATACAAACAAGGACACAGAGATAGTGAAAAACAGCTCATTATGACTTAGTTGCTGGACTGAACACCCATGCCAGTAATTTTCAAGCCAGCCCGCTTCAACTATGATACCTACACCTAACAGGCATTGAAGGACATTCTCAGTATGTTGTGCGAATATTTTAGCACTTTAAATATTCAAATGAATATTACAATATTCGAATTCACTTCGATTTCATTTTGATTTATTGAAAATTTCAAAGTGTTTGAAATGAACGAGTGGGCGTATATTATCACGATGGCCTGTGCAAGAAGAACATGGACAAGAAAAAAAAAAACTATGACACAGTCGCTGTCTAACAACTAACTGGCCATAGCAAGCATTCTCCAACTAGCCAAACTCGCCAGCCTTCAAAAATGTCTATTAGTCAGCATGTAACCCCCTTGAAAGATGGGTTCGCTCCAGTGGAAGGGTGCTATGCCATCAAAACACCTATCCAGGGGAAGTGCACACTGCTGCAAAAATTAAATTAACGTATTACCCTCACATCGATTCATCATATTCTTAAGTTGGTTATACCGACCCATGCTCTAAGTATAGAAACTTTTGAAACATAACATATTTTACATATTATCACTTGCATTTTACCAAAAGTGAAATCTTGCTACCATTCGAATTGTCTCCACTACCTTTGAACCAAAAGATATGGCATTTGGACATGCCTTGTTTCAATTGAAAAAAAAAAAAATAGAGAGAGAGCAGATGATGGCAAATATGCTCACTGTTCTTAAAATATGTGATATACACTATACAAATTTTATTCGAAATTATCCGGCAAAATCACTATTCGCTGTAAAATTTACCATTCACACAAGCCCAGTTCTCAGTATTCTTATTTTCAAAATTTTAGCAAACATTACCATTTGAAAGCAGACACTTCCCATACGTCATGTGAGTCAATTGTGACAGGGACTTCAAGCAATGGTTTGAGAAAGATATTGATGCTGAATCCGGACCCCTATGCTAAAATAGTGTTTTTCATCAACGGTTATGCTTTACAGCATGGTGACTGCATAGGGTGCCACAAGAAGAAAACGATTAAGACCCATCATGTCTACATCAGACAAACTTATTCAAAGAAACCTGTCCCTTATGCTGAAACTAATTTCATTTAGGTGAAATATTTAAGGATGCAAACTAGCATGATTGTACAACCCACATCACAGTTTTTTGTATCAGACAGGAAAATATTTAACACTCCTCTTTCCAATGATCACTCTTTATACGTAAAATGCCCTTTCCACAGATGACTCGACAGTTTCCTTTTCATCATTAGAGTGGGAAAATCGACATTTTCTGGATAAAAGCCAAATTGTCGGAGAGTTTAATGAATTATGTTTCTGTCTTATTATTTGGTTTAGGCCAAACACACTAAAGCGTAGTAATAAGCAACATGAAAAATTATTGATATAGGCTTTTACTGTATCCATATAAATGTGGCCAATGTTGGCCGAGTCCTTACACTGGAACCCGATCAGAGAGTGCTGAAAGAATTAAATATGAGGCATCTGCATCTCACCCGGAACTGAGACCTGGGCTCCACCAGCAGCTCACTTTGCTCTTCTAGAGTGCCCCACTGGTAGGCTAGCTCGGATGAGTAGCGTTTCCACAGCTCAAGGTAGATGGTCGCCCAAAGCATGTTGAGCAGTGCAAATCCCACCAAACACGCATCCTCCTGTGCCTGCACATCAAATTAATGCCAGCATCACTGTGAGTGAAACACGCCTATCAACATCCCACACATTCCTCCCTCCAAATATCCCATTTACAGTTACAGTGCAACAGAAAAGCCCTGCTCACATCTGGAGGAGGCTTCACCTGTGAGCAGCGCACATCCAATGAACACCAACCTTGGGATGCTCAAGCTATGCAGTAACCTTCTAGCAGTCAGCCGTAACGGAAGCTACTGAAAAAACAGCCAGGCCTGCGCAGAGCGTGCAGCACAGTCACAGAGAAAGCTGAAAGAGCAGCCTTTCTAGAGCCTTTATAAACATTATTGGAGTAACTGCTACAAAAACACTTGCAGGTACCCACTATGCTATAAATAATCGTAATTTTTATGTAGTAACAAAACTTTCACCATGCCATTCTTCGACATTTTTGGAGAAGCATGGTGCCCGCTACACATAATATAAATTTTGTGCAATTTTTTTCTGCTGTGGCTGATGGTGATGAAAAATTATGGCTCAATATTTTGTAATGGGTCAGAAGATTTGACGACCCACTCGTTACACAATTTGCATTGTTAGATGCCTCGTTCTTCCTTTGCTGTTTTAAAATGCTTTGTCACTCATATCAACGAGATTCCTTTCCTGACAAGAAGCCTACCTAGAACCAGTTTGCAGCGAAGATTCAAGCACAGGTGTATTCAGTGGTAGAATACTGGACTGACACGCGGTAGGCCCGGGTTCGAATCACATAGTGTCATTAGTGATTTTCATTTACTTTTTTTTCTTATTTCATGCGATTGTGGTTACAGACACCGGTGGCGGCGGTGGTGGCCAACTACAGCGCATGTGACCCTTGTTGCGATCTCATAACAGCTTTCGTTGTAAAACAAAGGCTAGCACAACACTTAGCACAACAGCAAGTAGTGGTGTGTACAATTGTACACATCAACTTTGGAGACGCGTCAAGCAACATGTATTTTATTGCCACAGCAATTATATGGACACTCTCAGGTAGATTTTGCCCCCAGCTTGTCGTCGTTGTCGACATGGGCATCGCCGTCGCTCACTGTGTATGTGTACGTATCTATATATATGAAAACGCAAGAAAGAAAAATAATCCAGAAAAAAACTCTGGTGTGCGGAATCGAACTTGGGACCTCTGAGTCGTGAATGCGAGGCATTAACCACTGTGCCAAAAAGAAGCATGTTCTTCAAGGTTGAAACGGCAAGCTATTTATATCTACCACTTACGTGATGGGCATCTTGGGGGGGGGGGGGGGGGTAACTATTGTGTTTTCAGCATTACCAGCAAGATGGCGCAATGAGCGCACGGCGACGCGCACTGTCATATCCCACGCGTACTTTGCCCCGCAGAAAGGAAAAGGTTGACGCTCGCTCGCGTGCCCTTATCTCGCGGAGGGTAGGATTGTACGTCTTGGCTGGCCTGTGGCTTTCACAGGAACGATTCTGTTGTTACCAAGCACACAAAGGTCACTGCAATTGTTGCAGTTTCCATTTGCGAAAAGAGCGCTTATTCGCATTAATTTGTACCTGTGAGTATGTTTCGTGCGTTACTTGTGCGTGAGAAACGCGGAGAACGTTTCGATCTGCTTGCCATTCTGTACGTGACCTTCCCATTTGTAGCTATCGCGTTCATTTTCTCGCTTTTGCAGCAAAGCTGTGACTTTTTTTTAAATGGCTTGAAATTTGATGTAAATATTCTTGAAGGCTTCCTGAGTGCACAGCTAATGGTTATTCAGCTTTATTTTGCAGCATGCTGCTGCAAAGGGTCACTTTACTGGAAGTACTATAATCATCGACGAACGTCTGACGTGCCGTATTCGAGCACCAACGTCGAGAGTTTATTTTTTTTTTTGCTCGAAATGAATATAAGCAAAAAACAAACTGTGTATGCATTTAAGGCCCATCATGTAAGCCTTTTTCCGCAAAACTTGAAGCTGATTGATAGTACAATAATTAAATATTTAATTACATGCTAACATTAATTACTAAGACCCATGAAATACAACACATTCCTTCATTTTCTTCTTTGAAATGTGATTGCCATGGCATCATGCCATGCGAATTTGATGCATTTGCAGACAGGAGATGATAATTAGCACCTGAAGGGGATATAATAAAAGGTAAATATTCCCCAATAGATAAATTTAGAGAAAAACAGACAAATTTGACCCGAAATGTATTGTAAAATATAAGACGTTTGAAAGCCTGGTTGGCTTCTTCTTCAGGAGCCAAAAACCAAACTGCCACTACGAAAAGAACTTTGCATGCAACATCTAATTACAATGGTAGTTGCTGACTTACCAGTTTAAAACAAAATCGAGTTTTCCAATTCTTTAATTAATTTCAGACTGCCTAGAAGATGAAGAGATTCTGTGGTAAAACAAACCTTTTAGCAACTATACCCTGCATAAAAGGTCGAGTTTAGGTACAGTTTTGATATAATGAAGTTGCCAACTTTACCAACTTCATTATTCAGAGGCTGAACTGAATTGTTAAAGCCTTTTCTTGCAAACGTAAAAGAGCATTGATTTGATAAAATGGTCCCCATTATACTGCATGCCATGAGAGAATATCATTTTTTTAAAAAGGGACCGCAGTTCAAGCTGAACTCACCTGTTCACCATGAGAGCCACAGGAGAGGCCCACGAGCAGGCCGACAATGGCGGGCACGGCCAGGGACCAGGTGTAGTGGCCCAGCCAGGCAAAGTACATGGCCACTTTTGCACCAAAGTAGTTCCGCACACGTTCTAGATGGCACAGGTGTAACAGAATAAAAAAATGAGCAACCTCTGTGCACAATGGCACGAAGCCTAACAAAACAGCACACAAGAATGTGCGTGTTTCTGGCAAGCTCTTGTGTGCTGTTTAAAACCACACTTCTCATTACCATCGCGATTGATTTTACAGCAGTGTTTTGACACACAAGGCCACATCACAACAGTGGACTGCTTTACATTAGAGCGTGAAAAAAGATCAAGGGGAACTAAGCATCAAACACGGACACATGAGGAGTGGAACAGGTACCACTGACAAAAAAAAGCAGACCAATATACATGCGTCAACAATGTGAAAAAGCTCTGATGGGGTAAAAATCACTCTCCACTCAACAAGTAAGAATAGCATCTGAAGCCCAACAGTGAAGTGCTCTGTTCTGTGGGGGGTACTGACACTCCCCTGTAAAGTTGTCTGCGCCGCGTGGCGCACGTGTCTCGCGCAGAAGCCGTATTTCGGGGTCACTGCTATTGAGCGATAAGTAGCGTTGTGTACGCGAGCGGTTATCACCGCTATCATCATCATCAAGGTTGTTAAAGCGGTAGCGCCGACAGTGACCCCTGGCGGCAGGCAAGCCTTGGTGGCGGCGCGCAACAAACAAGCAGTTCTTTTCTGCGCCTGGTGGTTGCTGCGAACTGCTGTCTCTAGCGTGGGTCCCCGGAGCGTGGCGCCACGGGCTGCACGTTGGGGGCCCTCGTGGTAAGTCAAGCATTCGCGATGCCGCCTTGGGTGTGTTACTGTGTTCGTCATGTTGTTTAATATTGTGTAAGGATGTCTTAGCGTGTTGACCACGATTTATCTTATAATAATTCGGCTGACGATATCGTCGTTCTAAAATTAGTTAAGTAAATGTATGTTGTTTGGATTGTACCAACCGCGTCTTCTGTGTCCATTCACTCCAAGAGCGTGGTGGCGCTCGCCACATCTAGACCCCACAGTTCCAACCTTAGGCTTTCTTGGTAGGCTTTTGGTAGGCTGTAGGCTTTCTTGGTTTACTGTCAAGAAAGGTTTATTAAAGCTAAAGCGAAAAATTGCTATCCACATAACGCTTGCATTAACCTAGACCGAAAACTCGTTAGAATTTTCCGTCACAGTAAGATAAATGAGTTTTTCTCACTTACGATTCTTTCCACCTTTTATGAATTTGCACACAAATAGCTAGCTGTATTCATAAATGATCTTAAATTTTATGCCTCACCGTCTCTACTTTTCAAGCGGCAACCTCACGTCCTATCCTATGAGCTTGAACCTAGTGTTTTTATCAAATTGCACACTCACCACTTATGCTACAAGCATGAAGTGAGCTCCTTCTTAAGAGGGAAGCTTGCTTAAATGGTCTCGTTTGGGCACAGCACATGGACTGATTGTGAGGCTACAACAAATTGGCTACAAGCAACATAGTGGTTGTACTTGAGCAATGATAAGTAGAAAAACGGCTCAGTGTTGGTTGGCTCAGCATTGTCGCTTGCTATTCATTCAGCTGCCCATTGTGCAAGCAATACAACTCTCATGAAGCTGTACACACACAATAGACCAAATTGCAATCTCAGCTCTGGGACAGCGTATCCCGTGACTATATGTCACTCATGCAGCAGCACTCATTCAGTCTACATGAAGTGATTCCCAAGCAACAAAGACCCAAATCACAGTTAGGGTCTCTGGTGAGAAATACCGAAATCCACACATTCTGAATTCTCTTATCGTGTGAACGCCAGCTTCCACAATTATGCCACAAATTACTTCACTAATACGTCAGAGATGATGTCTATCATTTAAATACACCTTCGTCAAGGCAACAAGTGTGCATCTAGGTGGAGGATGATGCAAAATTCTGTTTTAAAAATCACACTTTAGGGAAGTTACTATTCATGGACATTTCCAGAGTCAAGATTTGGATACAATTGGAGAAGAATGCAAGAACTGCTCAAGATTATGGCTGAAAATTGCGTGGAATTGACCTTGTAGCAGGAGAAAATCTTGACTTGACCAATATTTTGGGATATCGGAGCTTGAGTTTTACTGTATCTTAAGATTTGCTGTAACGTCAATCAGCGACCACTTGTTAAAAAAGAGGTGTGTGCCAAGAACTGAGAAAAACCCCAATCCTAAAAACCAGTATTCTCACCTAGTGGCTGCAGCCTAAAGAAAGCCAGCACCCAATGTTTCTTGAGCCAGTCTAACTCCTTCGTAGAATGCAGGGCCACCAGCTGACTGAGGAGGCCCTCAGCAAGGCACCACTCCACTGCAGATTGAAGATCAAGCATAGATTATGAAGTCACAACAGGTAAGGACAGGTAATTTTCTTGCAATCATGAATAATCAAAGTATACCAGACTTTATTATCAGTGCTGGGGCAACAATTTTATAGAGCTGCCTTCTGCTATGTTTTTTTATTTGCTCCTCTTATCATTCTTCATGATTAAATACAGGGGAATATCACTCTGACCATTGACAAAGCATCAAGAGAAATAGTATTGAAGAAAGCATGACGACAATATCGCAGCCTAGCCCTGGCCCACCTGAAGTCCACAGCAAGACGAAAAACCTATAGAGGGTATGTACTGAGACTTGATCCACATGGGGGCAACACTATCATCATGCCATTTTTTATCGTCTGAACACTAGGAGGAAGAAGGTACATCATGCGCGCCTCATACCCTTGAGCACTTAATTCTCTCTTTTTTTTTTCTTCAAACCCATGGTTTTTCAGTGCAATCGCACGTGCACGTGTGGACACGTCGTGGTGTCTCGCGGCAGTCTCAGTAACTACCGAGTGCGCCATACTCAAATCAACCGATGGTGTGATCTGTGGGCCTAGGATGTAGTAATTTTTTAGTACAAAGCAACATTTGTTTAGAGAAAAGAAAGCAATTTCTAGCTGACTTTTTTTGAGAACTAATTACAAGTCCAGGGCACATGCTGTGCTATATTATTTAGCTCACAGGTTCTCAGAAGCCTCGACTACTGATTGGCTGCATTTTATGCTCATGCTCAAAAAGTGTTGAGGGGCCAATTTCATTCCTGCCAGCACAATGCTAAATAAATTAAAAACATAGTTTTCAAATAAGGTGCTATTCACGACATCCATGAGAGCAAAGCTTTGAAAAAAGTGCAACCAAAGCTCTCCTTTCTACATGAGACGGCTCACCACTAGACAGTGCAGACGATTTCACCACATACTTGAATGGTGCATATTATGCTGTGGCCAACAGTACTTCCATGTTGAATGCGACTTTCTTATCAGAAGTTTCCACAAAAGCATCCTGAATATTGCTTTGCTATTCTGATCTGAGGTGGTATACAATTTTTCTGTATTCAACATTCAGCAGCAAAGCAGCTTGGTACCAAGACATTGGCCCTCGAGGCAAGGCGTGTGATGGCCTGATGGTGGACCCGGATGGTCCCCTGGTCCAGACGCGCGCAGACCTTCTCTCAGCCAGTGCAGCACCACACGTTGCCGCTCCTGGGCACTCAGCTGACCACTCCCTTCGAAGCAGTCCTTCTCGGCACAAGTGAACTCCCGGTTGCCACCTCCCCATTCAGGGCGCAAGCGCTTGCGCAGCCGCAACTCTTCGGCTCCACAAAGAAGCCTCCAAATGTCCATGAAAAACAGACCATTTGCAAAAGTAAGACATTTCGTCAAATCACAAGGGTAACAGAGAAACTATAAAAATTTATTTATTCATTCTCCTTAATAGGCCCAATACCCGCAATACAACCCATATCCTGATTACTTATATCCCTAAAGATAGCTGATGGCAAAGGGAGGGGAGGTTGGTATCATTTAACAGTGCGACACAGGTTGTATTTTGATGCATATTTCTGCTACAACAAAATGACCGGCTCACTTGCATTGTTATTCTCGAAAAACTGTGCTATCAAGACTGGTATGTCATGCTATAGCAGTCTGTTATTGGGAAGTACAGGGCGTGTGGCGACAACGCAAGGAGAGCAAGCGAGATAGATCATTACTGTCACGGACGGCTATTTTTGGTGACACCGCGTCACGGCAATTAACGGGCGCCGTACTCCCCGACTGACCATGCATGAGAACGGCGGCGCATGAAAGGGAGCCGAGAAGGGCAGAATGGGGTGCTCTTCTTAGAACGTCGCCGCCGACGGTTAATCCGTTTGTAACTGTGGCAGCGTCTGCAAGGTCGTAGAAGGCCGCGGTATACCCCGAACAAGGATTAGACTACAAGACGCACCGGCTGAGAGCCAAACACTTGACCGTTCCCACGGGGAAAAGAGTGGGAAACGCTCTGGTGGCCAAGCCGTATGACAACAACCCAACAGGTTGTCACTCTCGCTAATTGAGGGTCCTCTCCCAATTAAAAAGGGGTAGGGTCAAAATATTTTTGGGGCGGAGTTTCCATCAATAAACGCGCATGATTGGACCCATGTAGAGGTCTCTTGTCCCCAAGAAAGAGAACGAGGAGACACAAGGGGGATTTAAGCGCAGGATTTTGCCCTGCTAGGCAGACTAGTCGCTGACCAACATGGTGTAGAAATAGATCAACAAGCATCTCTTCTAGAAGTTTTTAGTGTGGCTCTGTATCGGCTGGCCACCTAAACTTAGCCGTTCGTCTAGTTGTGACGCGATATTAACGTCTGCAACGTAGACATCGGGACTTCGCCTCGAGTTAGCTCAACCTGCTCGAAGTCACCTGCAAGCACTAGCCTCCCGGAGCCACCAGCGTTGCAACACCGCCGACATCGCAGTCGTGCCAGAACTCTCTTCGACTTCTCGCATCCGATCGTCGGGGACGCAACGCTGCCGGTCATCACACGTATGCCTTCACCTGTTTATATCTTCGAACTTTCTTCTCCGTAGTCTATTGGCGTTAGTTTGTGTAGTTTGTAATAGTTCTCTCGGGTAAGCTGATTTATTGTTTTTATATGTATTTGTATAAAGTGTTGATGTATTTTGTTAGTTGTATTGAAGTGTTGTATTAGATCCCGTGTGCTGCAATATCACTAGAGTAAAGTTTGTTTTGTTTTCTCACGTCTCTGATCTCTTCACTGTCTCTGCTTGCGTACGGAACGAACCAACCTGCTGTCATTCCCGTCGCCGACTTCGCGCTGGCGACGCTAGAGTGGCAGCTTGTAACAATTACATTTGTGCGGAGGAAAGACGAACTTAGTTTATGTCGTTCTCATCTGGCATCTTTCAGACTTTGAAGCACTGCTTTCATCATCCATTATGTCCCAACTAGCCTTTAACAAGCCTTTCATGAACACCCAAGCATTCTTTTTTTCTCTTAGGAGTGTAGACTGCTTCGAATTATTTTTTCGCCACACAGGACAAGCCGCCAATATCACGAGCCACTGAATTGTTAGTAGAAATTATGAATCCATGTCAACCTTTCGGTGCAGAATAATGTAAACTCATGGCATCAAACTCTATACATATTCTCATCTTTCAGAGTAATTCTAGACATCCTCTGACATGTACACAATGTTTGATACACGTGTGCATTCTCCTTCTTCCTTCCAAATGCAGTCCCACTGTCTGGCTAATGAAACTGGCCACTTCTACTACATAGCAGAGCAACTTCTACATAACATATGAAGCTTGCATTATTTCCAAGGCAAGCAGACTAAGCATGAAAATACAACGTGCAAATGCTTTAACAGCCCAAAAATTACTCTAACAACGACAATATTGCAACATGCCTTCTGCATGTGTATCCTGAAAACTGAGAGTGGTTGCCGATGCCTGGAGCTCTTTCATCATTGTTCAGCATTGCAGCTGTCTTTGTAAGCATACCTTCTAAACAACTGTCACTATGTTTACTGTTTTATTTGCATAACATTTGGGGCAGTGCACATTCCCCATCTCCCTCACAGAGCTTTGCCACGGCGTTCATTTCAGCCACGTCTGTTATTGATCAACATAAACTGGCCAGAAATGATAGTCCTGATCTGAACCACTGGCTCAGCATGTAAGTTTAGCCAAAATGGGTCTTATCATAATGCTCACAAATGCGAACTTTCACAATGGAGGAACAGCGTAGGTTCAGAAATAATAAGCATCAGTTCTGTAGCTAACATATCTTCAGGAACCCTGAATTTGAGGATTCTTATGACTTCCAACTTTCCACAGGAGCTGAGCACTTATACCATAAAATTAAGGTTTTATTTTCTAGAATCATGCTTTCACAAAATTTTACTTATATTCAAAATTCTAACTGTCATTTATTTATTGAACAATGCAATGGTAGCAACTAGAACAAAAAGAAGCAAAGTAAATTGAAGTAAGAATTAGATTGTGGCTTTGAGGCCGTGGTAGCGATGGCATCCCAAGTTTCGTGCTCACTTTTTTTAAAGAGACATGCAATGCTTAACCATCACTGCCTAACATGAGCCCACAAAACACACAAAAGTGCATGTGTACTGCAAGAAGCACTAACATGTACGTATAGCGACATTTTAAACAATCTCACAGCGACCATCTGTTCACACTGCTCTGTATCTCCTCATAACAATCGCTGAATGCTTGATATTTATCTGCTCCTTCATATTGCCATGTTCACTTCTTTTTATGTTATGTAACCAATTCATTACATGTATAACTACCACCTTCTGCAAATCACACCCAAGTGTCTGGGAACCTTCCACATTTTTTTTGTTTTTGTTTTAGAACCTTCCGATAAGACTGAGCGCCGCGTGGGACTAGTACAACCTGGACTAACCCAGGCACCAACAGTAATGCTGGAATCTTCAAAGTAGCAGGTATAAAAGGCTGACACACTGCACTGCTGGTCATATTACCCAGTGCCGATGCTCTGTTGTGCGTGTGATGGCCTGGAAGCAGATTTACAATTTGGCATATTTTTTCCTACTTGTGTACACCACATATTGCTTGTGCTTTAAATTTGTATTTTATGGGCACAAGTTCCCTCAAATAAAGAGTTTTATCTTGAACATACCAACTGCTGCCTTCTTCAACATCACTACCATGCGACAGTATTCTAACAGGGACAAATTAACCATGCACTATCACATATAGCATTTAAACACTAATTTTTTTACTGTAGAGTAGTAATGCCTCAAAAAGTAATTATTCATATTGATCAATAATAATAATAATAATAATAATAATAATAATAATAATAATAATAATAATAATAATAATAATAATAATAATAATAATTTAGTAAATATGGCAGCCTTTGGCACTATAGTACATCATGAACCCCACCAAATAGCCTAAATTTCAGACCAGCACATTTTTGCTGCAACTCCAGCATGGGCAGCCAGCTGAAATGAGCGACCCATAAGCCATTTATAAACAACAAATGCTGCTTTGTGTATTTCAAAATATATATCTTATATGTACTTGGTGAAGTAAACCTGTGGGAAAAAAAAGCCAGAGGACAGGACAATAGCTTGGCTGCATTTACATTTAAAAGTTTGTTAAAAAGTAGGCCCCATACTGAACCAACCAGCCAAGCATGCATCACCTTTAGCAGTTTGGTTCTGAGCAAAGCGAACTAGCCTGTCGAGCTTGTCAAACATTCAATACACTGATATCTGCACCAGCTATCTAAGAAATAACCTCTTCATTTGTGAAGAGTACTTATTGATAGCTCTCGCATGTAATTTTGCTATGTTTATTGATGTTGCATGCTTCAAACATTTTACATTCAATCATATTTTTTCCTTTGCCAATATTTACTGATTCGAAATCATAATGCAAGACCTGTTCTACATGTGCTGTGCAAGATATCCAGGCTTTGCAAGCACACAGATGGACGAGCAGTGTCTGTGAAAGAGATCACACCAGTTTATACACAAAATGCGTTGTGTGAGTGTCATAGTCTCCATCCATACAAAACAAGCATGAACATTTAGAATTGTAGAAGTTCTTTATTTTCAAAAATCCTCCAATGGAATAAAATAACATAATATCCATAACATAAATACCCATAATGAACTATATTCAAGAAACAAGTAAGTCTTTTCATATTTACAGTTTGGCAAGGTGCGTTGCCTAGACGAAAATTGGCTTCAGGCAGACTGTGACGTCTTGTTACGTCAGCAAACTTCAAGGCTTTAGTGGTACCACTATCAGCTCACAAGTGGCATCGACATAAGGTCATCGAGGCAGCTGTACCACTTGTGCCTCTGGTGTGCTGCCTAAGAAATGTAGCCGTAGGACATGTGGCAAGCCCTCACGAGGATGGCGTCGCTCGGTCCAAGCTGGTCATGCCAATACAGCTAACAGAAGATTGCTATAAAATCTTGGGCACTTTCTTCCCTGCTGGTCTTCAGTCTCAGACCAAGCCTCTGCTCCAGCACACCCACACCTCTTCCCATTCCAACCATTTTCAGTATTGCGCCACTACTTTTTCTGTCCCCTAGTCACCCACCGCATCATGTGTGAACCGCATCTCCTCTCGTGCACCTTTACTACATCATCTTTGTTTGTGCTACATGTTCTTTTTTTTTTTCTTTTAGTTTTCAATTCATGTCTGCTTTCGTTTCTTTCTTTCTCACGATTGCATTTTGTTGCTGCCCTCATCAGGTTCCCTTCTTAACGCCCTTGAATCAGAACAGTCAGTCATGCAGCAATTTACTTTGTCATCTGGCTGAGTATATAGTGGCAAGCTCAGCCAGCGTATAAATGACAGGCTGCATGAAGCAGCAATCTACACCCCACAAGCCCAGGTGACAACCCACCTAGGCAGCGATAGAGCTGTGGCTGCACCATTTATTTCAAATGATTAGTCATAAGGAAAAGAATACAAACATACAATTGTGATGCATTTGAAATCAAGAAACAAGAAAAAGTTAATGTGTCTGTGATCCTTTCGATACACATCTTATACAGAGCTTTTGTTCCTAGACAGCTGGTTTCACATTTTAATCTGTGAAATGTTTGGCTATCCTGCTTGCTCAAACTGTTCAGGGTCAAAGTGCTGAAAATGACGCATGCATTACTGGTTCCATTTGGGGTACCTTTCCATGGAAATTGTACCAATTCATGTATTTATTCCTTTTATGCTCCCCTTACACAATGCCCTGTTGTGTCTGTAAGGTATTTTAAATAAATAATAAATAAACCTTGAATTTTTAGGTTCAGCATGTGTCCTGTCAGTTGTTTGTCTTTTTTTTTCAGTCACTAATATTATCAACATACCAGCAAGAAATGTTACCTGCAAATAGTAATTCTGATAGCACCAATATCATCTTCAATGTATACCCAACAGTAAGGATTCAAGGAAACTGAAATGAAGTGCAAATTAAAGTGAAAGAATGTAATACATTGGTATTCCATTTCAGCATCTAGTGCATAACATGAGACAACATAAGGCTGACAAAGACAGGAGCCGTATTACTCTCCTACAGTGGAATACGCCGGGTTAGTACAACGTGTGCCTGTATTCGATCGACCCAAACTTGCAACTTCCTTTGCCATCTGGGCTCCCACGATGCGCTGAAACTTTACTGTGTCGCATGAGGTTGGGCGTGGCATTTACGAATGCGTAATCTCGTTTCCTTGGAATGGCGAGCAGTTCGGTATGCAACATCTGCGCCTGCGAGAAAAGGCTTGAGCACATTCTATGCCACTGCCCAGCATACCAGTCTGAACAACGTATTATGGAAGCCAAGCTCTGTCAGCTGGGTTCACGACCGCTTACAGAAAAGAAGATCCTGGAACCTTGGCCGACGGTTTCGCATATGCGTAAAGCCACGAAAGCCCTCTTGTACTTCTTAAGGACCACCAGACTTCACGAGCGCTTGTGAAAGAACTTTGTGAGACCGTGCTGTGTAGTCTCGAGCTGACTATTCATCCTTCTCTTTCTTACTCCTGTTCTTTCTATCTCTTCTTTCTATTATTCCCCCTTTCCCCCACCCCAAATGTAGGGTAGCCAACCGAGCCAAGCTTGGTTAACCACCCTGCCTTTCTTCTCTATTTATCTCTCTCTCTCCCTCTATCCTTGTCATTTGCTGTGCACTAGATGCTGAAATGAAAATTAAAACCTACATTACACTGATTTCAAGCCAATCCAACGAAAGCAGGCCGGGCGACTCACAGATGCTCAGCGGCTGGACTGCAGTAAAGTGCCACTTGGCCCATCTGTGGGTGCCGACAGAGCCGGACAGTGAGCTGCGGAACTTTTCTGTTCAGCCTTTCCCGAAACCATTCCACCACCGAAGCATCCGTATTAGCTGAGAAAGTCAGCACCAGATCGCCTTCTTGCTGCGGAGTCCTCTGGAAGAGACGCCAACGGCGGCCCACGAGGCGCCCCGCTGGTGAGAAAGTGTCCATTACTGATGCTGCAAGATTGTTCTGACTTAGGCCAAGTGAATGTTATATGTGCAATATTTCTCTGGCTGCTTAGCTCACTTTTTATGGACAACTCTTCAACTGAGAATAAGCTGGGTGAACTACAGAGGAAAGCAGAGCAACTACAAGAACACTTTAAGCACAAGCCCCAAGGAGGCTACAGGGTCATGCGGAAAACGTCTAAACAAAATGTTCAAATCCGAAAGGCAGGAATGTTTAGTCAGGAACAATATCGACACACATAACTTTTGTTTTAATTAGTGATTAAATGCCCCGTTATGAATGTGGTTGATATGAATGTGATATGAACTTACAAGGAAACTTCAGTATTTAGTGTTACAAACACTTTTGCACTTGCCAACTACATTAAGCCTGAGTAACCTTTAAACAGCAGTTCTGGTGTTCTCTTTTATATTGCTCATGGATGTAGTCATGTTTTATTGGTATACTGAACAGCTCAGAAATAACTAAACATATTCTTTCGTGAAGCAGTGCACAGGTAATGTGGGGCCCAGACAACCTTTTGCAGCCTTATAACATTGACCTGACCTTGTGCTCTATGGTATGCCCTTGCAAGAATTGTTCCACTTAGTAATTTCTTGTAGGTATTTAATTTTCCTATGACTGTTGCATTTTGTAAAACTGTTCGACAATGCGCTTGACTGCATTACAGCAGGAATGAAATGTGTTAGTCGAGATCCACATTTGACTGACGATAGGAAGTGTGTGAAGAGTGCCTCATGATGGCCAAAAATATTGAATAAGATACAAAAGATTTTATTGAAATGGAAAGAAAGAACAAAAAAATGAAATATGATCACATCCTTGAGCACATAACATGGTGGGTGGCTGCTACCAAAGACTACAAACTGTCATGCGGACACACAAGCTTCTTCCACGTGATTCGACTTCAAGCTCTCTCGTCATGATGTTATGAGTGTTTCCTGCACTTGAAAACATGCAATCACTATAAACGCTTTAGTGGCAAGACTGAAGAAGTATTGCAAAGCAGTGCTGGTGAAACCTGGATAAGTCACAGCTTTGTGCTCTTTCCAGTATTCCAGAGGATTTTCCTTTGTTGGGACCAGTGGCTCACTGAAGTATTTTCAAACTTCTTGGCTATAAATGGCCTGAGCTTAGAGCGCTGGTTCTTGCTCGGCGCTAGAAGTTAGGCAGTTTCCCGGACTGTTCACTGGCCTTTGCTAGAGCCATGCCAACTGGAAATGCTGTATATATATTTCTTTAATCAAGATGCACTCACTTTCGGAGCACGCTGTCAGTGATAGTTTCAGCAAAAGTAATGACGTTAGTTTGAGTTTTAGCCCCCTCACCTTAACCACGTTGACCCAATGGCTTTTGTAGCATTTTGGTTATTTGCCCTGTCTATAACTATTCAAAATTTCGAATACTAGACATTACGAAAGCGGAATAGAATGATTCAAGTACATACTACTCGATTCGAAACTAAAGCATTCACAGACCATCGGCAGGAAATATGAGTGAACAACTTCCACGCCTTGGTGTGACGGGCACTACCACGCGGAAACCCTGCGAACGCCTGATTATGAGGCACGCTGTAGTGGAGGGCTCCGGAAATTTCGACCATGTGATGTTCTTCAGCGTGCGCTACCATCTCACAGCACGCGGGCCTCTTCTCGTTACGCCTCCACCGAACAGCGACCGCCGCGGCCGGGATTTAACCCACGGGTAAGCAGCAGAGCACCGTGACCACTGATCCACAGCGGCGGAGACGTCGGACCTTTTACTATCGTACGTACTGTACGCATGCAAGCTTGTGCGCATACGTGTGCGAATCGCTAAATAGAATCCATTCATATCAAAAGTTTTCGCTCGCTAATTACGTTGGAAAGAACTGATATTGTCTGTTATTGCGCATTCAAGACTTAACACAGCAGGGCACCTGCAACAAGAAAACGCTGACTTTATAAGGCAACCGTAAAGAAATACGCTTAACTACAGGTAATCGCGGGCACCAAGGTAATTAACAAAAAAAAAAGAGCGGTCGGGTTACCCAGGCATGCAACAAACATGCTGTAGAGACAGCAAAGTTCACGAAGATAGGAGGGTGGCGGTATTAATAGGGAGTTTACGAGGAGTGAAACAATTGGACAAACCTGACAGCAATCGGAAGGCGTCTCTTCGCTTCTGTCGGTACGACTCCATCCAACGTGCGAGCAGACGACGTCCGAATAGCCTAGCCTTAGTTCATTGAGCTCGCTCTCCATTTCGGGAGCACGCAGCACGTGCGCGCTGGTAAGTACTCCGCGAAACAAACGAGCGAAATTGCCTGCCACAAATGTGACTGCAGCCAACCATCATTTGCGGTTCTTTCATGTTCCCCGGGGGGAGTGACCAGCTGTTGACCACATGGAAAACTTCACAAGGTGTGATCATGTCACATTACAAACGTTGTCCTGTTGAACTTATTTACCACTGCAGAAAACGCACAGTCACGTTAGTGAACGATGTCGGAACAGAGCACAGAACAGCACAGAGTACAAACACAAATTAAGTTCACGCTGACGCGCGAGTAAGCGAAAGCCTGCAGCTGCGCAATGCGCCAAACACAACTTGCAGTCTTTTAAACGTTGCAGGTACCTTTATTTCTCTTTTTGTTTGTTTGTTTGCAGCGTATGAAAATAAACAATCTCAGCGGATGTTCGGCACTTCCTGCTGCTTCTATCAGTTTTTGTGCCATGCTAGGTGGCGCCTAAACTTCCTTTGTTCTATGCCAAGTTTCGTTTTTACATTTTCTTCGGTCCAAGCTCTTGAGCGGGGTGCAATGGGAACATTTTCGTATAATCCTTTTTGTGCGCTTCTACGAACTGCCGTGATCGCAGGTCAAGAACCACTACGAAGAGCTCCTCATCGCGGAGTGACGCGAGACGGCGGCACCGCGGCTTCTCCATGACGTCACCTTGAATGGTGGGAGCACAGGGACGACAGCGGTGGGAGGGCGACGAGCTGTCATCTTTGGATACCCGTATTATTGTGGTCTGCGCTCCGAGGACCTGGTGGCTGGCATGCGAGCATAGCCCCTACGCGCAGAGGCCCCATGCCGCGCGAAATGAACGGCCTATCGTTGAGCGAGCTGTGCTGCCTGTTCTGCTGCCCGCCCTTCCCAGCGCGGATCGCGGCCAAGCTGGCGTTCCTGCCTCCGGAGCCAACGTACTCGCTGGTGCCCGACGAGACCGGCACCAAGTACACGCTGAGCCTCAGCGAGCGCGCCGAGTGGCAGTACTCGCAGCGGGAACTCGAGGCGATCGAGGTGTTCTACACGCGCACATCGAGGGGCAACCGACTGGCCTGCATGTTCGTGCGCTGCTCGGCCGCAGCCCGCTTCACAGTGCTCTTCAGCCACGGCAATGCCATCGACCTGGGACAGATGAGCAGCTTCTACCTTGGTCTTGGTTCGCGCATAAACTGCAACATATTCAGCTACGACTATTCTGGCTACGGCGTGAGCACGGGCAAGCCGTCGGAGAAGAACCTCTACGCCGACATCGACGCAGCCTGGCAGGCACTGCGAACCCGCTACGGCATCAGCCCTGAGAACATCATCCTGTACGGCCAGAGCATCGGCACGGTGCCCACCGTGGACCTGGCTTCGCGCTACGAGGTGGGCGCCGTCATCCTCCACTCGCCTCTGATGTCGGGCATGCGCGTCGCCTTCCCCAACACCAAGCGGACGTGGTTCTTCGACGCCTTCCCCAGCATCGATAAGATCTCCAAGGTCTCGTCGCCCGTGCTTGTCATACACGGCACCGAGGATGAAGTGATCGACTTCTCGCACGGGCTCGCCATGTACGAGCGCTGTCCGCGCGCCGTTGAGCCGCTCTGGGTCGAAGGTGCTGGACACAATGACGTCGAACTATACGGCCAGTACCTCGAGCGCCTAAAGCAGTTCGTCTCGGTAGAACTGCTCAACTGACCAGCCCCGAGGGGCCTCGAAGAGACCCCTGAACAGTAGCAGCAACTGCCACCAATGTCATGACGTACGAACCGTTTCGTGTGCACAACAAGACTCGCGTTGTTACTTACGAGCCCCCGTTGGGAACCTTCCCAGGGCTGTGTTAATGCTTGTGTACATAGTGGTTTTACAACTCGATGCCTTGTCTGTCTTTTGTGCGAAGTGTACTGCTTTCCGCGGCCTTTTGCGACACCAAAGGCAGAAAAGGGTGCTATGCCACTGGCCGTCACCTAAGCCTTGTTCTGGCTGTGCTGATTGCAGTGACTGGTCTTGTGCAAAATACTGGGGTAAGGCCAGCGCACGTTTTCCACGTGATTGCAATCGGTAGCCAAGCAGAACCCTGTGGTTTTGATACAGTGCACTCTTGCTGGGCTGCCTAACAACATGTCCATGACACATTTGCCTAGATCAGGTGTTAGTGCATTTGTCCCTGTTCGGGAAGCCCACTTTTTCTTGTAACAGAAAGTCTTAATTAGATCTCAACAATTGTGCAGTGAGGACATAAATGTTGATTTAAGAAGAGAATGTCAGCAATTGGCATAGTCACTCAGTTTGGCAAAAAGGATGAACCTCTGCAGTTGTTGAACCTGCAAGTACTCAGCCGCGTTATCTTTTTCTGTGTATAAATGGGCAGGAGTTTCTTAGTATTTGCACATTGTTCAGTGTTTGCACTGTACAGCGTACACCACACTTACAGCAGTGTTTGGTGTGTGGCTATGGCTGATATTTAGATGCAGCTTATTTTTAGACTATCTTCGCCCAGTTGATCGTATTTTGAAATGTCCATACTGAAGCATGTTCTGGGCATGAGAAAATTACGTTCTGGTAATGGTTGTGCTTTCGTAGTAATGGTGTCCTCAAAAAGATATAAACCAGTGATGCACAACCAAACAATCTTCTCTAAACTATCCCACCAATTTTTTTTACTGCGTGGGAGCACAGGTTGAAACGTTTGCACAAGTAAGTTTTTCTTGTCGAGCGGTTTTCCTCGGTGATATCCCTGTAAACCTCTGAATGCGTCTCGCAGAGCATTGTCCACTCTAGCTCCCTTTTGTATGTCTGCACAGTTTTACGAGAGGCTGCTCAAGTGTAGGCTTCATACACATGCACTGTGCGTTATTTCAGTATTGATGAACAAATAGGATTTCATTCACCAGTTGTGAACAGACACGAGAGAAGTGCCACTATGCTAGTGCCCTTTAAACCAGTCGTCTTTTTGTAAGCGTTCAGGCCTCACTCTTGCTTACCCTGTGCAAAGCACTAGTCCTTGTGCCCCCCGAACGGGAATAGCAATGTTCATATACATGGCCACTCTTGGTAAATGCCTTTCTTTTTCATGTTGAGAGTCGTATTTGTAAACATTTTAAGTGTTTGAACTCGTGTTTCGCACATTATGCTGTTCACTCTACTCATAGTGAATGCATGAGTATTGGGAATACCTTAGTGCACCCTGGAGTTCCGAGTCTTGTCTCTGCTGGCCAGTCTTGCCAATGTAGCCAGCGTGTGAGGTCTTCACTGGGCTCATTGTGATAATGAGCGGCTCTCCAGGATGTGTCAAGTTGCTTTACCTTTTGTTGTTGTTTATATCTCGATGGTTTACAGGTAGGAATCTACAAACCCACCAGAGTGGGAGGCACAAAATAAAGATTTGTCTTTGTATATAAAAGTGTGTTCCACATTTTTCGTCTCCCTACACCTGCTGGTGAAAACGAGGTAATTAAGACACCTGTACCATATTCAATGCCCACATGAACTGTGACTATTCCTGTCACAGACACCAGCTGATTTTCGAGTTGTGGGCAGTTGTCTTGTAAATGAACGACGACCTAGATATTTGTTTGTCTGTGCATGTGAAGTCGCTCCTTAGCAATGCCGAATTTGTGTTACCAATGTCTTTACCGGAATGTTTCTGCAAAAGCTGCTTAGTGACAACATTTTATTGCTTCCTTTATGTTTTTTACCATTATGTCTGCATTATCAATTGTCTAGTACTGTTTACGGAAACTTGCTTTCCAGATGCTGCTGGCCTAGCTGTAGCTTACGCGCCGAGAGGCAAAGAGGGAACCACATATGCTTACTGCATTTAACAGCGTGACATTTTAAGTTTGGGGGAATGAAAAGCTGATAATTTAGTACTGTAAAAACGATGGCCACCGAATACAGATGTTGCGCGGCGGACGGGCGTCGTGCACGGTAGTCGACTGTCCGATACTGTGCGTAGACGAAAGATAGACATGCTGTGAGTGTAATTCAGTAAAAGCAGTTAATGCTTGAAAGCATTTGCTGAAATGTCAGTTTTTTTATTATTATTATTCGCACCAGTTGTTCAGCTCCGCTACCGAAAGGGACCATTTGAACGATACGCGACCCTGAAAAAAAAGTTCGGGCCACACAAAGGGGCCCCTTGTTTAACGCGTGAAAGGCGAGCGGAAATGCCGTACGTTCAACTCTACAGAAACACAGAAATCGCAGGATTATCGCAGAAGCCAGCCGTCTGCACAGCAGAAAAACAGGAGCAGCAATTGGATTGACCTGGATCTTGCGTCAATCCACGACAACGGCTAAGTAACATACGTCTATTGGCTTAAAAGTGGATTTTAAGCCATTTCAAGCTACTACGAGTAGTTTCGTCGTTTCGTTGTCGTGGATCACTAGAAAACATGTAGCTTGTGGGCTGTTTGACAAGCAAAGCGCCACAACCTGTCTGTTAGAACCGTGTCTTTTAAAGCGGTTGCAGCCTTGTCGTGGAAGTTGCACCGCCGCGCTGGGCCTGAATCCGAGAAGGTATGGTGAGAGAGGATGGCTTTAAGTGAGCTCTTGAGTGTGTTGCTAGCCTGGCGATGGCAGACATACTCTTCTATGCATACCCTTACCCTCACGTACACAATCTTAACGAGGAAAGTTGGGCTGATTATTGATTGATGCTGGTGCATTTTCTATGACATATAGTTATTAGCGCGAAATAACTAAAGCAAGAACGGCACAGACATGGTAAAGCGCTGGACCAACTTGCATCTTCATTTCCGAGGACGCGCGATGAAGTCAACACATGATAAAAAAATTAATGTGGTCGCTTGTACCAATGCGCAAAGTGACATAAGGCAGATAAATGCTAATTAATCTCCATTGCTCTGTACTGTGTCTACCTTTTTTTCCTTTAGGGCCTTCGCGCTAAATAAATAAAGCTTGGAACGACAAACAACAGCTAGTTGGTAGGAGTTATCACAAAAGAAGATAAAGGTTGCAAACACAATCACATGAGTTCAAAGGTCTTCAACTCTTCTCTCGCGTCCGTGTTTGGATGCCTTTTATGATGTCAGAACACGAATACTGAGTAGACAATTTAGCCTCCCTTGAGCAAAGGAAGACGTACATATTCTTTTTAAAATATATTCTACTATGTTATCCCGTACAGGTCACAGAAAGACGAGAATCATCTACTTGCGGAGCGGAGATAAAAGCCTGACCAATGGCTGGTTTGCCTGTAAGTTTTTGGTAGCTCGCAGATGCAAGTGCACAATTTAATGTGAAACTGTGCAGCGGCCTGCGGATCACCGTAGGAAATGGGACCGCGAGGAGTATGAAAAGATCGCCGAGGAGCGGCTTCGGCTTGAGGACGAGGATGATGAGCCATCGGTTCCCGTGAAGCGAGACGCGCTCAAGCCCAGAGACTACAAGGTAACCACTGTGTTGTATCGTAGCATAATGCGTAGTGATGTGGATATAGTGTGCCAGAAGCCATTTCCAAGGCTACATCTAGCGCATTCGTGCTGACCTTTCAGCTCTCACTATTCTACCATTGCCACTGCTCAGTCCGCATCACTGGGAGTCCAGTAAGATACATTGCGTTGTCAAGAGCTTGACCAAACTTTGTTTGGTCAGGCATTAGATGAGATGAAACATGATCACTGACCAAGTCTGATGAGATTTTGTCAGACTTAATCATTGTCGCGGGATCGCATCCCGGCCACACTTTCGATGGAGGCGAGAATGTCTGCGGCTCATGTGCTCAGATTTAGGTGCACGTCAAAGAACCTAGGTGGTCAAAATTTCTTGGGCTCTCCACTGCGGTGTCTATCATAATCATATGGTAGTTTTGGGATGTTAAACTCCAATCATTATCGTAATGCTACGATGGATTATTGTGGGCATTGACCGCCTCACACGTTATGCCGAAACTGCGGCAATTCCTGCGACAATGTCCACTCAAGTTTCCCAGTTCATGCTGTCGCACATTATATTACACCATGGATTCTCACGTGTCATCATCAGTGATCGCGGGTGGCAACCTGTTGCCGATGTAGTTGAAGACCTGCTTCGTCTTGCTTCATGTCATTTTCGTCATACTATCCTGCATCACCCGCAGGCTAATGGTTTAACCGAATGAACTAATAGGACTCTCGTCAACATGATTTCCATATATGTTGATTCCGGCCACAAAACGCAAAACACCATCTTGCCATTCCTAACTTTCGCCTACAATACTGCACAGTGCAAAACAACAAGATACAGTCCATTTTATCAGCTCTATATACGCCAACCCCACACAGCTCTTGACACTATTCTTTTATTTTCCGAAGCCGACCAACCTACTCTCGCCGAATCCACTTGCCACGCAGAAGAGGCTCCGCGCAGCGCTCGTCTTCAAACTTTCGTTTCCCAGAAATGCTCTAATAACAGTTACGACGGAAGTCACTGCCATGCATTGTTTGACAAAGGGAATTCAGTGTGGCTTTGGACGCGCTTTTCAAGCACGGACTCTGCCAAAAGTTTCTGGCCAACTACACTGGTCCACTTATTGTCCTTAAACGCCCCAGCAATGTTATGAACGTGATATCTCGGCTGTTGTTAACTGGCCACAGCCCAAGCAAGACCTATATTGTCCATGTTGCCCATCTAAAATGCTTTCATTATTGCAACGATGACTGACTCGCCTGGTGGGGATTGTTTGCAAAAGGGGAATTGATTGCTATGATGCTGAGGGGACGCATGGAAGAAGACAAGAACAAGATTGGCACGAGCGGTGGTAGTCTGATTCCTGGACTCTCGCATTCATCATCTCCTGTAAATAAAGGCATCTCACCGTAGCATAATTATTCGACTTGATCAGTGAGCGTGTTTCATCTCATTATACTATGCCCACCACCGACACAAACACGAAAAGGGGGCTCATGGTGCATTAGCCTTTCTGTGCCACCAAACCTTAATGCCGGGGGTGGCATTTGGGTTCGCTCCCCACTCTCTTGCTCTTCTATACTGTAAAAGTCTATGCTATGTACTGCTAGTGTGCCTGATAGCTGAGTGGTTAAGACGCTCACCTGCGCATCACAGATGCGCTGGTTGAAATCTCAGCTCGCAAAGAAAGTTTTTAGCCAGAAATTTCTCTGTTTCTGTCACATTCTTTCTTTCTCTCTGTACTCTTTGTCTCACCTACCAATGTTATTGCATTATGCACCATAAAAATCGGTGCACGTGTTCTAGAGGCAAAACAGAAGGTGAAAGAGGCAACAACGATGAAGGAGAAGACGTAGAGAGTGCATGCCAGTTAGTGAAGATAATGGTTTCTTCGTCAATAACGAATGCCATAATACAATCCTTAAAAGCTCCACTGTAAAAAAACAGGCCCCTCAATTTATTTGACTTCTTTTGGTCTTAAAGAGACAGAACTACACACTTTAACAATACAGATTCGAAGAAAAATTCTGTGACAGGCTCCTTTTAATTTTCGCACATTAAATCTTAGAGATGGGTTCACATTCCTACAGCTGAGATGAAATTGATGCAACTAATTAACACAACTTGTTAACTTTCTAATTATTGACTGGAGTGTCACCATTTATCTTAGAAAGTTGCGACCTGTCATAATTTATAGCATACCGATCTTTCAAGATATTCATTGCCGAATTTCAAAGGCAAAATCAAAACTGATCGCGCAAGGTGTGCATGAACTCCGGCTGTTCATCTAAATCAGTCCAGAACTACCCATCACATGGTAGTAACGTAATTAAGATAACGGCAGAAAAAAAATTACATATTCCCGTATGTTTTTGGGAAAAGCTGCAAGTCATCTTACTTGTGTTCGCACGTTGCCTTACCTTTCTGTGTAGTGCACGATGCTTATCTGTTTCTATTTAACTGTGCACAACAAAGCATCAAAATCAACATTTTCTTTGTTTGGGAAGCATTAAGCTCACGGGTGCGAACTTCGGCCCTTCTTATTGCAAGTAGAACTGTTTTTCGTGCCTCTTTATAGTTTAAAACAGATAAGCAGCACCCATGACAAGCAGACATCAAGCTGTCTACGTGTGTACTTTGGAATGCTTGCCGATCTGACCAGTACATTTTTCGGTGCACCTTCGTTCGAATTCCGTCACTTCCTTGTCACAGCTTGTGTTCGCTGCGCTTTGTGCATGCCTTGAGCGTGTGCGATAAAACACAATTGCTCTCTCATTATTTTTGTGCACAAGTCTGGCTGACTGTGAAATATTAGCAGATTACGAAACTCTGACTACAAAACTCTGCGTCAGCACATGATGACACATCACGACAAGAGGCGTAGCCGATCCACACACCGTGCTTCATATATGTCTGTTTCTGGCCTCCGTATGGAGAGAGGGCGTCTGAGAAAATAACAATCTTGCAATCCGCTTGTAAGCTCTTTTTGTTGCACACTAGTGCAAAATTCGGCTAAAATGTTTGTAGCAGTGACTGCTATCCACTGTACGAGTTTTCTCACCAAGCCCAAGAAGTGGTTCACGAAACCTTTAATTGCTACACCATAGTTAGAGACTAAAAATGTTTCTTATGCTTTCCTTGCCTGCATTGGCTCTCGGCTTCCTTAGCTTGCGTCTGACAAAGGCATTAGCTGCTTCACTTGTTCCCCTTCATTCCTTCATTCCACACTCAAACCTCTATATAGTATTATGAATTAGGATATAACAAATTATTGGTTGCAATTGCAACATTGCAAATTAAAATAAATAAATAGCGAAGTAAGTAACCGAGAGTTTTATCATAGATACAGTGTTACAAATAATTGTTTATAACAAACTTCAGGATGTAACGAACTATTTTTGTGGCAGATGCGAGTTTGTTATAATGAGGTTTGAGTCTATTAATTTGTCTCATGTGAATGTGCTGCAGTTCTGATGCACATTTTTTAATGGTTGTGCAGGTTGACCTTGACTCAAAGCTCGGGAAAACTTGTGTCATAACGAAAACAACGCCTGCTTCCCAAGCTGGTGGGTACTACTGCAATGTCTGCGACTGTGTTGTTAAGGATTCCATCAACTTCCTGGATCACATCAATGGCAAAAAACGTAAGTGAGCACGACTTGCTGATGCAAGTATTATATGTACCATGATGCTGCTATATTTACTAGTATTACCGTTGTATTGTATCTTGTGTTATACAGTTACAGCTGAAAATATGCTCGTCTACTTGGTTGCTAGGAACCTAACACAATGTTGTGTGATTTTGTGCTCTTTGAAGGTACTGCTTTAGTCATGAGCACACTAGTTTAGGTTGCAATGTAAATAACATGTTTGCATGGCACAAATGCTGCAACATTGCACTAAAGTTGCTAAACACAAATACAAGCGTACTACTGCAAATGACACATAATGAATAACCCCTGCATTATATAGCGAATAAGGCTCATCACCTCTTTTAAAAGAATACTGAATAAAATTTTTGCTGCAAAAATCTTTAGCCAAACTGAAAAATTGTATAGTGAAATCAACCTTCATTTCAGGCAGAAATTTGAGAAAAATAATAAATTTAGAGTTTTTCACAAACAGATGTATCGTGAACTTGGATGTGAAATGGGTAATGTACGGCAAAAATCCTTTGGTGCCTAACAATCGCCAATGGGTTTATGCCATACATGCAGGTAATTGCCTGTATGTTTAAAATGCGTGCCTTTTTTGATCATTTCTCTTGCTTGGCATGTGCTGCCACCCTTCTGAAGTCATGAAATTTTTTTCGTGCACAATTTTCTTTTTCTTTCCAACACGCTCAAAGCGTAGTTTGTAACAACTGCGTGGGTGAGAATTAGCTGGAAAAGTTTGCAGGCTAAAACTGACTTGTTCAGCTTTATTTGGCAATTAATGTCAATAATGGCGCAAAAAGGAATTTTATAACGAACACGTGAGTGCAGTCACACATTATTTGCTGTGGCATAGCAGTGTACATATAGCTCAATTGTTATGCCTGCCAGTTTGCCTCTGCATTATGTTAGTTTTGCAGTGACAATGCACAGTGAACTCGTATGATCGTTGGGCAGTAGTGGCTCCACTTCGTGTGCTGAACATGTGCTCATGTATTAAAGCTGTGAAATGCGATCGATATGGCAAAAAAACTTTGCACAGCACGAATTCGATGGAACACCTTTGCAAGATATCAAGCTGTTGCATGAAGACACCTCATGGTTCTGGCACACATCCAGAAATTATAATTGTTATTATTGAGCCACTCTATTGGTCTAGTCGTTATGGTACTAAACTTTAACCAGAGCCCTACAATTCGGCATTTCTCATAATTACAACCCTCGAGTATTATTTGTTATTATTATTAAAGACGTTCACAGTGCATATTGCCGAAAACTATATAGACGCATGGCCAGTCCATGCTACATTGCAAAAAGCACAGTAACTAAGTAAAAAAATCACATCTACACACATTATTGTCAGTTTTTCATCGAGAGCTATGAGCTACACTACCACAGACAACATATTGAACTATCGATTACGGAGATCACATCCGCGTAGTATAGTTAGGCCGGCTATAACCGAGGCAAATCACGTTAGTTGAAAGAAGGGGGATGGGTTCTGCAGTGATATCGAAAAGCTATGTGTATTTGGCGCCATATCAAAAATATTTCATGCCAGAAAATCTCCCATGCCATTTAAACCGACAAAACATGACCTTTGGTTTAGTTTGCTTAAAATACACTTACATAGATGCATGCAGTAAGGCAGAGAGAGCCTCATATGAGTGTAAGAAAATGGCCGAGTTAGACCACCTCTGCTCGTGGATTGCATCGCAAAAAGCATCAATGATGCAAACTTTTGCAAAAGCAATGCCGTCAGAAGAGTGAGAGCTAACAGGGTAATAGCAAACGTAGTGAAAGACTGAAGTTGCGTCTCAATAAAAAGAAAATCGTTGTCGTGGCACGTTTGCACGTACAACTGATAAGTTCTTCGTGTAGTTATGAGTAAGTATACTATATATGAGTAATGAGTAAATATATGATTAAGTTATGAGTAAGTAAGCATCCTCCTTTAGCTGGCTAGAAGCAGGCCACACGGAATAAGGGCCAACGAAAATCCAGTATGAGTTCCTTTCTTTTTGATGTACAGTGACCCACAATGGCAATAATAAAAACATCCTTGTTCAATTAAAACCTCTTAGTTTTTAATCAATGCTTCATTCCGTCTTTTTATTATCTGTCTCATTTTCCTTGCTGCTCTATGCCTAGTAATGCACCAAGTAGCTGACTGACACTTGCCACTGTTTTATTGTTTTTCATCTGCAGACCAGCGAAACCTGGGCATGTCCATGCGTGTTGAGCGCTCAACCTTAGATCAAGTCAAACAGAGGTTTGAGGTCAATAAAAAGAAGCTTGAAGAGAAAAAGAAAGACTATGACTTTGAGCAGCGTATGCAGGAGCTTCGAGAAGAGGTAGAGAGCCATGTTGTATCACTTTTCATGTGCCGTTTCTGTGGTGAACACTTTTTTTTACAATAACGTTGCGCATGTGCATTTCCCCTTGTGGGAATGTCACAAAATGCTACGCTGGGATCTCTGCCTGCCTTTTAAACATGAAGGTTGTTTGGGTGGTGCTGGTTGTTCTAGATTACAGTGCTAGGCTGTCCCCCTCAAAGCAGCAGTGAGTAGCACAGGGAAATGAAAAAGGCGGATTCTCATGATTGCTACTTGATAGTGCTTTAAACTTGTACTGTGAAATTTAGAAGTACGAAAGGTCGCATGTACCGAACCTGCGACCCTTCAGTAACGCGTCTGATGCTCTACCAATTTAGGCAAAGCAGCAGTCATTCTATAATTATTTCAAATTATTGAGGAGCAGGTGACATGCTGCCTGTCATGAAAGCCTCAAATGCAACCGCCAAAGTAGAGCTAGTGGAGCTTTCAAAGTTAATCAATAGGCGTAAGGTAGCCGACATTAGATGAAGAGAATTGAGCAGGCTGCAAAAAGCGGCAGAAGCTTAAAAGCTGAAAAGGCAAACTTGTGCGCTGGCAAAAATCGGATGTATGCATTAAGGCACAAGGAAGGCAATGTCATAACTAATATGGATAGGATAGTTGAGGTGGCGGAGGGGTTCTACAAAGCTCTGTACAGAATCCAAAATAACCAGGATGATATCGTAAGAAGCCATAATAGCTCAGAGGAATTCGACATCCTACCAGTAACGACAGTCATCATCATCATCAGCCTGACTACGTCCACTGCAGGACAAAGGCCTCTCCCATGTTCCGCCAGTTAACCCTGTCTTGTGCTTGCTGCTGCCAATTTATACCCGCAAACTTCTTAAATTCATCTGCCCACCTAACCTTCTGACTCGCCCTAACCCGCTTTCCTTCTCTGGGAATCCAGTTAGTTACCCTTAATGACCAGCGGTTATCCTGTCTACGCGCTACTTGCCCGGCCCATGTCCATTTCCTCTTCTTTATTTCAACTATGATATCCTTAACCCCCGTTTGTCCCCTAATCCACTCCGCTCTCTTCTTGTCTCTTAAGATTACACCTACCATTTTTCTTTCCATTGCTCGCTGCGTCGTCCTCAATTTAAGCTGAACCCTCTTTGTGAGTCTCCAGGTTTCTGCTCCGTAGCTAAGTACCGGCAAGATACAGCTGTTATATACCTTCCTCTTAAGGGATAATGGCAATCTACCTGTCATAATTTGAGAGTGCTTGCCGAATGTGCTCCACCCCATTCTTATTCTTCTAGTTACTTCAATCTCGTGGTTAGGCTCTGCGGTTATTACCTGCCCTAAGTAGACATAGTCTTTTACAACTTCAAGTGCACTATTACCTATCTCGAAGCGCTGTTCCTTTCCGAGGTTGTTGTACATTACTTTCGTTTTCTGCAGATTAATTTTAAGACCCACCTTTCTGCTCTCCTTGTGTAACTCCGTAATCATGAGTTGCAATTCGTCCCCTGAGTTACTCAGCAGTGCAATGTCATCGGCGAAGCGCGGGTTACTAAGGTATTCTCCATTAACTCTTATCCCTAAGTGTTCCCTTTCTAGGCTTCTGAAAACCTCCTGTAAGCATGCGGTAAATAGCATTGGGGAGATTGTGTCCCCCTGCCTTACACCCTTCTTGATTGATATTCTGTTGCTTTCTTTATGAAGCACTATGGTAGCAGTTGATCCCCTGTAGATTTCTTCCAGAATGTTTATATATACTTCATCTACTCCCTGATTCCGCAGTGTCTGCATGACGGCTGATATTTCTACAGAATCAAATGCCTTCTCATAGTCTATGAAGGCTATGTATAGTGGTGTGTTATACTCCGAGCATTTCTGTATTACCTGATTGATAGTATGAATGTGGTCAATTGTTGAGTAGCCTGTTCGAAATCCTGCTTGTTCCTTTGGTTGATTGAATTCTAATGTTTTCTTTACTCTGTTAGCAATTACCTTTGTAAATAGCTTGTACACTACAGAGAGCAAGCTGATCGGCCTGTAATTCTTCAAGTCCTTGTCATCTCCTTTCTAATGTATTAAGATGATGTTAGCGTTCTTCCAAGACTCTGGTACCCTTCCCGTCAGGAGACACCTCGTAAACAGGGTGGCTAGTTTTTCTAACACAATCTGTCCTCCATCTTTCAGCAGACCTGATGTTACCTGATCCTCACCAGCAGCTTTGCCTCTTTGCATGCTCTCTTTCAAAGCTTTTCTGACTTCTTCTATCATTACTGGTGGGGTGTCATCTGGGTTACTGCTAGTTCTTATAGCATTAAGGTCGTGGTTGTCTCGGCTACTGTACAGATCTCTGTAAAACTCCTCCGCTATTTTAACTATCCTATCCATATTGGTAGTTATTTTGCCTTCTTTGTCCCTTAGTGCATACATCCGACTTTTGCCTATCCCAAGTTTCCTCTTCACTGCTTTGAAGCTTCCTCCGTTTTTCAGAGCGTGTTCAATTCTCTCCATGTTATACCTTCTTACATCGCATACTTTACGTCTATTAATCAACTTCGAAAGCTCTGCCAGTTCTATTTCGTCTGTTGTACTTGTCACTTTCACGATTTGACGCTTCTTAATTAGGTTCTTCGTTTCCTGGGAGAGCTTGCCAGTGTCCTGTCTAACTACCCTGCCTCCAACTTCCACTGCACACTCTGTAATGATACTAGTCAGATTATCATTCATTGTATCTACGCTAAGGTTGGTTTCCTCACTAAGAGCCGAGTACCTGTTCTGCAGCGACACTCTGAATTCCTGTACTTTCCCTCTCAGTGCTAGCTCATTGATTGGATTCTTGCGTATCAGTTTCTGTCGTTCCTTCTTCAAGTCTAGGCGAATTCGAGACCGTACCATTCTATGGTCACTGCATCGTAACTTGCCAACCACTTCCACATCCTGCACGATTCCTGGGTGTGCAGTCATTATAAAGTCTATTTCGTTCTTATTTTCGCCATTAGGGCTCCTCCATGTCCACTTGCGGTTTTCTCGTTTTCGGTAGAAGGTATTCAAAATCCGCAAATTATTGCGTTCTGCGAATTCTACTAGTAGCTCTCCTCTGGCGTTTCTAGTGCCGATGCCATAATCTCCTACTGCCTGGTCTCCAGCCTGCTTCTTCCCTACCTTTGCATTAATGTCGCCCATCGCTATAGTATACTCTGTTTTTACCTTACTCATTGCCGATTCCACGTCTTCATAGAAGCTTTCAACTGAAGCGTCATCATGGCTGGATGTAGGCATGTAAGCCTGTACTACCTTCATCTTGTATCTTTTATTCAGTTTAATTACAATACCTACCACCCTTTCATTAATGCTATAATATTCCTCTATGTTGCCAGCTATGTTTCTGTGAATTAGGAACCCCACTCCCAGTTCTCTTCTGTCTGCGAAGCCCCGATAGCAAAGGACGTGTCCATTCTGTAGCACCGTATAGGCCTCATCTGTCCTCCTAACCTCACTGAGCCCTATTATATCCCATTTAACACCCTCTAGCTCCTCGAATAGTACAGCTAGACTTCCCTCACTAGATAAGGTTCTAGCGTTAAATGTTGCCAAGTTCAGGTTCCGATGGCGGCCTGTAGTCCGGAGATTCTTAGCATCCTCTGCTGCGTTGCAGATCTGACCGCCGCCGTAGTCAGTTGCTTTGCAGCTGCTGGGGACTGAGGGCCGTGAGTTATTAGGCGTATGCATGTGGGAGGTAGTGGCCAGATACTGCACCAGGGTGGCCAATCCTTCTCTGGTGAGGGAGTGCGTTCCCGGCGGTGGTTACCGGTGAGGCCGCACCTCAGGCCTCTTAATGCAGTTCCATCAACATGCGTTTTTTTTTTTTTTTTTTCGGTTGGGAACTGCGCGGCACCGGGCACGTGGTCCGACTGTTGTTTTCACAGATTCACACTGTTTTCCGCTCCTAAAATTTAAAATGTTCGTTTGTAATAGCAGTATTTGTAGTATAGCAGTAACGACAGTGGAAGTAAGCAAAGCCCTAGAAGGAATGCAAAGAGGCCAAGTCGCTTTGCAAGCTGATGCTGTTACGAAAAATCACCACTCTCCAATCACTTGACTCAAAATATAATGGTTAGAGCATTATATAAAGCCAAAGTCTACATTCAATTTTATTTTTCATTTGGCTGCATAGTGTTCTTGCATTAGCCAACTTTACAGAATATGTTTACAAATATCCTTTGGAGAATTATGAAAAGCTGATACAGTACAACACACTAAAAAAAAAAAAAGAGTATTTTTGAGCTCGTATACGTGGGCTCGTTTTGGGCTCGTAAAGAGTCTACGTGGGCTCCTCTTGACAATATCACACCACTTCAAGCCTCCCTCTTCCCTTGAATATCTGATTAGTGGGGACATGCTGTTGTCAGTGCTTGTGCATAAGTACCAAGGAGGCGCATAGGTCCTGACCTTGTGTTTTTTGTTTTTGTTTTTTTTTTCCCTCACTCTGCTGCGACACTTCATGAGAAGGGTTAATGAAATAACTACCCATTTTATGAAAGGTGTTTATGTGTGTATGCATAAGGAGAAACTTTAAAGAATGTGTGGCATTTTTCCTAAATGCATTTTATTGCTGCATGCAAAAATAATGGGCATGTTTGTATAAATGTCTAGTAGCACTTTTTGTTGTGTTATGCATACTTGAAAGAAAAATGTCGTGCAAAAAATGCACATTCACAGGAAAAGGTGCAGGATGCTCCATACCCTTCCTCGGAACTCGTCTTTTTTTCTGTGCAGCTTTTTTGCAGCAAAAGCTCTCATGAGATCACAACACGGGTCATGCGCAGCGCCGTAGTTGTCCGCCACCGCCGCCAGTGTCAGTAACCACTATTGCCCAAAATAAGAAAAAAAAAAAAAACTCAAATAAGAAACACCATGTGGTAACATAGCGAGATTCGAACCCGGGTCCACTGCCTACCAGCCTAGTATTCTATCGCTGAGCCATGCTGGTGCTTGGCATTCGTTTGCAAACTTGCCTTAGGTAGGCTTGATGTCAGGAAAGGAATCTCGTTAATATGAGTAATGAAGTGTTTTAGGACAGCAAAGGAACAAGCAGGCATCACACAATGCGAATCGTGCAATGAGTGGGTCGTCCAATGCTCCATCACATTATTATTGTTGTTGTTCTACAGTCCGTGGCGCATACCCACTGCGGGGGATTGGCCAGGAATTGAGCGGTTTTATAAGATATTGTGCAGCTTTAAAATAATGGAGATTATATAATAGAAAGATTACCGATGACCTTGGTCTTCATCACCTATTAACTGTGGCACATACCCACTTCAGGCATGATTATTCGTGGTCGTCAGCCACTGAATGCGACACAAAATTCATTACAAGTGGTTAGGAAGAAGGGTAGCATAGTGGGTACCCAGCAAGTGCTTTTTTAACATTTACCCAACGAGTGTTTAGAAAAGCTGCTGTTCATGCTTTCGCTGCATCCTTCTGCACAGGCTTGGAGTCTTTATATATACATATACATAAACGTATTTGGTTACAACTCCTTTTTGCCCTCCAGGAGGAAAAGCTGCGAGAGTATCGCCGTGAAAAGCGCAAAGAACGAAAGCGAAAGCACCAGGAGTCTTCAGAGGATGTTGACCCAGACATGGCTGCCACCATGGGCTTCTCAGGATTTGGTTCATCAAAGAAGTGACGGTGCACACTTACAAAATAAAAGAAACAAGTTTTACTGCTCACATCAGTGTCCGCACATCGCTGCAATGGTGCATGTGTACAAATGATACAATAGTGTTCTGAATTTTTAGTAAACAGAAAACTGAACTGAGTGGGCACAGTAGGTGTACACACACGGGCTCCTAGGAACAACGGGCACCACTAGGGCAGTCGTACGCCACTTCAGGCACAACCGCAGCAAGGATTTTCGTTCGGCTTCTACAATGTTGAGGAACGGGTCGGCAAGTGACAGTATGTGAAGGAAGTCTAGGGATCACGTCCAGAATAGGATGCTCAGTGCCATGGCGATGCAGCATCCTGCAACCCATGGACTTTTCCGTTCGCCTGCGTAATAAAATTCAAATTAGATGCCGAACTCAAATTTATCCAGGCATGCTAACGAATTAAAGAGAGGCTTACTCCGACTTGACAAATTAACCACAACTGGTACGAGCACAAATGGGATAGGGAAAGAAGCTCTTTGCGTGTGCTCGGCTCGCTTTGGGTGCAGCAGGAGCTAGATGTTTCCAAATGGGGTCTGTGGCGCTTGGCACGCTCCCTCTAATCTCGCCTTACGCACTCTTAAACAGCGCGAAATGACCAGGACACGACTGAGAAAGCACCACGAACACACATATAACATGAGCGCATTTGTGTATTTTCTTTCTTGTGTCCCAGTTATTTTGCACAGTTCATGAGCGTCTCATAGCGATGAACCAACAAGCTCGCCAGAAGGCTTTACTTTTCTCTAGTCTTGGCCAAGAGCCATCACTTATGTGGGTGCCATCATGTTAGTTTGACGCAAATCTTTTGGGGCAGGCTTTAGGGCTCCCAAACGCAAAACCGAAACTCGGTCTCGCACGTGCACAGCACACTCTACGTTATTTGTTTGGGGCCCCTATAAGAAAAATTCATATTATGGAGTTTTGGAACAACGCCGCCCGCTATTTCGGATTTTCTGCAAGCGGGCCACCAACGCGAACGGCGGCTCGCGTACGACGCATGCGCAGTGGCAGCGACCGCACCGCAAGGGCTCGCGGTCCGCTATTCCAAAACTCAACGTCCGGTAAGGGGGCCACGGATGGTGATGCACGCCGATGTGTCACGACCGATAATTCAGGATACGAGGAATTTTTTTTTTCCACACTTGTGTGGAGGAAAAAGAAAAATCCTTGTATCCTTCGCCACTTGCACAAGTGACAAAACGTCCACACCTTTTGTTGTTAAATTATTAAATCGCAATAAAGCTTTTCTCTCTCATGAACTCAGTAGGTTTTAAGAAAATTTTTGTACGAACCTATGCGGGCACACTTCCAGAACACGCCGAGTAACCTGTGAAGGTACAAATAGGCAGAGAGTGTTGAACACAACGAACTTGAGCTTGCAGACAGGGATCTGAAACTTCATAAGTAAAATCCATACCCTTCTTTGTTCCTGTCCAGAAGGCTTGGGTAGATGGAACGAATGTATGCGCAAGTGCATATTAGCAGCAGTACTACTGTCAACAGGCTTTGGAAGTTGAAGAGCGCCGACTGAAATTAACAGATTTATGTCAATCTACACCACAGCTGGGAGCTACGCTTGCAACTTACCATTGCATTCCACTCTGTGCCAGCAGGCTTCCCGTATGAATATTGCCAATTTTTTTGTAAACTTTATGGCACCTCACCGTCACCTACGGGACGTGTCGCGTAAACCACATCGACCATGCAGACATGGCCGAGTTTTGACTTGGCTACCAATGACTTGAACAAGCCCGGTAACGCAACAAATAAGCGATTTAGAAATAAACACAAGCGCATTAATTTTATAAAATGTAGCACTAGAAACCATGCGCACAGGGTAAGCAAACTGGCAGTGCAAAACAAAACATAAAACTTTGTGAAGACCGTAGCAAAGACGGGCGTACCAATCCGTGAACATCCACAAAATAATCCAAAAAGTATCCGGAGCATGAACAGCAGGCGAAAATATCCAGTGGTTTATCGGCATCAGTTGCTTTCTATCGAAGTGATCACTGCTTGCAGTTTGTATTCGCACGCATTGACCTACTACAAGTGACGTGGCTCAGTGCGCATTGCGCGAAATATCTTCTGCTAGGCTCGCGGGTCCTCGTTCATCTCTGATGACCTGACAGGAGCGGTCGAAGGCGGTGCCGCGGGTAGTGCTTAAAATGGAGCCGGAACCCCAGCGAACCCATTGGCAAGTTTCTGGAGGCCCTTCTGGCGCTCGAGAAGCGGAGCTGCTGCGCCCGATACCGGAATTGACTGTGGGACCCAGTATACGCGCGCGGACGCATTACGACTACCCGCAGATAGCTCCTCAAGGAGGAGATGGAGACCGGCCGGCTCCGCCAAAGGAACCAGGTGAGCGATGACAACGCTTGGCGGAAAAGTGTTGCTAAGCGCATTGCAAACGCCGTTTCAGAACCCGTCCAGCAGCACTCCGAAGTGGCCTTGCGGTTAGGAAGGTAAGCCGCCTTATTCGGCAGCTGCGTGCGCGATTTTGTTCTAGGTGTGCCTGCTTCACGCCACAATTTTGTCTCATGAGAGCACGTGTGGATTTGATCGTATTTCAGCATTCTCCTGGACAACTTGGTGGCGCAGCCATGTATAGTGCTGAGGAGACAATGTCAGGTGAGATGGTTGCAACTGCTTATTCAGCTTTTTTCACCAGTGAACCAAGTTCATCTTTTATACATGCAGGTTCATAGGGCTGCCAGCAAGTACCATTTAACCCCATGGACGCTCTTTCCAATCATCGCGAGGCTGCAGCAGAGACAGGTAACACTTACGTTACATTTCATAACAATTCATACGTTGAGTATTATGCCAACAAGAGCAGAAATTCGTAATAGTTATGCGAGAACAATGCAAGAGAAAGTGACTTCATAATAATTCTCAATGCAGAGCACTCGCTTATGTGATGCAACAAATTAATGTCATGTGTGACCTCAGGACATTAAAGAATTACCAGTCACATTGCTTCAGGAAAGTGAACAGTGCAGGTCAATGCATGCTGAACATCAGATGGTTGAAATTTCCTGAACCCTCCACTACTGCGTGCCACAGAATCAAATCACGGTGTTGGCTCACAGAAACCTAGATGTCATCGTGTGATTAACCTTTAGTAATTAACTCATTACTCACTTAATTTGCTTTGACTATGATCGTGTGCATGCACATTTATGCTTTCACTTGCTTTTGTATGAACTTCTCTCCCTGAAAAATTGTTAAGCTGAATCATGCTGACACAACATTTTATCAAGGGGCCAGCCTTGCTTCGTAAAAGCTCCCTGTGAGGCCTGCTCTACCGTGGAATCATTTTTTTTTTCATTACAGCTCTAGTTTCACGCTTTTGCAAACATTTGCATGACGTTTAATTTTAATCAGGCAAAAGCCGCAATGACAAAGTGAATTTGTGCATGATAAAGTGTAAAGAATGTTCTTATACTTTTTAGCACATTATTGGGTGGCCCATCTCGGACCACTGCATCTACAGAACTACACCTACAATTTTTTTTATATGCGACTTCGTCTGTGAAGCCAATCTATCGAGCCAGTATCTGGTCTGATTGTCACATGATCAAACGTTGCTTCCAATGCCAAATGTGTTACTGGAGTCGGTGCAGATGGTTTTTCCGTTCGCATAAAGTTATAACTGCTTTGTTTTCAGTGTTCCTACATGTTCTATGGTACCTCCACTTAGAATAACAGAGGGCTGTGCTAGTTGAGAAGTATTCATTCTAAAAGACATGGTGTGTAAATATGGACACAAGGAAGATGTTATGGCATTTGTGGTGTCTTACTTCTTTCTCACGTCCCTATTTGCACGTCCTGTCTTTTAGAACGGATGCTACCACATTTTACAGCATCAAAAAAAGCTATCAACACAACATGGTTTATTCGTACGAAAGCAGCATGTGTTAAAAACAACCAAATGAATCCAACAGTTAATGAGTCAAACAAAAGCATTGAGAACAGTAATTTCTGTTCTTTTCACTGGCGGAATTCGAAACCACAACCTTCGAATTGAGTGTCCAATGCTCTACCAGTTGTGCTACAATGGAAGGCATGCAAGTCTATGACAGACATGGCTGACGCATCATGACATAACATGATACGCATGTCAGCTATGTCATGAAAGTGTGGGCCACAAGTTATTCACTGTCTATATAAGCCCAGGTATGTTGAGAATAGACAAAGCTCTTAACAAGGTAGCGTTCAGGAGCCTGCGATTCAGAAAATCTGATGTTGCTAATGCTGACTGTCAGCGAGAAATTCTGTTGGACACAAAGATTCAAAATCACTAGAATTGTGCAAATATTCAAACAAATCTTACAGTATTTGAATTTGCTTTGATTCAAATTTATATGATCAGAAATGTCGAAATATTCAAAATGAAAAAATAAATGTATATTGGTTCACAAGTAATGTTGTAAAGGTGGTTTCACTGCAATTGGGGTTGCTAAGCTGTGAACACACCTTTTTAAGGAAATCTGCATTGCCACGAAGCCCCACTTCAAAGTTAAATTAACATATTACCCTCGCATTGATTTTTAAGTTTAAAAGCTTGTTGATTGATATGTCAGGTTTAATGTCCCAAAACCACCATATAATTATGAGAGACGCCGCAGTGGAGGGCTCTGGAAATTTCGACCACCTGGGGTTCTTTAACGTGCACCCAAATCTGAGTACACGGGCCTACAACATTTTCGCCTCCATCGGAAATGCAGCCGCCGCAGCCGGGATTCGATCCCACGACCTGCGGGTCAGCAGTCGAGTACCTTAGCCACTAGACCACCGTGGCGGGGCGTTTAAAAGCTTGTTTTACTGGCTTATATACCCCAAGTACAGTGACCATAAGAAACGTAACACAATTTGCTGGTTATCACTCGCATTTTAACAAAAGTCAAATTCTGCTACTATTCAAAGTTGTTTCCACTTCCTTTGAAAAAAGAATGTCATTTGCACAGGCTTTGTTGCAATTTCTAAAAACTGTTGTGCAGATTATTGGGTCATGACATATATGCTCATTTTTCTTTATAATATAGACATGTACTTGAATTTAATTCAAAATTATTTGGTCAAATTAGTTTGTGCTTCGAATCAGCTTCAAGTTCGATTCTAATCGATTGGGCCAAATCACTATGTGTTTTGAATTCACTTCAAACCTAAAATTCACAATTCAAACCGGAATTGAACCCAGGCAATCTTTGCAGCAGTCAGCTATTTTACCCCAGAGCCACACTAGTGCTTGAAACTGCCTAGGAAAGACATCCTATTGTACAGATGTCATTATTTGTCATTCAAGGTCGCAGTAACCCGAACAACACTTTAAGTAATGAACCATCATCACTGAGGAATTCGTGATGATGTTAACTCAATGGAATTGCTGAATATTCAACAATTAGTTTTGTTTAAATGTTCACCGAAGTACTAGTACTATCTTTAATATTGTAGTTATTGCTACATTACAATCCGCAGTTACAAAATATTTTGAAGGCTTGAGTTGCCACTCAGTTTATGTAAATATAGTATTTTTGCGGGTAAAAGTAATCATAATGTTCCTTTGTTAAAGCTTGTGAATATTTATTTCGAATCAAATGTAGTTAAATTCTTGGCCTGTTTCTAAAAGTGTTGTGTAATCAGTCTAGAGCTGCTTTGAAAAGTGTCACTCTACCAGCCCAGAGCTGCTTTGCATATAGTTGCCTTACTATTTTGAAAACTATTCGAGTATTATTCGATTTGGTATTATCACTATTCAATTTGTGCTCAATTCGGTCCTAAAACTCGCTATTTGCACACCTTTACTTTTATTTTGTGACAACAGTTTGCATAAATCATTATGGCTTTTATTTGTAGAGGTCATTATTGTCATTATTGAGTGAAACAACTGCCCCGCCACGGTGGTCTAGTGGCTAAGGTACTCGGCTGCTGACCCGCAGGTCGCGGGATCAAATCCCGGCTGTGGCGGCTGCATTTCCGATGGAGGCGGAAATGTTGTAGGCCCGTGTACTCAGATTTGGGTGCACATTAAAGAACCCCAGGTGGTCAAAATTTCCAGAGCCCTCCACTACGGCGTCTCTCATAATCATATGGTGGTTTTGGGACGTTAAACCCCACAAATCAATCAATCAATCATCAATGAGTGAAACAACTGCCATAAACAACTGTGATTACTGAAACATTCATTTGTGAACCATCAAATGAGCAAATGCTTGTCGCAAAGGGCCAGAAGAAGCCTCACAATCCATATTAACACGATTTACTTTAATGTGAACATCATTTGCTCTTTGAATGCTTTTCCACTGATCTTTGCTGTTAGTGGTATGACAGGAACTGTATGGCATCTGTTCATGCACTAGATTTTGTAGCATGATCATTGACTTAGAGCTGCATTGTGTGTTTTATTAACACAGGGTTTGATCACCCTCTGGAAAGGTGCACCAAGCATGTTTATTGTACGTGGCATCGTTGTGGTGGTGGAGACTATCCTTGCCGAAACGACCTCACTTCCTCGGTGAGTTGTTTCTTATTGTGCTTCGCATGGCTGAAATAATCTCTCTCTCTTTTATTTTCAGCGAGCTCACATCGCACAGTTCTCTTCGTCAGCTTTGGCAACATCTACTTCTCAAAAGGTATGTGTTTCAAAGCTTCCAACCAAAAAAAGAAAAAAAAATTCATGCAGTATCTTTTCTGAGTTGTATAAGTGATGCGAAGCTTTTGCTGCTAATCGCGATCTTTTCGTGGTATGTTGTTGCATTAAAGGGAATGGTGCGAGTTTTGTTCCCACTCACTTTGGGTGCCACTTGCATGCATTTCCTGTGCTTGTGCTGCGTTGCAGCTTTCACTGGAATGTTGGTCATGGGCAGCATCGGTACAGCACCTTTCATGTTTACTGAAAAGAAAAGGACACACAACCACCAAAGAAGGGCGCGACACAGAACAGAAAATGGCAACATCTTTCACCTTCTTGTTAGTATTCATCAGCTTTGGGTATTGCCCCTAGGAAGACACATCTTGTGACCAGCAAAACATACTGTGTTTGCGGCACATTTGAGCAATTTGAGATCAGCTTATTGTTCTTAAAGGCCCTCCGGGTTCTCCAAAAGAGGTAGATCATGGAGTCATTAATACACCATCAATATATCAATCATTGGTACACCATCAATATACACCATCAAATATAACCGAGGCGATCAATCCCACATTGTGGGAAGGGTGATGTGCAAGTGTTGGCATAAATTTGAGCAGTTCTTCGTTAACCACTGCACAGTTTTAGGACATCAAATCGCACAGTTTTTGTTAAGACTTGGTGCTCCGCTGGTGTTTAAAAGAAACTGAAAAGTGGCAATTCATAAGGGACTAGTGCGAATTGTAAAGGCTATGTGAACTTCTGTGTTTTACATGGATGATGTATGCTTCTCACTGACCAAAACAATGGGAGATGAGCAGATTGTGTGATGCGTTTCACATGCTGTGCAATAGTGTGGCCCTTGCTGTAGCGACACCCTTCAGCTGTGCCAGTCTGGTGGAAGTGGTTCAGTGCGAGGCAGCCAGTGAGCGACCGGGCTTATTTGACTGCCTGCGTGAGGGTCTGGTGCGGCTGCTTCCACGAGGAGGTCCAAAACGTGGTCGCCTACTACCCCTGTGGCGCCTTCTGGGACCAGCAATGGCTCATGGCCTCGCCCACTACGTACTTTCCAGCGTTGTGCGATGGACTGCATTGCAACTGCTGGGCATTCACCGGCACAGACAGCACCGACAGATTCTGATGTTGCGGCAGCAGGCTGGCATTGTTCGTGGTCCCATGGGCGATGAGCTAGTGAGCTACATTTAGTGCTACTTTGTTCTGCAACCACTTTGTTTTCGTGTTGATCACCCGAACTCACTGCAAGTGTGCTGTGAAATATAAGACACTGATTCTCGGCAAAACAAGAATGAAAAAACGCAGCTAGCCTTGGAAGTAAGCCACAACAAAAAAGGAAATTAGATGTTTGAATCGCCAAAGTTGCCCAGATATGACCTTATGTGCTGGTGGTTTGTCTGTAGTGTGATCTAATTAAGTACTTATCCGTCTGTTTATGTGTGCTCATGTGCAATTATATGCATTGCAAAAAGTATAAACCAGTTGTTAGTGCATAAGCCTCGTAATTGACTCTTAACCAATGGGCACACCAAGCTTATACATACTTTCATAAGGATTACTAAGTTTCCAATTACTCCTGCACTTATATGTCAGTAACACTGGTAATCGACAGTAGCACGCATATTAATCACATTGAGGGTTTTTTTTGTTGTTGTTGTTGCAGGAAGTGCAGCCAGAAGGTGCTTCATTTCTTGAAGAAATGGTGGCATCACTCATTGGTGCACTCGTGGCAGATGTGCTGCTCTTCCCTTTGGAAACAGTACTCCACAGGTGAGCAGCAGCTGCTTTCGTTAGTCAGAGTTCTTTGATCATGCCAGTTGTCATTGGTGTTAAAGGGGTACTTCATTAGCCCCCATTTTCTTTCCTTTTACAGTCAACACCCTTTATAAGAGACAATGATATAAGAGACAAATGGGTACACGAGACATCAGTGTGCCTGTAGTAAAATACGAGTTGATAATAAAATGCATGCAAGGTACCCTGTTTGTAAGAGACATCTCATATAAAAGACGAGAACTGCTGCTCGGAGCATGTCTCTTATAAAGGGGTTCAACTGTATTTTATTAGCCACCATTTCCTTTCCTTTTAGGTTTAGTGGGTATAGACTAGTGGGCATGAAGTTGTACCTCTGAGCCCGGTATTGCAAGTTGGACTCTGCTTTTTGGTAGAGATAAAATAGAAAAGCACACTGTGCTTGATTAAGGTGCACAATCAGATGTGGGCAGTAGTATTGTCATGTTGTATCACATCATGCTTTCGAATAGCGAAACCCCAGCATTATTTCATTTGAAGGCACTCTCCTTCTTTGCATTGACTTCATCCAACTAGGTATGGCCGTACAATAATTTCTCAACTTGTCAAAAATAATAATAATAAAATAATAACATGCAATGTCGAAATACGCTGGTTATGGTTGTGCAGTAAGGTACAATGCTCCCACTCTGTCTTGCTCTAGAAGGGAGGAGAAGAGAATTTTATCACCCCACTTGATCCCCATGTGTTGCCAAATATAACATTGCACTGCTACAGTGAATGCTGCACAGTTTGAAAAAATGCATTCCGAGAACAACCCATTTTTCATCATTAGTACTTTCATTGCCTCGGCCTTTCTTAGCAGCAGCAGTAGCAAAGAAACTTTATTGTACGATTGAAATTGCAGATAAGCATGCTTCATTGTATTAGGATGTAAAGTTATGCAACGTGCAGACAATAACTTATTAAAAGCTAAATGCTTTGTTTTTCCTGGAGCTCAATGTTTCAAGGTTAGCTGTAAGTCATCAAAGAGAGGTTCTTAAGGCTGCTAGTGGAAACAGGGTGATTGCAAATGTGTGCCTGTAGGACTGAAAATAATTTCAAGGGAAAATGTGGAGTGTTTTCCCATGTCCTACAGAACACAGCAGCGGAACTTCCAGTCATTGTCACATGCAGGAGAGTCGCACGACCTGAGCTATAACGTCACATATCATGTCGTATTACCGTGTAAAAGTTTAATTTATTAGAAGGAACGTTTCTGCTTCACATTGCATTAGCATCGCTATTTTGCCAGTGTCAGTGATTAGTCTGTTCTGCTTCATCAGCACATACTACCCAGAATAGAGTTAACTGTGCGCAGGTCACGGGTTCGCTTCCCGGCTGCGGCGGCTGCATTTCCGATGGAGGCGGAAATGTTGTAAGCCCGTGTACTCAGATTTGGGTGCACGTTAAAGAACCCCAGGTGGTCAAAATTTCCGGAGCCCTCCACTACGGCGTCTATAATCAAATGGTGGTTTTGGGACGTTAAACCCCACAAATCAATCAATCAAGACTTAACTGTGGTGTGCCACTCTTCCAGTGGCATCATGCGTGATGTTTCTGTGCAGATCACATGACTTTCCTGCATGCGACGATAGCTAGAGTTGCACTGCCTTGCCCTTTAGAGTACGGAAATGCCCATAATGCAACATTGGCTTGGCTTCATTACGAATCCAATTAATTTCTTAGGTGTCTTTAACTAGCTGCCTCTTGCAGGCTGTATTTGCAGGGGACACGAACCATTGTGGACAACCTGGACACGGGCTGCTCAGTCACTGCCATTATATCCCAGTATCAAGGACCAGTGGACTGCTTCCGGTGCATAGTGGCTGAGGAAGGTGCGGCAGGCCTTTACAAAGGATTCGGTGCTCTGCAGCTTCAATACGTGCTCCAGGGAGCCCTGCTCAAGCTGACACAAATGTTGTGCCAGGAATTCTGCCCACATGTCCTGTAGTACTGCACTTCTATTGTTTCCACACATTGTGGTTTAGTGAGGGAGTACTCGATCATTCTGCAACATTACTTTCTGTGACTACACAAGTATAATATGGTTCAGAAGTGGCACTACTTCAGAATCGCTGGTGCGTCAGCCTACATTTTGCCCTGGCATGCACAGAATGCCATAAGAGAGATGGCACACTGCAGTGAGAGGCTAGAGAAAAAATTGTCACTTTTATTTTCAGCACAGACGATTCGGCCATGTGATGTGTAGTCACACCTTGAAGATAAATTTGTGCTGCATGTGGTCGCCATGTACTAAACACTGGGCCCGTATGAACAACTTGAATGAGTGTGACATAGCTTTGCATGCCGCGAAGAGCTAGAAAGCCTGGGTATCGCTTCTTGTTGCAAACATTAATTTAATTTTAGTTGCCGCGAAGGGCTAGAAAGCCTGGGTATCGCTTCTTGTTGCAAAAATGAATTTAATTTTAGTTTCAGCTAAAGGTGATTTTCTTCCCTTGAAATGGTACCACTGCCTTCTGGGCTTGTCGCTTGGCTGCCCAGGATGGATGCAGGTCTGCTGGCACATGGAAAAAGAAGAATGAGAAGAGAGTTATTTATTAATCAATACTAGAAAAAATAAACATTCAAGTGCTCAGCAATCATTGTTTCTTCTGCCTCGATGAGTAGTAGTAGTAATATACCCTTATTTTCAGCCACAAACTAAAGGCGAAGCTTCTCGACTGCCTGCGCGACCAGTCGACTCTATTCTTCATTGCTGATCCAGTCAAGCCAGGTGGTGATGGAAAGGAACAGGAGAGGGTAAAAGCTGGATTGCTGAGCAGTTGGACTAAAGAAAGGCAGTTGGACAGGTCGGCATATGCGGAAGGGCAATTGGCACAGGTCTATATTAATAGAGAAAAATGTGAGAGGGGGTGATCGGGCAATTCAATTAATTGTATGTGCCATAAATTTCAGACCTCTAGCACTGTGAGTGATGAATGAGCGGGAGGGTAGAAGAGCTTGTCAAGTCTGTGCTGGGGGTACACCTCCTTGATATCGTCCGGTCGTTCTTCACAGAACTTCCACCGTCCTCCGAAAATGTGGGCCAAGAAATGAACAGTGCAATATATCACAGGCGAGCTGATGAGCCAATTAATTGTTATCAATCTTTGAATGACCAGGAACTGAACATAGGAAAGCTGCGGAAGCTTGGAGAGCGGACACCATTCGCTTGAACTTCTGTTCTAAGGAAAGGGGTAACGTGCGGTTCTCTATGTGACGGATGACGGCGTAGAGTAAAAAAAAATCGTGTACTCGGGGACAGAAGGGAAAGAGGAAAATGACTGTAATGCATGAACAATGGAAAGGACCTCAAGCGACAGTACATTTGGTGGGTGCAAGTAAGACCCACTGGTGTGGGTTTCATGTGCCAAAAGGTGTGGATGATATATAGCATAGCCGCAGGAGCCACAAATAAGGCATCCGTGTACGAAGAGGAGGGTAATGGTGCTGCCCTGCTGTGTGACGACTGCGTGCACGCAGAGTGGGGGACATGTTGGACAGGAGGAGAAGGATACAAGGTTGAAAGCAGGGGTGCATGCAGGAGTAGGCAATGTGGGAACGGAAATGTGAGGTATACCCACTTGCGCCAATAGCCATTGACCCTGGCAGGTAAGAGAAAGGCGGCCAATCTAAGAGTCGCAGTGAACAAAAACGAAAGAACATAATGAATGAAAGAGGCCTGTGGCAAAGAGCTTAGTGGTAGAGGGAATGATAGGGAGGTTGACAGCTGCCTTGTCTATAAAGTCGAACCCGGGTATATCGAACTCGCCAAAAAACGTTCATTAGTTCGATATATGGCATAATTCCATATAGGGCCAGTATAGGTTTTGACACAAAGGCACATAACAAACTAGAAGAAAAGTACTTTATTAATATGGTGGCTTACTTGCGTGCCCTACTGTGGAACAAAATAGTGCCAGATTTTTTTCTGTGTCAACGACTTCGCTGCCTGCAACAGCACGCACGCCTCCACGTTGTCCGATGAGTCGGAGCAGCTGAGGCCGCAACCTTCCACATTCAAGCAATAGCGCCGGACCAACGCAAGTGCACTAATCACTTCGGAGGATGTAGGCAATGGGCCCTCGTCAATTTCCATATTGCTGTCGCTTTGGCTCGTGGTAGGCACGATGTCTGCAATGTAATCCTAATCCTGTAATTGGCCGATGATGGGGACATCATCGTCCGCACTGACGAACTCGTCGAATGTCGATCCGTCGATAGCACCCGGGAACTCTGCCAGCAGATTCCAAACTTTGGCAGAAACACCTGCGGTGTCTTCAGTGCTTTCAGAATTTGGGGTGTCATCACTAGGCATGCGGAAGCCGGCATGCCTAAAGCAGTTCTGGATCTTCTCCTTCTTGACATCTGCCCACGATCTACTCAACATAAAAATAGCTCCGAGCAAGTCGATCTTAAGCTCCCTGCCGACAACGAAGGTTCTGCAGCAGCCTCTCCACCAGGCGCTTTTGATAGCCGGCTTTCATTGCGCGTATAACTCCTTGATCCAGTGGTTGCAGTACAGACGTAGTGTTCGGGGGCAAAAAACGCAACTCGATGTTGCTGAAGGTCGTACTGCAGTGGTGCGATGAACAATTGTCCACGAGCAGGCACACCGTGCGATTTTGGCCTACCAAATCATCATTCCACAACGATAGCCATCTGCTGAAAAGCTCCCCGGTCATCCACGCTTTTGAGTTTGCTCGGTAGGTAACTGGAAGCGACAGCGCATTTCGAAAACACCGCAATACCGTGCTTTTCCTGATAACCAGAGGTCGATAACCAGAGGTCGAAGTTACGTCTAAATTAGCTGCCAACAGCACGGACACACGAGGTTTGTTTGCCTTGCCGCCGCTTGTCTTGTCGCCACGACACGCAAGTGTCTTGTTTGGCAACATTTGCCAAAATAGAGCGGTTTCATCCGCATTGAAGATATCTTGGGCTCTATATCTTGCTGCAATATCTCGCCAGTTTTCCTCGAGCCATTTTTCTACGCTGTCCAGGTCCGCCGCTCTGCTTTCACCTGTAACAGCTTTGCCAACGATGTCGTGCCGTTCTTTGAACCGCTGAAGCCAGCCTGACCCACCTTGGAAATCATTCCTGCCAAGCAGAAAAGCAAGGTCCTTGGCTCTCTGCTCGATCATAGGGCCGGACAACGGGTTGTTTCGCGACTGAACGTCCACAAACCACTTGTAAACGGCCACTACATCATCTTCGTACACAGCAACGCGCACGTCGGGCGCCACGGGCACCTGGCCTTTTGTCCGACTTGGCCCTGATGTCTGCCTTGTTCTTCAGGATAGTACTTAAGGTGCTCCTTGGAATTTTGTACGCAGCGGCGACGTCGGACTTCTTTTCACCGCGCTCAACCCGATTGATGATTTCGAGTTTCGCAGTGAACGGCAAATTTTGCCTCTTTGCGCAAGCCATGATGATAGCGCGCCAATACAGTTCACAGAGCACCAACAGGCAACACCACAGACCACGCTGAATCGGCAGCAGCAGGCACACAAGCATAAAGAAAGAAAAAACGGCGCTCACTTCTACCGCCTCTGCCCTCGGAGAAAGCACGACGGCCTCTGATTGGCTGTAAGCGCTGGGAGCGGGCCAGGATCATTCCTTGGAGGGGGGTGTTCGCCCGCGCACAACCGTGTCTAACCAACTTTTTCTAGGATGGCGCCCGCAGTTTTCCCCGCCACCGTGAGGGAAAGCCAACTTGCTGGGGCACTTTTGAGGCACATGGAGTTTGATATATCAGTTGTCGTTGCTATTTTCGTTCGATGAAACAGTAACTTTTGCTATATATTCTCAATGTAAACTTACTGTGTTTAGGAACTGTTCGATATACGGGATAATTTGATATAAACGGGTTCGATATAGTCGGGCTCGACTGTAGAAGAGCTGTTTTGAGGGTGCTAAGTCGTGTTTGGGTAAATTTAGTGTAATGTATAGGAACTTGGTGAGGGCGAGTGGGGGGCAACCCGGCACGCATGAGCCTCATGGAGACCAGACTGCCGTGTAACAACACGTCGCAAGAGATGAGTTACTGAGTGGCAGTTCCTGACAGCGTGATGTAGGGCCTGCGCATTTTTGGTCGAATGCAAAGGGAAGCCAAGAGCTTTGCATTGCTGAACAATCGGAATTGGAGAGCCAGCAAGATGTAAGGAGATGAGGGCATTGTGGAAGCGCTGGTAAGCAGAATTACTGAGCAAAAGCAGCTCTGATTTCTCCAGAGTTCGAGACAGGCCAGCAGTGGTAAGAAAGGAAGCAATAAGATTTAGGCCACGTTGCAAAGTGTTCTCTCATGTGGCCGGGAGATCCAGACATACACCAGACTGATGTCGACGGCATAAAAAATATGGGAGGTCATGGATTTGTGATAGCTGTGAAGGGAGAGGGGCTATAGCCATATTAAGAGATTAGGAGATAATCCAGCACCTGGATAGGTGCCACAGGTGAGAGAGCACTAAACTCTAGTTTACGATGAACCAAAGTATTACGAATTATGCTTGCCGAGCATACACACCTGTCTCATCATTAAGTTCGCCCAGACTGTAAAAAAAAATTACACCATCTTCCACTAAAGGGAACCATAAATAGCATGCAAAGTAGTGCACGGGTCGACTTAAAAGTTCCTTTCATCACGGCCACCTTGCTCGATGTTAAAGGGCCCGTAAACCACCCAGAAGTTGAAATTCAGTTGTGGGAAAATTGTGCACGAGGGTAGGACGAACATGGAGCCGTGAGAATTTTACGAAACGGTGCAGTAATAGTGGAGTTATACGCGTTTGATTATTGAAACCGCGACGATCACTCATTTCGCTCTTTCCTGCACTTCCCTCTGCTGGTATCTTCTCCCAAGTCGCTTTGCCCTCGCCCCTCCCATGCCCCTCCCAATATAGCGTGGCATACATCATCGCTGATGTGCTGCTTGAAACACCGTTTGCTTCTGGTTGCCGCGACTGCGGCCGTCGAATCCGTCAGTTGCGTAGTTGCTGCATGCTGGTTGGCAAACCGTGGCTGCCGTAATCGCGCCGATATGGGCCCTGCGTTGTGTGCACGCCTTCGAAGGATCATCAACGCGATGGACCCGTACAGGGACACGCCGTGCCAGACAACCTCCGCATGAGAAGAGGCGCATGCACGCGGGCAACACGGCGAACAACAGGCAGTGCAGACAGCTGCTTGCAGACTGACCAGAAGTCATAAGATTTTGCTCAACCAATCACAGCGTACTTCGCTTGGCGCGTGAAGCAGGCGCATTGCTCTACGTGTTGCAGAGCTATTTTTTTGGTATGGATGAATGCTATGAGTGAAGCCGACGCTTGGGGTAAGATGGCCACCTGGAGGTGTGTTTGGCATTCACAAAATTGCACATACAGTACTCCTATTATAAACACGCTCAATGAGACGGATGCTTAGAAACGACATGTTGACGGAAGTAATCGCGGATGACATGGTCGTGAGGGATTATTGCACTTTACCAAGAACACCGAGAGGACCATAGTAGATATTGTTACAGGAGGGCACACAGAGGTTACAGCTAAGATATATTTGCACGACGCCAAGCCTAAGCCGAGATGGCAAAACCAGAACGTGCCCCACATCTCAGAATCACGTCGTCTTTCTCGCTGTCTGTCTTGATTCTTCAGCGTGATGTAGTCTCGTAACATGACCCCCGGGTGCAGAAGCACCGTCTCGGTGCTTTCTATGATGTTGCGGAGTGGTAGAGCTTAAGTCGGGAGACATGAACAATGTCTGTAGACATTGAAGATGACGACTTCAGTGGGGCTATCTCGTAGGTAACGTCGGTCACCTGGCGCAAGACGTGGTAGGGTCCTGAGTACCGGGAAAGCAGCTTCTAGAGAGACCAACATGCCGAGTCGGTGTCCACAACAACACAAGGGAACCCGGGGCAAAGGAGACGTCACGATGATGTGTGTCGTAACTTTGCTTCTGTTTCTCTTGTGATGCTAAGAGGCGCTTCCGAGCGACTTCTCGTGCTTTATGAGCTTTAATGATAGTGTCACGGGCGTATTCAGTCAGCGAATCGACAGCTGTCAGAAAGATGGTGTCGAAAGGTAGAGTTGGGTCACGGCCAAATAAGAGGTAGGATAGTGAAAACCCAGCAGTATCGTGGCGTGAGGAATTGTATGCAAATGTGACAAATTGCAATGCAACGTCCCAGTCTAGGTGGCCAGAGGAGACGTACATGGAGAGCATGTCAGTTAAAGTTCGGTTGAATCGTTCGGTAAGCATTAATTTGTGGATGGTAGGCCGTTGTAAATTTATGTTTGGTTTTGCAAGAGCGAAGCAGGTCGTCAATAACTCGGAGAGGAAATAGCGTCCACGATCTGTGAGGAGTTGGCATGGAGCACCATGATGGAGGATGACATCGTACAAAAGAAAATCGGCAACATCTGTGGCACAGCTGGTTGGCAAAGCCCGCGTGATGGCGTACCAGGTTGTATGATCTGTAGCGACAGCTATCTATTTGTTTCCGGAGGTAGACTTATGGAACGGGCCTAGGAGATCAAGACCAGCTCGAAAGAAGGGGTCAATAGGAATATCAAGGGGCTGGAGGAGTCCGGCAGGACTCATAGGGGGTTTTTTCGACGTTGGCACTGGTCGCATGCGATGACGTAGCGGTGCACGGAGCGATAAAGCCTGGGCCAGTAAAATCGACGCGGTCGTAAGTCCGAGAGAGACCAAGGTGACCGGCGGTGGGGGCGCCATGGGGCTGGGCGATAACACTCGAACGTAGGTGGGAAGGCACCACAAGGAGCAGTTCGCGCCCATTTGTGTTGACATTGTAGCGGTACAAGGTGCCCTCTTTAAGTACAAACAGTCGAGTAGACGGATGGGGCGTTGGAGAGTTCAGCTTCTCAATAATGTCACGCAAGACGGGATGTTCATCACGGATGTTGCTCAAAGCAGAGAGAAAGAGCACACATGGCGGCGCTTCATCTAAATTCTCAGGAGGGTCCACTGGATGGCGGGACAAGCAGTCAGCATCATGGTGTAAACGGCCAGATTTGTAAGACACTGAGTAGTCATATTCTTGGAGTCGTAGTGCCCAGCGACCAAGATGGCCAGTGGGATCCTTTAACGACGAGAGCCAGCAGAGGGCGTGGTGATCAGTTATGACAGTGAAACGACGACTATGTAAGTAGGGCCGAAATTTGCCAACCGCCCAAACTAGAGCAAGGCATTCCCGTTCAGTGATAGAGTAGTTCTGCTCGGCCGCAGAGAGCAGACGGCTCGCATATGCGATAACGCGGGCGCACCCGCTTTGATGCTGGACCAAAACAGCACCGATTCCATGGCCGCTGGCATCAGTGCGGACTTCTGTTGGGGCAGACATGTCAAAATGGGCCAGGATAGGTGGTGTTGTGAACAACGCGATGAGATTGGAGAGCGCCGAAGCCTGCGCAGCGCCCCAAGAGAATGAAACATCCTTATTCAGCACGTCCGTAAGAGGTCGGGCCACATCCGCAAAATTGTTTACAAAACGTCGGAAGCAAGAACATAGACGTAAAAAGCTTCAGACTTCCTTAGTGCTGGTTGGAACGCGGAAGTTTTGCACAGCACGAACTTTATCAGGATCAGGGCGAACGCCAGAGGAGTCCACAAGATGGCCTAACATGGTTATTTGCTGGCGTCCGAAGTGGCACTTCGATGAGTTCAGTTGCACTCCTGCGTTACGAAAAACAGAAAGGATGGAGGAAAGGCAGTCGAGGTTTGTTTCAAAGGTCTGGGAAAACACAATGAAGTCGTCGAGGTAACATAGGCAAAGTGACCACTTGAACCCGCGCAAGAGAGTGTCCATCATTCGTTCGAAGGTGGCTGGAGCATTGCATAATCCGAACGGCATGACCTTAAACTGGTAATGGCGCATTCAGACGACAGACTGAACCCGGATGTGGCGGGACGGACGGTGCGTTATGCGACTTCACACCAGCGATTTTCCTCATCCGCGACTGGTGGGCTGAGGATCGTTCGGCATCAGGACCCTCAAGGGTGCTGGTGACATCGCTTCGATTTTGCGTCGAACGACCCTCGTAATGTCAGCAGAGGGTGGATTGGGCTGGGTCTCAAAACGGAGGTCCTCACAAGTTGATGTTGCTGCGGTGTTAGGAAGACGGGTGAAGTGGTGGGCAATGCGACGGCTTTTAGCCTCTTGGAAGCGTCGGCACTGCTTAATGACGTCTTGAACTGTCGAACAGCCTTCAAATACAAGAAGGCTAAAGGCATCATCAGTGGTGCCCTTGAGTACGTGTGCAACCTTGGCGGCTTCGGTTATGGTGTTATCAGCTTTACGGCAGAGGGTCAAGACATCTTGAATATAGGCCAGGTAAGACTCCGTGGATGTCTGGACACAGTTACCAAGCTCTTTCTTAGCGGCCTGCCTGCACCCGGCAGATTGGCCGAACAACTCGCGCAACTTCGTCTTACAGACGTCCCAGCTGGTGAGCTCTTCCGCGTTGTTGTTGAAACACGCCTTGGCCGTACCTTTCAAGTAAAAGATAAGGTTTGCCAGCATCATGGTTGGGTCCCATCTGTGGTTTTCACTCACGAGCTCGTAGAGCTGAAGCCACTCATCGACGTCTTCGCCATCAGTGCCCAAAAAGTTGTCAGGATCGCGGGGTGGGGTGGTCACAATGACGACATGTGAGGTGGGCGCCGTTGATGCACGAGGCATGGCTGTTGGCGCAGTATCACTGTCGATAGACATGTTAGAAGCGGCAACTTGGCATCCACTGCGGAGCTCCGTCGTGCTTTGCTACCCCACACCTTCCACCAAAATGTTACAGGAGGGCACACAGAGAAACGAGGTTACAGCTAAGATATATTTGCACGACGCCAAGCCTAAGCCGAAATGGCAAAACCAGAACGTGCCCCACATCCCAGAATCACGTCGTCTTTCTCGCTGTCTGTGTTGATTCTTCAGCGTGATATAGTCTTGTAACAATATAAAAGGGATACCTTTCTAAGGGTTCATGTCACCATGGCGCAGTGGACAGTATGCCCGGCATCTGTTCCCGGGGACGCAGAGGTCACGGATTTGACTACCGATGACTAAACTTTTTTTCTTTGTCTTCTGATAGTGTGTATTTGTTCGACATCACTTCCGTGATGGAAAGATGTCATTGAAGCATCGGTGAGCCCCGGCACAAAACATTTTCGTGTTGATATTGCGGAAGGTATACTCGCTTTCCATGGGTCATGATATTTACACATGTGCCACACAAGTGAGAGAAAGGGTTTCATGAGGCTTTGTGAGTTACAGTCGCCGACCGAATTTACGGACCTGGCGAAGACCTTAAGATAGTCCTAAAAATGGCCAAGCCATAAAAAACGAAGTTTATTTGTATTAGAAAAGCCTAAAAAATCCCAAATAAGGCCACGCTTCATGCTGTTCTTGGGGACTAGCAAACTTGGTTCTATTTGGGCTACAGTAGCATTACTGGCAAGAATGTTGGCAATTGCTGTCGCCAACGGAACCAGACGGCAAAGTTGGTGGCTTCATGGAACCACGCAAACAAAACTTGGTGCTGGTCGCAAAAATATGCATGCAATTTCTCGCCTGTTTGGTGGGACACGGTCTGGGATTCTTTTACCTGCACCCACACCACACAGTACGTGAGCATCCAGCATTTCGTCACCACCAAAACGCTACCGCCGCAGCTGCGATCAAGCCCGCGCGCACTCCAGGTCAGTAGCCGAGCACCGCGACCGCAAAGTGACCCTGAGCGACCGCGAACATGTGACGCACGCAGTGGCTCAAACACACTTTGCACAAACAAACACGGCCACACACACTATGACGACCAGAAAAATAAACGCCCAGAAAATAAAAACAACCTACCAGCGTATGATAAGGTTGACTGAAAAAGAAAAAAAGCTTTGCTGTTTTGCTAGCCAAGAAAGACATGGCCTCTCAAACTTGTATATTGTGCACTTCCAATCTTGGAGGCCACAGAACTAGCCACTGCAAGCCAAATTCAACAAAGGAAACAAAAGTCCAGCATGGCGGCTTTCAAAATCGAGCGGCATTGCTTTAAAACAAACAATTTAGTCCGGAAAATCGCACTTTGGGACATAAATTCATCCGAAAAAACGGTTGCGAAAATGCATTAGTGCAGTGGGAACCATGATGGTGCATTTGTAGAGTCCGAAATATCCAACAAGTCCGAATTTTCATAGTCCAAAAATCCATCGGCAGGGTTACATGAAGGCTAAGCCTTAGGCTGGTTGGAAGGCTTTTGTTCGAAAATCCGCATGTATCAAGAGAATTGTGTGTATTTTCGTACGTGTAACTGCACTAAACAAACCTTCACTTCGCAACAATGGCCATACACTAACCTGAGCTGGGCTGGTTGCTAGCTGACGGAGGGGCTTTTCTGAAGGCCTGTGGAGGCCCACTTTTGGCAGAAGGACGACTGAATCCTGTTCTGTGCTGGCGTTTACCAGCAATCTCTCCGAAGTTTCTCCGAGGAGGAGGGAACCTTTGCTTCTTGCTGGAATTGAAGGGTGAACTTTGTGTATTGCTTTCTTCATCGTCACTGCCAGTTTTTTCGGCTGGCCAGAAGAATGGGTCACCAGCTGCAAACTTCCTGCATACAAAACACCAGCAAGAGCAAAATTTCACAGATGCAGTTGCAATCCAAGCACTTCAATTGGACAGGCTGTGAAAATCCAATAGGCTCCACACATCAAATTCTGGGCACACCACTGGCCACTATTACGGTGGTCTGCTGATTGTGGTGTTACCTGTAGGCAAAAGCCCACACGAATGAATATCACTTTTTTCATATCCTGCACCGTAGGAGACCGCAGACTTCAGAAAGTGATCAGTAGGCATTTATCACTTTTTGCAGATAATATAACAGCGGCAGAATCAACTGTCCTCAAAGCTGCTTCGTGTAATTCTTGCTGTGGCAGCACTGACAATGACGACCTAAACTGCAGTGATGTGATGTGGTTCCTGACACTGCTCCCAGGTGGCACATTGGTTGGCTATTCTACAAAGATTCGTCCATGCACACGTCAGGGTTTCTGAATGAAGTATCACAACTGCTACAATTGAGAAATTCTGGCAACAAGTTGCTTGCACTTTGTCATTAGTAGGCTTGTGCAACTATTTGAATATTTGAACGAATATTACTGCATTAAAATTCGCATTGATTCAAATTTAGATTGTTAAAAACTTCGAAGTACTTGAAACGAACGAATAGACATATCTAGTAGGCTTGTGCAAATATTATAATTCTTCAAATATTCAAATGAATAGTAGAGTATTTGAATTCGCTTCGATTCAAATGTAATAATAAAATATTTTGAAGTATTCGCAATGAACAAATAAACGTATAACAGTCCGCAAGTAACCCCCTATAAAGGGGGTTTCACTGCAGTGTACGGATGCAAAGCCGCGAAAGCACATGCCCAGGGGAAATCCACTCTACCACGAAGCCCCACTTCAAGTTTAAAGGGGGCCCTGCAACACTTTTTTAGCGTGGTCAAAAACGCTCCCGATCGGTGGTCGTGGCTACCGGGAACACGAGAGATAGATATTATAGCTAAGCACGCAGCCTGGAATTCACAATGAATTCTCAAAGCAAGTTAAAAATTGCTCTTTTCTCAACAAATGATGCCACAAGCTCAAAAATCACTCGTCACAGCCATAGTATCAGCCATTGGCTAACTTGAGCATGGCGCGCTCGGTCGCTACTAAGGCCGCCGCAGGAGGCCGCGACCTGTCAACACATATGTGCGCGATTACACTGAAAAGCCGCCTATTTGAAGAAAAAATGAGGGAGAGAGAAAAAGTGCTCAAGGTCACGAAGTGTGAGTGACATATTTTCTTTCCCCCATGCCACCCCTCCCTGCTTAACTTCCGTCAGGTTTCTGCTCCGTAGGCAAATGCCAGTAAAATGTAGCTGTTATACACCTTCCTCTTGAAAGATAGTGGCTATCTACCATTCATGATTTAAGAATGCTTGCCGAATATGCTCCACCTCATTCTTATTCTGCTAGTTACTTCAATCTCGTGGTTTGGCTGCGTGGTTACTACCTGTCCTAAATAAATGTACTCTTTTACAACTTCAAGTGCACTGCTACCTATCTCGAACTGCTGTTCACTTCCGAGGTTGTTGTATATTACTTTCGTTTTCTGCAGATTAATTTTAAAGGGGTACTGACACAAAATTTCACGGCCGAGATAGCTTGTGGGATCGATTTCTGCAAACATGCATATTTCATCTGCAAAATATCAACAGCGAATATAGCTTACAAGGTATTGTAAATTATTTTGTAGTTTGTGCGAGTTATCGACTACATTGCGCTATTGTGACACCCTACTTCCCTCACATGACCTCGCTGTGACAAGTTATGACAGCGTCACAGCCGTCATTTTTCTTTGGTCGCGTTTCCTCTGGCAGACTATTACTCGGCAGCCACTGTGAAAGAGTTGAAAGTGTTGTTTTTGGTGACATTGCTGTCTCGTTTCCTGTTCGAAAAAAAAAAAAATGCCAGGCCTGCGCGATAGGCGCAGCACAGTCAGAGTGAAAGCTAGAACTGCAGCCTTTCAGATCCTTTTCACAACACTCATTAGGTAGCTACTGCAAGCACACTTGCTTGGTACCCACTAGGGCATTAATAATAAACTCTTGGGTAATAGACCGGCACATGCTATGCTATTTTTTGCCATTCTTCCGAGAAGCGTGGTACCCACTGAACACTTGCAAGGAGCTAACGTGGTTGCGAGTTGGTACGACATGACTCACATAAAAAAACAGCGCCAATAACGAGAAACAAGAAAAGAAGGAGACAGACAGCGGCAGTGCCACTGTCTGTCTCCTTCTTTTCTTGCCCTCGTTATTGGCGCTGTTTTTTTTATTTCATACCAGCTTTCACTGTAAAAACTTCCTTATGCGAACTGCACGGAAGTGCGTTACAGTTCTGTGCGCCAACATGGTCGAGCGTTACATCCGCTAAGTGGTGATAGTTGCACGCGGTGGCTTATCATTTTTGAAACCGAAACTGGTTGGTCACAATGAGCCTGTAATTATTCATTTGTAGCGAGCTGCAGAAAACCATGTGTCATGCTATGACTACCAGGCCACCAGGAACACACTACAGCAAAAAAAACGCTATGCCACAATGTCTGTGTCAGTACCCCTTTAAGACATACCGTTCTGCTCTCCTTGTCTAACTTAGTTATGATGACTAAATTGCAATTCGTCCCCTGCGTTACTCAGCAATGCAATGTCATCGACGAAGCACAGGTTACTAAGGTACTACTCTCCATTAACTCATATCCCTAACTCTTCCCATTCTAGGACTCTGAAAATCTCTTGTAACCATGCGGTAAGTAGCATTGTGGAGATCGTATCCCCTTGTCTTACATCTTTCCGTATTGGTATCTGTCGCTTGCTTTATGGAGCAATACAGCAGCAATTGATCCACTGTAGATTTCTTCCAGGGCGTTTATACATGCTTCATTGACGCCCCAATTCTACAGTGTCTTCCATATGTATAACCCAACGAATACCTCTGCACATGAGCACAAAGCAAGAAGCGCTATCTGGTTCCGGCGCAGCATCAGACTTGGTTACGGTGCAACAGAGTGCACAGCTGGGCACACTCCGGCGCCAGTGCACCTGTCGCGGCTATGACGTCACTCCTCCGGAATGCGCAAACTGGCAAGCGGGTACAATGGCGGCGGTTTCAGCGCGCCAGCTCTGTGCATGTGATGTCACTGCTTCTTGCGCATTTACAGCACGGCTCTCCCAAGAGCCATGTGAAACTACTCAACCTTGGCCAGTGTAGCTCACGCTATGATATCATAGTTAATTTGAATTTGACACATTGCAAACACAGACATCAATACCTTGCTTGATTATCTATTTTTTGCTCTTCCTACTTTTGTTCCAATGATTCTTAGTGTTGTGATGTCAATGCGATTTCATTCATAAAATGCCAACTCACTTGAGCAAAAAGCAATAGTTTTGGCTTATGGAAATATTTAGCCTTTTGGAAGAAACCTCGTCTCGAAAGCATAATAATTGTGCATTCGCTTGGCTGCTCTGGTCTTCTGGCTCGGAGTCGCCAGATGCCGAGGCAGCTTGCAATGAGAGTGTGAGAGGCAGCATACCAACCCAATACATCGGGGATCTTGGAGCACCGTGCAGCCAACTCGGGAAACTGCCAAGTAAATATTCTTGCGCTGCATCTACAAATGGAGCCGATCAGTTAAGTGGCCACCTATGACATAGCTGGACGCAGCGACAGACTTCCGAGCTCAGCAAATGAATCTAATCATCACCGTCTGAGCTGTTATCTTAGAAGAGAACCACGTGGCTGTGTGCCAGCTGCTGTAACGACTGCAATGTTGTTCCTTCAGTTTTATCGAGACGCCACCACCTTTTGACATGGTGTATTTATGGTTTCGTAGATGTGAGCTCGCCACACACACACAAAAATGCCATTAACAATACACGCACACAATGTATTTCGTGCCCGGCAATATCCCTTCCCAATATGCGTGCTCGCACTGTCGCAGCTGTTCACCTGGTTCACCTACTGGCAGCTACGTGATTGGCAGGCTTGTGTCATGCAATCCGTCCTCCCTGTCATATTGCGCCACGTTCTCACTTCGAAGTCAGAGCAGTTGGGAGCGCTACGATTTGGAGGCTGACGCTTTGAAAGAACCAACCGAAGGTAGTCTAAGCGCTTGAATCGTAGCAACCAAACGCACATTTACTTTTCAGAGCGCTCCAAAGTGCTCGCAAATGCCCAACCAAATATGTAATATTGAGAATATTAAGTACAACCAATTGTTCATTGTTGCTCAGCATTCTCATAATTTCATACTGCTGAGATCAACAAAGCAGAACGTTTTTTTTTTTTTTTTTGGTTGCTAGCTATTCTGCATACATACATGCACCGATTTCAAACAAACCTTGGTGGCGATTCTTCGTCAGGCTCCTCATCTGCTGCCATCTTCATGAAAAGCTTCTGAACTCTGTCAGGACTCTGAACTGGATCACTGAAATACAATGTAGACTGCCAATTACAGACACACGAGCGGCTACAGATAGCAAACATGTCACTTCACAGATATTACTTCACATTGCTGTCTGAAATTGTCAATTCACTGCCAATGACAAAGTGACTTAATAGAGAAGCTTAACAAGCTACACAAAAATCATAGAAGAAATCTGAACACTATAGTTACTTTTACCAAATAAATTTTGTAAAATTATGCTCTTTTATAAACGAAGCCAAAACGAAGTCACTGCAAATAAACAAGCGTAACACAAGCTCATTGTGCAGCAATCATTTTTTCGTAGCACAAAATGGCTAAAAGGCACAGAAAGTGCTTCAAGCAAAGGTGAAGATCACACATTAAAATTAAACTGATCACCTGATGCATAATGCATGATTCTCATATTGGAAGTGTACAGCAAAGCAATAAAATGGAGCAACAAAGAAAGGGAGGTGGTGCTCAACAGGTGAAGATGTAATTGCCTTTTCTTTTTTGCCTCATGTCCTTTGGATATAGAAGTGAAGAAATGCTGTATGTAGGTGCTAGTCAAAATTAAGGCTGGTGTGGTGCGTCAAGTTCCTTTTCGCTGTGGCCATGTTTATGTAAGGCCGACAGGTTGTTACGTTAATTAGATGTGAATGATGCACAAAATGTCATTAGCAGGAAGCTCCCAACCTCATTTAAGTGACACTGTTGAGAGAGCAAATGCATGCTGAAATTCTATGAAAGCGCAGTGTTATAGAGACGCAGGAATGATGAAATGTATTGAACTGAGAGAGGAGAGAAATAGAAAGACAGGGAGGTTAACCAGAAGACTCCGGTTTGCTACCCTGTGCTTGGGAAGGAGAAAAGGGGTGTAAAAGAGTGATAGAGAAGAAGAGGAGTTTGTGACAGTAGGGAGAAAAATGTAGTGATTGGAGCACTATCCGAGCACTATAGGAAGCAACGATGTCCGCGAATAGTCCCAGTTTGTCTCTAATATCGGTTACTTGCAGGAACCGTAACAACGCCCTCAGAACAGCTCATGATCAGTTTAATAGTTGGGGCCAGCCTTTGATCATCTCACATAAAGAAAACAGAAAGAGCCTGAACAGTTATTTTGCCCATAGACCTCCACATGTGCTCAACTGATAGGTGATGCCACCATGCCCACGCATGTGCAGATAAGTTTTTGTGTCGACCTTTTTCTTTTTTTCCAGCACGGAACTTTTTTACACATCTAGAACATTTAACAGTTTAATTTCGAAGACATTTTCTTTTTTCCTCAGAAGCTTCACGTCAGATAACTGACACCCAAATCTTTCTTTGCAGCTTAGATGCTTTAATGCATAGACTGGCGTCTCATTATCACCAAACTACCTCACAAATTTGATGAGATAACTAAGAACTATTGCTAGCTTCGTTATATGTAACATATTTTGGCACACCTTTTAAATGCCTGCCAAAAAAAAAAAAAAAAAGATGCCAGGCCTGTGCATAAGGTGCAGCACAGTCACAGCGAAAGCTAGAACAGCGGCCTTTCAGAGCGTTTTTAAACACTCATTGGGTAACTACTGCAAGCACACTTGCTTGATACCCACTACGACATTATTATTGGCATTTTCAATGCTATTTTTCGTCATTCTTCTGAGAAGTGTGGTATGCGCTAAACACTTGCAAGGAATTTTGTGCCAATTGTTCATGCAGTGACTGACGACGATGAGGAACTACGCCTGAAGTGGGTATGCACCACAGTTAATAAGTGAACAAGAACAAGCTTTTGTAATGGGTTGGAGCATTGGACGACCCACTCATTACGCTATTCGCACTGTGCGACGACAGGTTGTTTTTTAGCTGTTTTAAAATGCTTTATCAGTCGTATTAACGCGATTGCTTTCCTGACATCAAGCCTGGCTAAGGCAAGTTTGCCAACAAGTCCTAAGCACTAGCATAGCTCAGTGATAGAATACTGGGCTGGCACCCAGCAGACCTGGGTTCGAGCCCCACTGTGTCATTGGCGCTAGTTGTTTTTTTTCTGATTTCGTGCGATGACGAACACCGGCGGCAGACAACTACGGTGGCGCGTGACCTGAGTTGTGCTCTCATAACAGCTTTCGCTGTAAAAGCTAGAGAAACTAGTGCCCCACCGGGGCAGCCGAACGACCACACAATCATGCAAGTGACAATGAGAACTGTGCTTTGTGAATTGGTACCCTGCGTGCAAAAAAAAATGAAACATTGTGGCTTTGAACTTATTTTTGACGTTTTTTATTGTGTGTAGAATAATGTATGCTTTCTGTGTGTTTATACTTATGTACACTGCTTTCTGTATGCCATCACTGCATGCTGAACTGTAATCGGCTAGGAAGCCTAGTCAAGCTCGCAACAGCTTTTTCTTCCCATGCCCTCTACTTCCTGAAGTGGAAATGATTGATTCCTGCAGTATCAGCCAAAGTGTACCATCCCTAGTCTCTCCCCGGACACTTATATCCTTCTCACACCTTATTCTATGTAGAAGACACATGGACCATGCCAATACCGAATGTTGCACCTATCAAGACTTTGCATTTTTCAGCTATATACAAGCTCTCAACACTACTCATGTGATACAAAAGCATCCTCACCAAAAGAAATCTGCAGATTACACACAGCAGCCAAGCAGAGCTAGAAAGAACAGGCATGTGACTGCATGGCAAAGCATGGTAGCACAAAAAACACAGCTGGAATTTCTTATATAGACCATGTGGTAGCTTGTTAGTTAAATCATTTGAACCACCTTGCTGACATCTCAAAGCACAGTAAAAAGACAAGAAATTACAGACAGAAGAATGTAACCGTTCTTTGTATCTTCAGAAGATGGTAAGAGGCTCGTTAAAACCTGAACGTAAACTTCTGGTATAATGTCCCTTTAGTTATTACCGTTCATATAATGGCTCCGACAAGAACGCACATAAAAAACATGGTACATACCGTGAAGATTGCGTGATGGATGTTTCTTTGGCTGTCTCCTCACCAGCTTTTTGCAAGACTGTCTTTTTAACCTCAGCCTTTGAGGCACCTGAAGAGATAACCTTGGCGCCTTTGAACACCGATTTGCTCTTTATCGGCATTTTGACAGTATTTTTACAGCCTTCAGGCAAAATTCTGTTCTCACACTTTTCTTCAGCTTGATTCACCGGTTGTGTTTCCAATTCACCAGAAACATCGAAACGCTTTTGCTTGCGTTTCTCCCAGGCATCATAGACTTTTGGCAGCCAATCTTTCCAATCAGCATTAGCACTCCTGAACTCCTCAATGACCTTCTGCACTTTCGGGCGATCTGCCAGACGTGCCAAAGCACGTTGCTCTGGAGTGGCATCAGACTGCAAACAAAACACATAATGTTAACCAGACAACATCATGTTACACTTTCGCAGCAGAAACGACATGTAGAACACCACTAGTGCTGTGAAGCAACCCAATCATAACTAAAGCCAGTGGATGATCCCTTTGCTTGCACTTTGTCGAAAGACTTGGGGCAAATGTCAGTCAGTACATTATACCCATAAGCTTGGTGGTAAGGACGTTCACCGGCACCATGGCAGCCATCGATCATATTTAGACAGCATCCCTGCTTTTCAATGCTACATTTCACTACCCTCACATTTGGAATTATTGTCCCTAAGTGCATTTCCTTTTGTCGTTTCACATTGTTTTCTTCAAAGGCTCAAGTGCCTTTCCCAGTTAACTCATCAATAAAGGCCTGTTCACTCCCTGCCTTGAAGCTGTCAAGGAACACCCTTTTGCTAGTGCAACTAAACTTCCAATATGTGGTCACTGAACAAATTGGTTAATCCATTAGACTCTTGAAAGACATAACCAGTATAATGACTCAGGCAGCATTACAAACTGCTTGGAAGAATTGGCCCCGCAAGTACTGGCACAAAGTACCCAAAACACAAAATGGCCATAACAATAATGCTCTGGCAATGACAGTAGCTCATGTGCATACAAGCATTTTGCATCTGCAACATGCCACACAGTTAACCATATCGTCATATTTCTCGTGCAAGTTTCTTCATCACATTCACGCTCAGCTTTACAAAAAGAACGGGCATTCTGGGCAATGTTTAAAAGTTGAAAGCAAAAAAAAAAATACTCATTCATGAAAACAAGCTGGCTCAAGTATGTCAACTCTTAACTTTATTGTAATCAGCTAATACAACAAGAAACCATTTCATCAGAGAAATAATATTTAATGAAAAATTTCAGATTCACAATATCAATGATGAAACACTGCAGATACAGGATACTAAAAGGCATGTAATATATTGCATGCAAGACTATCCAAGTTAATGCAACAAAGCCTTGCATATTATACCCACATGCAAGTAGCACATCTAGGGTGAATAGGGAGTTTTCGAATAGGGGCCCCAAAAGCTCCGAAAGCCCTTTGCATATGGACACTTTGGGTTAAGCAGGAGTGATGGGTTTTCTGATAGGGTGTGCGGCACTTTGGACACTCTCCCTATTCCACGTCGCTCTAGTCTTGGCCAAGAGCCGTCACTTCAGCGGGTGCCGTCACATTTGTCTGACCTAAAACTTTTGGGGTAGGCTTTGGGGACTCCCACTAAATTTGAGAAATAGCGTCCCCAACCCAAACGCGGTTTGGGTTTTGCGCATGCGCAATGACTTTGACGCTATTTTTTGGGGGCCCCTATTCAAACATTCCCTAATATCAGGCCCGTATCTAGGGGGCCACCCTAAGCCTCTCGCCCTCGTAATTCATGGGGGGGGGTCAAAAACTAATGAGAAAAGGTGCATTTGTAAAATAGTCAGTCTTCAGCAAGTGGACAAACCTCCCGCAAAAATTCCTCACTAAGGGCCAGCAGCGGAAATATTAAGCAAGAGCACTAAAGCGCACCTCTCAAAATGCCTGAGCCTTAACCACAAGCAGCTGTAGCAATGGTGTCTGTCCAATGGGCAGATAGGTTTAAGGGGGTCGGAATTGCTAGCCACAGATTAGATGTGACACAATCTTGAGGTGAACGTGCTCTTGTCAGAGAGACATGCCCTGCATGCAGCTGTTGCCCCTCATTTCACTAGCACGCACTTGAAATAAAATACTTCTGACAATGCCTAAAGTTCGCAATAATCCTAAGTTACATGAATAACTAAGTCAACGAAAATGAGGTCATGCACAATTTACAGATAATGCATGCTAGCACGTACTCTTGTTTACGTACCCGAACAAGAACATTCTTCCATGGCTCTTCAGCAGCTAATGCTTGGCGTGCAACGGTGATCAGATCAACTTTCTGAAACAACATCGCTGAATTACTGATGCAACAAAACAAATATGGTAGTAACTACAACTTGCTCACCTTAAGATAATTTACTTGGTCTTTCCAACGTGCAGCCTTCTGAATTCTTTTTTCGGCGTCCGGGCCTCTATTACAAACAAGCAAGGAAACGAAGATAAATATTCATCAAGGCAAAAGTCTTATTTACCTCATCACACGAGAAAAGTGTGCCTCGGTGACAACACGAGTGGTACGTAAATTGAATGACAGCACACGAGAGTCCAAGATAAATTATAAGACGTAACGACATCATGAAAGTCACAGATAGGCAAAATTTATGACGTCTTGGTGACACACATTACGGCGATGTAATGACATTACATCGTCGCTTGTTCAAATGTGAGCCGATACGCGAGGCAGAGCAATGCAGCCTGCGGTGCGAAAGGTTTAAGGAGAGCGGGAACGTTAAACCATTGCCAATGGTTAAAGACGGTCGACTGGCAGCCCCCCTCCACCGGAAAGGTGTGAGTGCTGCTCCAAGCAGCACAGATGGATATCGCTTTCGAGTAGTGTTGGACGATGAATGCATCAGGTCTCCTGTAGGGTATTTAAAGTATCGCCGTTAATGCGGTCTCACAAAACATGCTTACTTAGAATCTTGGAGCTTCCTTATCTGTGATGTCATTTTCTTAATCAGGAAGACTCTCTCCGTCTTGAGCAGCCCGCGCAGCACCACGACCTGCGAAACAAGTGTCACGTGCAGAAACCTGGCTAAAATAAACGTTGGTCGCACTCACCAGGTTATTGACAGCAATTTTCTCCATCTTGATATTTAACGTGCATTCGCGGAAGACTCCGAATCAGTGAAAACGTTAGCTAGCGAAACGAAGAACGGTACATCACGATGTTCACTGGAACCATACCACGCTGTTTTCTTACACTTCTTGAGAGCAAGCTTTCCCTCAGCGCAGCCTGGGAGTGTGCGCGATGACGATGGGTCAGTCGTAGGAATAGAGAGCCAAAGCAACGCATGGTGGCTCTGTGAGCGAGTCTCTATATTAACTCTATGTTTGTGAGTATGCTCAAGCAGCGTCATCTCTGGTGGAAAAGTAGAAATCGGGGATGTATATCGCGCGTTTTCCCTTCCCGCCAACGCGCTGCCGCTCGCTTATGTACTCATGCAGAGCGCGCGCGCACCTGCTGAGCGGCTTCAAAAATATCTCTGAGCTGGACAGGCACAACCGGGAAGCGAAATGAGTGAAGCTCGATAGTCACTTTTGTGATGTGAAGCAGACGATAGAAGACGAGTGCGCACGAGTGACAGCGAAATGCATTTCTCAAGTCCGTGACAACATATCGTGTACGACGTATGCCTTACTACTAGTACACTCTAGCCTCGCGAGCTAAGTCTTATTCTGTCGACATGAAACGGCGTACTCTATAGATGTGCTGCTTTTACGTTTATGAAAATCATATCATTGTTGTTGCGCTGTGGTATCTAGAAGCAGCAGTCGTGTACTGTCGTGCGCAAATGTTTGCGTCGTGCTAAAATAAATAAATAAAAACTAAACTTATACCGGTTTTAGAGTCATGCCCTCCGTGCCGCGGGAGCATGAGCCGCTGACTTCGCCAGCGAGACAGCAAGCTGAGCTATGACCACTGCGAATCAATCAAGATGAAGTGCTCGCCTCGTTTTTTCCATCACTCGCTGCTTGCTCTATCTTTCCAGAACGCGGTTCAGTACGTGTTCGTAACCCCTGCACGACTTGTCGGGGAACCTATACAGCTATACACGTGAGTGAGAACAACTTTATTTTGGTCCAGCGCAGGTGCTGACTCCAGAGGTTGCCACGCGCCACCCGGCTACTCCCACGTGGGGACGGCAGGTCTAGCCTGACGGCGGCCGTGCTGCCTATAGACGACACACTGCGAAAGCGAAACTCGCCGACGCTTCCGTGGGGTCGTTTCTACCATCACAGAAAGGAAACTTCGCACAGCGAGCGTCTCGTTTTAGAGCGCCAAGTTGACGGCACGGCCACAGAACAGCACGGCGCCGAAGTTCCCCCGCACCAACAGCAGAACGCGTTCTCCGCGTGTCGCACGCGCTCCCCGCTTCGGTGAAACACACTGATCGCCTGCGCAGTGCGCCCTCCCCGGAGCTTCCGCCAGGCCAACAACCAGGCGCGGACGTTGCCGTACGTCGCTCCGCAAAGTTGAGCTTTGGTTCAAGCAGAATAGAATACGAATGCTTGCAGTATGAGAACTTCCGCAGTCAGGACTATAAACGACTATCTGCTCTCTGCGAAAGCTCCTACACCTCAATCTATCACGTGCATGTCAGGAAAGAACATGAGTCTTCAGCTGGATTCGGCAAGTGGCCTAGTGTTCCAGCTGCCTGTCGCTTGTCGTGCGCGTTTGCTCACAAAACACCTATATACTGCTATTTGGTTTGCTTCGGCCACTGATCTCCAATGGGCGTCGATGGCCGAGTCACTGTGGAGTTACTATAGGTAGCAGATCGAGTTGTGCATAGATCCGCCATATTGCCCGCTGAGACGTGTATGTCACAGAACACCTACCAGTGTATGTCATGCAGGAAAGCCGCCCCTTCGGAATGTAAACGCAGACGTAGCCCAGCGGTAAAGTGTTTTAGAACACTTTACCAGCGGCTCCGTGCGTTCTTTCGCTCGTTCATACCCGTCGCTGCCGCAATAATTTTCGCTTCTAAGAAAAAAAAAAAACTCGAATAAATATTGGTCTTAGATAGATGGCAGTCACCATGGGAAGATATTTTTGTTTTACATAGCAAACAAGGAAACCTTGACTCAATTTGAATCGTGTACCCGATTCTAGGCAACTTAAGCTTAGCAAATCGCTAGTTTTCCCGTAACCGCTTTAAACGATTAAGCAGGTGGCTTGATAAACCAATCGCTAGAACTATCCCGCAAGCAAACGACAATTGTCATCCTATCATACTGGCAACTGCACAGCACTAAGTCACGGCGTTGCGCAGCACAGACACTACTAACATAATTGACGTTCACTAAAAATGGACAACATAAGACACAATCACAACACCAACGAAGTATGCTACCGCACTCAGCGGGATCGCCTCGCTGGAATGCTTGGGCAGCCGTGGTGGCGCTAGCACCCGCGCGGCCGTAAAGTTGGCTTTCCCTAAAATCAGCGCGCTTGGCGAATGGGGGCGCGAGCGGCGAGTTCTATCAGTGACGCAACTCTGCTACCTAAAGACCACCACTGATGTCAGCCGTGCTAGCCTAGATGGGGTGTGCTGAAATATATATGTTTTAGCGCAGTGCAGCCCAGCAATGGCTCCTGTGAAACACGCGCGCTATTTGTTAGTTATAACTATAGTATCGTAATTATGACTTGAATTGAAATGACTAAAAATGGATAAACATTTAACAGTATCGACTGTAAGAACCGCCGAACCTACTGCCTTCGAATAACGCGTGAAATTATCAATCCTCATGTGATGTATTGTGAAGCATCGGTCCGCGAAATATAATCCTGTCACCGACTGCAGAAAAAAAAAAAAAATGCATGGCGAAGTACACTTCAAACTGCGCGGGCCCGAAACCACTTTTTCTACTTTCATAAGTCGCCACTTGGTGTATGTAGTGCATTTCATAGTAAAGTCTCTTCATAGAGTTTTCCTAGGGAAACTATGTGGTGCATTCGTTGGGAAGATGGGTAAAAGAGTGGCTGACCCAAGCCTTTGCATAGAGGAAGGAAAGGCTCTTTCTCTCTCATGCGTGTTTCGAGAGGTGTTCTGGTAGGTGTTCTGTGAGAGGGCAGCAGAAAATGCACGGCCCTTTCCCTCGTTTCCTCTCCTCTCCTTTCTCTACGCGCGCGCGTCCTAGTGTGTAAAGTGTGGTGCCGCTGGCGGAAGGTGCGTCTTTTGGCTTGTGGTCGCGTTGTCTGTACTGGTCTGACCGCCGATCGCATTGGCCGAAGAGACAAGCGCGGACATCTACGCCATTTTGGGTTGCATCTCGGAGCAAAATCAGAAGCAGCCATGGTGACCGTCAAGGAAGCTGCCGACCGGGCCGAGGCCGTCATTGCGAACATGCCCGAGAAAGCGCAGTTCGGTGTTCAACATCGTCCAAAGCAGGACTGGCGTCAAGCGAGCCTACATCCTACTTGGTGTGTTCGGTGACTACTTCCTTTACTGCACCGCAAATATTTCGTTTCCTAACGTAAACAACGCTTCATAATTCTCTCTTTTTTTTTCTGTATGTTTAGCTGGTTCATAACGTTATTTACATGTTTTCTTTTTTTTCTCTCTCATTTCTCTCTCTCTCTACTTGCAAGGAGGCTTTGAGTGAACAAAATACCACCACGAAGATAGGTAATGAAATTATACCTGGGGCACGTAAGAAGTACAATTTCATGTGGGCTAGCGTTGAGGAAACAAAACTGCGGTCTCTAGGAGGGTGTGACCTTGTCGGAGCCAGTTGCGGCGGCAAGCGGCTAGGATTGTCGCGTGCGCCACGGTGAACGATTCGCGTCTGGTCTGCACGTGCGGTCCACAGCCCGCGCGCCGGTCCTAGTGATAGAGAGCTGGTGAAGCGAAAGGGAACACAGTGTTCAGTCTTCTATAGTAGGCGTCAAAGACGATTGTTGGTCCAGGTGCCGTTTTTCGCGATACCAGCTGTTATAACGCAACCACGTGAACCTTGCTTGGCGTAGTACAGACTGCAAAAGCTGCTTTTTCGCGCATTAGTTGCAGACTGACATTGGTTAATTGGTTAAATGCGTGCCCGTTTTTTTTTTTTTCTCTTCCTTTTCCTGTCGTGTATAAGTACGTCGTGTCTGCATGCCGAACCCGCGTTTCTTTCTCAGGTATTTTCTAACGTACACCGTGCGTTGGCTGTGCCATATCCACATAGCTTGCTAATGATCGGCAAAACAAACAAACCAAAGGCATACTGCGAGTCATAGGAAACGGCAGGCGTATTCCGGTTTGGGCACGAAGCCCCAGCACAATCGCTACGAATGTTTTCTTTTCCGGACACCGCACTGCGTGATAAATACTGCGCAGACCACGTGAATCTTAAACTCGAAAGCCTCTGTTCAGCTGCAACAAACAGCCGAACATTTAAAATGTTGCGTCTGAGGCAACCTGCGTGTCTGTATTTGCAACCTTTTCTTTTCGGCAGCGCGCAAATGATTGTGCCACTGTCCAAAGTAGGTCACTCTAGCCCGAAGGTAGCGATAGAATCCTGTCATCGCCAATGCTGCTTGTAGTTTTTTTTTTTTCTGTGGGCGCTATACATAACAGATGTTTTAGTTTATCCGCAAACGGCAGGATTTTGCGGAGAAGTAGCGAAAGCGCAACTTTCAGTGCGAGGTACCGCCATGATGATAATGTGGCGGTGTGCCTTTCGGTAACGCGCCGTTATCCGACACGTCAGCTATGTTAGCGATGTCTGCATTCCTACTGTGTTCGCACTTAAAAATATTTATTGTCTAATGACAAAGTTTCAATTATTTTTCACTCATTATAAAATTTCGTCAATTGTACCGAGTAAACACACATGTGCACATGGTCTCATTCACATATGGGAATGCGATCATTAACTCTTGCTTTCACACACATACAAACACAAATATGTGCATTGAAGGAGTATTGACATTAAATTACACATGTCATTTTGCATCCACGAGTGGTTTTCGATCCTTTAGTAGGAATTCACGACCCTGAATGCAACTGAGGGACCAATAGCTATCTGTTTTACTGATTCATATTCCTGGTGTCTAGCACGATTCGAAATAGCCAACAAGCTCGCCATTTTTTTTAGAATTGACAGTACTTCCTCGCCATCACTTTCAAAAAGTGTGCGAGCTGACCACTTGTCCACAGAAAGGAGTGACGTGAAGCTCGGCTTACATTATCTGCTCGTTCTATACCTTTAGTCATGCCTTATCGCCAGCATCGCCACCAAAAGTGTGGACTATTGTTGCAGATGACCTTATGGAGCTTGTAATCGCCACGATTCGTAGCATCGTGAATCATTTTCGCTTCGACATTTCACTAAACATCGGTTAAAAAATAGATGCCATTGCAAGCAGCAACGAGAAAGTGACCGGGAACGTACGCTTCTGTTATGCTTGCTGGTGTGTCTCATTTAGTTGTATTTTAGCATACAAGGCATTTCTGTATATGTCAATGTATCTATGGTATAAGTTTATAACTGTATAGCGAACCCATAGCAGCAGAAAAATAGAATGTTAGGTTTCTACAATAGCAATTCTGTGCTTGCCAGGTTTTTCTTTGTGCCACCAAATGGCCCCACTTATCTGGCCTCTCACGGTTACGGCTGCTGTTGTCCAGTGTTTGCTAGCACGAAGTCCGCGGACAAACTAAAAATTCACTAATAATGCTATGTACGTGCGACTTGTTAGCAATATTTGATATACGTTTTTGTCCCTTTAACAGCTTACGGTCATGTTTGCATGAATACACATTCATTCTGCTTTTTCCGCAGCTTTAACACAACTGCAGCTCACATGAGCATCGGCAGGGGAAGTGCAAAAGGGGCGATTGCCCCTCTCTAGCCTCACCAGCACTTTCTCTCACTCAAGCTACACAGTGTTCTCCCCCTCTCCCAGCCGCAATGCAATGTTGCTTTGCACCCCCCATGGGAAAATCCTGCCGACACCATGGTAGCTCACAACAGCTCTCGGACATGCAGGCTGACGTGCTCATGTCGAATCATGCTCTCTCCTTTCTCTTGTGTTTACCTGGAGGTATGCGTCTTGTAATTTCATGAAATCATTCTAAGCAGTGTGATAAATATCAGGAATGAAGGGTGAGAGCATTTCCATGTGTTGGTGACAAAGCTGTAAGAACACTTGAACATTCTCTGCCACTGCTACTAGTGCATCGTCACTCAAGATGGTACGTGTCATACCAATCACGCTACAGTAGTATCGATGTAGCAAGGTGCTCAAAGCCCCTTTCAGATTTCAAACAATCTTCGCCCTCGAAATAATATAACTTCCAGGTGCCATACATTTTTCTAATTTGGTCAAAAATACTTATGCATACTGAGCCATCAAACCTTGAGCTTCAAATTTCGTCAGTGCCCCTTTAACAGGTATCACACATGCGTGCACTATAAAGTTACGGAAATGTGTTGAAAAATGTGTGTCTGGGAAGCAGTCATGGCTTCTACAGAGAGAATAACCGTGACGCCAGTGCTTTGTCTACTTTAGTTGCTGATGTAGGCAGTATGCAGTGGCTCTGTTGATGGTAGCAGCGAACTGGGGATATGAGAATTTTTTCTGGCTCATGGGAGTTTGTGAGAAGTTCCCAATTTATTTTCTCATTCCATTGCAGAGTTTTTTAATCTCATCGTGATAAAACTGCTATTGCATTATAACACTTGCAAAATAAATCACTATGCATTAATCTAAACCAAGCATTTTGTTCCAATGCTGTTATAGGTAACATTTGTTGGCTATAGCTGTATTAGCATAACCTAAATTTACCCATTCCATTGAAATTCCCCTTGACATATACTCCAAAAAAGCATTACTATTATTATTATTTTTTTCAAATGGTCGACTATGCAGGCATTTTTCCTACAGCTGTCCAGTGGATGTCTTGACAACTGGGAGTGTCAATATAAACACACCTGACTGGGGATATTGTGAACCAGTATAACGATAATGAAATGGTAATGACTTTCTAGGAGCAGTAGAGCATAGCATGCAATATGACTTCATATTTTTGCTGTAGAGAGAGAAAAAAAGCTTAGTTTGCTCTTTCCAGTAGTTCGTTAGTCACAAGGCATTGTAGCACACATAGAGTGGGGGGCAGTGCATTGTGAAAAACAGTTTTATCCTTTGTCCTTCTGGCAGCCATTCCCTCCCTTGCAATAAGTTCACTAACGTAACTTGATATCAATGATAACTAATAGAATTAATATTGTGTCCTCAAGATTTCGGCTTCTTTCCTGCATAAAATGTAGTAAATTAGAAATTCTGGTTTCCAAAGTCAAGCCAACTAACTCTTATACCTGTATTGAAGCATTTCATCGGAACACAGGTTAAGCATGTTTCACTGTTACACACTGAAAAATGCTGCACTTTGGTTTGCTAAGGGGACACAAAAGGCCAATCTATATTTGTCTGAATGAAAGGTCATTGCTTGAGAATGTCTGAAATGTCAGTATTATATGCAGCAGCGCTTCAACAATTGACAAGCTATGGGCACAATTCGTGCCACCAGTGCAACATTCTGGAACACAAGCCCAGTGGTTTAGTTGGGTCTCAGTACAAATAATCACCAGTAAGCTTGTGCAAAGAATTTCAGGTTGGAAGCAATTAATGCACGATTTTGGTCGAATAATTTCAAGTCGATTTCGATTAGTGTGTATCACATATTATAAATAAAAATGGGCATGTTTGTCAAGACCCAACTCACCTGCACAATTTTTTAAAAAGTTTAAACAAGACCTGTGCAAATGCTGTTCTTTTAGGTTCAAAGAAAATGGAAACAATTTTGAATAGTAGCAGGATTGGAATTTTGGTAGAATGCAAGTGATAACCTGCCAAAATTGTAACATTTTAAAATTTATTATACTTGGATCATATAAGCTGGTATAACAAGCTTTTAAACTTAAATATGATGACTCTGTGCGAGGGTACTTCAAAATTTTCCACGATTTAAGTTTGAATCAAAGCAAGTTTGAATATTCGCACAAGCCTAATCACCAGTAGTCAAACAGGCACGACATATTACAAGTTGGCGTAAAATGCAACTAGTCCACTTCTAGACATTATACCTATGAGAATGACACCATTTCAGTTTTCAATAAGCTGTGCGCCCTTAAAGCCCCTTGCTTTATTGCATTACAGCATTATTTGGCCAGTCGAATCAGTAAACTGTGAGCATGGCTATGTCGTAGAATAACAGAGCTGAGCTAGTTGGTACATGTTCATTCTTTTAGCTAGTTGGTATGTAGTTGGCGTCTGTGGTGTCTTGATTTGTCCATGCTTGCATGCCCTGTCATATTAGAATAACATCAGAAGGCTGTCCCTGGAGGCGATTTGTTTGAGTTGTGCTAACAGTATGCAGACTATAATGTGCAATTCGCTTTCTAACTACGACTTTCCTTTACACGAAATAAGAAGTGTGAGGATGGTGGAATTATATTTCAACAATCTACATCTTATTGCCTCTAGCGTCTCTTCAAGATGAACACGTGTCTGCAATATTTATTTGCTATTTCCATTTAATCTCAAATGTAGTGAAAGAGGCAGCATTGTTTTAATAATTTTAAGTTTAACTCCAGGAGTGTAGGTTGGCAGTAAAATTTATTGAAGTCCTGAAGAAGTTATCCCCTAGTTTTCATTCGTGGTGGACTGCGGGCTTCTCCCTCATTGGGAAGAGAAGGCCAGGGAAATTATAAAATTGTGCCCTTTTTAAATGCTTATCCACTTATTCCACACTTTTGGCTATCACTCACCCTGGCTGGCTTTACTGAACCTGGAATGGAGTTTAACAGTTATGACTATGCAATGTTTTATCAGGTGATGATTCCACAAGCTTGTTCATTTTTTTTTTACTTCCATGATGTTGCATTGGGCTTCGCCTATATAAAGTAAGGATGCCACAAACGAGCACTCATTCCAGGCATGCTGCTGCATCTAGAAAAAGCCATCATCATATTGTGGTGCCAACTGATAGCTTCAACCGAGCGCATGTACAGAAAAAGCAATTATCGCAATGCACTGAAGGTGCACTTCCTCGCCCTACCACTGGAGGAACGAATGGAAGAGAACAGCCAGCATGTTGTGTGAAGGCCAGAACGATAGAGGAGCTGAAACATGATGCAGTGTTAAGAGAGATGCCACCACTGCCGGCACACCCTCTATAGACAAATGTGTGAGAAAATCTTCACTCTTTCCCAAGCCACCACAGTGCTTAGTACAGAAGAGCCATGTCAAAGAATCTTGAACCCAGGCACGACCCATTGTAAGTGCGTAGTGAGCGAAGAAATGTTTGTGATGATGTCAACTCAAGTGATCACTGAAGTAGCGCTGCGAAGAAGCGAAAGAAATCATTTGTACCTTGACTCTGAGAAGAGGCATGTAATCACTGACGACCGAAGGACAATCCCCAGCTGTAATCATCATGATGTCGTGAGCGTTAGAGAAAAGGAATCTTCGAGAAGCACCAGCGGGTCACCAGGGACTGGGCTGACAAGCCTGGGGGCATGAAAAGTGTTCTTGAATACTCTCTAATGAATAAGCACGCATGTGAGCATGACTCAATTGTTTCCCCATTATTATAAAACTCACCTGAGTTGTATTGCGATTTAACAAGCCTACATGTATAGGGTTGATGTTGTACCACCTCAATTGAGAACATAGCTTTTTTGTGTGTTTGTGCACTCATTGCTTTAATGATGTTTGGGGTTTAACGTCCCTAACACTACCTGATTATAAGAGACATCGTTGCGGAGAACTCCAGAAATTTCGACCATCTGGTGTTCTTTAACGTGCAGTGACATTGAGCGGCACGTGGGCTTCTACCATTTAACCTCCATCGAAATGTGACTGCTGCAACTGGGATCGAACCCGCGACCTTCAGGTCAGCAGCAAAGCACCCCAGCCACTGTTCCACCGAGGCAGACAACTCTTGGCTTTGACTTGGTTTTTGAAACAGAATAGGTGTTCGCTGGCACACTAAAAAAATATACTCTTAAGCTGTCCATGCTGTCGTGGTGCATTTTGTGGAACTAATTCAACATTGCCTGGAATCCACCTGGCGCTTTCGTCGCATTCATGACTGAAAATGATTTTCACCTTTGGCATGTATCCATTACAGGGCACAACTCTAGTTGTTTGACATCCTGTGAAGACACTTTTCACATCCTACATTCGCAAAAGCCACCGCACAGCTTGCGAACAAGGCATGCCATACAATGACAGTTAGTGCATGTCACCACGTCACACCTCATGACTGGCACAAGCTTACAGTAGTGGAGAAGAGGTCAATAAATTTTGGAGCAGCTATCGACGGACATTCATTCAATTTTCATTTCTATGGTCATTCAAATAAACATAATCTAACCTATAATTTGACAACTTTCTTGAGAAATACCCGGTTGCTGACGGATCCCCCAGCGTGGGTGTGTGCCACAGATACAAAGATCTACTTTAATTCTTGCCTAGGGTGTTTTTTTTTTTTTTTGGTTACAGGCACAGCTTTGCCCTTAATAGTTTTTATGGTAACAGGTGCTGTGCTTGGTTGGTTGGTTACAATATAAGCAGCTATCTATAGTTTAAAGGTGCAAATATAGAATTATGTGTACTTAAGAAACCAAACAACATATGAAAGGGATATTAGAGGACACGCAGTGAGGCACCAGTTTTATCAGATTAAAAAAAAAGAAAGTGGGTTGGGCTGTGATTTTATTTTTTAATGCAAGATAAAATACACTAGCTCTTTGCGCAGATCCTTGGGTACTCCCTTATTGTGGGTAAGTGCCACTTGATTTCAGGCCGTCATCATCCTCCTCCATAGTGGGTGTACATCATTGGCTCCAAAGAGAAAACGACATGTCTCAAGACCCTTGGGCACGAGCGCCGACACAGAACAATCAGCAAAATAATGAACAAACTGGGTCTGGCACAGCTCCAACTCAACCTCCCGAGCCTCCCACTGCCACTCAAGGGGAGCCGCCACTTCCACCGCAGCCTGTTCAAGAAACGGTGACACGGCAGGTGATGGCACCAACAAATCAGGGATCGCCCATGCAACACGGTGGAGGATTGCAGAACTTTATGAGTTCACTAGGAGCTGGGCCTGCACCTGGATATCCCGCAGCTGCCGCCTATGAGCCAGTACGTCCTGTACCAGTGCAAAGTGGAATGCAACAGTCGTGGGCTTCCCAGTATGGTGTCCCAACAGGTGGAATGGGTGGATATGGCCATAGCATCCCCGTACCTCAATACGGGGTCGAAGGAATAGTGGCTGCCATTGTGCTGCGGCAGATTGATGAGAGCCCACCGCAAGTGAGGCTTGTGTTTGCCCTCCTGGAGCAGTATACGGGTGTGAACAGAGCATATCTCGGCATGGGTATGCACCATTTTCTCTCTCATATGCGACGACTGATGCATTAGTGAAATTGTGCTGAAGCGTCTGTTGGAGTCCAAACTTGCATTTTTAATGATACTGGGCCTACTAGTTAGCATTGCTTTTGTTAATGGATGGTAAAAAGAAATGATATATTTCCAGTTAGAACGCACATTCTTTTTGTTTCTTTGTGGGTTTTAGTCGCTTTATGCATTTTATACGTGGCAGACTTGATGTGTTCTAGATGTGATTAATTTCAGGGTTATCACATTTAGTGGACACCAACATTGTTTTGCCTTCGTTCAACTTTTTCTGTTGTTTTCAAGAGATGCCTCTGTTGAGTGTGTGTGTTTATTTTTTGGTTGTCTGTCTAACCTGCATAACCCTGACAGAAGAGCACCGTAGATAAAGGCTGAATTGACCATTGTGGTTGGCAAGTAACTGTTAATATGTGTGTGTGTTTGTTATCTCACTCTTGGAACTGCTCATGTAGAATTGCTTACTTGCAAGACAAAAACAGACATAGCTATCTATCTCTTAATAAAGCCGAAGTTCCTTCAGTAATTGTAAATGTGTTGCTTAGCTTTTGTGTGTTGCTTGTTTGCTAAAGCGTATTTTCTCTGTGCAGGTACGGCTGGCTTGTTTGCACTGTACATGATCTTTGGCTACTTTGCCCAGCTGCTGTGTAACCTTGTTGGCTTTGTCATTCCTGCTTATGCCTCGTAAGTTGTTCAAATGCCAATCTGTGTGAAAGGTTTTGCAATGACATCAGCAGTGGTGCCTGTACCTTTGTTTGCATGCACGTTTGTGATGAGCGAGGGCACAAGTAAAACGTCGATGTTTAGTATTCCTTAACAATGTTGTCTTTGCTTGTGCCATGTAGCATGCACGGACTTCAGGTAGACCAATCTTGCCAAGCTTAATAACGTGAGTAGGTATAATCCAGCTCCTATTTGGGACACTGTCTAGCTTCCCAGCGTGTGCTTGCACCTCGGTGCTACTGACCTCCAATAAGAACATCGAGTAAGAGAACACAACGATCAAAATACAGAAAATAGAAATTTAAAATGTTAAAAATAACTGCCACACGTTGCTAAAGTTTGCATTGCCTTGCAGGAAAGAGTTTGCCACTATAGTGTGTGCCACTTTTCAAGAACATGAGCTCGTGTGACAGGGTGATGGATGGTTTACTCACACGAGAGAGGTTATCATTGCGCTATGCTAATAGCTTCAATAATTGTTTTTTGAGCAGTCACCTTTGTGTTTATTAATCACAGTTGTGTTTCCCAGCTCTAAATTGCATTCGTATCTGCTGACATGCTGCACCAAAAGACCTGTGCCAAAAAAGCATCATTCCCATCATGTACTTTGCACGTAATCTGTAATTGAGACAACTCTAGGTTTGACTGATATAACAAAAGGCTGCATGAAAGTGTGATGTAGACAGCGCTACTGACGCCATTAACAAACTGAGTTGTGCTCTTCATTGTGCACAGTTGTTTCTTGTGTTTTGCAGCACACGTCAACTTTGTGAACTGAGACAGCTTATGTGGTGCCGAAAAAGTGTCTATTGGCAAAATCCATTGTGAGAACAGGAGTAGATGGTTAGTGAACCGAGGTGTAGGGGGCAGAATACTAAGAGCGGGGCCACTTGATCTTCTGATGGCACACTTCCGGAGAGCAGGCGGGAGGGTGATAAGGGGAGAGATATACCGTGTGATCAAAACATGCCAAGCCCTGGCATTCTGTGCAGGACAGCAGCGAAATATGCCTAAAATCTGTCAGTTGCACGTTCACCTTTATTCTAATTTGCAGTTGCATAGTACGTTTGGGCAACCGTGCATCCAGCAAACATAGCTGCATGCTCTTCCTAGCCGTCATTGTCTCTATCTGTACAAATGGTGCCAATGCAGCGAACATAAGTGATGTCAAACTATATGTGGTAGCTACCATTGCCGCCGCTCTCACTGGCTGAAGCAAAATGATAATACGGAGAATGTGATGTTTTAAAGTCACGCAACTCTCTTTGTACTGCGCCTTTTCAAGCTAGAGCAGTATGAACTGTTCGGGGCTGCTCTCTGCATCATAAAAATGCTCTTGCTATACCATTGCTCTTACATCTATTTGATCACTGAAACAAGCCAACGCTGAGGAGAGCACCTTCAGCTTGCTTTTGAGTGAACCTGTTCTCGCAGTGCCTATCCTTCGCATGCCTATCCGTGTCCATCAGTAGTCGCTCTGGAAGTATCCATGGGTGTGGGCTCTCCCATTCAGTGCCCCACTTGGGCAATGTCATTCATGAGGGTGACTATAAGGTGTGCAAGGGGTGTGTTGGCACATCATGCAATGGTGGGCACAATGAAATTCGTACATTTTACACACACTTCCCTCCTTGAGAACTTACTCCCCCCCCAATTACACTCGATGGCTGGTTAGGATATGTGCACAGTACCACTGCTTCCTGCATTTCTAGCTACGGATCTGTATCAGGGGCCTTTGTTTCCTGCTAGTTATAGTCTCCGCTGTTGGACTGGGAAGCACTGTTGGTCCCCCTCCATTCCCCTGGTAATGCTATTGGCCTCAAAATGCCTTTGGTAGATCTCAGCAACAAAGGCACAGTGACAGGATAGTTCCTCAAGTTGGATACTTTTTCTTGTCATGAAACTTAGTCGCCACTCAATAGGAGGGTCCTGATATGTCTGACAAAGCTGCTACTCTGCGGGGCCACTATAGCTTAACCAGCTTTCTTCTGATTAATTCAGCAGAGATCGTAGATGCAGCCAGCGCAAGCCTTGTTTTGTTCATGTGCTCTGTATATGCGATTGCTTTCGATATAAGAACCAAGTTCAGATACTGTGCTCTGTATATGCGATTGCTCTCGATATAAGAGGCAAGTTCAGATATTGTGCAGTTGAAACGGCAGGTTTGCCTGACGATGCCGTTCAGGTGCAGTGTACCAAGGTGCCATTTCAGCTTACAAGGACGCTAGTGAAAACGTGTCCCTGCTTTTAGATAACTGGAAGGAATCCATAACGTGGCAAGTAATGGACAACTCATGCAGTTTATTTGAAGCATGTGTGTGCGTGTGTAAAGTACTTTGATTCATTGGACATCTCTATGTGTGCAATTTTATGATAAGTTGTGATGCTGTATCATTGTCAAGGTGCATACCTGTGCCTCAGGCCTAATGCTATTTCTCAGTATATTCACAGCCTGCCAGCCCACTTATGAATTCAAAGTTGCATGACCATGTAAAGCTCGAATGTCTCTCTATACTGTGAAATAACCTTGAGGGCCGTTGCGTGAAAGAGAGGCTTCCAGCTATGATAAATGGGTTATTAGCTCTATGTTGTTGCAGAAAAAAATGTTTAATTTCTTTATCAATACTTTAAGATGCCTTTTTGGTTCTGGTTACCCTAGTGCTGAGTGAAGGCTAAAATTGAATGTTATTTCTCTTAAGTGTTTCCGTGGCCCCATTTCCTCCAAAGAAAGTTCACTATTTTACATTCCTATTAAGCGTTCTGGTATGCTGACGTAGCACTGTACTGAATGCAAATGTGCGTTAATCTTATGGCCCTGCTCATGTGAGATAAGAAATTAAGAAGTATAAAACAGTTTGGGGGAGTGAGTCATTTTAACTTGTGTGTTTAAAACAAGACTAATTTCTGGAGGTCACGGCTCCCTAGCACCCGTATCTTGTGTGCACACACCACGCTATGCTGTGGCTGCACATACACATATGTTAAGGAAAACCTGCGCACTTGTGCAGGGCTGGTCGGACTACTGTTCCTTAACCGTCCGTCGCCATAGGAGCCGATGAGCACTCTATAACCCTTCAACCAAAGCATCATTTTTAAAAGACTGCACACTGTGCAAAAAGTGACGAACAGGCAGCTGTGCCTGTTTCGATAATCAAGTCGGGCTACTGGTGTATGAATTCTTATTCCCTTGAATTTGTAAGTGCAGGAAAGTGTAACGCTTGCGGACTAAGAGTGCTGTAGCACAATGTTGCTGACTGATTTCTTGGAGCTCTTCGTTTACGTACCAAATTTCACCAGACAACGGCAATTGAATTTTCATATGCTTTCGATTTTCCAGGTGTGATGCTGTAAGCATTAGCGACAGCAAACAGTCCTTCCCGTTGATCGAGTGTTGCACATGCACGCCTCACTTTTCATTGATTGTGGGGGTGGTTGCTTTCAGAATTAGAAATTCGTTTCTATGGATCCACCTTTCATTATGTAACCACTGCAATTCTTTTTGTTGACTTGGCACCAAAGCTCACATCTGCGTCCACTGTCGATGGTGTTTATGGCGCACTCATTACGCCTAGCCTGCGTGTTTTCAACTTGTCATGCCACTCCGGGAAGCTTGCCCTAGACAATATGAGATCGCACATATGAGCTCAACAAAGGGCAGCATACATAAAACCAAGTTTAGTCTCGCGGCCGTGAGAACAGCGGCGGCAACTCTACCATATAAAAGCCTACCAAGGTTGCAAGTTCGCCTGTTGCTGGAGAGCCTTTCAATCGTGGAGCATCGCCTACACTGATAGTGGCATTGAGGATGCATGTGTGACATCTGCAGTCTACAACAACGTAATTATTTTTCACACAAAAAGCCGAACCGCGGTACTGAGCACGTTATGCGGGCTCCTGTTCAGTGCAGAGCTTGTGCAGACAACGCGTGGAGCGGAGGCTTCTCCGTAGCTTCCTCAGGTGGGCGCCTGTGAGCTCGCGGGGCATTCTCCTCCTTCCTTTTTCTTTTCTTGCTCCGCTCATCGTTAGTTTATTCCGTGTTTCCTCTTACTCAATTCAATTCCTCTGAGCCGTGTTGTGTTCAGAGGAATTGTAGGCGAATATTACAATGTCAAGGGTTTAGTGTGTCAAGATCTTTAACAATATCTTACCATTTCTTTTCTTCTTTTCTTTTCATGACTGCCTGTAGCATGCGTGCCATAGAGTCCACAACAAAGGATGATGACACCAAGTGGCTCACTTACTGGGTGGTTTTCGCCTGCTTCTCAGTGGTGGACTTCTTTGCAGACAACATCTTGCGCTTCTTTCCCTTCTACTGGCTGGCTAAGGCAAGTTTTTCGGCTTGCTTAGGGCTGTTTTCTTCACCATATTATATTCTAGTTTAGATGAATTTGTGTAATGGAGTGGTTGCCTAGTGGAGTAAGGCAGCAGTGAACTAGCTGGGCACAATTACATTGTTAAGATTGGCATTTGAAATGAACATCGTTGTGGACAACCGTCAGTTGGTAGGCAGATTTCGAGTGCCTCATTAGTATTGCTAAACATTCAAGGGACTCTTTGAGGCTTCCAATGCAGTGCTGCTTATGCCTTCAATGTATTTTTTATGTCATCGAGATAAGCAGTAATAGTGCACTGAACGAATATAAGTGATATTGACTGCTGCAAAAATGTTTAGAATTCGTCGAGTACAAGCATAGTTAGAGATGTGTCACACACGGTGATTTCTTTCTCTCTACTCTCGTCCCAGCAAGTGCACTGGAAGTGAAACGGAAATGATGGTACAGGAAAAAGAAGCTACGCCTAGGGCACATAATAACCTTCAGCACTTCTGCACTTTTTTCTTTGAATGTGCAGGCTTACATTCAGTGTGATTCGCGAGCACAAGCGCATGCATGTGGCAGCATTTCATGGTGGCCACAGCAACTGTGCTACTACGATGCTTAAATCAGCCGATGGACATGAATTTGAGTATATGGAATCATTTGTCGAGAGAAGGGGAAATGATTCCAGCTTGCTTCGAGAATTAATTGTAAATACCAGGTCGTGTGCTGCACTAAGGTTTGGTTAGCATGTTTTCGGGAGCCTCGACTACCGATCGGCAGCATTTTCTGACCAATCTGAAAAAGTGTTGCAGGGCTACTTCATTAACAAAAGAAGTCTTGGCAACTAAAATGTTTTCGAGCATTGTATGCACACCACTTTCCTATGGTGGTAGCTTGTGCACCTGTGGTTAAGGACCGATCATCTGTTATGGGGAGAAAGATGGGAAGCCTTATTGTCACACAAGTAAACACCTGGGCATAGCAGCACATTACAAACTGGTTCAGAGTTGAACACTGAGAGCTCTGCAATTCTCCCAGGAAGGGATGCTGGTGCTGCAGCCACATGGCATTCATCTTCATTATAAAAAAATCCAAAGAGATCATAGGTTAAGCAGCAAATATTTATGAATTAACTCTTAAAATAAGTACTTCATTGCACATATGTTGAAGTTGGGGATTGCAGCTAAAAGTTGGGAAGGGTTAATAACGCCTGACTTGCAGTCAACTTATAATAACAGCTCAACACTTTCTGGGACTGACCGAAACACCAGTGTGTTTCATTGCACACATAAATAGTGCGCATATTCAAGCCAGGAACAAATCAGCTGATCATTGTTTGTGAGGGGCTGATCCCACGTAAAAGTTTCACCGTAACGCCCAGAGATAAGGCAATGGGAGAAATGTTAACAATTTCTCCTCAGTAAAAAATGTTTTCCCAAGTTGTCAAGTGCATATACTAAATGCAATATTTTTTTCAGTAAGGTTAGTATCTGACAGCATTGTCTGTATAGTCATTGGTATTGCTCTCTCGAAATTTGATGAGCATGAATGGCTACCTCGTATAGAGACACAAAAACGTTTTTTTTTTTTTTCTGTATATAGGTTCGATTGATGTTGCTTTTTAATCATTTGCATGATATTTCAGATCATCTTTCTTGTCTACTGCTTCGCTCCCACAAATCCAAACGGATCTGTTCACATCTACAACAAGATCATTCGTCCAGTCTTTTTGCGCCACGAGACCTCTGTCAACAAAATGGCTTCAGAAGCCGGGGCTGGGATCCGGACTGTACTGCGTGAGTGTCCTATGTTGCTTCACCGTGCAACTGCTGGGGCCTTTGATTGCTCATACATACTGCATTTTTTTTTTGTCATGCCAGTCATATTACAATGTTTGCATTGCAAGGATGCAAAGAAATAGTAGTTTATTATTAGTGGCTGATGTGCTGGTTGTGGATGCAAATTTAGCCTATTTAGTTCAGTGATTGTTAATTGCTTTATGACTTCCCTAATGCAGCTGCGTTCCTGGATTTATGTGCCTTGTGGCATAGAGGAAGGAATCTGGCATAGCTGTGACCTACTGCACACTGGACAATATTTGGGAAATAGGTGAAAAGTGTGTGTGGGCTATGTATTTGTGCTATGTACCACAAGCACAAATATTTGTGTTATGTGCCACAGGCAATTCAAACAAAAATGCTTTTAACATTTATGAAAAGACACCCTGCGTAGAGATCTCGCCAAAGACACATGTTCAATCTGGGAACGGATCACTGCAAATTTGTTCCTCCATTCGTTATGTAGCGATTTGTTTATTTCACTCTGCAGGATAAAGAATATTAGGGTTGTGCATTTTGCTATGAGAGTTCAGTGCGAGCTTTCATAGCATGCTTTTATGACTGAGGCTGCAATCTACAATTTATTAAGGTAGATAGCTGGCATGAACTTGCTTCCGCTGTAAGGCAGGCTTTCAATGCCTAACGTTGCTTCTTCTTTTGCCTTACAGAAAAAGCTGCCTCTTCTGCTACGAAGAATGAGTGAACCCGTCTTTCAAGCACTTCTCTCCTTTGTTGTCGCGTTGGGTGGCCACAGCTTCTTATTTTTCAGTGGCTAGCCTCTGGTGGCAGGTGGCGCCCAGCATTGTCACCCCAAGGTACACTCCGGCATCATGTTTTATTAAAAATGTGCTTTGCCAATTCATTTGTTATTGTGATGCACACAGCTGCATGTTAAGATGTAAATAATATGCATATACAGATCAAAAGTACTGTGCCAAGTGCTGCCACATAAGGTTGCAGTTTGGCATGTTGGACTTGTACTTTGTTCATTTGCATATTTATAATTGTGTGAAGCTTCAAATTTCCTGAGAACTGGCATATCTCATTATGCTTACATCATCTTATCAAACTGTATTTTTGCAGTATGTTTGGTGGGCTGTTGTCCCTTTTGTTTTTTAATGTGACACATGAAAGCTTGGAAACCCACTGACTATAGTAACACCATGTTTCACAGGCAGTGTCATTGGCTAGAAATTGTACTTGAAAATTCAGCAAACAAAAAAAAAAGGGGGGGGGGCAGGGCAGGGGAAGCTGTTCTCATTTTGAAGGAAAGCTTTTCAGGTAAGAAAATGAAATTTTGGCTGCTGACTGCTTTGCAGCTTAATGGATCACACAGATGTCTTTGTGACTAGAGATTTTCAACATTTTCATTTTAAAGCGATTTGACACTGTGCCCTATTCGATCCACACAATTTGGACTTGGTTTACCTCTCACATAAAATTTCAGTGCCACCAAAATCTTAACACAGGTATACAATGCTTAACATTAATTTAATGCTACATTAACCGCTACCTCAACACAAGGAGCACTGATACAAAACTTCGTAGGTGAAATAATGAGTGAGATTTATGGGGAGACATAATGTATCCTAGAACATATTTAAAAATAATTTTTGAAGTGTATGCTGCGCGACTGAGTAAGATGCGAAGCACCTTGTGACGCCAACATCAAGGACAGTGTCCACGTAAAAAAACCTACGTCATGAGTTTCTGCCGGCTGGTTGCTGGCATGCGCCTTGCACTCGCACTACCCGAGATTTCTTTTTCCTGCCTGCAGCTGTTGCATGTGCTGGCTGTGTTCTTTTCCGTCATTCGCTCGCTATGCTCGTTGGCAGATGTTATGCACTACTTCTATAACTCTGTAGATATTGCAGCACTGACTTCACGTTAAGTGTGAATGTGCCGGTATTATACTGCATGGTTGGATTTCACCCATTTCAGTCACAGTTCAGTGCAATCATGCGCAGATTTCCCACAGGTGCAACTCACGAACAAAAATAAGTTGAGTCTGTGCACGGTGCCGGTGTAAGTACAAATTGGATGCCACATAGAGCAGTCACATTTGTACACTGCATTTAGGGCCTGGTGACAACATTGCACAGCACATTCAGGCGTAGTTGACGAATTGTCAGTGTGGCGCCCACATCGGTCGTGTGTGATCACATGGCCAGCTGTGATTTACAGACATCGGAACTCTCCTCCTGCATAGCTCAGGGTTCGTTGAACACAAAACTGCGACTGGGTGCTCTAAAAATGTCTCTAAATAATAATCTATTGTGCACTTGTGCAAATGAGATTTCTAGTAGTAATAAGTGGGTCATTAACTACGTATTACAATAAAAGAAAGCTTCAAAATTTTCGGGTCGGTGCTCTTTTAACGAAGTACCATAGTTCCTCCATAGCTTTTGAGGGACTATGGTAGTAGTGACATTATTAAAGGTATATGGAAGTACTAACACAAAAAATTTTGGCCTCGCATTATTCTGCTAAAATGTGTATCTGTGGGCCTGTTAGTCATAACGCGGCACATAGTTTGCTGCTGTGCGAGAGGGATAATTATAGGCTCCTCAAATTGCAGGCTCTTCATTACCAACCACACGTCAGTTTCAGTTTGAGAGAGAGAGCTATAAAAACAAACCTTCGGATGCAAAATCATCACCTAGCGTGTGTAGTGCTCAACCACGTCAGCACACAGAACTGTAATGCACTTCCGCACTGCCCCAAGAAGTTCTTTCGAATGCAAATCGGGAAAGCAGCGTCTCCAAACACGTGCACTTTATAACGCGTGCACTGGGCTACAGACTCGCGAGCGGCTGCCGAGTAGTAGCGTGAATGCAGCAAAAAAGTCATGGTGATGATGTCATCATAACTTCTTGTACCAGCTGCACTGTGGTTGTGTCGGAAAAGCAAAGGGATCACCCTTGAATCACTTCCAAGGGTGTCAATGCCGCGAGGTGCAGTCAGGTGCAATGTGTAGCACTGGATTGCGCATGCAAACTTTCAAATTCATTCAAAATACCTTCCACGCCATATTTTCTGTTTATATTTTGCAGATGGTGTACATATGTTTGCAAAAATCGATCTTCAGCTATCTCGCACGCAAAATTTTGTGCCAGTATCTCTTTAATACTTATAAACTTTGATAACTATCTGGGGCACATAAATGGTAATTATTTATAACTTGGTGTTTTACATTTAATTGGCCAAATGTTTAAGGTTTACATATTGTTGTCTTGCTTTGTTAGCCCCTAAATATCTATTCTGAAAATTGGCTTTTTGTGTTACCGTGCTTGGGAAATTTCCCCTACTTGTTTATTTTGCCATTGGCTTAAGCTCGTTGTACTTCAGTGTGGTGAGCCCCCAAGTTGTCATTTGCTTTTCCCTCTCGGACACATATCTTCTACTAGCAAAGAAATACAAACGTGCTGCCCTTCTCTACCCTGTGCTTGTGATCCGGTTGAAGGCATCGCTACCCAACATTGAAGGCATCGCTACCCAACATGCGACGGTGCACATGCGTCGGTGCCATTCAGTCGACCCAGGGAGCCCATGTTCCGTCGTGATTTTCGGGAAACGATGCTGGGTCCACTGCAGGCTTTATAGGAGGAACAGTCTGCGCTCTGTATTCTTCTAGGACACTGTTCATTGAATCTAGTACCTGTGAGAAACAAAAACAATAACCACACTTCACTGCAGCACGAGACAAGGGGCTGAGCTCATGGTGAAACAAGAGAACAATAATGGGGTATGGTAGGGTAAGCAGGTTGGCCTGGTTTTGGCTTTATATCTTATGAACTGTACCATATTTAGTTGAGAAATTTTGCACACTCAATACGAAAGCTTGTGGGCTTCAGTCTGCAATTTCAGCTCTGTAGCTTTTCTTCTGCGAGTACCAAATTTCATGCTGGTGTACAAAGTTAAATGTGCCTTTTTTAATACACGGAAAACTGCATGACCTTGAAAAATTTGCCATACTTATAACATAATATTGGTATTAAACCGAACATATATATATATATATATATATATAGTCCTCGTTTGTCACGGTTGTCGCGTGGCGCCTGGAACGTTGGTGCTTCTAGCTGGCTGGACGCCACGGCCGCTGCTCTACTTCGGCAGCTCGCTCCCTCCTGTACATAATTTTTTTTTTGTAAGCAGTTTTTTAAAGCTCTAGTTTCAGACTATTTAGAAAAAATTTTGTGTAATCTGGGTATGTGTGAGCGTGATCGGTAAGATAGGGTTCCAGAAAAGGTTCATGAAGTTAGTTTCCAAAAAACTGTTCATAATGTAAGAAAAACATGTTTTATAGTTAAACATACGTCATATCTGCTCGACATAGGCGTGCACAGTTTCTCTTATGAGGGCAAAGGTTCGTCGCAGCACCCCTCCCCTCTTCGTACTGTGTCAATGTATGGGAAGTATAGGGCTGATATTCACGCCAGGAAAACGTAGACACTGTGTTCAAAGTGTGCCGCACCTGTTTGTGTGTGGAGGCCAGGTTGTTGCATTCGCAGGGGTCCTTGTCCAAGTCGAAGAGGAACACGTTAGTCAGCTGACTGGAAATGTGACTGGTCTCCGCACTGTTCTTCGGGGCAACTCAACGAGGTGTTGGCCCTCCAGCCTAGAGCAAAACCCAGATCCTGCTTGCCATATAGGGCTTTCAATGCCTGAAACATGATTAGGCTGCTAATTTGCACAAGGGCTCCAGTAGAGGCTTAGCCAAGGGGTAGCACATATAATTTGTGTCCCCCTTTCCACCCTCCCTTCCCAAAATATTTTTTTTTTTGGCATGGCATGCAGACCACAAAATGACACTCGACCACATCCTGCATCATACCCGACTCCCACTTCATACCAAGGTGGTGCCTTCTCCCGAAAAAATTTCTGCCTGCACCCCTCACTCAGTTTTTCTCTTTTTTTTAATCAGTCGAGTTGTCACATTTTACGATGACCACGCCTAACTGTGTGGCCCCACAAAATGTTCACTGTTTTAAGGAATGAAATGGCGTAGCATAACTACCAGCTGCAAGTGTGTAGCCAGAAGCCAGAAATTTTTTCTGTGGGGCAACTATACTTTACCCATCTTTGTGCATGCATTTGTAGTCCTTAGGCCACTGTTTGTGGCCTCAAACTTAGGCCACTGTTTGTGGCCTCAAAAATCGGCGAAGAAATATTTCATCTTCTGCAGAAGGGAGCTTACCTGCGCGGTGATACTTCTTCCATAAGCCCATCTAGGTCAGTCTGTGATGGCCTCTGTCCTCCTGGAATAGGGAATCGTTGGTCGAATCTACCGCCAGCGTGGGAACCTACGACAATCTTGAAGTTGTTGCTTCGTATGGCTGCGTAGTCCCACAAAGGGTCGATATTGTAGACGATGTTGAAACGCTGAGAAGGCTCGTCTCGAGACAACGTTGCCCACATGTCGTGGCCATCCAGTGGTTCTAAGTCGCTCGTAGAGCCACCTGTGGAGGAAAGCGCTAAGAATTTAACCACTGAATTGAATAAAGTTGTATTCAATGCCGTATTCAAATCGAATAGCGTGTGCTTGCAATAGCAAGTATTTTTTCAAATATTCGGCAGCAACGAAATAATGCTTCAAAGAAGGAAACGTAACAACAGAGAGGAGTAATTTTCCTTGTTTTCATCATCCAATTACCCAGATACATGCACCCGGTATACTTGCAGGACTATGAACAGTATATCACGAGACGAAGTTGTTTTTATTTAAAACTCGGGTGTCACTCAAGTGACAGTGCCCCCCCCCCCACCCCCATGAAAAGAGTTGAAGGGGGGGGGGGGTCTGAGCACCCCCCCCCCCCTTCAGTTTCGACTGTGCACCATGGTCAATTCTGGCTGCACGCTGGGAAAACCTAGTAAGGCGAAGTTTTCTGTCATAATAATCAATTATGTTATTATGGGAGAATGAAAATGTTAAGGGGCAATGTTACTACATTTCCACTGTGACGATTTTTCTTGTAGTCTCTTTGCGGTGCGAGTCGCCTGTGTGATGCTTTCGCGTCTTGTGCTGTAGTATTTCAGAGCAGGCAAGCGCCGAATAGGGGCCATATAATATGGCATCACTTGTTTATGCTTGTTCATTCTAATGTGACTTGTTGGTGCAGTTACGGATCAACAAGCAAACAAAATGTTTATGGACTGGTTAAGAATTTGCTGCTTGTGGAAAATAATTTTCTTTGAAAAGGATATATCATCACCGCTGCTCTGTCGAAGCTGTTGCGAGCAATGAGTGTGACGAATCGTTTTTTTTTTATGTTTAAGTTTTTTTTTGAAACGCCAAAAAGTGTTTCCGCTGTAGTCAATGATAAACCTGATCAGCCTTGCTTACGGTAACTTGGAGCTCAAACGGCAGCTTGCAAAGTGGCCACAAATAAAGCAGTGAACTCGAGCTCAGTAGGAAGAAGCTCAGCTTCTGCCCCACAACTTGACCCCCGGGACCAGGGAGAAGGTGAAATACCGCTATGTTTTTAGCACTCTGGAGGCTTAGTTAAGCGTCGGGCTAGTTGGTTTTCACTCAATTTGAATTGTCCTTTACAGCTCAAAATACATCTCGGACAGCAAAGAAGCACACACGTGCAGCGTTGCTTATTTCTCTCTATTTCTTTTTCTCTCGGGTAGTATGAGCTCACAGAAATGTGTACGCGCACAAACTACTAAGCACCGTTATGCTGCAAGTGGAAATATTTTTCTTTTAACTCGTAATCCATCTGGCCAGCTGCGATATGTAGCCTCTGCTTATGTGATTTTTCTGAGAAAGAGGTGTGATATCAAGAAGAGCGTCGCATATTGGACGAGGAAATTGGGCTAAGGGCGCCATTCCTCGGCCTGTGAAAGTGTGATTGAACTTCGTGATATCTATGAAAGCGCGTCGTTTCACCTCTGTGTATGCAAACTCGTATCAAAGTGCGAGTGCATCGATAAAGTTCTCTTCTGACTATATATATATATATATATATATATATATATATATATCTGACTGCGAGCCAGCTAGGTTCCCCCCCCCCCCACTCGCGGTAACGTTGGTACGCCACTGGTAACGTTAACTCATAAAAATTGCTTAATTCTTGTGTATCAATTAATTGCTTCACAGCCGTTGATATAGTACCACCTTCAGTAATGCAGTCGCTGCTGTTTCATTCTTAAGTTACAAAATACCTTGAAGGACCAAGAGTTGCTGTATGCGAGCTTGCCTCAGTTAAAAAAAAAAATACAGTATTTTTGTGTTGGCTATAATCAATTGTAATGTTCTCTTATTAAAACTTGCAAATCGTTGCCTTGCCAATCTGGGGGCTGCTTTGAAAATGGTAACCTTCAATTGAGATGGCAAGCACCACACCGTACATATAATTTGGGCTCCAGCCCATGCATCGCTTCCCGGCAATGATAGGCCGCCCGCAACCAGGCTCGAGCATTCATTCTCCGAGCCGAAGGTGATTCGTTGACTGGAAATGCGGGTACCGGCACCGAAAGCCAGGACGACGGCACGTGACCGCAGGGTAACATTCCAGGATCGAGATACCGAAAATTATCAATTAAGGTTAAAGTATCTCCCGGCGCACAAAGCTTCAAAGAGACAAGAAATATTTTGGGGGCAGCTACAAACGAACACCTTCCCAACCCCCTTATTCTAACACGCAGTGATTCCTCAGTTCACTCCCGATGTAAACTCGGGCAAAGAGAGAATGCAGATATTTACCGTAACCTCCGGGGCTGCCCAAAAACGCAGCAACTTCATAATCCTCGGGTTGCGCGTATCACTATCCCTCAGCAGTGGGAGACAACACTGCTCAGCTGCGACCAGGAAACACAAGTGTGGGTCACTGAGCGGGCAGAGGGAGCCGCCAGGAACCAAGCTCTCCTGGCTGCCCTGACCAACAGTGGACTCTCGCCCGCTTAACATCATTACATGGCGCCCAATCAATGTTTCGCATCCTCCTCACTATTCGATTCGTATTCATGTTCGATTCGGTTCTGAAATGTACTACCATACGCGTACACCCTATGAAACGCCATCAGCGGGACCATACGAGCATATAACCAACTGTCGCACGCCGGAGCTAGACCGGCATCTAAACGTTCAGACTGGATAAGGCGCGCACACAGGCACGCCTTATCCGGTCTGATCATGAATCAATACCAACTAGTCCAATTGTCCGTGCTACTGCTCTACAGTGAATGGTTCAATGGCATGCAGCACGTAGCAAATAAGCCTTGTCGTTGGAATGGATCATGACCAGTAAGGTAACAATTTTTGTAAATTTGTAGTTTAGATTTTTTTCTGGGTGAAGGGGCCAGTCAAGCTGTGAAATGCAGCTTTTTTTTTCCTTCGCACCAAACCACGTATACAGTGTATTTTCGTGTACTTGTCACGTGGTTGAATAGACTCAAACTGCAGCAGTGCGCCTGAAAACACTTTTGGGCTGCACCATAAGTAACATTAAAAAGTAAAATTGTACGCACGTTGCCGAGTGGCCTGACACACTGCGACATATTGAGGGTTTGCTCGAACCACAACTTTGTAACGCTTTCAAAAAATGCCGTGATTGCCGGCCTAGAGGTAGAGGGGCATCGAGGTTGCTCGTTTAGGGGAGTAACTTGACACAGCCAGTCATCCATTTTTGGCTAACCGCGAAGGGACTCCGCCATCGCGGTTACTCCTAAACGGTTACTTCACCCGATACTCGTCAAGGGAACAATTACTTTTCGCGAAGAAAAAAAAAAGTCAGTTCTTTGTTGACTTGACCCGCGTGTTAAGGTTTGTACAGGCTTTTGATTACATGTACAATCATCACATTCAGAAATTTCAGAACATTTACTGCAACACACGTTGTTCGAGCTCGTAACCACTAGCTGCGCGTATACACTAATTAGATTTACTGTATTTGCCACCTTTAGGTTGTGAGCATATATAGGAACTCGAACGCTAACCACGACACCACTGCTCCGCTACGGTGGTCTATAGTGGCTAAGGCACTCGGCTGATGAACCGCAGGTCGTGGGAAGCGAATACCCGGCCTGCGGCAGCTGCATTTTCGATGGTGGCGAGAATGCTTGAGGATCATATACACTTAGATTTAGCTGCATGTTAAAGAACCCCAGGTGGTCGAAATTTTCGGAGCTTTCCACCACGGCATCTCTCATAATCATATGGTGGTTTGGGGACGTTAAAACCCAACAATTATTATTACGTTCCTCGACGGCACCGTTTGGAAGGAAACGTGGTTATGTAGGGCACTGATGCATGGGTGTAGCTATAGCGCACCGGGCCCGTGCATCCCACCCCCAAATTTTTCTTTTTCGCCATGGCATAGAGAGCGAAAAATGACCATTTCAAAAAGGTGCCTCCCCCCCCCCCCCCCCCCCGAAAAAAAAACTTCTGGCTACGCCCCTGCACTGAATGGGTCGTTTGCACGCGCTGCGTATATACGCATTTGCAGTTACTCCGAAAAAGAGCGCTTTCCTTCCCGCAAGAAAGGAAAGTGCCAAATTGTTGCCGTGCCGTGTGCAAACTTTTGCGTATATTTCGTCCCTTGTAGGAGCAAACCGCCCTTTTGGGGCTAACCGGGCAGTTACTCCCGAAATTATTTCCAGTGTAGGGCAAATGGCCGAGAGTCTTCGCACCCATTGGAAGATGCCTCCGAATGCATGGTGCATAACAATTTCGCAAGTCGCCCGGTGCGCTGAATATTGACGTCAGGCAAATTACATTGGTCAAGACGCGTTTGCCATTGGGTCCCTTATTTTACTTTGTATACAAGCTTACTTGTCTTAAACTTCTTGCGTGGTATCACGGTCCGTATTGTATTCACGTCGGCGCTAATCGTCCGGCTTGCAGTGCGTGAAAGGCGGTACACTGAAGTCGCATTACGAACTTATGTCGTTAGGGCGCTTCACTTCTGGGGCAGAGGCGACGCGCCACCAGTGCTTTAGGTGGTGGGTGATAGACACGTTCTGCTGGCGGACATGCGCGCAGTAATGAACCACTTTTCCCGAGTAATCATCGAACGAATTTGGTATACCACGGAGTTGCCTCACGAATCGATTCCAGCAAAAGTTTCTTGAATCCATAAATTTCTTCAATTCATCTATGACTGGTTCATCGTTGTCTGGCCCTTATGTGCCGCCAGACTATCATTGTCCCCCAACAACTCACCGGCAAGAGCGTAGAATGTGGGCAGCCAGTCGGTAATGTGCATGAGTTGGTCGGAGACGCGGCGACTTTTGTCCAGCAGCGGCGACCACACAAAAGCGGCCGCCCTGGATGCGCCTTCCCAAGGAGAAGACTTGGCGCCGCGTAGCGGCCAGTTGATGCCACGCGAGGCCATGTAACCCCAGGGAACGCCGCCGTTGTCAGCGCTGAAGACGATCACGCTGTCCTGCAGCATGCCGGCTTCGCCCAGCGCTCGCACCACGCTCCCGACAGACTCGTCGAGCGAGTCAACCATCCCTGCACGTCCATCAGTGATCGCCGATCAATTATTTATGAATTCTGTAGTAGTGTATAGTGTGCGAGTTCCCAATGATTCTTAGCTGCTCCCGACGCGAGCAGCTTTAGCTGGTCTTGCGCACCATGTTGTACGTTGATAAACAACTAGAGTGACCTCTTGAAGCTATGACAAGTGTTAAAGTCTTGAACCGCGTAGTGACTGCTTTTCAGAATACAAAAAAGAATGCTACTAAGAACACAAAGTACGACACAGTCAGTGAATGCTTTCGCATTGAATTTCTCGTCAATAATAATAAAAGGTGATTTATTATAGGAGTGCTTTTGTCTAGGCAAGTTGGTGCGACATGTGCGAAGTTAACCAGCACTAAAGACGGGACGAAAGACACAAATACAACAGGACCAGTTCTGAACTACCAACTGAGCTTTATTCGATTAGGTGCTTTTTGTAGTGTCACATGTCACCGCCTTCAAGAAGTCATAAGCACAAAAATAGCCAATGGTAATATACAACATGACTGCCGGGCCTACAACATTGTTGATTATATAGACGTGCATGGCAGCTGTCGAATCGCACTGACGGGTGGTTTATCGCTTAGTAGCATGTTAGTGCACACTCAGCATCTAGTTAAAACACAGCACTGCGCGTGCTACATCCCAAATCGGCAAAGAAAAGCAAAATAGTAGGCTGACTAAAACATATCAGGTTAAAGATTAAGATGTGCCCTAAGCGAAAACTGAAAAAAAAAAAAAAACAGGATATCGAGGATGCTGTGTCATACAGAAGTTTGGTCAGCATACGAAAAGCTATGGCCGTCTTCTGGTTCTTACTACGGCGTCCCTTATAGTCCTATGGTGGAAAGTGAAACTCGACAACCAACCGTTTGTGGCCACAAAGTGCGTCCACGTTTGAAGCCACAAACATGCAAAGCTTTTGTATACCGCTGGTCATGCGACTTCGTGAAAAATAAATAAAATGTTACCTTGGAGAGCACCATTTAATACTACATGTATATTGAAAAGCTCTTGAAAAATATTGCATTCACATATGAAAGACATTTAAACCACAAGGTTGCGCTTACCGGCGTAGATAGTCCGATTATTCTCCCCGATGTAAGGAAACTTGTCCATGTTATTTTTCTGCGCCTGAAGTGGCTCATCATAGTTTCCAGAATGGGGCGCCTGGTGGCTCAGATACAGAAACTGAGGCTGGAAGAGAAAGCCTGGACTTTGTTGAAACATGGAAAACTTCAGAGGGGATATGCTTAAAGGGCCAGTCAATAGGCGCCGACTTTTTTTTTCACCCCCCCCCCTCCCCCACCACCACCACCAAACAAGCTCGCGCATCTTTACTACGCGTGACCAACCTCCTTCCACGCGCAGTGACGTAAACTGGGCGATCGGCGACGTGACGCAGCTCGTCGGTTGGTCTAAACCAGGTTTCAACAACCAGTAATGAATTCGACGTCTCCGTTGTTTTTCCTTCCTCTATGCGCCATCCTTGCTGGCACAAGCGCTACCTATATCAGCTTACCGCTTCTGGTGTTGCTAGTACAAATGTTGCTCTTGGCATCGTTACGAAACAGTAAACATGCGACAGTTTAACACATGTCTATGAGTACAACATTTGTGCATATCTTTAGCGTTATTTCGTAACGTTTCACTCAACAAAAAAATTACAAAGCACCTTCCCTCCGCATGCTTCGCATAACGTCGATTCCCGTTTTGTATGAAATCCAGAGACGGTCACTGGCGTCCGCTTTTGCGCGCATCGACAACAGCCAAATGTCTGCGGACACTATTCTGTCAAGTGCCCGAGAGAAGACATTGCAACAGAAGGCGACGAAAGCTCTGTTGAAATTCCTACGCGACACGGGCTTGAACAAGCGACTGTAACAGCAACGTCACACACCGCGAAAGACAAGACTGGACTATGACTGAGTGTGCGCGCGTGTGCTGCCGAATGTGCTGTGTTTCTCTCTTCCCTCTCTGCTCACTATCTTTCATCCTCCCCCGAGGTGCGTGAGATCTGCCTAATGTTTAACTAAGTGAAACAGTGAGCGTACCTTTGACTTGTCCAAATTCTCGATGAGGCGCACTGCTTTATTGGTGAACAGTTCGGTGCCGTAGACGCCCATGGCGTCATGTGCGGGATCCGTGCCGTTCCATAGGTCGAGACCCGAGACTTGTTTTCCGTCCTGAAAGCAGTCATTCAACCTCTAGTTTCTGGTACAGAAACTACGAAAAGAACGGCAGCCGGGGACAGAAGGCGTGATCAGGCGAGAGATTTTTTTTTTTCTTTTTCGAAACGGATATGGCAAAAAAGTCAGCTTCGAGAAGAGAGCATCGCACACAAATGCGACGCAGGTATCATTCAGGCTGTCCAAGCAAAATGACGGTTGCGTGAAAGGCTTTTATATACAGCCCGTATGACGGTCTCCCCACAGTGAACGGGGAAAATTTTTTTTATTGTCCGGCAGATTAATGGTACACGGGCTCAAGTCGCCCATGTCGGGACGCCAAGTTCTTGCATCTCCGCCGCTTCACGGGCCCGCTGGACCACCCAGAGTTCATAGTTTCGCGCCACTGCATTGGTTGTCCCGGACTAACACCACTGCTTGAGCTCTGTATCCTTTGGCGTATATATGGCCAGGACGTTTTGTTAGCAGTGAGCGTGAAAAAAAAAACAGATAAAGCACTGTTGTTGGAAACATAATAATGTCGGTATGATTCAGGGCATCGAGCACCACGTGTCACATTAAAATTTAGTTCTTTTGGGTGCTTGAGAACGTGTGGATCACGCTCAACGCAGTTTAAAGGGCCTGCTCGCATTTCTAAGCAAGACAGGTTTAGGTTCCCGTCTTTAGAGAATCTGATAATGTAGAGACTTTTGTGCGTGCACTGCACCGAACGAGACATTGTGTGCAGTGACTCTTTGTGCTATACCACAATCACCCCTCATCATACTCTCCTCTTTCTTTCCCTTTTCCCTTACCCCCGTGTGGAGTAGCAGGCCGCTTTCAAGGTTGACCTCTCCTCCTTCTCATTGAACACCTTCTTAGTTCGCGAGGTGAGACAGACAAAGCAGAGGTTGGAGTGCTTTCTTGGGTACTATTACTGTCATTTTGGTACGGCTTGCACTGCTTACCTTCTTCCCAAAATTTGTTCGTATAGGCGAACGATTCGTTGATGCCTGCTGCACTGAGGAATCGAGTTTTTGGTGACTTCCTTAGCTTGATGCGGTGTCAGTTCTGCAAACAGTGCTTCCATTTTTGTGTGAGCTCGGGATAGGCTTTCTATCCGAGTATCGCAATTAGGCGTTGTACGCCTCGTGAATTTAAGCTTGAAGAGTTCCTATTCTGTTCCAGGAAATATATATAAATCTCATGGTCTCACTTCACCGCCTGCCTGCTTTATGTTTAGCTCTTTCCCCTCCCGCTTCGTTGTCTGTCAGATTTTTGTCTCTTCTCAGCAACGAGAAAACTTCGAGCGGCTGAGCATACAAGAAAAAAAAAGCAATGAAAAAGGGCAGGACCACATCAAAGAGAGATGAAGAAATGACATGGTAACATTTTCCACTGGCCCCGCCGCGGAGTGGCTAAGGTACTCGGCTGCTTACTCGCAGGTCGTGGGATCGAATCCCGGCTGCGGCGGCTGCATTTCCGATGGAGGCGGAAATGTTGTAGGCCCGTGTGCTCAGATTTGGGTGCACGTTAAAAAACCCCAGGTGGTCAAAATTTCCGGAGCCCTCCACTACGGCGTCTCTCATAATCATGTGGTGGTTTTGGGACGTTAAACCCCCAAAATCAATCAAAACATTTTCCACTGCGCTGTACTTCTGTGAGTGCGCCGGCATGAAAATTCTGCGGCATTTTAGCAGTCAGTGCCAGACGAATACGTCAGCAATGCATCGCGCCTATTTACGTTCGCGATTCGCTTTGCGGCTCTTTCCAGTACGTCACCTTGAAACTGGCTCTTCTCCGTGACGTCATTTGTGATAACGATCACGTGACTACTAAGCCGTACCCAACTACCGCGATAACGGTCGCAGTCATTCACATGACGTCATTACACCCAATTCCAGTACACACTGCTGATTTTAAGTTATTTCCCAGCGTGCTTCCTTTCTGAACCACTTCTGGTTGATCACTTATAGTGTTATGTCTGATCACCTCAGGTTTATATTTAACATCTTTCATACATTACGCTCCCGGTTAAGATGTTAGAGTTTATGTTTTATACCTTCGATGCAGCTTAGTATCCACTGCGATCACGCGCATGCATACGGCCCTTGTCACTATCGCACTTGTATGTATACTTATGGCTCAGTATGATATTTTTTAGGTTGTGTTATTCCAGTCGTTTGGGAACGCAAGTCGCCCCAAATAAAGCGAACGAGTGCAAACAGTGCGAATAAAATTTGCGTCCGCTGATAGGGCACGCTCCAGCAAATGACAAGCAGTGCTTAACGTCATTCCTCAGTGCTATATAGCTACAAGTTCACGCTAGTGGAGTACTTGAGGCAAACAATACCTGTGTGTGATGTAGCATGTGGGTGTAGTAGTCTTCGTGCCCGTAGTAAAATCCGTAGAAAGAGTCGAATCCTCTCCGGGTAGGCGTGTACTCGTAGCGGTAACTGCCCAGGTGCCACTGCAGGTGAGTGTTCGATTGTATGCCGAGATGTGGACATCAACGACCAACTAAAAAGCAGATTCAGTCATCCTTCGTTCCGAAGCAAAAGTTGAATGTGACACGAAAAACAGCTTGCTGTCACACAATCGAAAATTTAGACGCAAGCATGAAATGGCTACCACAAGGCTAGATTGGCTATAGAGCTGATATACTGCGCAAAATCTTCCCAAGACCACACCCAATCGAACTGCATATCTAACCACACTGTGCTTTCTATGGATATTGTTTTCTGTCACTCCGAGAGATAAACATTAGGCCGACGCGACAGCACGCTGATGCACCCATACGGATGCCCTCCGTGCACGCAATGCGGTGCCATGTATTGAAGGAGGCGGCAAACCGTGCTGCAAAACCGTTGATGAACTAACTAAACCACTGGCGTATAAACAGTCTTGGCTGTAGCGCAATACAAGTAAGTAACGTCGTCACCGCTAAAGCATAACATTTTTTTAGTAATTCAGCAGTATACTCGATATTTACTAATTCGTAACTATACAACGTATCTTATATGTGAACATTTTTCGACAATGTGGGGTATCACGTCAGTCATCACTTCTGCAATTACTCTGATGGGTGAAATAAGTGTTACAAAGAGAGAACATAAGAGAGATGGAGAAAAAAGCGAGAAAAAAACGGTAGAGAAAAACTATTCTTGGCGAATACAAACACAATTAGCGCAGAAACAACGAACAACGTGAACACAACAGACAGGACGCGTTGCGTCCCTTGTTCGTTGTTTTCGAGCTAATTAGTTACGTCTGTAGTCAATACGCACCAGCTATCCCAAGTCGCTTCTTTGATACTGCTACTTTTTGGGGGAAGGTAGAACTCGAACCAGCGCCCCACGACCTGAAGGTGGCCTCCACAACCACTCAGTTGTCCATCATAACCACACGGTAATGCAAGGGGGTGGTGAAAGGAAGGGGGGGGGTGAGAAGGATTACGGTCGAACGCAGATTACGATGAACAACTGGTTGTCGATCGTGGTTCCCCGTTCGTTTCGGGCGCGCAGTCTTATCGGAAGATTCTAAAATATAGTCGGTATTGTTCTCAGACATTCATGCACGGTTCGCGCAAGGTTGTGGCACGTGTAACGAGTAGGTTGCGTAAGCACGAAAAAAAAAAAAAAAAGCGCGCGCGGCAGCGTATAGACTCGCGCATGTGTTTCGCCCCATCAGTCATAGTTAAAATAGCAGTTGAAATTGATTTAAAGAACCCCTGTAGCACACCGGATTCAAAGGCGAGGCGTATAGTTTTTCGTATCCATTGCCCTTCCTACGAGCGCTCACTTCTCCTCCAGTTATTTCTTCGTAAGAGACGTCAAGTGTCAACACCAGGTGTGGAGCCACTCTGCAGGATTTCGCGCTTTTCAACTACACGATGCTTCATCGCCCCGCCGCGGTGATCTACAGAGGCTAAGGTACTCGGCTGCTGACCCGCAGATCGCGGGATCGAATCCCGGCTGCATTTTCGATGGAGGCGAAAATGCTGTCGGCCCGTGTACTCAGATTTGGGTGCACCTTAAAGAACCCCCCGGCTGCGGCGGCTGCATTTCCGATGGAGGCGGAAATGCTGTAGGCCCGTGTGCTCAGATTTGGGTGCACGTTAAAAAACCCCCGGTAGTCTAAATTTCCGGAGCTCTCCATTACGGCGTCTTTCATAATCGTATGGTGGTTTTGGCACGTTGAACTCCACGTATCAATGAATCAATGAACTAGACGATTCCATATGCGCTTGCGCAGTCGGAAACGAAGCGGAATATTGGTTTATGCGTGACCGTCATGCGAGGCAGAACTGACATGCAACTGCATGGCGAAGCAGGGTGGGAGGCAATTGACAAAGAGATACTTCTCGTATATCGACCAATCGGCAGCCTATTTTACTCTGACGTCACGTGGCGTCACAAACAGTACCGCAAGGACGGGAAAAGCGGGAGAGATAATAAACGCGTTCGTCCTTCAGTATGCTTTCAGATGTTGTTTATGGAACCTTTAAGATAAGGTTCACTTATGAACCTTAATCAGCCTTGCAGCCACTCATGCAGCATCGAAAGCAGACAAAACCGCACATCGCATCACCATATGTTCTGATTCTTTCTTCCACAACTACCCGTCCCCGTGCGGCGTTGTTGAGGTTTTTTTTTTTTCTTATGATATCAATCATCTGTAGCACGCGTTAGCACTGAAGAGAAGTCTTCTTCCTTTTGCTCTTCAAGCGCCTCGATGACGATATTAAGTGCGGAGAGCTTTAGGGGCCCGTAACGCGGGTAGAGCCACGCATAAAATTTATATAAAAAAAGAGGAAGCAGGAGAGATATGAGAAATAAAGAGGGAAAAATAGTAATGAAAATAGAGATGAATAGAAAAAAAACTAGAAAATGCAAGCAGAAACAATGAGAGGAGGCAAGAAAGAGAAAACCGAAGAGACGCAAAGAAGGCTGCTCAGCTTCACGTTTCCTTTAGGCTCGACACCTCTAGTGCAAATTTGTTACTTTCAATTTTTTTCTTCGCACGAACTTGTATGAACTTACTATAATTACTCAATATTAACAAGGAACAACAAGCCTTTAAGTTTACACTTCAACGAAACGAAAAGGGGCCAGATGCAATTTACGTCACAAATACTTATATACTCGTTACGTAAAAATATCTACTTTGCAGAAAGAAATCAAAAAAACTTGTTACTATTAGAAGATATGAATATGAGTATATGTACATATGTACACTCATGAGCAATATGGAATGAAGCAGTGAAATTAACTTTTTTATTAATAGCGGCTAAACGCAGTTGATTGATTGATTTGTGGGGTTTAACGTCCCAAAACCACCATTTGATTATGAGAGACGCCGTAGTGGAGGGCTCCGGAAATTTTGACCACCTGGGGTTCTTTAAGGCTAAACGCAGTTGGCAAGCGCAATAGCTTTCATAACACTAAATGCTCAAGCGGTAAGGTATTCTTTGGCATGCAGCGCGTCCCATTGAAATCGGTACATTACAAGCAATCATTGATGAAACACGATTTCGCTGTTCTCTCTCATATTGCTCAAGACTGAACGTCCGCAAAGTTTAGCCCCTAAGCGGCATTTCGCTAACATGTCCAAGCATAACGGCGAATCTATAACTACTCATCATTAAATATGGATATCATTTTTTTACACAGAGACAAGAAGAAACGGCGATTTTACGATGACCCAAATATCTTGAGACCTTAGGGAAAGATAAATCTAGCATTGTTAAGCAGAATAGCTGCTTTGTATATACAATACAAATTTTCTAAGCTAGAGCGTTTCAAGAGTCACTCATAAAATCATGGAGAGGACAGGCAAAACCAACGAATCACAGGACAGAGCATCGTGTGTTCGCTGTCCTGCCTTAGTGCTGTCACGATCTCAGAGTTGAGCTTCGCCTGAATTCAACCACTCTTTCAGCAAGTAGAGCGCCATTCCCGATTACACGCTCCTTCTTGTGAGTACGTGTGCCCACAACTCCATTTTGCCCACACTTCTTTTTTTTTTTCGCGTTCTTTCTATTCTCCGTTTTACAAAACGGGGGCACGTGCAGTACGTATTAAACCCATATCTTACTGACCTTTCCGATGAGGTGAGTCTCGTAGCCGAGCCTCTTCAAATGCTGAGGAAGGAGAGTGTACTTGAGGTCGAGCCCGTATGGTTGGCCAGGCTGAATAGGTGTGTTCTGCAGACCTGTTGCACGCAAGGGACAAGTAAAAAAGCGCGCCCACTTCACCGCCACCATCATGGCGACCAGCCTGACTGCGTCACTGCAGGGCAGAGGCCTCTCCTAGACTTTTGCGATTAACTCTGACCCTTGCTTGTTGCGGCCACGTAATGCACGGCAAGCTTCTGAATCCGATGCGCGTACGTGGCATTCTGCCCCACCCTGGCTCGCTTGCGTGAATCCCGCCTAGTTATCTCAATTTACAAAAGTCGCAACAGTGATGCTGTGGGGCAAAATCATAAATCCCATACGGCTTTTGCACCATTTCACAACACAACAGTAGCATGACATCGATTAGTTATTTTACAATATCAAAAACGTCTACTTCGGGGTCATGTCGATTTGCATTGTAAAATACACAGATAAATGTTTAGTGGAAGGAACAGTATGAATGGTTTACTATAAGATAGTGTTCAATGCAAGTTACAGTAAGTAGCTGATCATTTGGAGTACGTGCGTGCTGAATTTTCAAGTCATCAGTGGCTCGTGTGCTATAGGGGCAGATATGAGGTCTTGAACGCGCTGAATCAACAGGAAAATGATCACAATTCTTTCGAGAAGCACGCGTATACGTGCCCACTTCGTGATTTCGACTAATATGCCCTCACGACCCGTTTGTTCCCCGACCTGCTCTTCTTATCGTAGCTTCTCTCTCTGGCCGCCGGAGTGCTGTGCTGTGAGAGCAACACGCAAACAATAAGAGCGAAAGTTTCGAAAAGGGCCTCCTTCAAGCTGCCGCTGCCTGGAAGCAGACCACTTATCGAAACGTTGACGTTCTCCGCCAAAGACGTTCCTGTCTTCAAACTTCCATCTTACCCTGACCAGCGGAAAAGCGACGCCACGGCTGGGTGGACGTACCGTATCGTATCGAGTAGAGACCGGTCATGAATGCACCGCGGGAGGCAGTGCAGGCGGGGTGCACGTAGTAGTTGTTGAGCACAACTCCGTCAGCCGCCAGCGCGTCTAGATTGGGTGTCGGGATCTGGGGAGATCCGTGGAAGCTGACGTCCGCCCAACCCTGCGTCGACACAACAAAGGTAGTAGTAGTATTACAACTAAAGCTATAGTAGTACTAGTATGAAGAGGGAGAGCAGTATACTGGTAATGTACCTAAGTTTCTGATATTTGTTGCTGCGTTCGCATAGGTTCGCGTGCACTACTACTAATAATTACTGAAGTTTTAGGTGTCAGAACCACGATATCGTTATGAGACTCGCTGTGTATAGTGGAGGGCTCGGGAAATTTCTACCATCCCATCTGTTCGGCGCATCAGGCCACAATCTTGCCAGATTTCGCTACGTCGATCATGCCAGACTGGCTGTTTCTTTTTTTTTCTATTTTTTGGGCGGTTGGCGGGAAAGTTTTGTCTCAACTACTTGGATACTTTTACAGGCCAAGCTCCTTACCCTGTGGCTCAGTCCCTCCTCTGTCCTGCGTTGTCGTAGCCACCCACACAGCATATCCACAGAGTGAATGATGATGTAGGGGGCGTTGAGTTTAATAGAATGGCGGACGGACAGATAGACATGCAGACACACACACACAAACGGATGGAGGGACGAACGCTTCGCCCCACTCACCATCATCATTCACTCCGTGAATGCTGTATGCTGTAATATTTTTCAGTTATACTCTTGAAATACCTGACCTATCGTCGAAATGCGGTAGAAACGTGTGCAGCTCATATTACGCAACAACTTTTATAAAATGTTACACCACTGAACTGATCGACCACGGCGTTTGAGATTGTTTCAAGCATGTTGCACTCATTCGAGGGATTTAAAATTTTTACAGTGAAAGCTGTTATGAGATAACAAGGACGCCGTAGTTGTCCACCGCCACCGCTGGTGTCGTAACCGCTATCCGTTAAGACTATTAATATATCTCCTCTGCTGCCATCTAGCGGCCACTCCGTGCGTCTCCGCCATGTTGAAGGCTAATCACGCTCCTCTTGTGTATGGTGGATAGCCACCATAGCGTGTGTCACACGGAGCATACTGCATCATGAGGCGGCTGTTGTAGGAACAGGCACTGCCGACGCATTTCTTGTGCCGCGTTGCTCATATTGAGGAAATGGGAATGGTGAAAAAGAGGAGAGATGAAGGAAGCATATAATACAAGCACATATAGTATTATTGGGCGGGATAGGAAACGGAGGGTGAGAAGGATTGAAAGGGAGAGGGGGAATGTAGAAGGGCACAACATGGCCCAGCGATAGTATTAGTATATCAAGGGGTGGAAAAGGGAAGAGACAGTGAGGATGAAAGAAGGGAAAGGAAAAAAAGGAAGGCCACTTGCTACACTCTCTCCTCAGTCTTCGCAATACCAAGCTGCCCCAAATTTTCTCAGCCCACTGCTGAGCTAGGATTTCAAATGCATTTCTTATCGGACATTCAACATCTTTTGGCTACAGGTTCAACGAATACGAATGCTTTCTTTTCTGTATATATATATTAGCATGAAATAATTTGATTTGGTTTGAAACAAAACTTCACTCAAATACGCGCCCCGGTAACAAGGTAAACGTAATCTGGTATTCTTTTTTTTTTTTTTTTTTTTTATTGGCGCTAGTATGCCCTACGGCATCAGTTAAATAAAGAGGAAAAGTTTTGTTTCCTGTATGAAGGCCAGGAGTTGTCGATGCAGTGGACCGTGCGTCCAGCGCGTCAAGTCAGGTGGTCGGCCGGGGTGGTGGTGAAGGCCGCGTAGGTGGCGAGTGCGAGCCTGGTGAAGGCCCGGGCAGGTTCCCAATAGGTGATCAAGCGTTGCCTCTGTGGCTGGGGCAACGCAGAATGGGCACGTCGTTGGGGGAGGCTGTGCACCAGATGTCCATGTAGCCCGGATTGCAGGAGTCAAGGCGGCGCCCACACGAATCCTCCTGAGCGCAACCTCCTCTCGGCGAGTAAGCCGAGATGCGTTTACCACGTTCACGGTGCAAGAATACTTTAGGTGAGTGAACTCCGGGACTATCCGCTGCCCGATAATGTTCTGCTTCGCAAGGAGCCCTTGAGATGGCGCTACAAACTTTGCCCCGGCTTCCCCATCCCCCTCCTTTTCGGCGTACGAAAGCCCCGTGACGTAGGAAAGTAGCAGCGCTCATTTATCGTCGCCACAACACCCTCCCCTTATCACCCCCTCTTTCGCGGCGCCGGTCGGGTTGTCGCGCGATAACCCGGTTTTCTCAGATTTGAAAGTTGTCGCCCACGTGCCTGCCGGATGTGCTTAGCGGAATTCGCCAGCAGCCCGCCTCGGTCCTCAGTCCGGCGCGCCATCTATCGGCATGCCGCAAACGAGAACATAATCGGTCCCTCCACGCCAAGCGCCCGCTTCGCGGCGTTCGCTCACCTAAGGTATCCTTGCACCGTGACTGTGTTACTCGGTAATACATGGAGCACAGGCCACAGCCGGGTGCCATAAATTGTAATGTTGACCCCCGTGACTCACCAGGTCATCGGCGAGTATGAAAATGATGTGTGGTTTTCTCGCTTGCTGCTGCCTGAACTCAAAAAAAGCATACATTCCGTAGCCTAATAAGGCGCCGATGCCGCCACCAACCACCTGCAAATCAAATATACTCCGTTTGAACAAAACTTTCCGGCACATTGAAAACACACCGAGTAATTGATGTTGATTTGATTGATTGATTAGTGGAGTTTAACGTCTCAAAACTACCATATGATTATGAGAGACGCCGTAGTGGAGGGCTCCGGAAATTTCGACCACCTGGGGTTCTTTAACGTGCACCCGAGTCTGAGCACACGAGCTTACAGCATTTTCGCCTCCACCGAAAATGAAGCCGCCGCAGCCAGAATTCAATCCCGTGACCTGCGGATCGGCAGCCGAGTACCTTAGCTACTAGACCACTGCGGCGGGGCAACACACGAATAATCTAACTGAAGCTAGAATATCATATTGTGAGAGCTCCTTGTTCATTGAATTTTTGAAAGATGAAACAGGGTTGGTGCGGAATTGTAGCAGGACTGAATATATATATATATATATATATATATATATATATATATATATATATATATATATATATATATATATATATATATTGTTGCGGGTTCGCGGCTATGCAGCTATGCGGGCGGTGCGAAGAAGAAGACGACGACGTTTTTGGGCTGTTCGATATACACAACGGCTGCCATCTTGACTGCTGGAGTACTTTTCTACTCTAAAGTAGTAAATACATTCGCAACATTTTGGTGGTGGCGCTGGGTACGACGCAAGACGGAACTTCGAAGCGGACGTGTTCTCGACTGCCCGACCATGGCAACAGAAACCAATTCTGCCGCTCCTGTTTCAGCCGCGACTCCGGCGCAGCCTGTACAGCCGGTCGTATTGACGCAACCGCGCGACCCTGGCAACTTCTGCGGCACCGACCATGTTGACGTTGACGACTGGATTCCGAAGTTCGAGCGGTTTGCAGCAGTGTACCGGTGGGACCCTACGATGATGCTCGCCAACGTTGGCTTCTATCTCTGCGGAACAGCTGGCGCGTGGTTCGAGGCTCATGAAGCGGACATAACCAGCTGGGATACTTGCAAACAGAAGCTTCGTGACCTGTTTGGTAAGGCCGTCGGACGCCAGCGGGCCGCTTCTAAAGAACTCTCTGGTCGGGCACAAACTACGACCGAATCATATGTCACCTACATCCTTGACGTTCTCGCCCTTTGCCATCGTGCCGACCCCAACATGTCCGAGGAAGACAAAGTAAGCCATTTACTTAAAGGCATTGCAGATGATGCTTTTAACATACTGGTTTCCAAAGACTGTTCCACCATTGATGACATCATCAAAGAGTGCCGCCGATTCGAAGAGCTGAAGAGTCGCCGGGTCGCCAAGAATTTCTTGCGACTTCCGAACACGGCCGCTACGTCATCTTGCGAGGACCTTCAGCCGCCATGCAGTCAACCACATAACAACGAAAGTGTGGTTCGCATCGTTCGTAGAGAAATCGAGGCCGCGTCTCCGTCTTTTCTGACCCGCCCATCTGATGATCGACCAACGATCTCGTTGATCCAACAGGTCGTGAGAGAGGAGCTGGCAAACGTTGGGCTGCAGCCTGTGTGTTCGTTGACGGAACCTCGGGTCAGTACCATAGCGCCTTCTCCTGCACCAGAAAGATTCCGCCGCTATCGTGATCCTGCTCAGTGGAGGACACAGGACGACAAGCCTATATGTTTTCATTGTCATGGTGTAGGACACATCTCCCGCTACTGTCGTTTCCGCACGTATCCACCTCGGTCGTTTCCTGGCTATCGACGTGACGACAACCACCGGCCCCTGCAGTACAGCGCTCGTGACGATGGACCGTACAATGGCACTCCTGCGACACCAGTCCGCCGGTCCAGCCGTTCGCCGTCCCCGCATGACCGTCGCTCCAGGTCACCTCAGCACCGCCGCTATTCGTCGCCCCACCCTAGTGGACGCCCTTCTTCGGAAAACTGAGCAATGCAGCTCCCGGAGGTGACGCTGCATTGGACTCCCGACCTGAAAACCCTCTGCTGACCTTGACTACGGACAAGAACCTGCTTGATGTAGAAGTGGATGGCCTTCCTGTTACTGCCCTTATTGACACCGGCGCACATATTTCAATTCTGAGCTCTGACCTCCGTGCACGATTAAACAAGGTCCTTACGCCGCCAGAGTCCCTATTTGTACGTGTCGCTAGTGGAGCGACCCCGGCTGTGCTCGGAATGTGCACCGCGCGTGTGAGATTCGCCGACCGCCAGACGTCCGTTCTATTCCATGTTCTCGCTCACTGTCCACATGACGTCATCCTTGGACTCGATTTTTTGTCCGACCACTCCGCTGTAATTGACTGCTCAGCCGGCGTCGTGCAACTTGACTTGCCTGCGGCCACCGAAGAGTCGAAGATGGTACAGAACAAGCTTTCGTGCGCTGAGTTTGTTCGCCTCCCACCCCAAGCCCTAACTTGTGTCACAGTTGAACCATATCCCAGTGTTCCAGATGGGGATTACGTGGTCTTTCCCTCTCCCGGTGTTTTATTGGCCCGCAACGTTTCCTCCCCGTACACCATATTAACTGTCACAGCGAACAAGACGTGCCTTCCTCTTCTGAACTTCGGACTCAGCCCTCAAATCCTACCACAAGGCATTGTTCTCGCCACTCTTTCACCGTCACACGAGTGCCAGATCTCATCAGTGTCACGTGAACTGGCCACAGTCGCCTCGCCGAACCCGCATAGCACCGACGCAGCCAAATCTACACGGCTCAACAATGTAACTAAGATGATTGCCTCAGACCTCTTGCCGTCTCAGGTCAAAGACCTCACTGATCTTCTCACGAGCTATTCGGACATATTTGACTTTGACGGTAGGCCCATAAGTCAAACATCGCAAGTCAAACATCGCATTAATACCGGTGATGCAGCTCCAATTCACAGGCGTCCCTATCGAGTGTCACCATCAGAACGCCAAGTTATCCAACAGGAGGTGAATAAGATGCTCACAAAAGGCATCATAGAGCCCTCATCGAGTCCGTGGGCGTCCCCTGTAGTCTTAGTTAAAAAGAAGGACAATACCTGGCGTTTCTGCGTGGACTATCGGCATTTAAACAAGGTCACCAAAAGGGATGTCTACCCGCTTCCTCGTATTGATGATGCCCTGGACTGCCTTCATGGCGCAACCTATTTTTCTTCGATAGACTTACGCTCCGGTTACTGGCAGATCGCCGTGGACGACCTCGACCGGGAGAAGACCGCCTTTGTAACGCCTGACGGTCTCTACCAATTCAAGGTAATGCCGTTTGGCTTGTGCAATGCGCCGGCAACGTTCGAGCGGATGATGGACACGCTTTTGCGCAGCTTTAAATGGTCTATCTGCCTGTGTTATCTGGACGACGTGATTGTGTTTGCCCCAACCTTTAAGTCTCACCTCGAGCGCCTTTCCTCAATTCTTTCAGTATTTCGAGAGGCTGGGCTCCAACTTAATTCCTCGAAATGCCATTTTGGGCATCGCCAAGTTACTATTCTAGGGCATCTCGTTGACTCCTCCGGCATCCGCCCCGATCCCGACAAAGTCCGAGCTGTCCTGGATTTTCCTGTACCGACTTGTGCCAAGGACGTTCGAAGTTTTGTGGGCCTATGCTCATATTTCCGACGATTTGTCAGAAACTTCGCAGAGGTCGCACGCCCCCTCACTGATCTTTTGAAGAAAGATGTACCATTTGAGTGGGGTCCTGATCAAGGCACGGCCTTTTCCCAGCTCATAACACTTCTGACCACGCCACCGATTCTCGCCCACTTCGACCCGTCTGCTCCAACCGAGGTCCGCACTGATGCTAGTGGCTACGGTATTGGCGCGGTTTTAGCCCAGCGTCAATCCGGTCACGATCGAGTTCTTGCGTATGCCAGCCGGCTCCTTTCTCCTGCCGAACGCAATTACTCTATTACGGAACGCGAGTGCCTGGCGCTTGTATGGGCAGTTGGTAAATTCCGCCCCTATTTATATGGCCGGCCTTTCACAGTTACCACTGACCATCACGCTCTATGCTGGCTTTCAGCCCTCAAAGATCCAACGGGGCGCCTTGCTCGTTGGGCTCTGCGCCTCCAGGAATTCACATACACAGTGGTTTACAAGTCTGGCCGTTTACACCAAGACGCCGACTGCCTCTCTCGGTACCCCGTTGACGCTCCAGATCTAGTAACCGACGACGCGTCCATCTGTATTTCCTCGCTCTCTGCTTTCGGCAACATGGCATGTGAGCAACGGCGTGACGCGTCCCTACGCGAGCTAATCGACCGCCTGAACACAGGCTGTACAGACAGTTCGCTTCGCATGTTCGTTGTCATAGACGGCATTTTATACCGCCGCAACATGCACCATGTGGGAAACGAACTACTACTCGTAATACCCACTCATTTGCACTCGACCGTACTTCAGCAACTACATGATGTACCAACGGCTGGCCACCTTGGTGTTGCCAGAACGTACGACCGTGTCCGCCGACGCTTTTTCTGGCCCGGCCTCTACCGTTCTGTACAACGTTATGTTAGGTCTTGTGAGTCGTGCCAACGCCGCAAAAGGCCAGCGGTACACCCCGCCGGGCTCCTTCAACCGATCGACGTACCTGCCGAGCCTTTCTATCGTGTCGGCCTCGACCTGCTGGGCCCTTTCCCTCTTTCTACCGACGGTAACAGGTGGGTCGCCGTCGCCATAGATTACTCGACCCGTTTCGCAATTACGAGACCTCTTCCAAGCAGCTGCGCTACAGATGTCGCCGACTTTTTGATTCAAGACGTCATCTTACATCATGGTGCTCCTCGTCAACTGGTCACCGATCGCGGTCGCTACTTTTTATCTAAGGTAATTGACGATCTACTTCGTTCTTGTGCAACCAAGCACAAGCTTACGACGGCCTACCATCCTCAAACAAACGGCCTCACAGAACGTCTGAATCGCACACTCACTGACATGCTCGCCATGTACGTGTCGACGGATCATCGTGACTGGGACATTGCGCTACCCTTTGTCACTTTCGCTTACAATAGCTCACGCCACGACACTGCTGGATATTCTCCCTTTTACCTTTTGTATGGAAGAGACCCGACATTGCCGTTCGACACGCTTGTACCCAACCCTACCGACCTGTCCACAGCATATGCTCGCCGCGCTATTAGCACCGCGGAGAAAGCCCGTCAGATTGCCCACCAGCGCCTTTCGGACTCGCAGCTCCGTCAGAAACGTAGCTATGACAGCCACCATCGGGACGTCCACTTTAGTCCAGGTGACCTCGTTCTTCTGTGGACTCCGTCGCGACATGTTGGTCTGGCTGAAAAGCTTCTACCCAAGTATTCCGGACCTTATCGTGTGCTACGGCAGGTAACTGATGTTACCTATGAAATAGCACCTCTAAACCCTTCGATACCTTCCACATCTTCCGACATCGTCCACGTCGCTCGCCTCAAGCCGTACATCTCGTCCAACACCTGCTAACAAGCGCCGGGTCGGCGCTTTTCGCCGCCGGAGGTCGATGTTGCGGGTTCGCGGCTATGCAGCTATGCGGGCGGTGCGAAGAAGAAGACGACGACGTTTTTGGGCTGTTCGATATACACAACGGCTGCCATCTTGACTGCTGGAGTACTTTTCTACTCTAAAGTAGTAAATACATTCGCAACAATATATATATATATATATATATATATATATATATATATATATATATATATATATATATATATATATATATATATATATATATATATCGCAGGCATTTGAACCGCAGGGGTCAGAACGAGTCAGATGGACTCACGAAATGTGTACCTGAGCTCACGTAGCAGTAGATTTTAGCAAGGTGGCGCCAGGTAAAAAATTCCATGCGCCACGTCACAAAAAAAAAACTTCTGCAAATGAGATATTTTTGCTAAATAAGAATCGAGTTTGAGTGAACGATGTGTGCACTCGCGCTTACTGCGTGAAGCAACTCCAGAAGCTAGAAAGGTTGAACAGTTTTTTTTTTCTCGTTCTAATCGTACAATGAAAATCGTTGTGGCGCAGAAATCAATACTTACCAATAGAGTGCACGTTGTGAACCATCGAGACATGGCTGGGCCTTTTGCACTGCCTTGGCCGTTGAATTACGTTCGTCCTGTGTCCAAAGAGAACGTGGGAGGGCATGTTTGTGCTGGTATAACAAAGAAAGAAATGGGCCTCGTATCTGCATGTTTCACTGCAAATGTCATCGAAAGACGATAGTCTTGCTTCCGGAGAGAGTGAACAAAACATTTATTTGATGCTATGTGCGAGAAAGTCTGAATTCGCATTTTGGAGGCACTGCGTTAGAGTGCCTCGATCCGTGCAGCGAAGGCGAACGAGCGCAACGAGGCACGTGAGACACGAGCGCTCTCTGGCAGTTGTCTTCGAAAACGAAGGAAGGCGTGCGTGCCTGTCTCGGAGGCGATAAGGTGTAGAACGCAAAGCGACGGGCAAGTGCCACCACCGTGTAGTCTTAGCAAAGCGTAGCATTGTCAGCGCAGAGTGATAAACGCTACAGTCGTTAGAATTACCTACGTATGCCTTTTCCAGTATAAAAACACATACAGAACATTGACGTGTTGTTGTGTGCCTCAGATATGCGCAATAATTGCGTTTTAATTGACAATCACACAAGTATGAACGCTAAAACTTGAGCAGTATTGGTGGGCGCTGCGGATGGGGTTGGATTTGGCCATTTGGAGTATCGTTTCAACGGACAAACAGACAAATGTACAGGCAGACGGACAGACCAAAATTTTTGCGTCAAAGTACTCCAAGAAAAACTATCGTCTTTGATAAACTAGGCAATACCGCTGGTCTGAGGTAAGGAAACGCGTGGTAAACGCACATATTGGCATGAATGCAGTCACCTTGACCTTTACACGAAATAACAAACCGCATTTAGCTTTTTTTGTACTACACAGTCTCCCTACAATGTGATATACTTGAAACTGCTTGAATTTGGCATCCTATGTAAATGAATAAACGGTGCAATAAATATTTGCGAAGGGGCATGTAGGGAAGGATGCTTCAGCTCCACTAACGGGGAACCATGAGTAGGCGTGAAGCATGCAGTGGGCGCCGGTGTTTCACACAGCGAAGTTTTTACCGCTTTACTCGCCACCGGTCCACCAACGCAACATCACTTTGCAGATACGTTTGAACAAGTGGCGTTCCAATTAGATAACTTTACCGCGTAGCGGCATACGTTTGTGTCTCTGCTTTTGATAGCGAAAGCTGTGTATGGCTAGGAGAAACGAAAAAAAAAAACCGTTCGGCAGCAGTGTCACGTGCGGTCTCCATTGGCTGAGCTATCGGTTACGTCGTTCTCAGCGTCGTACCCAAGCACGCACGCCATTGGAAGCGTTGTGAGTGACGTCACCCACTTCGTCGCAACCATGGCGCCGAGCACGCGCGCGTCGGTTTCTACTGATAACTTCTACATGAGTAGGCCATGGAAAACTTTAAAAGAGCGCCGACAGTGGAAACGATTCGCCAGACTGATGGTACAGTCCAGGCACAAAAACAGGCCCGAGAGGCCGTGTGCCGGCAACCACTGTGTTCCGATGATCCGGCCGTCTTCCAATGCGCACTAAATCGCGAAAGTGGAGTGCCTCGATGCACTCGTTCGCCTCCGCTTCGAGGCACTCTGCGCGAACGGGCATGCAAGCGCCATTGGCGGGCGTATCCTGCAAACCACGCCGCCGAGTTAGCTCGCGATGTCAAACACTTGCAACAACGTCGCGCCGAGCAAGCGGCGTAGCATGCACAACAGCGTCGACGTGATGATTCGGCGTCTGTGACCGCCTGCGGTTCGAGAACAACCACTGTAATTAACGCATTGAAATACGCATTTAACCGCTCATTACACTCCTTCATGACCGTGATCATGCAAGGCACAATGTGCGGCATGTGAAATAAACACTTTAGTAAAGCCAAGCGTGTGTCTAACCTCATTAAGAAGCACGAGCATGTAACCAATAATTGTGAAAGGCTTCAGTGCGGCGTCGGCTTGAACACACTGCTAAACACCGGGGTTACACGTTTCACCTTTCGCTGATTAACCATTTGTACGGAGTGCCATGGGTGGCGATTTTTATATAAAAAACTTGAGTGGCTTGGAGAATTTCGTCGGCCATTCTGGCTGTTGCTAAGACAACCATAATGTTTTCGGCAGAAAAGACTAACCATTAACACATAATATGCATAGTATATGGACCGGTGGCGAGTAGTCGAATTAAACCAATCTTTGTGGCGCACAGCTGGCCGTGGCGACAACATAACAACATAACATCCCGACAAACCGAGACCCTGTTGTAGGGTGCCTCGTCCCTAAAAGAAGTTGGCACAAGTGCCTGTATTCGGAAACTTGTGTACCAGCTTCATGTGCTATTGTTTCGTCGAGCACGAAAATTGCTAAATAATATATATAAGTGCTGTAATTTGTCTTTCTTTCCCGTCCATGTTCTTGTCGCGCTCTTATTTGTTCAAGATGTATGTATTTATCTCTGCCAATAATAAGTGCGAATAGCGGCAGTTATTTCCTCTCGGATTTCACATTGACTCGCATTGACCTTAGAGCTTCAGTATACGCACCGTTCTTGTCTTGTTTCAGGGCCGCAACGAGCGTTTCCTCAGCGACCGACAGCTCGCTTCCAACGAGTCCTGGAGTACAGCGCGACAAAGTTTGCTGAAAAGGTAAGTGACAGATGCACCGTTTCCGTTGTTTTTGTATTTCTTTAGTTGAAAGGCGTGTTGTACGCGCGTTAGGAGTGCAGGATGCAGCTGGGAACGTTTTGCTTGGCCAGCTTGAGGGTCCCGGTGAACGAACGAGTGTGGGAATTGAACGCCTATCTTTCCGTCGCACTAAGCGGTCGACTCCAGTCGCTATTGGGCACGATCTGCCATGTCAGCGCGCGATTAAAGAACTGTCACCACACATAGATCTTTACAGAAGCTTTTTTTTTTGTAGCGTAGCAGGCGAGTATATATTTACCTGCGTAACCGCTTTGCCCGATATATGATGTTACAAAAAGTCAGTGCTATTGTCAAAATTAGCCAACTTGTTTCGCGCAGGAAGTCCCTTTGGTCACCAAACACTGCCAGCCTCTGACAGCCGAAGAGGGCGAGTTGTCTACTAGGTACGTTCGTCTTTACAATCAATCTTGGGGCACATGTGGGTAGGGTTTCGTCTAGCTCGGTCGATCAGAGCAATCGTAATAATACCAGGCTTTGCGAGAACACGCTGGCTCGAACACGATGTTTTTTTTTTTTTCACTAATAGGGTTGTAGCCTCGTTGCAGCCTCATTGTGATTGCGCTTCACGACTGCTCGACGGCTCGCCATGTTGCACAAGGTAGTAGTTGAGCGCCTCTACGTCAATAAGTGAAAGCCGAGCTGAACTACTTATACGGTTTCCAACGTCAAATTAGACAAGCAAACATGTTTTGCTTTGTCTAACTTGACTTGTTGCAGGTTTTGCGCGGCTTACGTTGTCAATTGAAGTGAGTTTGTGACTCCGATCAATAAAGTAAGTTTGATACACCACGATAGCCAATAGTGCTAGCAGTTCGCAAAGAAATGCATTTAATAAAAACCGTAGAATATTCTGACGCCACTTTCAAATCTCTGCAGACGCGAAATGTCGATGTCGAATACATTAATTGATATTGGAGACGCATGTCTCGATACGTGCCCTTGTACCGCGTTTTGCTTGTCGGCTTTAGTCAGTAATGATAAACAGTGATTTATGTGGTGCGAATGGTAATTTCGTGGTCGGCTTCTAACCAGCATGACAGCGACGCTCGTCCTGCTCTTGTTGGCGACGACGTCTCCGGCTGAGTCAGCAGCAAAGCAACCCAACATCATATTCATACTGGCTGATGATTTGGTAAGCACTGTCTGTTCGTTCAGAGCACATTGAACACTTGGCTAAAGCGGGATGATACCATAACTGCGTCACGTTAATAGTCCCAAATATATAAGCAGTCCCATCGTTCAAGCAAGTATAGAGAGAAACTGAGCAAAAGATGATCGCTTATTAATCCAATATACTATTTTGCTGCCAGAATCTGGCATGATGTTTCTAAAAAAAAAGGGGGGGGGGTCCTCAAGTTTGTAACCCTGTTCTGGAAGGTACTTGTTATGTAAACAATGTATTCTGTAACAAGGTATATACATAAACAATGCATTTTATAACCATTGCATTGAAATTCGCACTCCCGCAAAGACACTGACGTCTTGCTGACGCAAACTTCACCCTTCAATTTGATGTGAAAATGCTGAGACAGCAAAAAATGCCGCCATATCCACGAAGTGAATGATGATGAGTGGGCGAAGCTCCGGAGGTAAACCTGGTAAACCATGAATCCTCCGTACATTTTGCCCACTCGATTTTATTGCAACGCTCCCCCTAGCGTACGTCGCCGCACTATATCGAACGATGACACGCGCCATATGTGGCATCATTCCTATTTTATAACACCTCGCATCTTTCATAATCAACTACACGTACCGCCGTCTAGTTTATAACATCTTGCATCTTTTGGACGGACGGACGGACGGATGGACGGACGGATGGACGGACGGACGGACGGATGGACGGACGGACGGACGGACGGATGGATGGATGGACGGACGGACGGACGGGCGGACGGACGGATGGATGGATGGATGGATGGACGGACGGATGGACGGATGGACGGATGGATATGGCTGTACCCTTTAGATCGGGCGGTGGCTAGCGTAATACTTAGAACTGAACGAGAGGTGGCTACATACAGGGGACACACAGCCCACGCCTTAAGGAGCTTCGCTCCTAAAAAAAAAAACAATTGTGCACGTGAATTGTTAGAGGCGTTCCACATAAAATCGAAGCCGGGTGAAGCCAGACGTCAGTGTCTTTGCGGGAGTGCGAATTTCAATTGCTATGCCTCAATATGCTTTAGCTTTTTATATGGGCCCTTTTGCGATGTGCGCAGCCGCATTTGTTACGTACTACCTGCATCTTCTCCCCACAGTTCTTTCGTAATTAAATCAGTTGGTAGTGAGCGCCCGTTTCTGTCTACTTGTCTCCTGTGTCTCGTTTTTTTTCTTTTTTTGCGCTCCACTTTTATTTTCAGACAATGCACCAACTCCCCCAGCAACGCATACTATTTACTCACAACGGGGACGCCTGCATAAATTCCTTTTTTTTTTGGGAGGGGGTGTAGAGGGGCACTTTTTTGTAATAGTAATCTCTTTCTCCGTATACCATGGCGAAGCCAAATAACCAGGGGGGGGGGGGGGGCTGCTTTTCATGGCGCGCCCTGTGTGCCTCCCCTGGCTACGCCACTGGCTCATGGGGTCCTCCCATTTATCCAGCGTTACAAGTGTCATGGCGGCGGCTGCTGCAATGCGAAAAAAAACAAACGTGGAATTCTAGCCACCCTAACGAGGACATCGGCATTGGTCGCGTCCTGCAGGGTAGCCGGTCTTTCCCCGCCATGGGGGGAAAGTAGCTTCTGCGCGAACGGGAACATCCGCACGAACTTCATACTCTCCAGGGAGAAATCTTAGCCAATTATTACGCGGGAAAATTGCCCGAAAAAAACGGCACTAAAGAACGGAATGGTTTGTGAACATTATTCCTGGCATTTCGGTACATCTGTGCTTGTAGAAACCGATCTAACTGAAGATATACAGAAGATATTTTATATTTAAGAAGCCTGCGACACTGTTCACAATAAATTGTCAATATTTTACTGATACGCAAAAAGGGAGTCGTGAAACACACCAATCAAAGTTCTTTAAGCATACAAAACAATCAAGATATTTTCGAGTATGCCAAGAACTAAACTTGCCTTTGTTAACCTAGAGAGCTGCATGGTTGGGCGGAGTCGACTGGCCTTCGTGTTGCCGTGCAAGTAAGATACGGTCTGTCACCCATGCAGGGCTGGGCCGACGTCAGCTTCCACGGATCCACACAGATTCCGACGCCCAACCTGGACGCGCTGGCTGCCGACGGTGTGGTACTGAACAGCCACTACGCACAGTCATTGTGCGCACCGTCGCGAGCTGCCCTGCTTACGGGTCTTTATCCACTCCGCTTCGGTACGTTTCGTGGTTTGTATCTATAGTGTTACACCGGTGCAGTCTGAAATTCTGCATGCAACCGCAGGCAGGCCTGCCACCTAGAAGACCATTGTCTCGTCGCGGTAAACACTAATGTGTTGCTAGCTTGCGTGTGGATCGAGTCATGGACGCATACACTGATGCTGGTGGAAGTGCAGGCACTAAAATCTTACGGCTTGTTTTATTTTTCTGTTGCATCAAACAGTTAACGACCTGCGTTATGGTTGGAAATATCCCCTGCTCGCGCTTGCGGCGAATAACTATTTGGAGGTGTTGTTATAATGCCCAATAGCAGTTTCAGTTTCCGAGAGCTCCGGGAGATGCGGGACCCAGCCGGGTATTTCTGTGAACACGGCCACGTGTTTATACAAAGATACGTCGTCGCACTCGCCACACGCGCCGCGTTCATTATTGCGCGAACGTAATCGCGCTGGCATTCTGCCTTTTTCATGATGCCATGGCTCACGCGTCCGTCACGTGTCCTTTCCCCGGCGAAAAAGTCGCGAACCGCTCCTTGATACCAGTTGCTTTCGTTGACCACTTCCGAAACAGTCGAAGGTATACCACAGTGACACGAAAAAGGCGGATTGCGGGACAGAGGACACGCAAGGAGCATGGCAGCCAACAAGACCTTGTCAACGGAGGGAAAGATTGCCTCCTTTCTGGGCTGTTGCACGGAAGTACAAAAGAAGACGTCGCAGCCTCGGCAGTATGTTTTTGGGGGGCCCTGCAATCAACAACAGCCCAGAGTGGATTATGGCAGCGCACAACCTATATTGACACTGTAACGTTGTCAACTAAAGTAGTGGTCGTTCACATTCAAAACCGAGTTGATCTCGACTGTGTGTCGCGAGGCGCTCTGTTTAGAGTGAAGTTAGTTGCACGCCACTTTAACATTCATTTTAAAGTAGCCGTTCATTAGCTCTATCAACCGCAGCGGTGGATACATGGTTAGAGCGCCAGCTTCCAAAGAGGGAGATGCCGGGTTCAATTTCCAGTGCCGATCGGGAACCCAGCGGTTTTTTCCCAATGGGTACAGGAGTAAACCGACCTAGCGCTCGGTTGTTCATGGGTACTGATCTCGCAAGGTGGCCCCATAAGGCTCTGCAAAGGCCCCTGGGCGTACCTTAATCCCCCCAGCCTGGGTGAAATAGTTGAGCACCCGCCGCTATTGTGGGAGGCAAAGGCACATGCTACCAGACACCTACTGTTTAAATACGTACAAGCGCACTCCCGGCGTGGCACTCGGCAGAACGAAGTTCATGGTCGGTTGGAAGGGCAACCGCCCCGTGGGAAATTGGCGGCATGGGACTGCCAGACCTAAAATTATGGTCATCCTCTTCTTTTTTTTGTTTTGATGTTCGCTTGACCATACAAATCTTTCTCACAAGTTATTTCGTCTTCAAAATTTTGTGCCAGCACCGTTCTGAGGAAGTGGTAAACAAAAATATGAAAAAAATTGCGAAATCACCCGGACACCGCAATTTCACTTGGAAGACGTGACTGTTCTGATAAACGGTGATTATAAGACATATTTTTGAACAGTTGGCTTTAACTTCGCAAGATCCTGATAGCGTACGGAGCTGCGCGCGTGCGAAATGCCCTTTCTCCGTATCTTTTTTACAAACCACGCAGTCTACCCTTTCCTCAAAGGAGCTGACACGTATACTCAGCTGGGAGCATCATTCGCTGCCGGTGCCGTAGTGGGCGATCGAGCCAGTTGAGAAAAGCGCGGGCGTTGACTGGTGTTATGCCTTGGAGTCTGAATGGAACTTAATTGCTTCTACAAAGGCAACCAGCATCAAAACCATCGAGCGTGCCCGGCTGACGCCATCACCATCAACGATGTCTTACGCAACGCACGGCACGCTCCCTCCACCCACGGGTCCGATTCCAGCCCAATGATGCAGTCGACGTCATCAAGCCCGGCGCGTCATATGCAACGCGTGACAATACCACTCGCTCGTGGGTGCGATTCAGCGGCGGTCTCGATTGGAGGCTGCTGACCCAGGAAAAGTGGCGGTTTTGATTGGAAGCTGCTGACACAATGAATATCGGCGGTTCCTGATTGGAGGTTACTGATGTAAGAGTAAGCGGCGGTCTTGACTGGAGGTTTCTGACGTAAGGATCCTCAGGGCCTATAAAAGAACCAAGCGGCGCGACTACAAACAGCAGACGGTAGCGTCAGAGCGTCCGAATACGTCCCGGCTCTTCGAGCTCCTTAAGCTGTCGGCCCCAGTGCCGAATATGTAACGCCTCTGTTTATGTTGTACATAAATGTTGCCTTAACTCACCATCGCCTTGTCCGCTCCGTCTATCAGCTCTGCGCGGTTGCCGCCGCGAGCTGAGAAACACGCATTACTCAACAGTGGTGACAGGCACGCTATGCAACACCGGTGACGCCTATTGGTGATAAATTACGCAATCGAGGCACGCCCTTTACCACACGTCTGCGGCCACTAGACGCGGCAGTTTGTGAACGGATTTAGTCTCTGCCTGTAGAAAGTTAAGATTGTGTCAACCAGTTTCAGCACCAAAACTTTCAAGTGGGCTGAAAATCTTGGCTGCAAGTGAGTTGTGCATCGCTTTAACTGCATAACTTTTAGTGATGTCCTTGATGATGTCAGAGCAGCGTAATCACAGGGCGCTTTACCTATTTCAATGTGATAAAAACTCCGCGCTGGAGCGCTTTTGGCCCCATGAGTAACATGAGAACGTGCATGCGATGAAGTGATAACACGAACGCCACGTCGCTAATTTCGCGTCCCACCATGTTGGAACTCCAACATGGCGGTTTCAGCGGCGTCAGCCAGTTGAAGCCTTCTATCTCTGCTACAGGCTTACAACAGAGCATGCTCTATCCATCGGCGCCAGGTGGGCTTCCCCTAGATATCACCTTGCTGCCACAACATCTCGGTAAACTTGGATATGAAAGCCACATTGTGGGCAAGGTGAGAAAAGTTTTATGCTGCTAGAAGCGCTCCTTTTAGGGTGTCCCGCTATTTGCTCAATTGCTCTCGTGTTTACAAAAATTTTGATAGCAAAAACGTAATTATTGACCTCGCTGAGATTTTCAGCGAGTATATAGTCAGAGTGATTTTATACTGCCTTTACAAAGTTTTTTCCAGGTGATTTCTGAGAGTTGTTTCTCGGTAGAGAGTTTCTTGCGGCTGATTTAGTAGTATTCATTTACTCCCGTAACTCCGTTTTCACGGCCATTCCTGGTGGTAAGAGAAAAATTACAATGAGGGCGATCGCACCATGCGCTATCAAAATTAGAATTTAACCAATGTAGAACGACGCAGTATCCATGGCGTGTACATACACAGTCCTCTACACAGAAAGACACGCAAAAACACCACATAAACCAACTGCTCGCGTTTTTTTTTTTTTTGCTTTCGCACTGCACGACAGAATTACACCGCATCTGGACCTTCCATATATAGTGCCGGTAGGAGACGTACATGTGATTAAACTATAAAGATTCAAAGTGTACGCGTAAACTTCAGGCGAGACACCAAAATGATTAAGAACACCGTTATTGGAAATTGACAGTATATATGTAGGGCAGAGCAGCGATGGCGTAGTGGTTAGAGCATCCGCCTAACCGTGGTTCAAATCCGTGGTTCAAATCCCGGTACCGCGCAGTTCCCAACCGGATTAAAAAAAAAAAACAAAAAAAAAATCCTCGTGTTGATGGAACTGCATAGGAGGCCTGGGGTGCGGCATCACCGGCAACACCGCCGAGGACACGCACTCCCTCACCAGAGAAGGATGGCACCCTGGTGCAGTATCTGGCCACTACCTCCCACAGTGCGTACGTCAAATAACTCACGGCCCTCAGTCCCCAGCAGCTGCGAAGGCAAACTGACCACGGCGGCGGTCAGCCATTCCTATGCGGAACGCGTACGCATTGGTAAATGCGACGCCCAACCATAATCTGCACAGCATAGTAGCGTCTCGTCGGCGTAATTCCGGAGGAATTCAAAGACTGAGGGTTGGGTCTAAAGTACCTAACCGTGCATGGATGAAATGTGACTCGTTCCATTGTGACGTGGTGCGCTTGCGAGCATGCATGCGGAGTTTCCGTGCAGCGTCAGTTCTGGAAAGCGGAATGGATATTTCATCGCTTTCAGAATGGGCAGAACGGGCAGCTCGATCGGCCCGTTCATTGCCAATTATTCCACAGTGACTTGGAAGCCATTGAAAGGCTATTTCATGTCCTTCCTCAATAAATTTGTGAGTCTTTTCTGCAATATCAAATACCAGCTGTTCGTACGGGCCGTGACGTAAAGGTGATAAAAGGGATTGCAGTGTCGCCTTTGAGTCACTGAAAATTGTCCATTTTTGTGGCTGTTGATCACTGATGAATTCCAATGCGGCACGAAGAGCTGTGAGCTCTGCTCCCGTTGATGTCGTGAGGTGGGAGGTCTTGAATTTTCTTGTCGTGTCTTTTATCGGTATAACAAATGATGCCGTTGAACTCTTCTGTAAAACAGAACCGTCGGTGTATACGTGTATACAGCCTTGATACGTCTCGTATAACAATAGCAGAGCAAAGCTGTCTAAGAGCAGGTGACGACATATCTGCCTTTTTCTTGATGCCAGGTATAGTTAGCCTGATGTTAGCCTGAGTCAGGCACCAGGGAGGAGTAGAAGGGCCTGGCGGCGGGTGTGAAGCATGCCGGCAAAGAATCGCGGTATGTGGTGACCGTTTGGCAAAATGACGAACGTGGTCTGCCTGCTGGTAAAGAGGCTAGGTGGTGGCAGGGTGTCCGAGCAATATGCCTTATATGTGTCCTGAGTGCCTCAACGTCGATATGTGTCGTGATGAGGTGGTCACCGGCGATAGCTATAGTAGCCATTGTCGACGCACTACGAGGCAAGCCGAGGCAAATCCGGAGTGCCTGGGACTGAACACTCTGTAGCGTTCGAAGGCTTGTTTTGCTTGCATTGGTCAATGCCGGTAAACTGTACCGCAGGAAACCGAGAAAAAGTACTCTGTACAGCTGTAGCATTGCACTGGGAGACATTCCCCAAGTCTTCCCTGCAAAGAACTTCAGTATATTACAGGTGTCCATTAACCGTTTCTTCATGTACGAAACGTGATCGCTCCATGATAGATTCCTGTCAATTATGACGCCCAAAAACTTGTGCGATCGAACGTATGGTACAGTTTGACCATTGATTATTATAGTGTACTTATCTGAGAAACACGCATTAACCAACAGTGGTGACAGGCACGCTATGCAACACCGGCGACGCCTATTGGTGAGAAATTACGCAATCGAGGCACGTCCTTTTCCACACGTCTGCGGCCACTAGACGCGGCAGTTTGTGAACGGATTTGTCTCTGCCTGTAGAAAGTTAAGATTGTGTCAACCAGTTTCAGCACCAAAACTTTCAAGTGGGCTGAAAATCTTGACTGCAAGTGAGTTGTGCATCACTTTAACTGCATAACCTTTACTGATGTCCTTGATGATGTCAGAGCAGCGTAATCACAGGGCGCTTTACCCATTTCAATGTGATAAAAGCTCCGCGCTGGAGCGCTTTTGGCCTCATGAGTAACGTGAGAACCTGCATGCGATGAAGTGATAACACGAACGATACGTCGCTAATTTCGCGTCCCACCATGTTCGCATTCCAACATGGCGGTTTCAGCGGCGTCAGCCAGTTGAAGCCTTCTATCTCTGCTACAGGCTTACAACAGAGCATGCTCTATCCATCGGCGCCAGGTGGGCTTCCCCTAGATATCACCTTGCTGCCGCAACATCTCGGTAAACTTGGATATGAAAGCCACATTGTGGGCAAGGTGAGAAAAGTTTTATGCTGCTAGAAGCGCTCCTTTTAGGGTGTCCCGCTATTTGCTCAATCGCTCTCGTGCTTACAATTTGCTCTCGTGCAACAATTTGCTCTCGTGTTTACAAAAATTTTGATAGCAAAAACGTAATTATTGATCTCGCTGAGATTTTCAGCGAGTATAGTCAGAGTAATTTTTTACTGCCTTTATAAAGTTTTTTTTTTTCGCTGATTTCTGAGAGTTGTTTCTCAGTCGAGAGTTTCTTGCGGCTGATTTAGTAGTATTTATTTACTCCCGTAACTCAGTTTTCGCGGCAATTCCTGGTGGTAAGAAAAAAATTACAATGAGTGCGATCGCACCATGCGCTATCAAAATTATAATTTAACCAATGTAGAACAACACAGTATCCATGGCGTGTACATACACAGTCCTCTACACACAAAGACACGCAAAAACACCACATAAACCAACTGCTCGCGCTTTTTTTTTTTGCTTTCGCGCTGCACAACAGAATTACACCGCATCTGGACCTGCCATATATATAGTGCCGGTAGGAGACGTAAATGTGATTAAACTATAAAGATTCGAAGTGTACGCGTAAACTTCAGGCGAGACACCAAAATGATTGAGAACACCGTTATTGCAAAATGACAGTATATATGTAGTCGCACCAGCGGTGAAGCTGTCAAATTGACAACTGGGTTGCATTTGTTGTTGACATGTGAGCTGTGAAGATGACGAAGAACATCGTCATTTCTACATGACAACATGCTGTCGAATTGACGACCAGGTTGTATTTCAAATTCACACGGGAAACGTCGAAATGACTGAACAAATTGTGATTCAGAAATGACGGCGTCCTCGCACATCGACGTTCGAATGCATCGAAATAGAGCTGCCAAGGTTTTCCCGTATATTTGACGGGTCTTGTTTAACAGTACTACCGCATAAACCCGCCTGATCTGACTTTTTTTGATGAGATGACACTCCGTCGTGTTGTCCGCACCTGCGTTAACAGTGCTGACGCACAAGTCAGCAAACTATGCATACCTATGCACACACAAGCCACGGCTGCTCAATAACTGCACATATTCGGGAACGTCGGCGAAGAAGAGCGCAGGCGCGCCTATCGCTTCTTGCCGACAGCGTCGCAAGGCCTTTTCGAGGATCATGGCTGCGATCAACGACAGCCATGGCGATCACAAAATGCGTCAAAATACGCGCTCGCTACTCGCGGCGTCTTACAGAGCGATGTAGTACTTACGACGAACGAGACGCGTCTCGCAGCCTGCAGGTCCAGTTTTCGCCGTTCTTGTACTTGCATTCACCGGCGGCCGCAAGTTATGGTTGCGTCTGCGTCGTATATGCGCTCGACTTGGCGCTGCATGTTTTACAGCGGTTCCCACATGGAAGCGAAAAGAACAGTTCGGACTGACATTACTTCCTGTGAAGCAAAATCTACGCGACGCTTGCTCACCTGCCCCGGCGACGCACTGACAATGGGTCGCGGCTTGGTGGTGACGACGTATAGCGAACCCGTTATCTTATCGCTTCGAATTTGTGGCCGGTCACTCTCCAGAGAGCAACCATGGACGATCACAGCTTGATTTTGTTACCACTGGCGGTGTTCTTCGCGGCTCTTGGCGACTTAGCACGGAAGTGAGGTATACGAGACGTCCGGACTCGGGGGCTTGCGTTCGTAATCCCATGGCCGCTCGATGATAGGAAGAAACACGCGAGATTCAGCTGAACTCGTCATCAGCGCAATCAGACATATACAGCACAAGCTTTGTAAACTCGCCTGTCTACAGGGCCACTAAACGACATACGCCAACAAGTTGCGAAAATCTGAAAGACAGCTTTCCAGCAAGATTTTTTAAGGGGCGAAGCTTTTTTAGGCCGTGGATCGTTCCCTCCTCCGCATGTAGTAGTATGTAGGCACCTATTGACTTGCTCAATAGATGGCATTGTGTGTATATGTCCTTGGGAATAATATAACTAGATGTGGTTAGTGGTTTTCACAGCATATCTCCGGAGTGAATGATGATGAGTGTGGCGAAGCGTCCATCCGTGCGTCCGTCCGTCCGAATGGACGGACAGACAGAGGCATGAACGCACGAACGGACTGACAGACGCATGGACGGACGCACAGACGGACGGACAGAAGCACAGACGGACAGACAGACGGACGCATGGAAGCACGGACGGCAACCGTCTGTCCGTCCGTGCTTAGAACCCGTCCGTCCGTGTTTCCGTCCGTGAGTCCGTCCGTCCGTTCGTGGGCCCGTGACTCTGTCCATCCGAACGCCTTGACAGATGGACACCCGGACGACGCTTCGCCTCACTCATCATCATTCACTCCGTGAATATGCTGTGATTTTTTTTTCTTCAAGCAAGCTCTTTCGTTCGCAAAATGCTTTTCTCGCTCGTTGTGCTTCTGCAGCTCCTGCAGTTCAACCGTCCCGCACGACAATGCTATATCAATCTTTGAAAAAACTGCAAGATTCCGTGCACGAATACAACTGATAAGCGAAGTCCTTGCAAATGAGACGCAAAAAAAACTATGCGCCTGATCTCGCTGCTGGCTTTCATGAAGGCGGTGGTAGGGTGGGGAGCGGGTGGGAGGAGCGTTTGCTGATCTCGGTGGCGGGAACGACTGAGCAAGTGAGTGTGCGGCGCGCGCCGGGCAGCGTGAGTCACCTGCGCGCAGCTCGCGCATGCACCCACACGAAGAATTCGTTTGGTGGTAGATATTACAACGCTCACTCATTCTGAACGCACCAAAAGAGTATAACCGTTGCGCTCTTTCGCGTTTCGGTCGAGCAGTTGATTTTGGTGGAATTTCATTTCTTCTCAATTATTACCAATGACCGCCTTTTCGAAATGCAAAGCTGCAGTGGATTTCTCGCCCTAAGGACTTCAGTTCTCGCGTTTGAAACAGCCGCCTAACTTTACTAATTAAAAGGCTATTAATTTTTTAGCTTTTTACTTATTGTAAAACAGCATACAAGCATACATACTCATACGTCATACAAGCAGACATTTAAGTGAACACGCGCGCATACATGCACCGAAATCGTATCCTGCAAAATGAAACCCTGTCTACGGCCCTGACCATCTAGCCTGTGGACTATAGAGACGTCCGTACTTATTGTCTTTAGCCATCTTAAGACGCCTGCGCTTACAGGAAAAGTTGCAGTGAAGGCGCTGTAATGGTATCGTATACTTCCTTAGTTTTCGAAGATTTCGCACACATTTCTCAGTTTCATCGCTGCGATCGCTCAAACACCACGGGAATGACTGAAAGTATACAGTCTTCGGAATGAATGGCATTAGCTGGATAACTGCCGACAGGTCTTTTTTTTCTCACAGCTTCAACTTCGTTCTTGGCGAAGTGTGGGTTGCGCATGGAGTGCGCTGCAAAGCAGTCGGGTGGTGCCTTTGTTGTTGAAAGAGGCTGACTACCACTATACGTATCTTGGTTTGCTGCAGCACTTCGGCTCTATACATGTTGTATTTAACAGTTTATGCGAAACGTCATTAACGCACCGCTGCTCATAAATGAAGCGTCCCACACAAGCGCGGGAAATCTTGCATAAAGTTCACTCTTCTTTTATAGAGTGCCTCGCCGAAACTCATTCAATTCGGCTTCAGAACAATGGTGAAGCGAAGGACACGCTTCGTCATGCTTCCCTGACTCGGATTTTCGAGGTAACAAGAGATCACGCGAGAGATGCGTTGGGAACAGATCACAAGAACAGGAACAACTGGCGTATCAGCTTAGGTATGATATGTTCAGTGTTTCTCACTCTATACAGTACTTCATTTCCGTAAATAGATTCTGCGTAATTTTGGAGAGAAACGCTATAGTGGAGCATTCCATGGGACGAATCAGTAAACGCCTTTAATCTAAAATGATGGGCGTGCTAACACGGACACTAAAGAGAAGTCATAACACTACGAGAGAGCCAACAGTCTTTTAGAATGAATGCGCAACAACTAGCTCAGCTGTATATTATCCTGAGTCCCACCTTCCTGTCCCTGGAAACGCGCCCGCATTAGGGTGGCCTATTCTAGCCGCCTTCGCGATGCCTGCCTGCGAAGTATTTCATTCAAGCTTTCCTCAATATCCACGCGCGCTTCACTGACTTGTTCCATCTCTTTTGTAGCCCGGACGACTAGATCCATTCATTTGTGTGCGCACTACCGTACACCGAGTGTTTTGTACATAGGTAACTTGCGAATTCACGGCCCATATTCTGCATAAGTGGTCACTTTCCGGATTCAGTGCACCGAACATGCATGTCTGATGAATTCTTCGACTGTGAGCATCGCCCTTGCAATAAACTGCACAACAATTGACAGAGATCTGTAATGATTATATATATATATATAATATATATATATATATATATATATATAATATATATATATATATATATATATATATATATATATATATATATATATATATATATATATATATATATATAGTCTAGTAGATCCTCCGTGAGCGGTTATTTCGACGTTTCGGCCTAGAGTCTGGCCTTCATCATTCCTGATGAAGGCCAGACTCTAGGCCGAAACGTCGAAATAAACCACGTTGTGACCGCTCACGGAGGATCTACTAGACTATATATAACGCTACGGCCACTCAACCACCATGCCTGCCTATATATATATATATATATATATATATATATTATATATATATATATATATATATATATATATATATATATTATACACCTAATTTCGCTCAGCTCACTTTTCGTCATAAGCCTGCTAACCTGCTGCACTGCACTACTCGTCGTCTTGTTTTCTCTCTGCAGTGGCACCTGGGGTGTTCCAGTGAGAACCAAATGCCCACGAGCAGGGGCTTCACCACTCACTTTGGTTTTCTGAACCACGGTGAAGACTACATTACCCACACAACTACATATGTAAGTGCATATACGGATATATATATATGCATAATAGAAAGCGCGGTTGAACAAACGTCGCGAAACTTGGTGCAGATTTCGTAATATATTAGTAGCGAATAAAATTTTCAATTTTCACAGAGAAACGAGCGTTCTTAACACACGCGTGGTAGCTCTATAGGGCACAGTGATCGGAGTTCAACAACGGAGAAAATTTATTCTCGACGCATGGACACCTGATCACACCTTACGCTCGTCGTCCAGTGTAAGTTCACTTTATATGACCGGTAACAAGGTTGATAATACTCCCATAATAAATCTCTCCCAGCCTCAAAACGTGAGACCTTTTGGGAAGAGAGAGGTCACGTGAGGCCCTGTGTCATGAGCGAAGTTACGTGGCAGCTAGGGTTGATTGATGACACCATTGTTGCCTGAACTCTTGACCACGGGTATGTTTGAAAAGCCGCATGTGATAGGATGACGAGTGTAGGTTAATAGCGGCATATTCCTCGCGTTTTTAAATATACAGCGCACTAGTCGCGTGTCTCAGGAATATTTTAATAAAGTTTGACCAACCAGTGAAAAAAGCTAATCATGTGCTTACCGAGCCATTAGCAAAAGGTTAACATGTTCCAAGTATTAGCCACGAAGTTGTGAGTGTGACTATATACGTAGAACAGGGGTACCAACTTCAATCACAACTTCACTCTAGTATATTAGAGTGAAGTTGGAGCAATGAAGTTGGAGTTGGAGCAAGTTGGAGTGAATAAGGAGAAACGACTACGTTTGAAAAGCCACAGGTGGTGAGCTGATGAGTGTACACTAATGGCGGAATATACCTTGCGTTGTCAACTCTGTGTAAGTGTATAAATACTTCTACTTAAACACTTTTTAGGGGTACTGACAGAAAATTTTGGGCCTTGTATTTTTTTTTTGCTGCAATGTATTGCTGGAAGTCTGTTGGTCATAGCATGGCACACCATGTGCTGCAGCGCACGACAGATAATTATTTAGAGGCTCCTCATTAGTGACCATGCAGTCTAAGTTTCGGTTTGAGAGAACTCCAAAACCCCAAGCCGCCGGGTGAACCATGTGGCGTTGGTGCAACGCTATGTAGACCACGTCAGCACACAGAACTCCTATATACGTACTTCCACACGACACGCATCAATAAGTCGCTTCGGACAGGAAACGGGAAATCAGAGCCACCAAACAAAAATTTTCAACACTTGCGCTGCGGCCACGGATTCGGGAGCAGCTGCCGAGTATACTGCAGTGTAGGCTACAGGAAAGAAAAATGGCGGCTATGATGTCATCATCATAGCTTTTCTGCTCACTGCAGCGTGGTGACGTGAAAAAAGTAGGGGTGCAGTGTATGTTGTAGCAGGGGGGGGGGGGGGTCACAGTGGGTCACTTTTGAGGGTGTCAATACCACGACGTGCTCGATTGCGCACGGAAACTTCAAAATTCATGTACAATGCAAGCTGTGTTCGCTATTGATATGTTGCAGATGATATACGCATATTCATGAAGATCGATCACGCAAAATTTCGCAGCTACCACGGCAACAAATTTTGTGTCAGTAGCCATTTGATACGGTACTTATTTATAGTGAGCTTAGGTCTGCTTTACGTTATTTCCTTACAGAAACTATTGTTTAAGCAACTTTCTTCACCCGATAGCTTTTTTTTTTTTTCATTTACGGAATGTCCAAAAACCCCAACGCAAAAGAGCATGGCCGCTGTCATCAGGACTCCAGCCATTGCTTTAAGCTGGTCATTTAGACAATTTTGTGACGCTATATAAATGCGCCATTTAGCAGAAACTATATAGTATACGGCATGCAGTGCACGATGCCCTCAAACCATGACTAACGTAACGGTCCACTTCGCGTGGCTTTTGTTCCAACATTTTGGCATGCGCAGAATGGATCGTGTGGTTACGACTTCTGGTTTAACGAACAGCCATTAACGAACGCTCTCGGCATTTACTCGATGGACCTGTTTAAAGACAGGGCGAAGAGCATCATCGCACAACACAACACATCCAAGGTCAGTGCAACATGGTGAACTTTCAAAGGGCATAGCCAGAAATATTTTGTCGAGGAGTGTCACGCGCCACTTGTAAAAGAATCTGTAAAAAGGGTCAACACCAAAAAAGTAGAGTCGTTTAGCAGCAGGGGCGGCGCCAACGTGGGGTATGGAGGCTGGAGCCCCCCTCCCCCCCGCCCAAACAACTCTCTATGCTTTGCTTCGCCCCCCCCCCCCAAACCCCCAAGAGCAAGCATAGACAAGCAACGCATATGTTTCCAGCCTCCCTGCTCTCCTGAAGCAACTCACTTGTCGTGGGTTCCCCCACCACCCTTCCCCCGGGAAAGAAATCGTGGCGCCGCCTCTGTTTAGCAAGTTACAAAAAAAAAAATATGGTGTGCAATTAAGATACGGTATTATGATACTGCTCCACATTTCTCGCTCGTTGTGCTTTTGCCACTTCTAATAGTAAAGTTGTAAGTGCAAGATATAAAGTTAAAATTCTTTATAAGAGTCATGCTCCGGGCAGCAATTCTTATATTATATATGAGATGTCTTTAATAAGCAGGGAACCTTGTATGCATTTTCTTATCAACCCGTATTTTACTGTAGGTGCACTGGTGTCTCTTATACTCATTTGTCTCTTATAAAGGAGTTGGACTGTTATAACGGTACGTATTAACGCAATTATATACAAGGATTATACAAGAAAAACGCACCTGTGGGACGCGTTTTTCTTTGAATATTACACTTTTGTAGTCAGTGAAGTATATGACGAAAGGACCTTCGGTTAGAGCATGTAGTTTCAAAGTTGGAAAAGGCAATGTTAATACAAGCTCCGATTCGACGGTTTCTTGCCGCTGTTTGCGTGCCGCCTCTGCTTCGCGGGCTCTCACTTCGGGGTCTGCCTCTCGACGAGCCCTTTTCGCAGGGAAGCACAAAGTGCACATAATGCCTTACAGATGTGCAATGGGATATCTACGCTTATCAGCAGAATAACGAATGACATAGTGGCATAGAGGGTGACGAATGACGAATAGCGTAGTGAGAGCAATGCCCTATTCGTGAAAGTTACGGTGGTCGTGTAGTGGATACATTGTACAGCGGCGCCTATAGCGGTCGCCTCGAGAACTATAGCGTACACGCCAAAGGCACTTGCCCCGAGCATAAGAAGCTTGGCGCTCCTAGAAAGCGGCGTCTGATAATTATTGTGGCGCAACGACATCCAACCAAATTCTTCGGTGAAACCGAAACCGAAGCACCGATGAGCGCAACAAGCAGGCGTGCAGAATGACTTCACTGTCCAAAACAACCATTACAGAGGTGTAGTTATTCCACATTCGTTAACGTATGTGCGACATGCGTGCTATAGTTACAAGTGCAACCTACACACCCACGCAAAGAAGTCCATTGATGGTTGACATAACGACGCTCACTCATTTTGAACGTCTCGGAACACGGCCGTTGCCCACTTCCGCGTTTTGGTTTCGGCTCGACCGCCTTTCCGAAATCTCAAGACTACAATGGGCTCCTCGCATGAAGGATTTCAATTCTCCCACATGATATAGCCACCAGCTCTACTAATTAAGACGTTAAATAATTTAATTTTAATACTGTCCTGAATGACGTTATCTTTGGCTTTATAAAGATGCCTGCGGCTACGAAAAAAATCAATTATTAAGGCATCGAGCATATATCGCATTTCCATGATTTTTGAAGATTTTGGACACGTTTCTCGGAACACCCGATATATACGACGACATACAGTGTGCATTAAATATAAGTGAGTGTACGAGATAAGAGCATTTTCAAATTGGGGAGTTCGAATGTTTTACCTTGTATTTTTCGTTATCCCGCCACCAATAGAACACGATTGACCAGAAATAATCAGCGTAATCAATCGATACCATCGACACGAAAGAAAAACATGGCCTTCCATTTGTCTCGGGCAAGTAATATACAAATGACCGCACGAATTCCAATGTTGTCGTAGTCTATACATTGAAAGCATGCGCTATTAGACAACTAGTCGCTTTCACGTTTAATAACGTGCAGCTACATTCAAAAAGTTGATTAGTAGTTTAAATAAATGTCAATAATAACAAACACTTTTGCGATCGATTTCGGTGAGCCCAGCGACTGACGCACGCTTTTGTGATGATCTCATCCACAGCCGCTGTTCCTGTACCTCAGCATGCAAGCCGTGCACATCGGCACCGCTGAACGCATGTATCCGGCACCTGAGGAGAACGTCGTGAAATTCGCCTACATAGGCAACGCAAATCGAATAAGTTACGCAGGTAAGTATACTTCACGAACGTTACGGCGGCTGGTGATTACGGCTAAAAGAGTACCGGTGAAAAATCGTTGCACTGAACGCAGTCGATGAAGCCGCCAACGCTTTTCGAGCAGTGGACCTGTTTTCGTCAAGGCAATACATGTCCACTTGTCGAAACATTGGGCGTTCAACGATTTTGCATCACCTCAAATATCCCCTGAACATAAAAGATGGCTATAGTCGGTGAAGGCGGGAGCTGTAGCTCGCTCAAGTGTTCGCTAAAGTGTTGGCTTGCCTCTTAACTGCCTGCATGTTGGTCATATGCCGACAACGAAAAGAAATGCAAGAAATCAACACTAGCACGGCTTTTGTGGAACGCGTTAATGTTAGAATTACTCGGCCAATTTTCCATAACGCCGAAAACTTGCGATGTGGAATAAAACACGCCATTATTTCCCCAATCGATTGAACTTTGATTGATTTGTGGGGTTTAACATCCCAAAACCACCATTTGATTATGAGAGACGCCGTAGTGGAGGGCTCCGGAAATTTTGACCACCTGGGGTTCTTTAACGTGCACCCAAATCTGAGTACACGGGCCTCTAACATTTCCGCCTCCATCGGAAATGCAGCCGCCGCAGCCGGGAATCGAACCCGCGACCTGCGGGTCAGCAGCCGAGTACCTTAGCCACTAGACCACCGCGGCGGGGCGAAAAATCGATTGAACTTTATCATGTTATGCGCATATCCCTGATTAATTCACGGTGAATGCGTCACACCAGAACTAAGCAAACTGGGGGGAGAAACGAAGAGGGGCGTGGAGAGCGAACTCTAAGCATTACCGTAAAGATCGATACTTTATAAATATTTTATCTTTTGCGCAGTAGTAGCAAAGACTCTATTTAGATTAAAGTTGAATAGGCGGAGGGGACTCAGTGGACTCCTCCTCACAGAAGCCTGTTGGCAGTAGCCGCTATACCTGGGTGCGTTCGACCAGGGTAATCTGGTCGGCCAGGTCCGTGCAGTCGAGCAGGGTCCCTGGGGTTGGACAGAGTAAAAGAGGCGGGGGGAAGGGGGGCTGACTGGAATGCCCACTCCATATGGAATATGTTTGAGGACACTTCTCTAAAGTATGAGCACTTCCCTGAACACTTGATGACGAAATACTTTTTTTTTGCGCAAAATTAGCAGCGAAAACCCCCGAGAAAAGAAATAATCGTGGCCGTTTTAAATCTCGCTCAGCAGTTTGATAAAGTGTGTTTCCCCCTTTCTGTAACAGCCACAGTCGACACGCTCGACCAGGCGGTTGGCACCGTGGTGGAGGCGCTGTACGAGAAGCGCATGCTCGGGGACTCCGTGATCGTGTTCTGCAGCGACAATGGCGCGGAAAGCGTGGGCATGGGATCCAACTGGCCCCTGCGCGGCATGAAGAAGAGCCTCTGGGAAGGAGGCGTTCGGGTGCCAGCGTTCATTTGGTCCCCGCTGTTGCGTGGTCGGGAAGAACGCGTCTACGAGCACGTCATGCACTTGGTTGACTGGATGCCCACGCTGTACCAGGTGGCCGGTACGCACTACGTTTATTCATTGAGCCGAAAGCGTAAACTCACGTGATCTAGGTTGCTATGATGACGTCATGCTCTGACGTCATCACGAAGTCACACACCTTTCAAACTGGATACCATCGAGCACGAGTTGATGACGTCATATGCGGACGTTACACGTGGCGTCATCAGCTGGCATCTTCGCTCGTTCAAAAATGGGCCCGTGCCGGAGGTAGTTCAGTACAGAAAAATCGAGGGAGAGGAAAGGGGTGGCAATGTAATAGACCGAGAAAGAGACGGAAGTCCAATTCGTGTATCTCACACTCCGTCTCGTTTTGCCGCGAAAGAACTCTGTTCCACGATTGTGTAACTCAAAGGTCCCCTAAATGGATCAGCCTTATGTTCTAAGACGAGAAAGCGGTTCATTTCTCGCTTTCACGATCCTTCTTAAAGATGCCATCACCTCTCGCCATTTATTTCTTCATAAAACACGGGGGCAGTTCAGCAATAAGCGCTGGGGCCTATCAGAATTTCGTGCTTTTCGGCTACACGCTGTTTTCTGCGCTTGTGAGCTCAAAAATGCTAGAAAAAAAAAGTGAAATAAGTCGACCGCGCATGATAGTTGTGCGATACAAGACAGAGCGGGTGCGCGGCTGCGTAACACAGCAAGCTGGCAGACGATCGACAACCGATTTTCGTTGTATGTGGACCATTCGATAGCTTGTTTCCTCGTGCATGACGTCGCGCGAACATTCTGCTGGCGCGTCACAGATTGCACACTGAAAAAAAAAGGAAACGCTAGGAGAGAGTCCTATTTCCAGAGGTTGTTTGGGGGCCCTTTCATGCGTTATCAAGTGTGGCTTTCAATTGTCACAAAGAATGCTGCAGAATTTTTCGTGCCTGTGCAGACTCAACAAGAGAGGAATATTCCTCTGTGTGTGATGTAAAACGATGACCATCGCAAAAAATAACTTAATAAAAAATAAATAATATATATATATATATATATATATATATATATATATATATATATGTGTGTGTGTGTGTGTGTGTGTGTGTGTGTGTGTGTGTGTGTGTGTGTGTAGCGTCTCGTGACCCCCCCCCCCCCACACACACACACGCGCGCGCGCGCATGCACAAAAGCAAGTCTGCATTCGGTTATAGGAGGAAGAGTGGAGGACCTGGGCGCCATTGACGGCATCAGCCAGTGGGATGCGCTGATGTCTCATAACAAGCTGCCCGTTCGACAGGAACTCCTGCATGGCTTCTACCCGGCCGACGGGAGCGGTGCATACAGGAGCGGCAGGTAAAGTTTACAAGTTGAGCCTGACAAGTTTTCCTTTCTGATAGCACCCTAAACACTTGCATAATGTGTTCACAACGTTGTGGCAGCGTCGGTAATGCATTTCTTAAGCATTAACCTCCTACTGCTAATAACATCCCGTACTTTTCTTGGCATCCTTGTCTTGTAGTTCTCATTAATATTACCTAAACACATAAGCATATGTCGCTTAATTATCAGGTACAAACTTGTGGTCGTCCCGAGCGATGGGAGCTGGACTGACACAAGGCTGCAGCCAGTCGGCGACACACCCTCTGACGTAGACCTCGGCAAACTAGCTGGCGAGTCTAAAGCGGCGAATGTGCTATCCGAATTCCACGCTCCGAGCACTGCCAAAGCTGCCAACTTGGAATGGAGACGATTGACGAGCGTCTCTTGCGGCCGGGGCCATGGGAGCAACTCCGAGGTGCTTCACTGTCCGTGCCTCTTTGACATCGTTGACGATCCCTGCGAGCTGAGGAACCTGGCGCAGGAGAGAAGTCACGTAAGTATCACCAAGGGCGGGGAGTGTGTTCTGTATTCCTTACGGTGGCGTCGCCGGGTCAGCCACTACTTATCCTCGAAAATTTTAAAATTTTGCATGTGTATATGTACACGCACTCGTACAAACACACGCCCGAACATACATAAAGTATGGCTGCAACCTTCACTCTCACCCCCCTTGGCCCCTTATGGCCAAAACCAAGGACGTGGCCATTAAAAAATATGGCCGTGCTTTTGGTTCCTTGGCCGCTAATAAATCAAAGGTTACCGCTTGCATTCTATTCTTTATGTCGACGAAATCCGGGCACCACATAATCGCCGCAGAGTACCTTCAGCCACACCACAAAGATGTCAGTCGTTATACCAACAACCAGGGCCGGCGGCAGGATTATTTTACCGGCGGGGCACCCACGATAAGCGAGTTCCTTCAGGGGGGCAGGGAACTTAGCCATTGTGTTATGACTACGTTTTTTTCTTGGGAGGGTGGAGCGACGGGTAGAGGTTAGGCGAATATTGGGAGGGGGGCTCCAACCCACCCCCCCTTCCCCCGTACGCACCCCTGGCGTCGCCCCTGCCAACAACGAATCTAGCATAGCAATTGCTGCGGTGATCGCATTAGCAATTAAAACCGAACAGAAAAACAAACAATCGTACTTCCAGATTGCCAGACAGTTTCAATCTAATTGGCATACTTTACTAGGGAGGCTGCCATTTTTTTCCGCCGCAGCGCCGTCTAGCGTTTGCGATGTTTTGCCGACGTGTCTGTGTGTGGGGATCTGCGGTGGGCTATGCAGCGTATGCGCTCAGTACACAATGATTTGCTGTTCTTCGCGGTACACGGTAAGAACACAACGCTTCGCGACTGTAAAGACGCTATTAAGTAATCGCTAAGCTGTCAGCTTCGAAATGGCTGGAACAGAAAGCACCGGCGGCCCATGAGACGTTCCCGTAGCGGTGCCGACGATAGACAAGGGGGCGCGACAGGGAGTGAGTATTGCAAATGTATTCCTTGTCCAGCCCGTGCAAATGGGTAATTGGCTAGTATGTTATATGTTATAGCTGGCCTTGTGGTGGTTCTGAGAATAATTGATTGATTCATATGTGGGGTTTAACGTCCCAAAACCACGATATGATTATGAGAGACGCCGTAGTGGAGAGCTCCGTAAATTTCGACCAACTGGGGTTCTTTAACGTGCACCCAAATCTGAGCATATGGGCCTACAACATTTCCGCCTCCATCGGAAATGCAGCCGCCGCAGCCGGGATTCGATCCCGCTACCTGCGGGTCAGCAGCCGAGGTTCTGAGAGTATGCACCATGGCAGCGTTAAATTTTTGGACAACAGTCGAAGTAACAGGCGAAACGTAAATGGAGACAAGCGAATACGTACGCCATTGTCCTACTGCACTTTAAGTGCGCGCATCAGTGTTTACAATGACTCTAGGGTTCCTTTGCCATGATTCATCATCATCATCAGCCTGACTACGTCCACTGTAGGACAAAGGCCTCTCCCATGTTCCGCCAGTTAACCCGGTCCTGTGCTTGCTGCTGCCAATTTATACCCGCAAACTTCTTAATCTCATCTGCCCACCTAACCTTCTGTCTCCCCCTAACCCGCTTGCCTTCTCTGGGAATCCAGTTAGTTACCCTTAACGACCAGCGGTTATCCTGTCTACGCGCTACATGCCCGGCCCATGTCCATTTCTTCTTGATTTCAGCTATGATATCCTTAACCCCCGTTTGTTCCCTAATCCATTCTGCTCTCTTCTTGTCTCTTAAGGTTACACCTATACCATTTTTCTTTCCATTGCTCGCTGCGTCGTCCTCAATTTAAGCTGAACCTTCTTTGTAAGTCTCCAGGTTTCTGCTCCGTAGCAAAGTACCGGCAAGATACAGCTGTTATATACCTTCCTCTTGATGGATAGTGGCAATCTACCTGTCATAATTTGAGAGTGCTTGCCAAGTGTGCTCCACCCCATTCTTATTCTTCTAGTTACTTCAATCTCATGGTTCGGCTCCGCGGTTATTACCTGCCCTAAGTAGACATATTCTTTTACTACTTGAAGTGCACTATTACCTATCTCGAAGCGCTGATCTTTTCCGAGGTTGTTGTATATTACTTTTGTTTTCGGCAGATTCATTTTAAGACCCATCTTTCTGCTCTCCTTGTCTAACTCCGTAATCATGAGTTGCAATTCGTCCCCTGCGTTACTCAGCAATGCAATGTCATCGGTGAAGCGCAGGTTACTAAGGTACCCTCCATTAACTCTTATCCCTAACTGTTCCCATTCTAGGCTTCTGAAAACCTCCTGCAAGCACGCGGTAAATAGCATTGGGGAGACAGTGTCTCCCTGCCTTACACCCTTTTTGATTGGTATTCTGTTGCTTTCTTTATGAAGCACTATGGTAGCAGTTGATCCCCTGTAGATTTCTTCCAGGATGTTTATATATACTTCATCAACGCCCTGATCCGTAGTGTCTGCATGACGGCTGATATTTCTACTGAATCAAACGCCTTCTCGTAATCTATGAAGGCTATGTATTGTGGTTGGTTATATTCTGAGAATTTCTCTATTATCTTATTGATAGTATGAATGTGCTCGATTGTTGAGTAGCCTGTTCGAAATCCTGCTTGTTCCTTTGGTTGGTGGAATTCTAATGTTTTCTTTACTCTGTTAGCAATTACCTTTGTAAATAGCTTGTATACTACAGAGAGCAAGCTAATCGGCCTGTAATTCTTCAAGTCCTTGTCATCTCCTTTCTTATGTATTAAGATGATGTTAGCGTTCTTCCAAGACTCTGGTACTCTTCCCAGAGTCTTGGAAGAATGCTAACACCATCTTAATACATAAGAAAGGAGATTTCTTAAGAAAGGATGATTACTTAAGTTTAACGTAACTCTACAATCACTAGCAGAGCATCTGGTTCAGTTCTGAACGTCGCAATACAAAGTTTATGGAACCATCAAAGCGCGAACATCAATGCGTCCGTTGATTCGTGTCGACGTCTGTCACAAAACAGGCGCTCAAAAAGGGCGCGCCGCCAAATTCTCGCGACGAAACGCCGGAGTGACGCCGCGAGGTCAACGATAAAAAAAAGAAAACAAGCATCCAAAGACTCCCCGGGCACGCGTCCTTCTCCCCTCGGAAGCGTGGGTTCGCCGACGAACCTCCTCTCATCGGCGCCCGAGCAAGCCCTCGAATGTTGTAGATTTAAAAAGGGGCGTGGCGATGCCGGGTTGCGTCATCCGTCGCGGACGGCCTTCGAACCGTCTCGCCCTCTCCCCAGCCTTCGCTGCGTATCGCGCCGACGAAATGATGGGAACTTTCTGGAATCTCGCGCGGAAGGTATTTAATCGAGCAGCCGAGATGGGAGATCAGGAGAAGACGGAAGTTAGCGCCAGAGCGCGTAGGGATTCCGCCGTGTAGTCGGCGAAGGTTTTGTCCGTAGTGACAAAGCAGGAGAAGAAGATGATTTCCACCTGAGGGGTGAAGGCTCGAGCTACAGGCAAGAGCGTGTGTCTACCGCTATCGAGCGAAGACGCGTGGCAACAGCTGCGTGTGTGAAGCCGACGTGTTTCCGGCGAAAAAGTTTGAAGCTTGGAGAGCGGCCAAGTGAAGACGTGAGGTTTCCTGGAAGAGAAACTTCGGGGGCAGCGGAACGACAACAACGCTGGACTTTGAGTGAGTGATTCTCGGAAGAGTATCATCTAGACTTTTGTTCCAAGAACTTTGGACTGAATAGGTTTTCTATCTCTTTAGTCTTTAAGTGTCTTGGTTGTTCAATGCATGCGACTGCATTGTAGTGCGTATTGTCTGTGTCCGTTGTTTCGAGTGTGGCTGATTGTACTGTGTAGTACGTTGTTTGATTGCTGACATATTGTATGCAACTATTGTGGAGTGTCCATACTTATGTATTGTTTTGATCTGCCATTATTGAGAATATAATTTTGTTTTGTTTATCAACTCTCGGCTCTGACTTGTTCTTTGGGCCACAGCCGCGCCGAAAAGGACCACTTCTAAATTGTCCACGCTTTCGTGGTGCGGTACGGGGGGCCGATACTTCGGCCCTTGGAATTAGCCCGGCGATCTCCTCCCTAATTAACAGGACCTGTGACATCGTCGTAGTCAACATGAGCTTACGTTGCGTAAAATAACAAACGGATGTACGACGGATGAGCTCGAACTTTCTCGTAGAAACAACACGAAGACAAAATAAAAACAAACGTGTTGCACATTGTATTGACGTGTTGATGCTCTAGAGCCTCAGATATGAACAACATTCGCGTTTTAATCGATAATGCACACAAGTATGAACGCCGAAACCAGAGCAATATTGGCGGGTGCTGCGGATGTGGTATTTTCGTGTGACAAACCAGAAAATCGACTGACCGACCGAGAGAAGGATAGACAGACAGACCAAAATTTTTGCGTCGAGGTATCACAAGAAAAATTAATAAAGTAATGTTTTTTAAAGACGATAGTCTTTCTTGGGGACCTTCGACGCAAAAATTTTGGTCTGTCTGTCTGTACATTTGTCTGTTTGTCTACTGTTAACGGCTTCGGTTACTTGATACAGCCAACCCCATCCGCAGCGCCTACCTATGTTGCTCAAGGTTGAGTGTTCATGCTTGTGCAATCGTCAATCAAAAGGCAATTATTGCGTATGTCTGGGCACCATAGCAACACGTATATATTCTGCATGTGCGTATCTTACCAGAAAAGGCATACATAGGTAATTTTAAGGACCGTAGCGCTTATCACGCTGCGCTGACCATGCAACGCTTGCACGGAAAGGCGAGTGTTTCCAACGCTTTGCCAAGACGAGATGGTGGTGGCACCTACCCGTCGCCTTGCGTTCTACACCTTATCACCTCTGAGATGGGCACGCACACCCGTCACAGAGCCACCCGCTTTGGTTTCTAAGCAACTGCCAGATGGCGCTTATGTATCACGTAGGACGTGACTTGATGCGCTCGTTCAACTCCACTGCACGCTCGAGGCACTCTAACGCAGCGCCTCCAGAATACCATTCACAGATTTTCTTGCGCAGAACATCAAATAAATGTGTTGTTCACTCTCTCCACACGCAAGACTCGTCTTTCGACATTTGCAGATTACATGCAGATACGGGGCCATTTTTTTTAAAGATTTTCGCGCGGGAAACAGACGCAATTGTGGGACTAAATGTTTTTGCGGTGCCACACACCCACTTTGGTTCCGTAGACTTCCTTTTTTCCTTCAGGTAGGATATAGGGAGCGTATACAGTAGCTCTAACGTTCACTAGACTTACTGTATATCATATATAGGAACTCTAACGTTCACTGCAGGACAGAGGCATCTCGTGACGGCCTCCGATTTACCATACCTTGGGCGAGTTGAGTTTTCCGCCTTAATAGGCGGCTGTCGTCTTTAGCAGTGTTTCCCATCACGTGGTATCTATTTTTTTACTACTAAACACCGGCTGCGGTTTCGCCGCTGTATTAGTTGATTGTCATTACTTCGAAATTGTTACTAGAGGCCGCTTTTTCGAAATCTCAAAGCTGCAATTTGTTCTTCCCACGAAGAAGTTGAATATTTCTATGTGGCATAACCATCTAACTCCCCTCATTAAGAAGCTAATTGAAATAACCTTCTTATAGTTATTGTTTCTTATGACGTGTTTAACCATTCTAAGACGCCTGCTACTACAGAAAAAGTAATTCTGAAGGCAAAGAACAAATATCGCATTTCCTTGATTTTTGAAATTTCCAGACGCATTGAATTTACAGCAGGCGCCACTCGTACACAAAAAAAAAACATCACATTTCTCCAGTAAGACGTTCTAGTGTGCTCATTGCTATTAGGCATTCTTAAACTATTCGAGAAAATGAGTAAACAGAATAAAATATCGAGAACGTTCGCAGTGATCTCATACGTTGTCTTACTCGTGCAAATCTCAATAAATGCAAGGCTTGCACGGGCCGCAGTTCTGTGAGCAGGCTCGCATTTTTTTCTTAGTTTGTAACTGAGCGTAGGAGAGAGCGCCAGCATGTATCTTTGCAGGTAACACATTCTCGTGATGCTGGCTATGGTTGGTTGTTTACATTGAAAACAGGTGTTGATTTCGTAAGGTGGGGTGCTTGGCGTGCAGTGGCGCGACACGCACGATAATATTGATTCAAAATATGTTTATTTTCTTGGCTACTTCGGTCCCTGATTTTTTTTTTTTTTTTGTAGATGACGAGTTTCATTGTGTGTGCAGACGCACTTCTAATCCAACAAGTTGTCTCGCTTCAAAATTTTTGCTCCATTTTATACTATGGTAAGAACGATGGCGATTCCACTCATCCCAACGACAACAGCACAATTGAGCATGAACTCATGGCGGGCGATGTTCTACAACGCCGCGCGCAGCGTGTCTCCAAACGCTGATGTAACAACAGTGGCATTGCAAATCATTTGTGTTGGCCAGGAGACAAGAAACCATCGACGTCAAGTTTCCAAAAAAAAAAAAAATATCCGATAACGGTATCGGATAAGTACGGATGTTTGCCAAGACAACTGATATCGATTATCATTTACGAGTAGGAATTTCAGCCTCTGCCCCACGGTTGCAGAATAAACCTCCAGCCCACTCCCGATCCCTCGAATAAAACACTGCTGGCTAGGCCACAATAAGGACAATGCTATATAACTATATAAAACAGAGCACTAACTCAGCGCGCGGGTGCGGTACAACGACGTGTTTGCATGTTGAGGTCGGTGAACTTTTGTGCATGCGTATTCCAGTGTTCATAAGCCTGAACAAAATTTTTCGCTGCATCCGTTATTTCCGCAGATTGTGGACATTCTGATGCAAAAGCTGGCCGCTGCCTCTGACATCTCGGCGCCATCGCTCAAGGAAACTCCCGATCCCGAGGCATACCCTCTGTACAACAACTGCACGTGGGGACCCAGGTGGAACAGTTTCTGCTCAAGCGACCTTTGCACGGCGAAGCAAAACGCCGCTTCAGGGCCCGGCACCGTTCTTTTATTATTTCTCTTCAACTTATGTTTGACCTACGTCTCACGGACCTTTGCATGTGAATTCAAGTAACGCTCTGTTTATCGTTAATGTAACTGAGGATAGGAAACGTGCAGCGCCTACAGGTGGTGCAATTGTCCACCGTGTCATAAAGTACATTGATCTTGATAAAGTGCCGCTACTCCTTGTACTCTTCGCCGTCGTCAATAGGTGTGCTGTGGTCGCCATACGGCCTTCACGCACACTCTGTGCCGTCGCACGGTCTGCTCTCCCTTCCCTTTTGCGACCTGCGTAGTGACATTTCCGATGACTTCGCTTCGATCGTATATCCAGAGAGTAAGAAAGCCGGGACAAGCCACCATGAGCCGTGACGCAGGCAACCTTGGCCGCAGCCGCACACAACGCGGATAGGGTGGCTAGAATATGAGGTGTGAAAAGCGGCCGCAGAAACCGGTCCCCAAGGCGCGCCGATGCCGCTTGGGGCGCTGCACGCACCGGCGCGGGTAGCCTTTCGCAGGCGATGTACGAATGAGCGCGCGCTGCTCGCCGCAGCGCGCTGCTCGCCGCAGAAAAACGAAGCAGTTTTAGCTGCCTATAGGCAGCTAAAACTCATCTGAGTTAATGTATACATTAACTCAGATGAGTCACGCATTAAGAGCGCCAAAATTACCTATACCGCTAAGCGTGTGACTTGAGAATTGTTCCCAGCAGCATAAATTTAGCAGACACTTTTTCACAAAAACACAACTTTATTTCCACGCATGCCATTCATGCACTGCCACTAGAGTACGCATGGCTTTACTCTCCGCCCTTTCTTTTCGTCTTCCTTTTGGTTCATCCCTTTCAAAAAAAAGTGGACACGAGTGAGGCAATAAAATCGCACCACACTTTTCGTCAAAAAAGCAGCATGCTTTGCGCAACCAATTTGTTGCGTCTCGCCTATCCCCTTCATCATCTCAACGGCCGATTTGGCATGAAGACGTGATGTGCTCAAGAAGCGAGTGATTTTGTTCTCAAGGGATAATATCAGGTTATAGAAGGAATTCGACGGATACAAAAGTCCTCCGAGATCCCACAGCTTGCTTGCCTGGGCTGGGAGATTTCCTGGCACATTTTCTTTAGAAGCAAGGCAGGCGTTCTTGCAATCATCACAATTACTACGAAGTACACGCTTTCTTGCGACATAACCTGCGACATAATACACAAGGCGGGCGTCACTTCGCTCAACAGTGTATGACGCATGATCTACAGACACTTCTAGCACGTCAGATGAAAGTCTTTCGTTGTCTTCGTTGTGATCTTCCACCTCGTGCAGCATTTCTTCCAGAGAGAGAAGAGATTCCACCACTCCGTCAGCTACATTGCCACCCTTCGGACTCTTTGCCAGGCTATAGAAGCTGAGGCATCTATAAATAAACAATGCATATTTTACTCACAACAGCAGTCAAACATAATCAGATGCGTAACAAGTTTATACGACATGCAACATAAGGCGTAAAATTTGATAATAAAATACCTCGTGATAACAACAAACTGTGCAGGGGTTGGGTGATCATTGCCACCACCTGCCTGCCGCACGATTCCGAAACAGCGCTCAAGGCAGTCTTGGCTTAGGCGAGCCGTCATGAGATACTTGAAATGTACTTCCTCACACAGGTACTCCAGGAGGTGCTTCGTACTTTTCAACGTCACACGCAAACCCACTGCGGTACTTTTGCTTAGAAAGCCAAGTCCTCTTGCGTGAGCTTCCCACAAATCGAGGAACTTTAGTGCCTGGTCAAGCACAGCTTCCTTTCGGCTGTGAAGCCTGAAATAATGTTTATGTATGAAGCGTAGAAACTTTGTCTGGACTAATTATCGACAGGGTAAATATTTCACTCTTACCGTAAAGCTTCTGCTGGAAACCTGGATGTCATCACCTCGATTAGTTCCGCCATGAGACCAATAACGAGTCTTGTTGGCTCAACATTTGTGTATTGCTCCTCGATCTGATCTTTGTAAAAATCTAAGCACCGAGTCACTTGGGCACTGAAAACATGAAATGTTAAGTCCACACGCATTTTCTCGAATCCATTTGGAAAGATATGTGATCGAGTCAGCTTTGGTGCCACTTTCAAGGTGATGGCACTGCTGTCAAGTTTCCACATGGTTGACACATGATCCCAGTGGGCCTGTAAAATTTCCACATTGCATCAGGAACTGTTAAGGATTCAAATTAGCATTGAGAAGTACGCATTATGCATAAAAATTCCACAGAAATATTAGAGCCAACTTGCCCTTCCGTTGTGGGTGTTGAAGCCCTGCTTCATCATTGTGTTTCTCACGCACTTCATGAGGTGAGGGAAGTCCGATATAAAGTACAAAAATCGGTGTTTGTTGCACGGATGAACAACTCTGCACTGAATGTCATTGAGGGTGGCGCGTATCCCCAGGATGTTCCACATAGATCTGTTCCAGGGCGCACCATCACAGCAAATGTAATCCACGTAGAGGCCGGCTTGCTCACACAAAATTGTAGCTTCTACCAAAAGTTTTGTCAACAGCCTGGCTTTTACGTTCCCGCTGGATGAAAACACACCTGAAGAGAAATAGAGCATTACAAAACGCTTCGGCATATGTGCCTTAACAGTGCAAAAAATATATTACCAATGATTTGTGTCCATTTCCCCACAAATGGTTGGAACATTATGACAAGCCCATGGTCAGCTTTGCGGTGTCTTTCATTGGCATCGGTAAACTTGCCGAGGTCGACAAAGCCTTCAATATTGCTGGACGACTGCAAGTCCAGATGAGCAGAGAGTTTCATTTCATCCACTACTATGCCCCCATGCCTCTCCATTTCATCCATGTCTTTAACTTTTTTCTTCAGACAGCTCAGGAGTTTGGTATTAAACCCATAAGCAGCAGCGAATCCCTGTAGATAAAAACATTAGGAACCATCTCTATACTGCACACCATATGCAATCACATACCTTGATGTATTTTTGAAGGCAAGCACGGCTTGGCAGGACAAGAATTCTGTGTGCTCTAAGATGCTCATACAGTCGTGCACTTTTCATTCTGAGGATGATGCACTCAAGGAGCCATTCTTTATTGTAGTTATATCCGCGCAAGGACCTTCGTTTGGCAGCGTCAAAACAAGCCTGCACCGCAGCCCGTTGCTTTTTTGGAAGAAGTTTCAGCTGAAATAATTAAGAAGCTATTAGTAATGAATCTATAACAACTTAATGGGACAGTGTACCTTTTCCTCTAACACAGATGCAATGATTTGTGAAGTCTTTTCTCGCATCTTCTTCAGGGCATCCTGCAAGGTAAGCAGCTTCATTTTCTTTTTCTTCAACGTACGAACAGCCCATTTCAGTCGTTGTGCAGCTGTTCTTGCAAGTGGCCGCTTAGTCTTTTTTTTTTTAGACGGAGCAGACGAGCCTTCAGAAGGTTTCTGCATTTTCTGCAGGCAGTACAACGTCCAGATGAGCCATCTGTAAAGTGTACCATAATCGGTGGATAAGTCTAACCAAAGCAGGGACAGGTATCTACAGGCTCAAATAAAATATTTTAGGCAGGGTTTGCGCAACTGCGATATCTCATAATACCTTGTAGCGAAATCGATGAGGAACCATCGCAAGAAAGGGAGAAGACACGATTTTGAGATAGCTTCGCCTTGCTTTCCAAATTCAGTGGTTGGAACTCTTCCATTGTCCCAATTCCTACGCAGGGTGTCAATGTGTCTGCATACTTGAGAAGATCCTGTGCTTGGCTCACTGTCTGACAGCCACTTTTTTTGAATAGGAACCCGTTCAGAAAGATGCTGCACTGAGCAGCTGCTCCTTCCTCAGCTTCAAACAACACTATCTTGTTGTGAATAACAGGAGGTGTTAAATCTCTGTCCAATTTAGCGGTCTGGTAGCATAATGCATTCGTTTGCTCGAACTTCTGCATCGACCACAACTCGCTAGGACGGTGAAGCATAGCACTTAAGGAATGCAGCTGTTCGGTCAACATGACGTTCTGTTCTGAAACGATCACGTCATGGTCAATCGCTGAGCCTTCTTCGACATTGTCGTGGTTCACACTAATTCTTTTACTCGAAACAGCACTTTCAGCCACGCTTTTCCGTCTCTTTCTCTCCTTGGGCAGAGCTTTCGTCAAGTATTTAGGCAAATTAGGAAAAATCGTCGGCACGGCGTCATTTGTTAAGGTCGGCACAGCGCGCGGCATGTATACATCTTCACCATTAATCCTATGTTTGAACGTACGCACGACAAATATGTGAAAAAGAAAAGAGAAAAGGACAGCCAATTGGTTATGTTGCAATGCAGCATGTGACACGTGGAACGCAAGTAAGCAAAATTGGTCTCTTGCTCGGGTGTGCGAACACCGTGCCTTCTATTTTTGTACATACCTTGGGTCGAAGTGCTTCTCGCACACTGCGGAGTTCTCGTCAAGCTGTTTGTCCGCTCTTGGAATAGCACGAATCCATTTGTCGAACAGCACACTACACGTGGGAGCTCGGAAAAGGGAAACTTTCTCTCCTGAAGAATTATAATATCCAGTGTTGCAGCCAGGCACAAAGCACCAACGTTGCGTCTTCTTTTTTGTCGTTGACATCTTCGGACATTTCAGAGAGACTCAACGCAATCACCGATCGACGACATACTTGTAAGACAGTGCGACTGCTAACGAAAAAAATTATGGCGCGACTGAAGCAAACCCAGCGAAGTGCGCCGCTCACTACCCGCGCCGCTGCCATCAGCGCCCCTAGCGGCATCGGCGCGCCGAAGGACCCTCTCCGCCAAGCGAAAGGCGCCCCGCTCATCACACCTCCCCATTCTAGCCACCCTAACGCGGACGTGGTACACTGTAGCGGTACTATGGGAGAAAAAAAGAGCACCAGGCGGAGAGTCGCGACACAATTCAGAAGCCCAGCAAAGCGGACTGCGTCTGTGCATATAGTACCGAAGAGACGGTGCTGTGCCGTGATGGCAGCTTCCTCATCTTCATGACATTTTCTGGTTGCGTGCTGGGCTTTGGGCTAATGCTAGTGCTGGCTGACATGCCCCCATTGATAAGTCCGTGCTGCGACGATACCACGCAGCCAAAATGTGCAGCAAGACAAAGCAAAAAAAAAAAAAAAGCTGAGTAAGTGGTAGCTGCGCCAATTCTTTCCCTTGCATCGTTTATACGCCCTGTCCGCGGTATGTATGCTCGGGGACGCTGATCAAGCAAACCACCGTGGAAGCATAGCACGTGTGGTGTCGCGCTGCTATTCTTGAGGGTGCGGGATAAATTTGCGCCCATGGCGCACTTCGATGGGGGTGAAATAATTATAAACAAAAAAAACACCCGTGAACCGAGATTGGAGAGCCCCAAGCGGTCACACTGTTGATACGCACACTACAGCATACCTCCAAATGATATCTTGTTAGGAATAAGAAGACACCTTCATTTTAGGCCGACGCAGGCAAGCGGAAAAACTGAAACTGTGTGTTAGGCGAACTAAACAGCGAGTAAAAATCGATGACCATTGACACTTCTCTAGCAAAGCAAAAATTTCGATGTTACTTAGCCATGGCAGCCAGTGAGAGAAACGCTTATCGCATCGGCTGACTTAGAAAGCTTAGCTTTCTGGAGTCAACATGGACCATGTCTTTTGCACAAATTAAGTTAAACAGAGGCATCTCAGCATCGAGTGCTCACCGCGAAGGTATTTTTCATTACAGCTAAGAGGCGTAGCTGAGCGTGGCCCCGCAGAAGTCCTCTGGACGAGGCAGCTTCCGTTTACACGCAACTGTTTACAGTTGCGTTTACAATTTACAGATCAAAAAGACCACCTGTTTATGGTATCCATTGAGGAACGAAATAGTTTTTTCTTCCTCCATGATCGTATCACTCATTTCATGTGGTGGTATCAGATGGAAGTGTGGCAGCTTGGGCTAGTTGGTATGGCATGACGATAGTTATAGCGCGAGAACAAAACGACGACACAGAGACAAGAAGGACACAAAAGACACGAGCGAAAGACACGAGATGGAGTTTAGTGGTGATGGTCAGACAGATGGATGCATGGAAACATTGTTAGACCTTAAGTGCACGGCTCAACGCTCAGCGGGCCAGATAAAAAAAAGGTATGTCGTATATTGTATAACACGCTCGTTTTATTTCCGGCAAAACGCCGTTTAAACTCGGCTGCTTGGCCCTGGTTTACACTGGAGGCTGTCTTCACTACCGAATACATATAGCAGACTCGCGCCATTCGGTTTAGAAACAAGCCCGACAGCACTAGAAGACAGGAGGATTTTGCTCGCTTGGATACAACACAGCCTCGTCTTTTTACGTCCTCCCTCTTTTTATATATTGTTGCACTTGAATGTGCAGCGGTACCGCCAGAGCCCTTTGGTTTTGTTACGGCGATGCGCGCACACACAGCCTCTGCTAGCCGCCGCTCTCGTCTGCGAGAGCAGCTGAGAAGTGCGCGCACTCACCGCCAGGATGGTCGTGGAAACTCCAGCGCTGGTTCCCTATAGTGCCTAGAATATACTTATATTCTAGGCACTATAGCCGTACTATACTAATACAGGGAAAGTGTATTATGCCACATCATCTCATTTTAACAGACCGTTATTTTCAAAATAGTTGAGAAGCTCGGAATACAGGTACTTCAAGCTTAATTAAAGGTGCTGCACCTTTAATTCTTTTCACATTGGGACTAGAATAAATGAATCTTGTTACATAGTTTCTTCAATGTACACTAGAGAGAACTCTGGCTCTAGTGTCTACGGAAACTGAAACACATAGGGTTTCATAAAATTAACGCTGCGATCGTACGCGATCATGGGAATGATTGGTAGTACACAGATTTGCCTAGTCTTCGTAATTGCGGCTTTGTTTATATCTGGTTTTGGTTTCGTTTTGAAGGAAGGAACGAACTTTTTTATAACTTTGTGACCCGATTCGAAATGGTAAGCCTAAAAATCAAAATAAGGTAGCAAAGCGCAACCGCTGAACATTTGCCAATTTTGTTTCGTGAGAAAACAGCTCCAAGCCACACGAACACACACGGGGCGAGAAACATGCCAAAATGCAAATACATGTACTACCCATCATTTCCATGCTCGCTTAAGCACCGTGCGTTGCAGCTCCCCTACACACTAGCGCCAGAGTTCCCTCTTGTAGGAAAGTATGGCAATGCATGGTGCTTCACCGAGCATGGGAATTGCGGGTAGTACATGTATTTGCGAACTCTTCATACTTCCTTCTCACTCGTGTGGCTTGAAGCTGCTTTGTCAAGAACCAACAATCGGAAAATGTTCGGCAGTTGAGCTTTACCACCATAATCTTTTAGGCTTACAACTTCAAATCGGGGCTTACAACTTCAAATCGGGTCAAAGTTCAAAAGGGTTAGTTTTTTTACTTCGAAACAAAAACGAAACAGCAATAAACGAAGCCAGAAGCGTGATTCGCCGCCCACAAGTACAAAGGCTAGGCACAACCGGAGTACTACCCATCATTCTCATGGTCGCTGAACGATGTAGCGCCGGTCCCCAAGTTAATTTTGGAAACCTCTATGGTGGGAACGTGGCCTCCGATATTGCGGGCGCACAGCGTGGCTAGCCTGCCGCCGCGCCCATCTCGGTGGCCATGATGGGAATGTCCACACAATTCCCAGTTGCAACCTAGGACACAACATGGAAGGGTGGAAGGCAGCTCTGTCCAGCTTTGATCAGAAGACCCAAGAGGCCCCCGAGAAACATGCGAGGACAGCGGCCCGCGCCAATGGGAACCCAGACCAAAGATCCCACTCGCCAATGTACTCTCGCAGTAAACCGATCCAAGTTTCTCTTTACGAAAATATCTGAGGCAAGGTTTTGATTGGAAAAAGTAATTGCTTACTTTTGAATATTATATGGTCATTATCCGGCAGAAATTGCTTGCTTTTACTAAAACATTGCTCGTAAATTAAGCGAACCGAGTGGTGCTGATAGGCTATTGCAAACGGTTTATCAATACCGCCTCCCAAGGGATTATTCACAGCACTATTGATTCCACTATCGGCAGCATCACCTCGTGGTAGTCTTGATACTACCGTCGATACTTATCACTACTAATGGTTAACTATGGATAGCCCATTTACCGATAGTTCCGCATTATTACAGTGAAGATGACATAACATGGCAACAGCTCTTTCCCACTTGCCAGGTTCGCAGTAGAAGGAACGGGGCAATTTACTCTCCAAATATTAGCTTTATTGGGCGTACCAAAATGTCTCCCCAAGAACTCCCACGAATACTCGGCACAAAAATAGAGAACACACCTTTTTCACTCGTCCAACCAGATAAAAGTTCGAATAGCACTCCACAAATCTGGGCTTTATATGCACAGCGACAGTTAGCAAAGCACGAAAATACTAGTATACTAGAACAATACTGAACTACAGTGTGGCCAGCAACTAAAGGCGAATGCTCTTCCAGTACGCACACTAGGCCTCTTGGACAAGAACATTCGCTCTCCTGGCTTTATATAAATATGCTGCCTACTATTTTACAAAGCAAACTGATGGAGCAACGTTACAGTATTGAGTTGGAAGCGTACAATATGTACAGAAAATGGCAACATATACTCCTAGCACAGGCACCAACACCCAGCTGGGCTGCTATACAGCAACGAAATGTCCAGCCTGGAACACTGTCAATCGCCAATCCTCAGGGGTAAAACAGTTCACAAGAAGGAAAGGAGCTTTTTTAAAGTGCGAAGACAGTGGAAACACAACAAGGTCGTGTTACAGGGAAGAAGGGGCTCCTCCCATGGTTTTTATTAACACCATTAGCATTTTAGTTGAGTCACCTGAGGCAACTTTCAGTGAAACTTGCCTTGACGTGGCAAGTAAAAAAGAAAAGGAAAGAAACACAGGCCACGAACGAGGCAAGGTGGAGGAGGGGAATAGACAGGCTTCCAGTCGTGGGCAAACCCCGGTATTACAATCCATCCAACGTGAAAAATTTTCAATAAAAAAAAAAATCACAGCTGGTGACTGCTGATCTAACTCCTGGCCACTGCATGCAAACAGCAGCGAACAATGGTGGGACACTGGCCATGCAAGGGAAATGAAGGAGCTTTGTGAAACAAGCCAATAAGAATACATGTGCAAAACATTGCATTAAATTTTAAGCTCCAAATACAAGTCGCCTACACAGGCTCAGTGGTTGCAACCAATATTCCGCTGTTGCTACTGTGCCAGTGGCCAGAGAAAGCCAGCTAGCCACAGCTGCAACTCCGTGAACTTGCCACACCTCCCCCCCATTTCTCAGTCTTCACTTGATGCCAAGTCCATCGGCTGCTGGTGGATGATCAGATATTTTCCCCCCCCACTCTGCCCTTTCACTTTCTGCTATCCCCCACTGCTGTCATTTGGAGGACTCCATTAGATGAGGTCAGCCACGTTCATGGGCATTTCCTCGATCTCTGTGTTGTAAAAGCCCTCTATGTCCTTCAGGGTACGCTTGTCTTCCTCAGTAACAAAGTTGATGGCAACACCCTTACGACCAAATCGTCCTCCTCGGCCAATTCTGTAAGAAAACAAATAGACATGAGTAACAATGTTCAGCTAAAAAAAAGAGAAAGAGAAAAAACAAGCCATGCATAAAATCAGTACTTCGAAAACTAATACAATGACTAGTAAGGATAATGTTTTGTTGTTTGTCGAAGGGGAAAGCAAACTAGCAAGGGCGAACCTGTGCCTAGAAAAGGACTTCAACAAGGGCATGACAGCATTGAGCACTACCAGCAACCGTCAACACATACAGGGTTGAACTATTTCACGGTCTCACCTTTGAGAACTTCAATTATACGTCCCCCAGTATAGCGACAACCCACATTTCATGACGAATCGGTTAGGTCCCGGCAAAATCCTTATAGAAATGGTATGTTGAAAGCCTCTACGACTGTAGTTTTACGCCGACCCCACATATTACTAATTTCAAATTTCTGTTTAAATAAAAGAAAACCACATTTACTCAAATCAAACGTCAATGAAATATTCACAAGTGCGAATATGAACTTGCTGCATTCGCCTAGGCTGACGATTGGAAAGGCGAGACAGGATGTCTTCGTAGAATGAAAAATTGATTCTTTCGGAAAATCGTGCCGTTCTACATATGCCTCCATCGTGTGTGGCATTCATATGTATCCGGGGTCGTTACCTAGTCAAGCTCTATTCACACGAACTAGCTTCAGCTGGCCAAAAAGCCGATATTGCCACGTTTTTCAGTCAGTGAAAACTTTTCCTTGTCTACATACAGCTGATATGCCTTTGTCGCATTCGCAGTCACAGGCTGCACACGCATAAATAAGGGTGCAAACGAGCTACAGTAAAATCTCGATAGAACGAACCCCACATTACCAAGCTTTCAGATTAACGAACTTTAAAAATCCTGTACCAACTGCCAATAGTTTTAATATAAAATTGTTTCACTACTACGTACTTCAGAATACCGAACTTTTCAAAGTAACAAGCACTAATTTAGTTTTGCCTTATATTAACAATGCCTCAGTACAACAAACTCAGGTTATGAAATCCGTAGCGACCACCGGAGCGGCACGCAAGCAAGATGACAATAAACTACTTGCTTTTCGGAACACGTGCGACTGTGAGGAGGTGGAGATTAGGTGGAAACGGAAAAAGACGCTTATTTTGAAACGCCAACTGCTGCAGGTTTATAAGTGATGAGGCGAGGGCAACACGAGAGCGCAAAGGTCGGCGAGGCAGAGTGGGAGTTGCGGAGCAGGAAGCATGAGCGCGGAAAACCCGAGACAGCGATGGAGCAGAAAATGAAACGCGAAGAATTTTATTTTTTAGCCCTTTCTTGAGAAGAGGCAATGACAGCCATATGCTTGGGGTTTTTCTTATCTTTGTCACTTCTACATGTGCTCTAGGAGGCCTTGTCACTCGTGCTCATCTCTTTTCGGTGATCACTTATCGCGTACGCAAAGCAAGTCTGCGTTCATGCTGCGGTGCTAGTATAATGAGTTCATCTCCGCTTGCGACAAAAAATCGGAAGCAGTGTTCGCTAGCTGAGAAAGTGGATCACACCACCAAATTGCCCCACAGGAATCTGGATGAGCTGATGGCCTTTACGCTGCGCAAAGGTTGAGCTGCACTCGTCAAAAAAAAAAAAAAGTCTTTAGGGTTTAGGGGGGGGGAGGTGGCATTGAAAAAGAAAAAAAAAAAAAAAAAACTTTGTTGACCTAGAGCAATGAAATTTGCCATGCATTCTCATAAGTGTCTTGAATAAGGAAATATGCAGTTTCATCATGACGCCTTCAGTAGTTCTCAAGTTACATCATGCTACGTGGTCCAATTACATGGTCTGCTCGTGGAAAGCCTAGCGCTGTAACAAAACATGACAGGAAGCTGCAAATGATGTTGATCGTTACTCAAAAAAAGACTATTGGGTATGACGATCTCAGTTGTTATATCACTTCTTTCTTTTTTTAAAGAGATTATCATGGCTGCCTACACACTGTCAGACACAGTGTCATGTATGAGTCATCTTCTAGAAAAAAACTGAGCCATCAACAAAAATTCCAAGATTGCCACACTCTCAAGAAATGTTTTGGGATTCAGAAAAAAAGAAACTGCATCAATACCAGTAATTCCCGTGCTACCCTTTCCACGAGCAATGCCCAATGCCCAATGAGACCTGTCAAACCTGTCAAAGTTTTTGACGTTTTTTTTTATGAACCTCGTTTCTCGTTGAATATTGATTAAAATTGGCACAGACACTAAAAATGACCTCCCAGTGCTTAAATAAATATTTTGAGGCGATACCACGAATACTTTACAAGAGACAAATTATTTCTTCATTGAATCTCGTGGAGGGGCTGAGCCTAATGTAAAAAAAACAACAGTACAGTCGAGCGCCGCTTATAAGGAACCTGAGCGTGACGCGGCGTTCGTTCGTTGTATCCCAAAGTTCGTAGTAAATGAAACAGCTTTCAAAAAAGTTGTTAGTGAAAACGCAAACTTTTCTTGCCCCCAAAAGTCTGTGATGCACGTGTTTCGAAGAGCAGAAGCAATAAGGGCGGTCTCAAGTTAATTTAAAACGGCAGGGTGCTCGTTCGCCGATGCCCGTGGCATAAGCTGCATGAGGCCACTGGCTCCAAAGTTTTGTCGTTCTCGCTATCCGATTCCTCCAAATCGCTCTCGCCACGTACTTCATTCACAATGCCCGAATCCGTGCACGGTTTCGCAGTGTCGGCCTCATCGTCAGTCGCAATTGAACCACCGCAACAGATGACCCACCCGCTCTCTCAGGTCGAAGTCTCTGGCTCAGCACCGGGCCCGACGTCGAAGTCGGCCTCGCGAAAACAGTTTCGCGCTCACGTAGCCGTCACCGCCGCCTACAAAATATTCATCTCCACGCTAAGCTGAATATCTGGACGCCCGAAGCGGCAAGTTGGCTGCCAGGTGGTCAACAGCTATGAGCAAGCGCTCCGCAACGCGGCACTTAACGCGCAGTTTACGCTCAAGCCAAGCGGTCACACTTTCAACGTTTTGTTGAGCGGCAGGAAAAAGCGTGCTAGTCCTACCGTCGGCCACTATGACCATACACGCACATAAGAGCGAGCAAGACGTGCGCACGCGACACACATGCCAAAACACGTGAAACAGCTCTGGGCCCGTTTCCAGTCAGAAAACGAAACTAATTCGAGCCAGCGTGGCGGGCGTCGCGGAGCGGTGGAGACGGGCGAAGGGGTTGTGATCAAGAGAGGAGAGCAGACTTGCGAGAGAAGGGCAAGGAGTTGTGATAAAGAGGAGGAAGGATGCGCCGGGAGGGCTACCTTGAAAACCAAAACACACAGGAAAGAGAGTGTACTGGAAAATAGTACACTGTAACGTTGGGTAGCTTGCTTGAAAGGTCCGCGAAACTCGCACGTAAAAACACTTGGAAAGACTGCCTGCGCGCGGCGGTGTTCAAAGAATCGGCGGCCGTGGCTTCACGAACTTCGATATTTCGAGATGCGTTCCGCGCAAATTAACAGCCGATTTTGCACTTCTGCAGCGTGCGGAAGGTATGCTGAGCCGAGTGCGAAGTTCTAAACACGTAACGAATCGCAAATTATTAGAGTCGGTGGGGTAGCGTACACGCGTGCACTAGACGCTGAATATCGGATACAATCGGTGGCCGACGATGTTGGTAAAAGGTCTGGTCACTCCAGGCCGGCGACGCCAACGACAGTGCCAGCGATCAAAAACAGGGTAGATGGCCGACCGGTCTTCGAAAGAGCAAGTGGTACAAAGGACGGAGGGGTGCCTAACAAAAAGCAGTCGGGTCAAGGAGGAAGAAAACAGCTTTCCTTCCTCCATGGGTTGGGGAGAGCGGCAACTAGAGGGTCACGGAGGCAGGGTTAGCGTTTAACAATAAGAATGTATGGGCACTTCGCTTGGTCGTAATTGGTTTTGCGGGAAGCTGGCAGACCGTTGACTCTGTTCGCTGTAACCGATCAGCGGCGCTCGGAGACGTTCATTGTAAGTGCCATTTTGTGCCATTGAACCACTGTATATCTTGACGGTCACGCGGATATTGTTCATTTTAAGCGAAAGTTCGTTTTAAGTGGGGCAGTTATATGTGGGCTCGACTGTATTGAGAAAACTGCGTTTAACGTTTCAACTTCTCTAAGACACCTAAAGATTGTGATCTCAGGTTTGTCTTGCGATATTTGGCTTCTCAGGCATCTGGTCTCTGTCTGACCAGTGTGCCTTTGTTGCCTTTTTTTCCATAACCTCCTTTCGTGATTTACAAAGAACAAGTATGGATTTCAAACCAAGTTCTTTGTATGAAAGAGTGGTGTGATAGGTATGACAGAAAAGATTGTAATTGAATAAGACCATATACTGAAATGATTACACATATTTCTTGTGCTGAAGTTGTAATTAGCATAATTAAGTACTTGATTACAAATAATCACTGAACATTTCTTTATTTGGAGAGAGGTTTATTGCGTCATAAAAAATGGATGACGGTTATTACATCATAAAAAATGGATGACCATGACGGCCTATGCCTTATTTCCAAATAACAAAGTTATGGGCAGAAGACTGGTGGCACGGGAATTTTTAGCAGTATAATTAATGACGCCAAAAGGGCATATAAAAATTCGTGCCCCTGATTCATACATGCTCTTTTGCCACTCTAGCCGCAAAACGCATCATCATACAGCGGGTCGCGGGAACTCTAATCTACGAAGCTTTTATTGCCCCGGAACATTCACAGACGTTCGTCGCGATATCAAGACCCCCCATAGAACTATGCTTCAGAAACCTGCTGTAGTGAAAGGCGCTGATTAAGCAAAAAAAAAAAAAAAAGACTGAAAAAAATGCATAATAGAATTGCAAGGAGTTAAACCAAATGAACATAAAATTAAGAAATTTAAAGCTCAGGACCCCTGATAGACAGAATATGATGCGCTATCATTCGGTGCATTCTTCATACGGACAAGAGCAGAAAGTGCACAAAGTCACCACTTGCTACTTTTGTGCAGATCATCAAACAATACTCACCTGTGGATGTAGTTTTCCCTGTTGGTGGGCAGGTCAAAGTTGATGACCAAGGACACTTGTTGAACATCTATGCCTCGGGCAAGCAGGTCAGTTGTGATCAACACCCGACTCGAGCCTGACCGAAACTCGCGCATGATTACGTCCCGTTCCTTTTGGCCCATGTCTCCGTGCTAGCAGCGACAAGAAATGAACACAAGCATAAAACTAGCACGCTGTTCATCAGTCACATGAGCTGCACAGCTATGACATTATAAAGTTCTTGCTAAAAAATGCCATTGGACCGGAGTTACCACTGTGACACCCCACCCACTTGGTTTGCTGACAGTTGGTGACAGAGCATTGTGCAAGTGCAGTTACAATGCCCACACCTTCTGTCCATGCCCTCTGTGCTTTCCCATTAACATGTTCCAAAAATGCACGGACTAGCCCAAACAAGACCATTACTGTCAAATACACAGTGTATTGTCACACCAACATCATCCGGTTTTCCAGTCACTCAGGAGGTGCACTCATCGTGAAAGAGTTGTTAAGTGGACACATACGCTGCTTACTTGAGCCTGCAGCCTTTGTTCACTGCAGATTTAGCTTTCATAATGAGCAAAAGCTTCAGTTGCTCCATTTGGTGCAAGTGTGTTAAGTTTTCTTTTCCAGGAATCGATACTCTGAAAGCTGCAGCCCTAACAACAGCTTCACAACTGAAATTTTAACCCTTTTACAGCAGAGTGTCGCAAGTTGCGAAACACCAAAAAACTTCAACAAGCAAGTCATGAAATGCATGCCAGCTTTAATGCCTGCTGTTAGTAATCACGAGGAATGTAGCTTTCAGCATAACAAATCTAGCGCCATCTCGCCTGAGGTATTTTATGCGAGATCCAATTGTTTTGGAACTGATGACAGAGAGCACGTGCAACAGCTCTCACTTCATTTTTTTCTTGCCTGGGTGACCCAAGTTCAATCTTCAATAATTTTGTTTATTAGGTGTGTAGGCACCCAAGAGGTGGCACAGGACACATTACGTAGTTCTAAAGTACATTTTTCATTGCAAGGTCCTTGTTTCTCCAGCATATAGAGAATTCGTGACATACATAAAAGTATGCAATAAAGTTGCACATTCAACTGTGGAATCATTTAAGGTTGCTATTTAAGGCTGGAAAATGAAATACTTATACGTTGTTCAGATGAGGCATAATTCATGCATTAAAATATATATGGATAATATATATAAATATATATATATATAGTGGGGGACGACCCACTGTTCAAAGGCTTTACCACAATATATATATATATATATATATATATATATATATAATATATATATATATATATATATATATATATATATATATATATATATATATATATATGTGTGCCAGTAAAATCCTGCTGTAGCTGGAACCAACTGTAGTTTAAGGCAAACCCACGAAAAAGGCTTTCACCCTAACATACCGCATTTACTCGCGTAATGAACCGCCCCCACACCTTGGTCCTTTAAAAAAAAATCATGCATCTGTTCATTTTATTTCGGTGTCATAGGCAGTGCCGAGATATGAGAGACTACCAGAACACTACAAACAATATGCCCACTCACCAGTGCAGAGACAGTGAAATCGCGCTCGTGCATCTTCTCTGTGAGCCAGTCTACTTTCCGCCTCGTGTTGCAGAAGATCACTGCCTGGGTGATGGTCAGGGTCTCATACAGGTCACACAGCGTGTCCAGCTTCCACTCCTGCACACAAAAACCAACAGTCAGAACACAGCATTATCCTGCTCACCACCCCAAAGGTTGCTTAGATGGTTAGCAGTTACAAAAGCTGACCACATCTACACGTTACAGCATGCAGACTCAGTGTCACTTTCCGATAGCCTTGCTTATAGTCAAGAGTTTACTTGCACTTTACTTGCACAATTGTTTATTTTCACGTCACTAACAAGGCCTAACTTGAAAAGCACGCAGCAAAGGCAGGCAGTCAGCAATGCAAAAAATGCCTTTAGAAAATTCGCAACATAGACCATTAAGTCACACAAATTCCATTTATAGGTGGTGCGAATCGGGCACTAGGAAAGGTTGAAGTAAGAATCTCAAAAGGAAGTTCATTTTATGTTGAAACTCTATCGAGGGGCATTTCTGAAGACCAGTTTTATTGAAATTTCTGACCCTAATGATTGATTGATATGTGGGGTTTAACATCACAAAACCACTATATGACTATGAGAATTTCCACCACTTGGGGTTCTTTAACGTGCACCCAAATCTGAACACACGGGCCTACAACATTTCCGCCTTCATCGGAAATATAGTCGCCGCAGCCGGGATTCAATCCCACGACCTGCGTGTCAGCAGCCGAGTACCTTAGCCACTAGACCACCGCAGCGAGGCCATTCTGACCCCAATTCACGTTACTAATTTTAGGCAAGGAGCTCGGTACAAATGTCTCCAAAAACAGTTTCATTTTTCATTTTAGCAGTCTCGATTGCTCGAATACCTACCTGTGGCCTTCCCTTAAACTTTTCCTTTAACTTTAACCCAAAACAAGGTAATGTTGCACTAGTGATTGAGGTGTCATGGAAAGATTGCCATGGAACCTCACCCATAACCAGCGCCATGATTTTGACCTTTCGACGACTGCAACCACCTTGACAGTGTGTGGTCCCAGTGCTTTAAGGTCAACTTCACATACCCTAAAAACATTCAGCAAAATGAACCCCTGATGGTGTCTCTTGTGCCTATGTTTGCATACCCTGTCTTTTGAAGTTAATGAATATGTACGAACTGGATGAGCTCTGTTATTCCAAGATTATACTCAAGCAGTCAAAAATCCCTGCACACCAATCCAGCTTCTCCTTATCAATGTTGAATTGTGGGAGTTCTCAACACACGTGGTTTGTTTACAAGGAGTTCGGGAGCAGCAGAAGACCCACATTGCTGTGGCTCAAGGCTTTACATACTAAAGAACTAAGCATTTATGCATTTGCAGCCCACGGTGGCCACCCAGTTTTTAGGGGCAAGTGATAATAAGAAAGGTCAACTTGTTCAAAATATTCTATTCGACTTGTTACGATTACCTTCTGTGATCCCTAGACATTCACATCATTGAGCATACCCCGGAAACAAATGCATAATCAAACGGTTGAAAATGCATAATCAAACTACCTTTAATTTGCCATGCGAAAGTATCGGACTGGTGCACACGTATATCGATATCTTGCACAGCAGGACATCCGCCATATCGAACGCTGTGCCGCGCCAGAGCTCAGAAAGTGGTTTTAATAGCAAAATGGATCAACTTTCAGCCTGCGTTCTAACAAGTTTCGATCCCTTTTCGCGCACAGGGACGAAAAGGCGGTGCTGATCTGGTTTATTGCACGGCACTTGAGAGTGCACCGGAATGTTTCATGCACGATCTGCACGCCTTAATGCGCAGGCGTAATATTGTTCAAAACGACCAATTGCGGACGACACCGAAATGAGAACAGGAAGCGGCTCAGCGATCACGTTATAATGTTCGCATTCCCTTGTTAGTCAGTGCATGGCATGCGAGCCTGAAAAGTGTGGCCTTCAAGATGTGCAACCTCGCGACACATTTTTAGTGTTTTTGGTTTTAACAAAGCAGCGGCTGCAAGCTACAAAAGCACAAGGATATCAATATCACGAACAAGACAGTGGTAACGGTGAGAACTCCGCATAGATGAAACTGCATTGTCTTTCGCACCTAGTGTTCTTGTGTACTTTCTGTCTCGTTCTTGATAAATTGCCACTCAGGAGTTGAACTGAACATTGACCCGCACACAGCAATAAAATTGTGAGTGGCGCTTGCAGCGATGCCAAGTAAGGCACCATCACGAACTTTCCTAGCGGGCCATGTGACTTCTGGTTGTCACGACTGCTGACAATGTAGTACGGTGCCACAGTGACTTCTGCGAATCGGCGTTTCCGGCACCATCTTCGACAGTCAGCAACTTCATCCATCTAGATGATACGTAGCTGTTTCTTACTGCATCGATGCAGAGATCATGGCTGCTGTTGATGCCGCGGAAGTGTACCCGTGCGGTTATGAATATGCCGCCTTTGCTGCCGCCGCTAACCAACCTTCTGCAGCACTACAAAGCCTGCATGGGCGTTCTGCGTCGATCAACCCTGCTATGGCTAAGAGCTCAATTCACTTCTTTGAAAAGCTTCAATTGTATTGAGAATAACGGTAACTTGACGGCGCACAAGAAGCAAGACAAGCTTACAAGCTATTTTTATGCGAAATAAAGTGCAGTTACTTGTAGTTCACACCTTGTCCTTCATTACGCTGCGAGCAAACCGTTATGCTTGAGCATGTGATGATTTCTGAAGCCCGAAGAGCTTTAATTTAGGCCTTAAATACGCATTTCGTATTTCGAATTATCGATATATACAGTGAAAGCTCGTTAATTTGAACTTCAATAATTATAATTTATGGATAATTCGAACTGTGAGTTATGGTCCGGCCAAGCTCCATACAAGCCTATGAATAAAAAAGTTCATCAATTCAAGCGGAAGTTGGTTCCACCACGTATAATTCTAACTACGTGCCACCGCGTCGGCGGCTCGGCTAGTCACTCAATAGGGTGGCTGCCGAGTTACGAGGCGGCGTTGACAGGGAGCGGAAAGAAAAGCGGAGAGAGAAACTGGCACGGAGGCCAGAGTGCAGAAAATAGCGCCTCTTACACTTCACCTCCCCCCACAATCTCTCTCGGCGGCTGCTGCCTCTCCATCCAACGTAACCTCTAAGATTTGTTTTTTTTTTTAAAGCGCCAATCTCTGAGCCTTAGCATATCCTGCGTAGCTGCCGCTGTTAAGACGACAGATGGCATGACCAGCACACAGCAAAACGGGTGTGTCCTAGCTTCGCTCAGCATTCTCTGCAGTCTCTGTCTCGGGCGTGCATCGTACACCTCGGTTGTTGGTGCCGGAGTAGCTTCCGACTGTAGCGATTCTTTGTGTTGGTGTTAGGCCTCTGCTAACGTTTGCTGCGGTAGCGCCGATACAAGCTTCTAGTCTGTCGTGATTCTGCTGCTCGGAAATGATGGCGTGTGCCTGCAGCAAATACCGTGCCAAAACACTTCAGGAAAAAGCTGACATCCTGCGGGAAGTGGACGCCGGACTCTTCCCCAAGCAAGATATCGCAAAAAAGCATGGTATACCAAAACGACGCTATCTACTTATATAAAAAATAGGAGTATTGGAGACGCCGTTCAGGCAGAAGTTGCAAGCAATAGGAGGAGGCTGCGGCCCGCAAAGTATCCTGACCTCGAGAAAGCAAATGCGTGCGCAGGACACACCACTGAGTGGCCCAGTCATACTGGCAAAGGCAGCAGACTTCGTCCTGCAGCTAGACTACGATGACTTCGCTGCTTGAGATGGGTGGTTGCAAAGTTTTCACGTGCGCTACGACCTCGTTTTCTGTGCTGTCGGGTGAAATGAACTCCGTCAACGTGAAAACGTGCGAGGGTTGGTGCTCCGAAGTGATTCAAGGCTACATGGAGAAGTATTCTCAGCAGGACATATTTAATGCGGATGATACTGCCTTATTTTTCAAATTGCTGCCTGCCAGAATAACCACATATGAAGGTGACAAGTGCACGGGAGGGAAGAAAAGTAAAGAACTGATAACTGCGATGGTTAGCTACGAAAATGACCAGGACCGAGAAGTTGCCTCTGTTCGTGATAGGCAAATCGAGAAGTCCTCGTTGCTTCAAGAACATCCGGACCCTTCCATCAGACTACGCAGCCAACAAAAAGGCCTGGATGACTGGGGAATCGTTTGCGCAGTGGCCGCAAAGTCCTGCTTCTTGTGGACAACTGTTCGGCTCATAAAGTCAACATTGTGATGAAGGCCATTGAGCTGGCCTTCCTTCCAGCAAACATGACAGCGATACTGCAGCCCATGGACCAGAGTATAATTAGAATTTTATCAGCGTCATATGTTGGAACGAATTATTTGTGCATTAACTACCAAGCGACGCTCCTAAGTGCACTACACATGCTTGTGCGTGCTTAGGAGCAAGTGACAGCGCTTACGATAACAAATTGCTTTCGCCACTGTGGCTTCAGTACCGAAACTCTGCAAGCTGACGAGCCACCAGTGCTCGCACACGGCGTCACCGCCCCCATGGCGGACATTTTGGAAGACGTCTGCTTTGCGGACTACGTCGATGTGGACTCAAGTGCAGTGGTCTGTGGTGCACTCACGGATGGCGACATAATATGTCAGGTGAGAAGTGCAGAACCCGTCGCTGCCAGTGACGATGATGAGGAAGAGGACGAAGCACCAGTGCGACCATCTGCTGCGGAAGTCATGGCTGGATTGAATGCCGCCAGTCTTTTCTTAAGTTTTGAAGAAGGCGGAGAAGAGGCCTTCGGCCAAAAGTGCTGGCTGTCGCCTTCAAGTAAGGAAGGCAGACCGCGATCAGTTTTTTTCAAAAAATTGTTTTGCCCTACTCGCAGTGTACTACTATTGTTCTTCACTTTCATTAGTTCGAACTTTCGTTAATTCGAACTGAGGCGGCTTCCCCTTGCGGTTCGAATTAACGAGCTTTCACTGTATTTCTAGTTATAATATAATAGAAACAATGCATTATTATACATTAATATCCAGCTAAGTGATTGTAGTTCTCAACGGTTCAGCTAATACACTATCAAAATAAACTGGATTTCAAGTTTTTTCTATTATCAAAGGCCACCATCCCCCCTCTGCACAATGTCATATAAGTGAGATTGACATAACAAGTGAAGACCGAAGCCGTATTATTCAAAAAAGCTTAGGTTCATCCAGAAGTATCTCTTTAAAAAGCTACAGCACTGAAGGTGCTCAAAAGTTGCCTTTTGCTGATGCAGCATGATTAAGATGCAACAAGCAACGCTGCATTTTCATTATTCCCAATTTCCTGTCAGACTGCAACGCCAGACCCAACAACAAACCTAGGGGCAAAAATAGTTATACTGTTTCACACATGTGAAATACTGCGGAAGCTAGCGAGACTTCTTGCAGTCGATCTGTTTGCAAACAAAAATCAGCTCGATGTGCTTACCACCAATAAATTCATTTTTCTTTCGTTATTATGACGAGGAGTAATTAAAGATATGTCACTTACAACCAAAAACGGCGTTGAACGTCTGTTGTGTGGCTGTATAGCTTAGCTTTCATGTGACATCACATACAGACTTTCTACTCTGGGTACATCGTGATGGCGGCCACCTGGGCTTTCAGTGTCAGGGCAGCATAGGACACCACAGGGTCATCCGCATTCTTTTGTGCTCACCCCGCTAATCAGACGTCACGCGAGCTACCACGAAACGCGCGGAGTTATACGTTTTGCTGGCCGAACTTCGTGCATAGCTGCCACAGTGGTGCACCTGATGTATGAAACGGAGTATAGGAATCAAAATCTGAATAAAAGTACCAGCAGATATCGAGCGATGAAAACTTAAATGGGTACTGCAACACTTTTTGAGCATGGTCAGAAAACACTGCTGATCAGTAGTAGAGGCTCCCGAGAACACGTGAGCCAATTATAACGCAGCACGCGGGCTAGAATTCACAAATTATCAGTCAGCTACAAATTGCTTGCTCTTCTTTCGACAAATGACGGAGGAAACTCAAAAACCACTTGTAGAAGGCCATCTATCAGCCATTGGCTGATTTTAACATGGCGCACTCAGTCATTACAAAGATCGTCACGGGAGGCTAGGACTTGTCAAGCATGCGGACAAGAAAAAAAAAGTGCTCAGAGTCACAAGGCAATAGTGTTTTTGCCCATGCCATCCCTCCCTGGTTAGCTTCCAGCGCTTTCGTTGGACGAGAGGAGAGAGAATGCGATGCTGTGTGTGACAAGTAATTGTAACTCCGCTCGCATTGGACGGATTCTTGAAATATTTTGCAGGTTTGAATTCGCGAGGCAATAAGCTCGTCTAGTGAATCCATTCCATAGTTACCTGAAAATGTTTCAGGGCACCTTTAAAGGAGGGGCAGTAACCAATCATTGTACCACTTACATGCGACTTTTTTTTACATGATAAAATTTGAGTCAATTAGAAAAATAAGTGCCATCGTTATGCGAGTGAACGTGGTGCTACCAAACATGCATTAAACCTGATTACTATTATACTAGTGTCAGTAGTACCGTATTTACTTGTGTAATCCTCCCACTTGCATAATTCTCGCACCCCCCACATCGCCCAAGAAAAATACGATTTTTTTTTTCCTAGAGTAATTATCGCACCCCCGAAAACTGCCGCAATAATGTCATCTGCTCGTTCCAGCCACTGATGATGATAGCGCACACTATCTCTTAAGCATGAAGCGTACTATTGCACGAAGATTCAATCCAATCCAAGCCAAGCCGAAGTGGCCAGTTCACGTTGCGGCGTGTTTTGTATGTTGTGTCAGTAATATTGGCACGTTATGGGGCAATACTGAAGCTACACGGCTGCTTCATGCTTCAAGTTGCAAGTGATCGACCATGCGCTAAACAACGGCAACAAGGCCGCCGGTAGGCTCTTCAGAGTCTACGAGTTTTGTGTTCGCTAATGGTGACGACAGCTGAAAGCCACCAAGACGCATTGGGCCTGCCGTATGCCTAAAACTGGGATTGATGGTGAACTTTATTTCTTCGGAAGGAAACTGGGGACGATTCTGTTAAATAGCCATCAGCCCAATACTGACGTCCTACGCTCACATTTTGAGGGCTCCTGTTGAGCGACGAATGCTACCGCTACGCCGGCAACGCTTGCGGGCCCACAAGCTTTGCGTATAGTATTCTAATTCTCGACTATTTGCTTCCACTTTGTGCATCTCAAATTTAGTCTTGTGTTAGAACCTCCGCTTTTATTGTTGAGGCAAGTTCTAATTAGTACTTCTTAAAGCTTCCTGTTAGTTGCTGGTGTGAAAATCCCTGATTCGCGGCCACTTCGTTTTCTTTTTCGCTTTGTACGTTTTCGTGGCCAGTTTTCCCTCGCGTAATTCTCGCACCCCCAAACTTTCAATCGGTTTTCCGGCAAAAAAAGTGCGAGGATTATGTGAGTAAATACTGTAACTTCTAGTCAAAGCGCTGCAAGCTTCAAGGAAGTACACAGCTAACTTACCTCACGATCTACTGCTACGTAGAACTGCTTGATACCCTCCAGGGTAAGCTCTTCTTTCTTCACTAAAATTCGGATGGGGTTGCGCATGAAGCACTTTGTGACATCCAACACATCCGATGGCATTGTAGCTGAAAGCAGGATAACCTGCACAAACAAGAAAAAACAACTTACACAACATTCTCAGATGACATCTTATACATGGCAATACCTTTGACTTTATGCATACGCAATGACTCGTATTTCCAACTTGAAAGAGCTCTACAGCTGGACTATGCGAGAGGAACACTTGCATTAGAAGCCGAAAAAAGGAGAAAAACCTCAAAAGCAATGTGCCATACTTATTTCGCACTACACTCAGTCCTTGAAGCGAAGTTCTATTTAGAAAATCATACACTTTACCTGACTGTAGACGGCGGACATCGTGAGGTCTTGAGGAGCTTCGCCCCTTAAAACCTTCAGTTTTGGTTTCGAATCTAACCAAGGGGATTAAAGAAATGGTCATAACTTTCGAACGGCTGGAGATAATCTTATCAGTCTTCTTCCTAAATATTTTTGAATAGACAAGGATTATGAATATTTTAAATGCAAATAAATTATCTTTTTCACAAAAATGAGTTTTTGAAGGTGGTGACCTAGCTCAAGAGAAGAGGCTACCCAAAAAACCGAACGTTTTTATGTCTTGAGATATATTAATAAAAATTTCAGTGTATGTTCACTACATTAAACCTAGAAAAACTGCGAAGTTTCATGAAATTGTGTTCAGGGGTTCTAGAGTTGCTGAGGTCTAACTGGGTGGATTCACTTGTGTGCCTGAGGAAGAGCCAGACGAAATCCCACGACATACCAGAAGGCTGAAATTATTGTTGTCATCCCTAGATGATATCCTTAGGGTGCTAAAGAGCAGTTGTCTTCAATTTCCCCTTCAAAATATTTTTATGCAACTTTGAATTTGATGTAGCCATTAGGTATGACATGTATCAAAAATTAATTGTTCATTATTACTTATGGCACCAATTTTCAAAAAAAAAAAAAAAACTTGTTACACCCTGCCAAAATCATCCAGGAGCAGATGTAAGAAACAGTACACAAATCTGATAGCAGTTCTTGAGAAATCCCTTTCCTCAGCACCACAACTAGCTAAAAAATCCATTTTGAGAAAACAGGCTTTGAAAGTTCAGCACATGTGTTCTCCTAGAGAAGTTCCAGCAGAGTAGCTTGAAAGGCCCTTGTGCACTCTTCTCTCCTTTTGTCGTCCCTCCACCTTCTCAAAGTGCCATTTGGATTATTATTATTTTTTTTTCAGGCGTAGGGAGTCTCTTTCAAGAGCCGGCTGCACCAGTTCCAATTTTTTCTGCAGTCGCTGCCGTAGATTCGAGTTTAGCGCGAGCGGCGTCTGAATGTCTCGCATTCGCAAGGATATTTTCCTTAGGAAATGCCTCCGCAAATGAGGGGTTGACGATCCATGTCACACTATAGGCCCCGATGCAGACAAAGTGCTGTGTCTGGCGATCTTAGCAACACCGTGTCATGGTGTTCTAACACCGTGCTCGGTGTCACGCTCGACGGCACCGATTCAGAGCACGTGCTGGATCCGGCGATCTCGGACATGCTCGATCAATTCGCGGCTCCAGGCACACACGGTTTGTCGGAATATGGGACTGGTGGCAGCTAACAACAGTTTCGCCACCACAAGCATCTACGCATTGGGCGCTTGCAGCAGAAAAGCGGAATTTCGATTCTCATAGAAAGGCGCATAACGCGCTTCCGCACTTCGAACTAGCGATGTCTTATTTGGCTTCGTTGTCGGCATCACGCAAAGAAACAAAGATAAAGGACACAGAACTTGATTGGTTGATATGTGGGGGTTAACGTCCCCAAAAACCACCATATGATTATGAGATATGCAAAGGACACAGAACTTGTGAGAAAAAAAAAAAAAAACGAAGAGAAACCGACCGAAAATACAGCACAAGGCAAAAAGCGGCTCGTAAGCAAATGTCTGTCGAGGCGGACGGATGCAACAGCGAGACGAGCGCGCCGGACGTGCCATCGCCAGCGGGACCGCCCCCTCTTCCAGCGCAGCAGCCAATGGCAGGCGTGCTTTCGCCCGAGAGATATGAGCGAGCTGCTCTAGCCAATCAGCGCTCCACATCGCATCCTGGAGTAACACTGATAGCATCTCAACTGCGCCGTTGATACCATTTTGAAAGGCGGCAAACGAGAGAAAGAATTCATGGTCAAAACAAGATCAAGATGGCGCGGGACGGTCGCATGGTCTCAAAATGGCTCGCACACAAAGTTTGGTTTGACTTTGGCTTTTGAGCATGTTTTGGGCGCTGTGGCGCCCTCGAGAAGATCATTCTTTTTTTTGCACTTCGGGGTTGAATTAGGCGCTGATATTTAGAGAATAGGTAACTTATAAGACAAACAACCCAACAATATTGTTTACCTAAAAACTGACTTTTTTGAGATTTTTCGTTTTTCAAGGGCTGCGTCCCCCTTAGACTATGCTAGCCTTCTGGTGCACTTTCATAACTCTCGAGGCATTGCTCAAAGTGATGCAAGAAGCAACTTAATTGAATAAGGTTCTGCAGGTATCAATAGAAATTTTATGAAAGTATCAGGGAGACATGCAGAATATTTGTGTAAATTTTCATCTGTCAAGTTATAACAGAATTTGTTTACTAATGCCACTTCACTACCCTTATGGAAAGACACGGCACTTGGAAGTCGAAAATCTGCCCCAAGACAGCATTTTCTCTCTCATCATTTCCGCATTCCCGATGCCCTTCCGCACCTATCAGCAAAGTATGGCTTTAAAGTTTCACTTATTTCTCAAGTTATAATCCATAAAGAGAGCAACTTCGCGCAAGCGGACCTTCAAATTGAAGTGGTAAACGAGCCGTATTTAAACTGCCGACGGCACGGGAACTGTGCGCTCCACTAGCGCCATTTTGGTTTTGTTCGAAAGATCACGTTTCCAAGTTGTTTTTTTTTTCCAGTAGACAACTACGTACCCCTCCCGAAAGATTAAAAAAAAAAAAAAGAACGAAGACAAACCCACGCGCAGCACGCGATTCCATTGGTTGCTTGACGCACGTGACCAAAATGGAGCTTCCAGATTGCCCAGGAAAGCTTTCTGGCAGTGTCTGCCGCCATTTTGAAAAGGTATCATCCTTGCAAAGGTGCCGTACCCCTAACCAACTACGAGGTACTGCCTTAGCATGCTCATGCATCTTACCACGACCGGCGGTGCGAGAAAGTTCAGGTCGCAGCAATTCACGGAAAAAAGCCCAATGGTGCTGCTACTGCGTTGTAATAACGCTGCCGTACACGAAGACGATTCCTCGCTGCGTGCGTGGTGTGGCCGCATGCGTACTGAAGATTTTATCAACGGAAAAGTGCACGAGACTGCTTCCCCAGGCAGTGTGAACCCTGTGGACCATGACCACGCTGATGTTATCGACGACCAAGAAGTGCACGTGGACGCGCACCCCCCCGGACAGCGCGCTCGATGTCAACTCCAGTCACGTGAAAGCAGACGCTGGCGTGATCGGTGCCAGTAAAGTGTGGGAGGCGTGCGCCGGCAAGACGGCCGCACTTGAGGGTATTTCGTCGACGTCAGCACGAAAAAAGTTTGAGTGCTTTGCGGAGTCGAGGAGTGCGGCAACGGCACCAGTGTTGAATGAGCCTCCTCCTTACATGATACAGTCGACTCTCATTAATACGAAGTTCACAGGGACCACAAAAAACTTCGAATTAAGCGGAATTCCAATTTACCACAATGAACAAAAAATACATTTCAAAGCAGTTTATGAGAAAAAAATCTGTGATTGCCATTTGCTTTTGTTTGCTGAATCTTGCAGCAGAAAGCAAGTCCTGCAGGCTGTATATGTGCCCGAGTGCTTCCTCGGCGTTGCTCTCAGCAGTGAAAAACCGCTGCGCAAGGGCACGTGGAAACGCTGAGACCGCACACGACTGTAACGAGATCAACAATGAGGCCCGCAACCAGAACCGCCGGAGCAGCCGCTTCGTGATCTGGGGCGCTGCATGCAACTGCGATGCCATCAGCTGACGCTTTGAGCTGCAGCGCTGTGGTCAACTGCGATGCCCTTGGGTTGGGTGCCAGTCGGACACGCATTGTTGTTTAGCACTTCGAAATTAGGAAATTTAACAAACATTACTATTTCCTCCGGGAATTCGATTGAAAATAAATTCTAATTAACCGAAATTCAGACCTCTAGCTTCCAATTAGAGAGAATTTCTTCGTGTTGAACTGCATGCAAAACTGACGGGACCCCCACTCCACTTCCAATTAACCGATAATTCCAATTAAGCGACTTCGAATTATCGGGGGTCGACTGTAGTAAATATGGAGTTCATGAACTCGCTCCTTCCGACATCTGCGATGAGAAACTTGCCACGGGCCAGCGCGAATCGTGAGAAGAAATCGTGACTACGGCCTCGCAGTGAAGCTTACTCGTGTGCGAAAATTGCGGAAATATCGGTGCCGACCTGCAACCCGTTGGAAATTAATCTCCTGGCTACGCAGGCGATGATTTCAACGAGAAACGCCAAGACAGCTACGAATGACGTATTTGCGACTATGGGATATTCCTAACGTGGCATGCACCACTGCGCTTTTCAGCGGCATTTGAAGCAGACTTTGGCACTTGCAGCCACGCAAGCAGCCGCGGTGGCAACGAGCCAGTGTGCAAAAGAAGTGGCCTTGTTGTATGACCTATGTTTTGGCCACAGAGGAAATATCGCAGTCTCCTTTGTGGTACATGGTTGATCTGCAGTCACTCCTCCCAGATAGGCTTCGCAGGGTACATGCTGGACTATGTTGTCCTCTCAAATTTTTGTTGGTGTGTGAAGTGGGGCCAAAGCCAGACTCCGAGGGCTACACTGAGTGGGAATAAACGCACCCGTGCCAGGAGAATACTGGTGCTAAAGTGTGTCAAATGAAAGCAGAAGGTGGGCTCCTTTTTGAAAGGTTCCTAAATCAACATGGACTGTGGTACATGACCATGTTATGTGACGGTGACAGCCGCACAATTTGTGCCATTAAGGAAGAGAAAGTGTACGGCTACGTCTATGTAGAAAAAGAGGACTGCGTCATTCATGTGCAAAAGCGCGTGGGG